GTGCCCGCGCGACGAGATCGTCGATCAGCGCTACGAACGGAACGACGACGATACTAACGCCGCCGTTTAACCCTCGTACCGCCGGGACCATAAATAGTAGACTCTTGCCGCCGCCCGTCGGTAGTACGACGATGAGTACGGAGCCGCCTCGCATCTGTATGATCCGGACCATGGCCTGCTCCTGTTCTGCCGTCCTCCAGCGCGCACCGGCCCCAATAATCGATTCGAGCCCGTGCTGGACCCGGCGCCGGACCTCCCCGACGGCTTCTGGGAGCGTCTTCCTCTGCTTCGCCGGCTCTGGGCTCGACTCTATCGTCTCCTCCCTACCTGGGAGTTCGGCCTCCGTAGACTCTCGCTTCCGCTTCCTCGTCCGCTTCTGCGCCTGGTCCGGCGACTTGCCCTTACCCTGGCTATCCCAGCTCAGATACTGGTGCCAGAGCCGGCTGATCTCGCGGTAGTTGGCGATCATCTGCGGCTGTAGCTGCCCTGGGAACTGGATGTTGATCGCGTAGTGCGATCGTGCCATGGCACTGCTGTGTGTCGCCTGCAGATCCCAGATTACCTCCGTCCGGTCCCTCGGTCGTAGCTCGCCAGTAGCCTCGTCGAATTCCTCATCCTCGGGCCCGTATCCGTCATCGGCCGCGCCGACCTCGAGCTCCTTCTGCTGTACGATAAGCCCCTGAATCGTACGGCCTAGCTCGATCGCGAGATGGCGGTACGTCGAAGTACCTAGCTCGACGCCGAGATAGCCCGCCGTAGCTGCCCTAAGCTCCTTCGTAAGCACGTCCGTTCCCCAGCGGCCTTTCCGGCCGTCCTTCCATAGCCAGTGCCGCAGCGATTCCGACGGTTTTCGAGCCCGCGTCGCATCGAGAAGCATCTCCTCGAACGGGACTAGCCAGACGAGATAGACGACAAGTAGCTGCCCGACCCGTTCCGGGAGAAAGCGTGCGACCTTTCGGCCGTAGCCCCGGATCGACTTGGCCTTATCTCGGTCCGTTACGAGCATTACCTGCCCGTCGAAGATATAGACGCTCCGGCTTAGCTGCTTCGTATCTAGATACCGCACGCTCGTGATCTCGGGCCCTCGGCCTGGCTGGCCTCCCCAGACGTGCGTTAGTACGAGTAGCTGGCTCTTTAGCGTTCCGATCTGGTTTAGCCACTTCTGCGACCGCTCCCGGTGGTACTGCTGCCGCTGGGACGACCAGAGCCTCTCCGAAACGAGCTCGGCAACGACGCGGGGCCCGGCTTGAAGCCAGCTGTTCTGCGGGTTTGAGATGAACGATTTCCCACCCCCTTCGTACATTACGCTGTCGTTGATTTTGCTAAGCTCGATCCGTCCTAGTAGTACCGCCGACTGGCCGTACAGAAGCCCGTCGAGCGCCGATTCGGCTGTTGAGACGAGCCCCTGGGCCATCCGCCGGAAGTTCTGGACCTCGATCCGGAAGCCGTGTAGCCGGAGCGCCTGCTTCCCGTCCTCCCAGATAATCCGTGCTGCCCCCCCTTCCTTCTGGCGGTAGCCCTTTCCGATCGTTAAGAACCGGGTTAGCGTACTGAACGGGCTGTACGAGCCGTCTGCGATCCACTGCCGATAGCCGTCCATAAATACGTCGATATCCCTAGCCTGGAGCTGGCTACGCTCTTCGTCCTCCCCTTCGCCGGAGTCCGTAGTACTATCCTCTTCCTGGATCGGGACGTGCTCGAAGAAGTACTCTAGTAGTAGTACGCGGCTACACCACGCTAGACCCGCTAGTAGTGTTGTAAACTCGGCCGGCGGCCGAAATCGTGCTCGGACGGGGTCGATCGCGAGTACGGTAGTGAAGTGTAGTAGCGGGTTTACGTACGGTTGTACTAGTACCCGCTGCGTAAGCGACAGAACACAGAACGTGAAGACGGCCTCGTCTAGATATCCGTCGTCGCCGCCGCCCTCGCGATTCTCCTCCTCCTCGCCGCCGCCCCCTACCCGGGAGCTCTCCTCCTCCGTACTATCGAGAGCCTCTATAATAGCCTCGAGAGCGGCCCACTGCTGGTCGGTAAACTGGACCTGGTGCTTCCTCCTCGCCTCCGTACGGCCGAGCCGGAAGACCCGGACGCAGTAGCAGAGATAGCGCCGCCAGTAGCTCCGGTACTTCTCCATCGTATGCGCCTCCTGCTTAACGCGGAACGGCCGCGGCGACGGCCGGTTCGGGTCGCGGCTTGCTAGCCAGCAGAGCGTCTCCACGGGTACCTGGCCGATCCGCCGGCTACACCGCTCGATTACCCGGTTGAAGCTCTGGCCCAGCCGTACGAGCGTCGCCTCCGAAGCCTCCCTCTCTTTCCGGACGGACCAGCTTAGTTTAGCTAGCTCCTTCGTCGATAGACCTGGCTCGGCGGCGCGCCGTAGTTCCGCCATATCCTTGCCGGCCAGATGCGCCGCCCAGCCCATCTGGCTCACCCACGGCGACTCATAGTCGACGCCGGCCTCGTAGTCGATAATCCGGCCCCGCTCCGCCTCTTCGGCGGCCGCTTTAGCCTCGTACGCCGCCATGTGGGCCTCCCAGACTTGACCTCCGCCGCCGCTGTCCGGCCCCGCTGCCGCCTCTGGGGTCGCCTGCCGCCCTACCGCTAGCGCTTCTACAATCCAGTACCGCGTACGGCGCCTCGCTGACGAGAACGACTGTAGCTGTACCTCGTTCCAGCGCGCGTAGCCCGTACCTAGCGAGCCTTCGCAGTGGCTAGTATCGCCGTCGGCTGCTTCCCTCGCCTGGTGCTTCTGGACCTCGTCCCGGCTCCTCGTTACGAACCGGCACGCCCTACAGCGGAATCCGGAGTGGACCTGGAGCTGCGGGATAGCTGGACTACCGTCTGCCGGTACCTCTGCTTCGTGCGGCTCTACGAGCCCTCCACGGCCCTCTACTGCTGCTGCTGCTACTGCTGCCGCCGATTTGACTGCCCGTAGCTGGCCGCCCTTAAGCTGGTGCCTCTGTCGGTAGTGGGTAACTACACCACCTACGGCCGCTGCGATTCCTGCCCTACATAGTGTGCAGACTAGTACGCGGCTTGCCCGATATAGATAGAGCTCTGGTGTTACTGCTGGCTCGGTCGTTGCTGTAGCTCTCGCGTCCTCCTGCTGCTGCTGCTGCCGCTGCTGCGCGGCGCTGCCGTAATCGCTCTCGTAGTCGCCTCCCTGGCTGCTGCGGTCCATCGTGGAGTACTACCTGTCGTATGCGATTCTCTTCTCGGTACTACTTCTGATCTTCGACTCTTGCGTATATTCTTGGGAAGAGACCCTAAGCTAGTATTATAGTTCAATCGAAATGCGCGCGCGCGTCCGTTTCATTCTCCTCCTCCCTCTATCTCCTCTTACGCGCGTCCCCTCTCCCCTTTAGACTCCCCGGGCTCGCGCTGTTACGCGTACGCGCTTATCTCCTTTTTATTACCTATTACTTACCTTGTCCCCCTTTTCGCAGCAGTGCCTAGCCGTACACGCGTAGCTGAGCTGGGGGGGTTAAGGTTCGGACCCCTACTAGTTAGGGTTGGGTTAGCTAGGGGTTAGCACATTTACGCTGGCCGGAATGAACTCAGGGTACCGGAATGAACTTAATAGCCCGTACCCTTCCGGGCCGGGAATGACCTACCTCCGCCGCCGAACTACTACCGCCGCTAAACTACTATACCTCTGCCGAACTACTACCGCCGCCGAACTGCTACCGCCGCCGCCGCCGACCTACCTGCCGACCTCTGCCAGCCTGCCACGGCCAGACCCTATATATCCAAATAAGCAGCCAGTCTCTTAAGAACAAACAGGCCCGGTGGTCAAGCGGTAAGACGTCGCTAGCAATTGCTAAGCGGAATCCCTGGTTCAACTCCGGGCCGGATTACTGCGCCTACTTGAGAATCTCTTCGTCTCGTAGAGATTCTCAAGTGGGTAGCTCTTTTTGCCGGCACCCCTTCCTCCGCTTCGGAGGTATTTTCGCTATGTTAACTACCTGCCGACCTGCTACCGGCTCCGACGAACTGCCACTACTCCGCCGACCTGCTACCGCTGCCGCCGTACTACCTGCTGACCTGCCTGCCGGCCTGCCTGCCGACCAGCCTGCCGACCTGCCTGCCGACCTGCCTGCCTGCCTGAGCCTTATATATCCAAATAAGCGACTGACTATTCAACAAACAGCCAGAGAGCCTCGCTGGTCTAGCGGTCATGACGTCACTGCTATATAGCTCTCCATTCCCACGTCGGCCGCAGGAATAAGGGTCCCTGACCTGAGCTTGTGGAGCCATCCGACCCGGACGCTCGAGCTAGTCACAGTTGAAGAGCTAGGTTCGACTCCTAGGCGTGGCATTTTTTTGGCCCTCCTCTCTCTGCCTCTCTCTTTTGCGCGCGCCTCCTGCCTGCCTGCTTGCTCTGGCAGTCTGACGCGCCTCCCTCGTCGTCGTGCGGCCTGTGCATGTACGCATATGAGGGCGCGACTGGGCCCCACAGGTTCGGACCCCTGCTAGTTGGGGTTGGGCTTGGGGTTGGGTTAGCTGTGGGTTAGCCCATTTTTCGCTGGCCGGAATGAACTCAATCTGGGGTTAGTTGGGGTACCGGAATGGGCTCAATGGCCCGTGCCCCCGGCCCCCTGTCCCACCAGGAATCGCCGAAAGTGAGGCCAACCCGGCCGGGAATGATGGTCAGGGACAAGGGTTTCTTCGTCCTTTCGTACCAGATCAAGGGAAGTAAAGTCTATAGAATGCGCCGATAAACCCTCAATTTCATCGCTTGCCATGTATGCGAACATTATCATAAAAAGCCGCTGAGCACACTCAGCAGCTGGTCCTGGCTCATGTTGCCAGAACAGGAAATCAAAACAATCGCTGCCAAGACTGCATTGGACCTTTGGGGGTTCCATGATTCGTGCTCCCCTGTTGACAGAGTCATCATAAGAGCCCACAGATTTGGTAGCTGTGTATCTTAGGACTGTTAGCAAATCGTTCCGAGTCCAAGATCGCATTGTCCTGATACGATCGGTCCTTATTGATACTCAAGAGGAAAAGGGAACACAACTGACCTCATGTTGAATCATTTGTTTCATCTTGTTCGTGTGTGTACGGTCTAGCGGCACCGATGAGGATGAGGACGTGGCGTTATGCTGCTGATCCTGTGCTGACGACAGCAGAGCGCCAAGCGCGGCTCTCAGCGTCTCCCTCGCCTGCTCACCCTCGGCCACGAGCATGAGCTCCGTTGTGTTGAGCATCTCCTCATAGAAGCCGTACCGCTCCCACTCGCTCCAACCCTTTGTCCTCGAAGACTCAAAGACACTCCCAACCAGCCTGCCAAGGCCCCGATTGCGACTGAGGCGCTGCTCGTTGGCCAGGGCAGCGGCCTTCTCCATCGAAACTGCTGCTGCTGCCGTTGTTGAGGCGAGAGAAGGCCCACCCGTGACAGTAGCAGTAGCAGCATTGACGGCCGCTGTCCTCGCGGCCGTCTCCTCAAACTTCTGACTGTAGTATGCCAGCACCATCGAGTCGAAGCTCTTGAAACCTGTGGCCTGAGCGCACTCGAGGATGACTTCGAGGGCGTCGCTAAAAGCACGTTTGCGACCGTCCCGATCATTATTGCCGCTGCTGTTGTTGCGGACACCAGCGTTCTGCTGGCCTCGCGATGATGTGGGATGCTCCTCGTCGGAAGACGAGAGGTCCATCGCCATACCCAACGATCCCGACCCAGCGTCGCGTAAGCTGCTGGAAGTGGTTGACGAGGGGTCTAGAAGCAGATCCACGCCGGATGACAGCGACGATGAGATCCCGCTACCCGTGAGTCTGCCGTCGCCGCTACCACCGCTACCGCTGCTGTCGCCGCTACTTCGCACCTGCATCAGGTTCTGCGCGGCCCACTCCTCCATGGCCGCACCGAAGCCCATCATCTCGTCGTGGTCCGGCATGGCGCTTTCCTCGTGGCCGCCAGCGTCGGCGCCTTGCTGCTGTTGCTGACCCAGTAGACTGTGCTCTGTGCCGGCAGTGATTCCATCTTGTACATCCCGAAATTGTTCTGATTAGATAGAGTTAGCAGAAGATCTTCTGAAGGCATTTCGTCAACACTGTGGAGGCCGGAGATTAAAATACGGAGCGGTAAGAGACCATGCTTGCAGGAGAAAGAAGAATGGGGGCAGCCGCAGGGGGCAGAAAGCACAGCGTGAGACCTACGTGTTCTTGCGTCGACGTTGTGCTGCCGAGGCTGCTGCTGTTGCGTGTGGTCGCCATACGTGGCTCCTATCGCAGACTGCGAGCTCCCACTAACGCGAATATTGGATCGGGGTTGCCTGCCGCTGCCATCTGGTGGCGAGCGCAGGTATTCCATCACCAGCTGATCGGACAGCGCGAAAGCACCTTCTACCTGCTGGTGGACAGGCCCATTCGCCGACGAGGGAAGCAGGCGCTGGTATGCGTATGAATCGGCGGACGCGCCGTCGTCCTCGTGCACGAGCGGGTCCGCGTCATCGTCTATGGCGATGACCGTCCCAGATGAATCGAGGCTCTGTTGGTGGGCATGGTGTTGGTAAGACAAAGTGGCCGGGCGCTTTGCTGCGTCGGAGGAGGATGATGGCTGCTGCTGCGTTGACTGTCGTTGGAGATTCACAGCTTGGCGTCGAAAAGCTGACGAGGACGACGAGGTGGAGGACAGCGAGGTATCTTGTTGCCGCCACCTGGACTTGGTTGATGCTTGGTCTATTCGAGCTCGCATGCGGTCCACTACACACGCGCGTTAATGGACACGAGCTCACAGGTATCTTGGGGGCGCCGATGGGGGTGTGGATGCGGATAGAACAGTTACTGTGTAGACCCAAGTCTGCCAAGGTGGGTCGCCTGGCCCATGGGGGAGAAGAAGCTGAATGACGAGAAGGGAAAAGCGCCGCGACGGCGAGCGCATGAGGTTTCTGGTGATTGAACTTACTGCATGCCTTTTGGGAAACTCTGCCGTCCAAAGGGCGTTGCTGGTCCTTTGGATTCAGTGGGCCAACTCCAGCCATCATGGCCGACGCTCTGAAGTCGGCCAAGACCGTGTCAGGGATCCTGCGTGCCGAGAGAGACTCCATGGCGATGAGAATAGGCAGGGCCCACGATGATCGTTCAAAAGCTCGATGTTCAGGACAAGTCTCGTCCGCGACGATCGGGGTGGCAAAGCCGGTGGCTGCAGTGGGGTATTTGAACGGAGCAGGGTAGCAAGGTGGGGAGCAAATGAGTGAGGCTTGGCTTGTCTGTAAGCTCTGGCCCCGCCGTTCCGTATTCGTTATTTGTCCTGAAGTGAGTAGCATCTCGAGAATAGGCTGTCACTCAGCCGGCTTGGTGCATGTCGTGGCATGCGCTGCGCAAAGTTACAACGAGCTCCGAACTGTAGTGAGCAAGACACAGATGTGCAATATCTCCACGCCTCGATTGCTTAGTCGAGCAATCCATCTGATCATCCTTACTTGCGGTGGCCTGTTGGCATGCGGTCTGAGTTGTGCAATACACAAAAACATCCGGCCCACGCCTGTGGTATGGCATTATTACGTATCAACAATGGTGGGCGGATTCACAAAGGTCGCTGAGGAAGACCCTGAAGACCCTGAAGACCCTGACGACCCTTACTGGACGCAATGTGGGGAACACGCGACTGATTTTCGTCCTTGGCCACGCGGATCGCCATCCGGGCAGTGGGGCGTGCTGACAAGGAGTATCGCACGAAGCTGACATGTGCCAGCAACAAGGGATTTCATACTGGTCGAGCGCGTTGGCCGTAGGCCCCATCACCCAATGGCAGATGCAAGGCCGGCCACGTACATGGTGGCGAGAGGACATTTGTGGATAGGGACGTGGATGTGAGGGTGGATGTGAGGGTGGATGTGGTAAACGGTCTGGCGATCGACCGCTATTTGCAGTCGTGCTGGAGTCAACAATCTCTCATCATATTTGCCCCTGTGATGTTGCAAAGCAATTCGTAAGGCTGGGCGTAAGTCGCATTGCTATCCGAGGGTAACGTAATGTGCCCCTGTCTCCCAACCATTCAGCCCCACAACAGACTCATAACCCTGAACACATGTGACACGCATTTGTGCCGTAATTGCCCGCCGATGCGGGACTTGAGACTTTAGACTTGGCTTACATATACATACTAAACATCGTCTTCTGGGCATCGCATGGACAATTGTCAAACGTCAAATGGTCTTTCGGATCAGCCTTGTGGGTCAGTTGGACTTGCGTATAGGGGAAGTGTTCCGGTCGTGATATTTTGACTGGTGGGATGCATGACTGCATCCCAACCAATTCCAATCCTACAACGTTGTAAAACATCACGACCGGGGATCTTCAGCACATGCATAGCACTGTTGCCTTGTATTTGGAGTCACCATGAGCGAGATTGCAAATAACAAATGCTTCAATTCATGCCTTTCGGCCGCTACTGTGTCCTGCCTAGAGGAACTCTATGACTCGAACACGCTTTCCCCTCACATACATACATGTCCACCTCTTCCCATCACTTCAGTTTGTGTGCACCGTGCTCGAGTAGTAACTTCGACATGGCTTCCCGCTCTGCTTGCGGCAAGGGCATCTTGGTCAGAGTTGCGAGCATGGGCGAGCCATAAAGGTCTTTGGCATTCGGGTCCGCTCCATGCTCCAACAGCGCCGTGACGAGCGCCCGATCGCCACGCTTCAGGGCCGCAAGAAGCACCGGTGACCCCGATACGTCCTTGCCGTTGGCATTGGCGCCCATGGCCACCAGCTTGAGCGCCAACTTGCCGCGACCTTGGTCTACACACCGGTGCAGAAGCGCCGTGCCGTCGTCATCCTTGGAGCTTGGTGAAGCCCCGTGCTGCAAGAGCAGGTTGACCACGTCTTCGACGTCGTGCTTGCTCTTACGCTTGTCTAGCGCTGCCAGGACGAGCGGCCTCCCCGTGAGATCCTTTGACTCCGCCGCGGCGCCGTTTCGGAGCAGGAGCTCAAGCCACGGTGTTGTGGGAGTGTCACCCAGCACGCAACGTGCAAAGTACGGCTGGCCATATGAGTCCACCTGACCCGCGAGACTCGCCCCACCGGCGGCCTTGTCTGCCAGCAAGAGTTCTGCGATGGGCATGTTTAATGTCTCGACGGCGTGGTAAAGCGCAGGCTTATTGCGGTTGCCGCTGCTGAAACTTGAGCCGGCATTGTCGCAGACGCTCGGGTCCGCCCGGGCCTCGCTGCTCAGCAGAAATCGCACAGCTTCTGCCTGGTCCGCAAGCACAGCGCATATGAGCGCCGTGTAGCCCTGCTCGTTCCGCCCATTGACGTTGACACCACCCTGTGCCACGAGGCTGCGCATCTGCGCCACCTCGCCCCGAATCGCAGCCTCGCAGAGTGCGACCACAAGAGGCTCGGGCTTGGGGCGTAGCGCATTGGCCACGGAGCGCAACGGGCCGGTGATGCTGCCAAACAGCTTCTTGTTGCCGTGTGGCGGAGACGGCGGTTTGGTCAACACGCCCTTTTTCTTCTCGCTTCCCTTCTCTTCACCACTGTGATACGCCGGCGACGGTGGAGCGTAGGCTGGAACCTCGCCCTCTGCCTTGCCTCGCTTACTGTCCCATTCCTCGAATTTCGAGCCTGTAGAGTCCGGCGCGGCCTCGAATGGCGGCGGCTGGCCCCGTGCGTCTGAGGGCGCCTGCAGCTCGTACAGTGGGGGTGTGGTCTCGATCGCATCGTTGTCCGTGTCAAGCAGGGACATGGGTGGAGCCGTCGCTCGAAATGTCAGAGGCTGGGTGGCATTGACAAGGCCGCCATCGAGAAGGATGCCGCCAGAGCTGGACACGTCGGAGCACGCGCTGGACACTCGGGCCAAAAGGGTGTCGACATCTGCGGCAACACGGGTCGTATTCGCTTGTTGTTGTGATCTATATCAGTAGCACAGAGGTCAGCGGATTGGCATCATAAATCAACGCGGTGAGGCCGAGTAACATACCTTGTCAGCATCGACGCCATAAGGCCAAAGAAGCTCGCCGCCACCGCCGCAAAGTGGTCGTATGTGAGTAGCGCCGCGAGGCTGAGCTGTTGTGGCGACGTGCCGCGATCCAGGCGCATGAGCTGCTTGACGAGTGTGGCGACGGCGGCATCGCAGCCCGGGAGGCCGGTTGCAAGGGCGTCATGCGCGTTCTGTGATGAAGCATTGCGGTTGAGTACATCGCGGAGCTCAGTCGCAGCAGTGGCGAGCTGGCGCAGCTTGGCCGTGAGGCCCTGCAAAGTCTGCAGCTCCGTAGGCAGACTCGTTGTGTTGATGTTGTTGCGGGAGAGGATGCTGTCTTCGATCTCGGTGGCGCCGGTCGAAGCCTGGCGGGCAATGCTCGCACAGGCGACGCCAAGTGTAGAGTGTGATGATGCCGTCATTCCGTGTGATGGCAGCTCCAGACAAGTAGTAGAGAGCCCTGGCGGTGTGGTAATGGACAAGGGACGCTGATGTCGGGTCTGGTTCTTCTCTTATTGTGTTGGAGGTTGTTACGTCGATCAAGTAGAGGCTGTTGTAATGTTCGTTCTTTGTGATGTCTGGTTCAAGTGGCTCTTTAAAAGTTGCTCCTTCTTCACAATAGATATAGCGCCCCTCAATGCAATCCCGGAATGTGGCAGCCTAACCCGGTGACATCAGAGGTGTTGGCAGTCCAAGCAAACATGAGGGGCAGACGGACGGGGATCGCGGCAGTGCCGATCGGAGGCTTGCGTGTTTGCCATGTCTGGGACACAATCGCATGAGATTGCCGACCAGGGATCCCCATGGTCATCTTGTTGCCTGAGGCTGCGCCTGTCTTGGCAAGGCGGGGGCAGTTTGTGTCCTGTGACGCTCTTAAACCCAGCGTGCTGCATTGCTTGACTTTTTGCACTAACTGTGCCATGCCAAAGTTAGAGGCCGCCAGAAACTGCGACTGCTGCCTCTGTGCAAGCAAGGTGCGACATCCTCTCTACGCTTTCGCCGCTCTCCTTGCCTCTCCCGGCGGGCACTGTTGTTATTACTGACCTCCTGACCTCACGTAATAATCCCTGCCCCATCGACTCACGTAATTCTCTTATCCTGCAAACTTACTACCGACCAACGTAGGGCTGCATGCACTAACCCCTGTAATATTACGTGGTACGCTAATCTTTGCAAATTGCGCCAATCACAACCGCCCTTCGGGCCCCTCCCGCGCGCGATACTTGCAATTACTCCTTCGGGAAGGTCCCATACTTACCCCAGATGGACCAATTAGCGCCGTGCAACTAAACTGCTGCCTTAATTGCGCGCGTTCCATGTCTCACAGCGTGGTGGCGCAGGGGAAGAGCTGCCTCATTGACGCTCACGTGGAGATATCTAGCATGTAATGTGGCGGGTAGGCAGCGAGCAAGTCTTTATACACATGTAGAGTTCACAGTTATGTCATGCAACCGGGGATGGCAGATTGTGCCACCCCGGCCCAGACGCGCCCCGTGATAGAAGATCCAGGAACGTAACAGGTGGGCATCACCCCACATCCATGCCCACGACGTTGGGGGCATTCATATGACTTGACTCAAGGTCGCATGATGGGAGGAGTCATTACACGGACATCCACAGAATGTTGTCGCAAATCAAACCATGTTTTGTGAATTGTTCTAGAATTAACTATGAATAAAACGAAAATGAAAACATAAAACCCTCCCGCAATGTAAAAAGCAACAACGTAGTGCCATTCTATGTTGCTTTTACTTACATATCCACCAGCAGTGCAGATAGAGACCAGAATTGAGATACCGCTAGACGTGAAATGAAATTGAAAATGCATGGGAAACAAGCGAAAGACAAAGGAAACTGATAAAGGTTAAATAAAAACCTCTGGCCATCGACGGTCCCGTTCCCACCTCCTGAATCGTGAGGAGATCTGGTATAGGCCAGCCCACGATGTAACATTGTCATAAGTTCCAGGCTCCTCTTTTTTTTTTTTTTTTTTTTTTTTGGTGGTTGTTTTTGTGGTTCCGATAGTGTGTAGATTTACGCCTCTTGCGTGCGGCGTTTCTTGTCGCGCTTCTGGCGCTGCGCCGACGAAGACGATGACTGCTTCTCGGCCGCGGCAGTGAGCTGTGTCAGGGTATGGGCGAACCTGCTGACCACGCCCTGGAGCTGGCGCTCGTTGAGCGCGCGGGCGTCGTAGGTGGTGACGAGCTTGACCTTGGTCGCATAGACGACGCACTGCAGGACGAGAGGGTAGTTGAAGTAGCCCTCCATCTCGGTGGCGAGGCCTTGTGCGTTGTGCCTAACGGGGATCAGGACGGATGCCTCGTCGCTGTTGTTGCTGGTGATGTCGCCATCGTCGCCAGGATCGCCCAGGTGCTGCGCCGGCTGAACAACCATGAGACTGCTGAACGCACAGGCCTCACGGGCGGCCTCGCTGAGTCGCGAGATGTTGCGCAGGCCGTACTGCTCAAACGCCGTCATCTCGCTCGCCTGCGCCTGCACATCGCGCAGCAGCTTGCCGACAGACTTGCTGCCGTCCAGGCGGATGCGCACAGGCACAGTAGCCACCGCCGGGCCGGCCATGCGCTCGATGCCGGGCACGGGGCACTGGCGGCCGGACACACTCGTGCCGAAGCACACGTCCTTGGTGTCGCAGTAGCGGCCGAGCACGACTGCCCATGCGGCGCGGAGGAGTGTCGCCTTGGTGATGCCCCCAGTCTTGTGGTTCTCGGGAGACAGGTCGAGCATCGCCTCGTGGATGCGTGTGCTGCCGGTAGTGGATGTCGAAGAGGCAGGAGGCACACGGGGGAACGATGCTGGTCGGGCACCCTCGAGCTGCTGGCTCCAGTATTCGGCGGCGGCGTCTTCGCTCAGCTGCGTGGTGTAGTTGACAAAGCGCGAGTATGGCTGCAGTGGCGCCACCACGACCCCTTCGCCCTCGTAGAATCCTCGCAGCTTCTCGAGCACAAGACTCATACTCCAGCCGTCAAACACGGCGTGGTGGATGGCCAATGTGAAAAGGCGTGCTTCTCCATCCTCGATCAGTGCGTACCGGCACAGCCGCGAGCCGTAGCCCATGGTCATGCCAGGATCCAGTGTGGTGGCGCCTGGAGCTAATGTGTCCCACTCCGCTGGGCCCCTGAGCACGCCCTGGTACGACTTGCCCTCGTGCAGGACAACGCGAGTGCGCAGGGACTCGCAGGCCTCGACCGTACGTTCCCAAGCTGCCCGGAGGCGGTCGAGGTCGGCCGAGCCAGAGACCCGGTAGGTGTACCGCGCAATGTAAGAGCCGGGCTGCTTGACGGCGAGCGCCATGAGACCCTCTTGCAGTGGTGTGCAAGGGTAGATGTCCTCGATAGTGTCGGTCATGTTGTCATCGCTGTCGCCTTGAAGTCTGCACTCGCGGGCCATGGCGGCACGTAGCTCGTCCACCTGGTCCGCTGGCACCAGACTGAATGGAGTCGTCTCGTATGTGGCACTCCTGGATCCTTGTTCTTGTCCCGAGTGATTCGTGGTGGCCCTGGCGGCTACCGCCGAGAGTCTTGGGTCCGTGAAGATGTCGTGCACCGTTAGCTCGACGCCAACCTCGCGAGCCTCTTGGACGACTTGGATGGCGCTGATCGAGTCGCCGCCCATGAGCAAGAAGTTGTCGTGGCGTCCAATACGAGCCTGGTCCATCCGCACAACCTTGGCCCAGATGTCGCGCAGCTTGAGCTCCGTCTCGGTCCAGGCTGCAGTTGTGGTCGTGGTCTCGGTGCCGTTGCTGCCGTCGTCTATGTTCGTAGCGTAGGAGACGAGCTGCTCCTGCGTCAGCGCGTTGGCGATCCGCCGGAGCTCGCCACGATTCAGCTTCATGGACGCCGTCTGGAAGGGCATGGTTCTGAGAGGCATGAAGTAGCTGGGCACCATGTAGGCGGGTAGGCAGGTCCTCAGGTGGTCCGCAATGGCGGCCAGGGTCTTGCGGATTGTCTTTGTGCTGGCCAACAAGACACTATCGTCATCCTGTGTGACTTCTTCTTCTGCTGCAGAGATGTCTGCGAAGTTGACGAGAGCGACAAGCCACTCGCGTCCTGCTTCTTCTTTGACGAGATCAACAGCCACGTGCTGCACTGTCAGCGCGCCGGGGTTGCTGTGCTTGATGACGTGCTCGATGGCACCCAACTCGATGCGCTGTCCACGCAGCTTGATCTGCGTGTCCTTGCGGCCAAGGTACTCCAGGGTTCCGTCGGTCTTGTATCTGACCAGATCACCCGTCCTGTAGAAACGCTGACCGTCGCTTTTGTCATTGGGGAACGACAGCCAGGGCGCGCTCTCGAGGAAGACGCGCGCCGTCTCCTCAGGCTGACCTGCGTATCCGCGCGCAAGGGAGTGACCCTGGATGACCAGCTCGCCAACGCAGCCGACAGGGCTCAGGCGAACGTTGTCGTCGTGCTGGTCCACGATCCAACACTTGCCGCTCACACCTCTGCCGATTGTACCTGGAGCCTCGTCGCGAGACTGGTAGGTGTAAGCGCAAGAGAAGATGACCGTCTCGGTAGGTCCATAGCCGTTGATGAGGTTGGGAATACGGCCGAACCATGACTCGAGGTTCTGCTTCGTGGGCGCCTCGCCACCAAGAACCAGAGTCTGGAGATGGGGCACATCCTGTGGCCCGAAAGTCCTTGCGAACGAAGGGGTCAGGAAGGCAGTTGTCACTCTGGCATGGTTAATGAATCCTGCAATGTTCTGCAGGCGATCCGCGTCAGACGGTATGCACACTGCACCACCGTGGGTCAGGGTAGTGAAGATCTCTGCGAGTGATACGTCAAAGGCAAAGTTGGAGAACTGCAGAACTCGCGAGTCCTCCCCAACTTTGAAAACGTGAGACTGGGCCCGCACACTTGTGCACAAGGCGGCGTGGTCGACGAGGATGGTTTTGGGCTTGCCCGTAGATCCAGAGGTAAAGATGGCATAGGCAATATTGGACCCTGTGACTGACACAGTGTGGGATGGATCAGCCAAGGGCTCGGGAACAGCTGTCCTTTGCAGCGTAGTTGACTGGTCCGAGAGCTCTACCAAGTGCGTAGTCAGACCTCTGCACGAGTGTGCCATTGACGCCGAAGTAAGCATGACAGTCGCCTTAGCTTCGGTGACTAGATCTCTGCGGCGAGAAGCCGGATGCGTCGGGTCGATTGGGGTGAACGCGCCGCCTGCCTTCTGGATGGCCAGCATGGCGACAATGGCCCATTTCGACTTCTCAAAGCATATAGGGACCAGTGATTCGGGCCTCACACCTAGGTGGACGAGATGCGTGGCAACTTGAGAGGAGAGCTTGTCCAGCTCTGCATAGGTAAAGGCACCATCCCATGCAAAGACTGCTTGGCTCTCAGGGGCCCGAGCAGCGCGTTCGGAGATCAGAGTGTGCACGCACGTGTCGAATCGAGTTGTGTCTGTCGTAGCGTTCCATCTCGTGGCGAGGGCGAGATCCCAGTCTCCAGCAACAGAGACTGCTCCCAGAGCTGACGAGCCATTTTGAATGTGTGTCAGCTGCTGGGTGACATTGTCGAGGTGGGCGGTCAGGGCATCGAGCTTCTCCGATGAGATGTAGTTCGTGTCGTAGTTGAAGACAATGTCGACGCGGTTCTTGTAGGTGACAGCCTGGAGCACGAGCGGGTAGTTGAAATAACCTTCCATCGGCTCGGCTGAGCCAAGGCTGTCGGGAGAGACTGGTGACAGCAAGTTGTCTGATGCCTGGCCTGCCGAGTCCGTCGTAGCCGGACTCTGTCCTGGCTGGATGATGACAAGACTGCCAAAGTGGCAGGCAGCCTTGGCGCTTGTGGACAGTTTGGCTATCCTCTGGAGGCCAAACTGCTCGAAGGGCACCATCTCGGATGCCTGTGTCTGCATGGTATGCAGGAAGTCCGTCGTGGTCTGCTTGCGATCGATGCGGACGCGCACTGGGACAGTAGCAATGGACGGGCCAGCTATTCTCTCGATGCCAGGCACTGCCGCGTGTCTTCCCGCGACAGAGGTGCCGAACAAGATGTCTTCGGTCTCGGAGTACCTGGCCAACACAATAGCCCATGCAGCTTTCAGTATTGTCGCATCCGTGATTGACGAATCAGCCGGCTTCGTGTACGTGATTGACTTGCTCAGAGACCGGTTGCTGGACGTCTTAGCGGGCGAGGTGGCGTGGCTGCGTTCTTCTGGGAATGACGCCCGCTGCGCGCCTTCGAGCTGCGCAGTCCAGTAGTCTGCCGCGGCAGCCAAGTCGAGCTGAGTGGTGTAGTTGACGAAGCTCGAGAAGGGTTCCATCACGATTGGTGTCGCGGCATCGAGGCCGTCGTAGTAGCTTTGCAGCGCCTGGAGGATCAGGCCATTGCTCCAGCCATCGAAGATTGCGTGGTGCAGGACCAGGACAAAGTAGTTGTTCCCGTCGTCCTTATCTGACACGAGTGCATAGCGGCACAGAGGAGTACCGTACTGCACACCCTTGGCCGTGATGGCTTGCAAAGTGACTGCGAGTCCTTCTTGGTGGACCGTTTCCCATACCGGGTCACTGCGGATGACTGCCTGTATGGAGATGCCGTTGCGGACAATGATCCGCGTTCGCAAGCTCTCGCATGCCTGCAAAGTACTTGCCCAAGCATCACGGAACCGATCTAGGTTGACAGAGGCAGGGAGCTGGTAGACCTGTTTAGCGACATACGAGCCGGGCTGCTTGACCGAGAGTGCCATGAGGCCTTCCTGCAGGGCTGTGCATGGGTATGCATCCTCGATATTGTCAACGTCAGCCAGGCTGCAGTCGCGAGCTATGCCAGTGCGGATCTCATGGACCTCGTCCGCGGGCAACAGGCTGAAGGGATCAGTCTTATACGACTGCCCGCTGCCGATCGTGGTCCTCGCTGCAACAGCAGAGAGTCGAGGATTGGCAAAGATGTCCTGGACGCTTAAAGCCAGGCCCATCTCGTGTGCTGTGGTCACCACGTGGATGGCGGTAATGGAGTCACCGCCAAGCTGGAGGAAACTGCTGTGACGACCAATCTGCTCGGGTGCCAGCATGAGCACCTTGGACCACACAGTCTGCATCTTGGCCTCCATGGCTGTGGCCGGAGCAACGACCTCCTCGTTGGTGGCCAGAGCATAGCTGAGTAGCTTCTCTTGAGGGAGGTCGTGTCCGAGTTTGCGGAGACGAGACCTATCCAACTTCATTGACGCCTGGAAGGGCATTCGCGAAAGCGGGATGAATAGTGTCGGCAGCATGTAGGACGGGAGTTGCTGGCTGATTTGCTCCAACACGTCTTGGAAGCGCCTGGTGTAACCACTGTTCATTGGCAGTGTAAGGTCATCAGCTGTGGTGGCAGACTCCTGTTCATCTGTGATGAACTTGACAAATGCCACAAGCCACTCCCGGGAGCCTTGCTTGACCACGTCGACAGCCGCATATTGTACCTCAGCATCGAAGCTCTTGATGCTGTGTTCAATAGCACCCAGCTCGATGCGTTGTCCACGGAGCTTGATCTGAGTGTCTTTCCGGCCAAGATACTCGATGCTGCCGTCGGGCATGTACCGGACCAAGTCGCCTGTCGCGTAAAACCTCAGGGCATCATCTGCCACTAGGGAGCTCGTCGGAGCCCACTCGATAGCGTCCGGGAAACTTTGTGCCGTTAGTTTGGGGTTGTTGGCATAGCCGCGAGCAAGGGCGTGACTCTGGATCAGCAATTCGCCAATGCAGCCAATGGGGGCGAGGCGGCGTCGGCTGTCGTCCACATTGACGATCCAGAAGTTCGACATGACGCCCTTGCCGATCAAGGTGGCCAGCTCATCGGGGTGCTTGTAGGTGTGGGTTGCACAGTAGATGACTGCCTCTGCCGGCCCGTATGCGTTGGTGAGGTCGACATGGCCGACCCAGGTCTGCACAACCTGCTGCGTCGGAGCCTCTCCCACCAGGAGCAGAGTCTTGAGTGAAGGCACATCTGCTGGTTTGAGGGTGGTGAGGAATGAGGCCGTCAGCATCGCAACGTTGGTCTGCGATGCTTCCATAAAGGCAGCCAGGCCCTGCAGTCTCTGTGCTTCGGAGGGTATGCATATCGTGCCTCCGAACGCCAGCGTCTCGAAAATCTCACCCAAACTGATGTCGAACACGAAGCTCGAGTACTGGAGCACGCGAGAGGAGCTAGTCATATTGTGCTCGATGCCATTGCGGATCGCACTGGTGCTGAGAGCAGAGTGCTCAACGACAATTGTCTTGGGCTTTCCTGTAGAGCCAGAGGTGAAAATGGCATATGCGGCGTTTCCGGGTGTTGGCTTTGCATGGTTTGCCGCGGTGTCATTGCTCTGGGACGCCAGCTCAGTCATGAACGACTCGGACAGGATAACCAGCTGCGGTACAAGGTCCTCGCAGACTGCGGATGTCGTAGAGGACGCCACGATGCAGTGTGCCTTCGTGTCACTGACCAGTGCCTGGCGTCTGGCCAGCGGGTGCGATGGATCGAGGGGCACAAAGGCACCGCCAGCCTGCAGCACGGCAAGCATGGCGACAATAGCCCAGCGCGACTTGTCGAAGCAGATGGGGACGAGTACCTCTGGCCCGACACCTAGGTGAACAAGCTTGCGCGCGAGTATCGCTGCTTGGCGGTGCAGATCGGCATAGCTCAGTGTGCCGTCCCAGGCGTGTACAGCTTCATGATCGGGTGTCTGCGCGGCTCGCTCTGCTACCAGGTCGTGGATGCAGGCATCGACCTTGGTGGTATCAGCCGACGCGTTCCACTTCTTGGCCTGCTCGAAATCCCAATTGCCCGCCACGGACACGGCGCTGACTGGTTCGGCAGATGCAGCAAGCAGCTGGCGCACGACGTTGTCAAGGTGGTGTGTGAGTGCCTCGAGCACCTCGGGCGATAGGACCGTGTCGTCATAGGCAAAGTCGAGCTCAATGCGATCATTGTGTGTCACGGCTTGCAGGACGAGGGGGTAGTTGAAGTAGCCCCCGCTCTTCTCGTCCAGGGTCTCGGACGCCGTCTGGTCCAGAGGCCAGAAGACTGCATCATCGCTGGCCGTGGAATCTTGGGATGCGGGCTGGATGATCAGCAGGTTGGCAAAGTCGCAGACTTCACGTGCGGTGGCACTCAGCTTGCTGATGTTCTGGATACCGAACTGTTCAAACTCAACCATGTTGGACAGCTGAGACTGCACATTTGCAAGCAGCTCGGCAACTGACCGCTGGTCTTCATGGTCGCCTTGGCCGAAGCGAAGGCGCACAGGCACGGTTGCCACAGCAGGGCCAACCATGCTTTCAACGCCAGCAATGGGTGCCTGGCGGCCAGAGACGGTCATGCCAAAGCAGATGTCGTCAGTGTTGCAGTAACGTGCCAGAACCATACCCCAGGCCGTCTGGAGGACTGTCGCGACCGTGATGGTGGTGTCAGCCCGCTGTGCCGGCAGCGAAATTGTAGAGTTGAGTATTCTCGTAGATCTCGCCTGGCCAGTCTGTGCAATTGCATTGTGGTTTGCTGCTGGGAAGGACGCCCGCGTGGCGCCGTCCAGCTGCTGCATCCAGTACTCAGAGGCGGCAGCTGAGTCGATCTCGGCGGTGTACTTGACAAAGCCGGCATAGGGTTCGAGCGCCGGGGCCGAGTTGGACAGGTAGATCTCGCGCATTGAGGCCAGAAGGAGACCTGTACTCCAGCCGTCAAACGCGGCGTGATGCATTATCAGGACCAGGTAGCAATGTCCCGAGGGTTCTTGAACCAGTGCATGGCGGCAGAGAGGCGATCCATACTGCATGGTGATCTTGCCACTCGACTCGAGTACTTCGGCGAGTGCCAGCCCCTCTGTGGCTTCCCAGACAGCTGGCTCGTTGACAATGACTTGCACTGATCGACCGCCGTGGGGGATAATGCGCGCGCGAAGGGTCGCAGACGATGCCAAGGTCTGCTCCACCGCGCTCTTGAACTTGATGATGTCCACGGAAGGCGCAAGACGGTAGACGTACTTGGCCACATATGATCCCGGTTGCTTCATCGACAAAGCCATGAGACCCTCTTGCAGAGCTGTACAAGGGTAGGCGTCTTCGATGACCTGCTCGCTTTGAAGCCCACAGGCCCATACTGCAGCAGACTTGAACTCGTTCACAGCTTCTTCATTGGCGGACAGAAGGCTGAACGGCTGGATGTGATTGTCGCGATCGTCTGCAATAGTGATCGCCTTGGCTGCCACTGCACTGAGACGAGGATCCTGGAAGATGTCGCGCACTAGCAGAGACAAGCCAGCATCCCGCGCAATGGCGACGACCTGAATGGCCCGAATAGAGTCACCGCCGATCTGGAGGAAATTGTCGTGGCGACCAATATCCTCTGGACTCATACGCAAGACTGTTGCCCAGATGTCCCGGATGCGGAACTCGGTGTCGGTCTCAAGGGCGACCTTTTCGTCATTCACAAGCGAGTATGTGAGGAGCTGGTCCTTGGTAAGCTGCGTGGCGAGTCGGCATAGCTCAACCCTGTTGAGTTTCATAGAAGTCAACAGGGGCATTTGACGAAGAGGGAGGAACACGCTCGGCACCATGTAGCCCGGCAGACGCTCCTTGAGGCTCTGTGCGGCTGCGGCCAAGGCCAACTTGAGCTTATCGTCCAGAGGCAACAGCCACTGATCGTCACTGTCGTGTTGGCCTCCTCTGGGTAGCCTTGTGTTCTCATCGTCGTTGTCATCTTGCGCCATGCTGAACATGGCCAAGAGTTGCTCATGCGAGTTTTCGTCGCGCAAGACTTGGACAGCCGCATGCACCACACCAGGCATGTGAAGCTTGAGGTTGTATTCGATTTCTCCGAGCTCGATACGGAAGCCGCGGACCTTGACCTGAGAGTCCCTGCGGCCCAGGTACTCGATGGTGCCGTCAAAGTTGTAGCGAACGATGTCGCCCGTCCGGTAGAACTTGCGTGTGTCCTCTTCTTCTGTGGAGAATGGCAGCCACGAGACGCTCTTGAGGAAGGAAGCCTGCGTGTGAGTTGCGTCGTTCAGGTATCCCCGAGCCATCTGGCGCTGGACCACGAGCTCACCAGTGCACCCGATGGGCGCGAGGACCTCGTGGTTTGACTCGTCCACGATCCAGCATGCGCTGCCAAAAGGTCTGCCAACGGTTGTGGGAGGCTCGTGGACCGAAGTGTACACGTGTGACGTGCAGAAGACGGAAATCTCGGAAGGTCCATATGCGTTGGCCAATGTGACCCGACCACCAGGAAGCCAAGTCTCTAGAATGTCTTTTGCAGGAGGCTCTCCCACAAGGATGACGAGCTCCAGGCTAGGGACAAGGGCTGGGGTGAGAGTTCTCAGGAAGGTGGACGTCAGAAGAGCCGTATTTACGGCGTTGTTGCGGACGAAAGAGGAGATGTCCTCCAGCCGCTGGGCTTCTGACGGCACACAGATGGTACCACCAAAGATAAGCGTCTCGAATATCTCACTCAAGCTGACGTCAAAGACGTAGCTGGAGAATTGCAGCACGCGCGAGTGTCTGCCAAAGTGGTATGCGCGATCTCGTCCAACCATCGACGTCGAAAGAGCCGAATGTTCGACGACAATAGTTTTGGGCCGACCTGTAGAGCCAGAAGTGAAGATGACGTAGGCAACATTTGCTGGTGTGGCATCCGAGATATTGTCGAGAGTCTGCAGGTCAACTGTAGTTGCGAGGCCAGACATGTGCTCAGCAGAAAGTAGTACAACTGTTGCCGAGAGTTCTTCACAAGTGGAGGCCGTGGATGGGGATGCAAGGATAATCTTTGCCTGAGTCTCAGCGACAAGCATGCGCCGCCGCTCGAGGGGGTGTGATGGATCCAAGGGCACGAAGGCTGCGCCCGCCTTCAGTATGCCCATCATGGCCACGATGGCCCAGGCAGACTTTTCGAAGCAGACAGGCACCATGGTTTCAGGGCCGAGAGCAAACTCGTCCACCAGATGTGCGGCTAGTTGATTTGCCATGCGATCGAGCTCGGCGTACGTGAAAGTTCCATCCCAGGAGCAGATAGCTTCATGGTCAGGCGTACGGGCGACTTGTTCAGCGAAAAGGTCGTGGATGCAAGCCAGGACAGGCGACGAGTCCGCCGTGTTCCAGCGAGTAGCTTGTTCCAGATCCCAGGCTCCAGAGACTGTGACATTGGCAAGCGTGGCATCGTCCGCAACTTCGCAGGAGCGTAGCTGTTGGACAACGTGTTCGAGATGGCGCGCCAATGCCTCGAGTCTCTGTTCACACACGACAGCTGAGTTATACGTGAACACCAAGTCAACATGGTCTGTGAATGTGAGAGCCTGCAGCACCAAGGGGTAGCTGAAATAGCCATCCATAGCACCATGGGCTTCGTCGTCGGTCGAGTTGTCAGAGACCAATAGGCTGCCTGTTTCTGTTGATGAGGCAGCCTGGCCTGGTTGCACAATCATCAGACTGTCAAAGTCGCATGCATCCCTGGCGTCTTTGCTCAGTCTGGAGATGTTCTGAAGACCATACTGCTCGTAGGCCACCATTTCTGACGCTTGAGATTGAACCGCACCAAGGAAAGCGGCGACGGATTGTTGTGAGTCGAGTCTCAGGCGGATGGGAACGGTCGCCACGGTCGGTCCAGCCATTCTCTCAATCCCAGCCACCGGAGCGTGCCGGCCAGCAACGGTGGTGCCAAAGGTAATGTCGTCCATCTTGCTGTAACAGCCAAGGACTATTGCCCATGCAGCTCGCATGATGGTCGCCTTGGTTATGGAGAATGAAGACGATGCCTGCGGCAATGTGATTGACCTCTGCATGACCTTTGTCTCTGCTCCGCTAGTGGCAGTGACGCTTTCGTTGTGCACCACTTGCGGGAATGTAGCGCGTCGCGCGCCACTGAGCTGTGTTGTCCAGTAGTCTGCTGCGGCCACATGGTCAATCTCACGGATGTGATTGACGAAGCTGGAATACGGCTCCAAGGCCGGGACGGCGGTGTTGTTGTATGACGCCTGAAGAGTCTCTAGCATCAGGCCCATGCTCCATCCGTCAAAAATGGCGTGGTGCATCACAAGGATGAAGTAGTAGTGTGCATCTCCATCATCCTCAGGGATGGGCACGAGGGCGTATCGGCACAAGGGCGAGCCATACTGCATATCCAGGCCGGCGACATAGTCAAGAGCCACTGCCGTCGTTGGCTTTTGTGTGCGGCTGCCGCGAGGAACATCCTCCCAAGCTGACGGCTCGCAGAGGACGATCTGGTAAGAAGCATCGTCGTACGTAACGATGCGTGTCCGCAGGTTTTCGTTGAGTCGTACCGTCTGCTCCCAGGCTGTCTGGAATCGAGCAATGTCGACACCCGCAGCAAGCTTGTAGATGTGCTTGGCGATGTACGACCCTGGCTGTTTGGCGGTCAAGGCCATGAGGCCTTCTTGCAGGGAGGTACAGGGGTAGACATCCTCGAGGGCATTTCTCTCCACACTGCACGCTGTCGAAAGTGCAGTGCAGAGTGTCTCTGGATCGTCCTTTGCTGATGAGAGTAGCCCAAATCGTTCAATGCGCTTTGAGGGAGCTCCGGAGCTGGCGAGGGTGCAGGCAGCGACGGCCCAGAGCTGGCCGTTGCTGAAGATTTCGTGCACCGTAAGAGAGTAACCAAGTTCGCGCACAAGAGTCACGACCTGGATCGCACTAATTGAGTCTCCGCCGATCTCGAGGAAGAAGTCGTCCCGGCCAATGTGCTCAATGGGCAGCATGAGAACCTGGGACCAGATCTGCTGCATGGTGCGCTCCATTTCGGTCTCGGGGGCCGTCTTTTTTGCACTTGACAGAGAGAAAGAGAGGAGCTCCTCCGCAGACATGTTGTTCATCAGGTCACGAAGCTTGGACCTGTGAAGCTTCATGGAGGTTTGGAACGGCATCCGGCTGAGTGGGACATAGTACGAAGGTACCATGTAAGCGGGCAGCTGCCGCTTCAGATCGCTGGCCAGCTCGGTGAACAGCTTGCGCAGTTGCTGGGTCATTGAAATCGGCTCATCTGAAGCTTTCGCATCATCGCGAATGTCGTGCAAGGTGAGGAATGCGACCAGAGACTCCTGAGCGCCACGCTTGAGAACATCGACGGCAGCATGCGAGAGCAGTGGCTGCGAAGCAGTCATGGTGTACTCAATTGCGCCTAGCTCGATTCGCTGGCCATGAAGCTTGACTTGTGTATCGCGGCGGCCGAGATATTCGAGTGTGCCATCAGCGTTATACCGGCACAGATCGCCGGTCCGGTAGAAGCGTTGGTTGTCGGCCGTTGGTGGCAAGAAGTCAAGTGCTGTCAGGAACGAGCGTGCCGTTACCTCCGGGTCGTTGGCATATCCACGCGCCAGGGCATGTCCCTGGACGACAAGCTCGCCCACGCAGCCAATTGGGGCGAGCTGGTGGCAGTTGTCCTTGTCCACGACCCAGAAGTTGCCAGTGAGGCCACGACCGATACTGGTCGGGTTCTCATCCCGGGAGGTGTAAGTGTGAGCCGCGCAGTAAATGCATGACTCTGCGGGGCCATAGGCGTTGACCACCTTGACGTGGCCGACCCAGGTCTGGATAGTTTCCCTTTGCGGAGCTTCACCAACGAGCAATAGGAGCTCGAGAGAAGGCACATCTGCAGGCTTGAGGGTCTTGAGGAAGCTTGCAGTAAGCATGGCCGTGTTGGTACGAGACTCCTCCATGAACCTCGCGACACCGTCAAGGCGTTGGGTTTCTGTGGGAATGCAGATGACACCGCCAAAGGCAAGGACCTCGAAGATCTCTCCTAGAGAGATATCAAACACGAAACTGGAGTACTGCAAGACGCGCGACGTCGAGGTGATGTCGTGGTCGGCCCCGTTTTTCATAATACTCGTGGCAAAAGCGACGTGTTCCATGACAATTGTCTTGGGTCGACCTGTGGATCCTGAGGTGAAGATGGCGTAGGCAGCTTGAGAAGGTACAGATGTTGGGAGAGCACGGTGCTTGCTCGATGCACTCCGAGAGGAGGCCAGAGTAGTCATGGTAGCTTCGGACACTTCAAACAGCAGGTCAGTCAGGCCATGGCAAGACTCTGCCATGTCTGCGGACGTGATGATTAGCTTGGATCGTGTCTCTTCCACCAGAGTCCTTCGCCGGTCCGCAGGGTGAGAGGGGTCCAATGGCACGAATGCGCTTCCGGCTTTGAGAATGGCAAGCATCGTGACGATCGCCCATCTTGACTTCTCAAAGCAGATCGGGATGAAAATTTCCGGACCCACGACATCAAGCTGTATAAGGTGGTGAGCCAGCATGGTCGACAGCTCATCCAGCTCGGCATAGGTGAAGCTCCCATCCGAGGAATATACTGCTTCATTTCCAGGGATGAGAGCCGCCTTCTTTGAAATCAAATCGTGGACACAGGCCTCCACAGCCGAAGTGTCGGCGATGTTCCACTCTTGTGCGCGCTGGAGGTCCCATTGACTGGCAACCGACAGTGTGCGCATAGGAGAGTCTCTGTGTGCCAATAACTGGTCAACAACATGGCTGAGGTGCTTGCTGAGCGCCAACAGCTGGTCGTTCGAAAGAGAAGCTTCATCGTAAGTGAAGCCCAGATCGACGCGATCCTCGTGTGTGACAGCCTGCAGAACCAAAGGGTAGTTGAAGTATCCTTCAAGGGCATCCAATGAGTCAGATGCCAGCTGTTCCAACATGGGGCTGGAACCTGGACCGTCGTTGATTTGAGAGATCGTCGATGAAGCAGGTTGAACGATCAAAAGACTGTTGAAATCGCAAGCCTTCCTTGCATCATCAGTGAGCTTGGCGATATTGCGCAGTCCGTACTGCTCATAGGCAACTGCTTCGGAAGCTTGCAGCTGCACTGCACGAAGGAAGTTCGTGACGGACTCTTCGGGCCGCAGATAGAGACGGACTGGCACTGTAGCCACGGTAGGACCAGCCACCCTGTCGACTCCAGATAAGGCGGCATGGCGACCAGACACGGTGACACCAAAGCAGACGTCGTCAGTGTCACAGTATCGAGCTAAGACAATACCCCAAGCAGCTCTCAGAACCGTCGCGCTTGTGATGGAGTCCCGTGAGACCTTTTCGAACTGAATGCTGGTGTTGTAGACCCGAGTTGTTGTTGTAGGAGCCTCGGGCTGTCCCTCGCCATGCGTGGCGGTCAGGGTCCTTGGAGCAGGGAAGGAAGCTCGCTGTGAGCCGGCGAGCTGGTCTGTCCAGTACGTGGCTGCATCCTCTGCACTCATCTGCATGGTGTAGTTGACAAAGTCGGCAGACGAGATGAGGTCTGGCACGGGAGCACCAGCATACGAGGTGAGGAGTGTCTGCAGCATGAGGCCCATGCTCCAGCCATCAAAGACGGCATGGTGCATGACAAGGACAAAGTACGTGGCGCCGTCCTCGGTGACCAGCCCGTATCTGCACAGGCGAGATCCGTAGCTCATTTGAATTGTCTTGGTTGCGTCGAGGGCCGCGGTCAGACTGAGGCTCTGGGTGTCTTCCCAGAGAGGCGACTGCTTGACAACTGACTGGATCGTCATGTTGTTGTGCAATGTGATCCGGGTGCGCAGATTGGCACAAGCTTCAAGGGTGATCTCCCAGGCTGCTTGGAACAGCTCGATATCGACATTGCTGTGCAGGCGATACACATTGCGCGCAATGTACGAGCCAGGCTGTTTGTGGGACAATGCCATCAGGCCTTCCTGCAGAGACGTGCACGGGAAAGCATCCTCAATCTGCGATACGTCGTCAATCTGGCAGTCGTCTGCAACAGCACTGAGGAGGCTGCTCAGCTCGTCTTGAGCCAGGAGTGCAAACTTCTCGACATGGTAGTCAACCTGATCTTGACTACTGGCCATCTTGTCAGCAACAGCAGAGAGACGCGGATCAGCGAAAATATCATGCACGGTCAGTGAGCAGCCGGCTAGTTCTCGCACAGCCGTCACTACCTGAATCGCGCTGATCGAGTCGCCGCCAACCTGCAAGAAGCTGTCATGGCGGCCAATGTGGGCTGCATCGACTCGCAACACGGCGGCCCAAATGCCCCGGAGGGCTACTTCGTTTAGCGTGACGGGTGCTATCTTGTCACCTTCGGCAAGTGAGTAGCCGAGAAGCTCGTCTTCGTTCAGACCCTGCGCAATCTCGCGGAGTCTACGGCGGTTGAGCTTCATCGAAGCTGCCTGGAACGGCATTTGCCGGAGCGGGATGAAGAAGGTCGGCACCATGTAAGAAGGAAGCTGGTCCGTGATGATGCTGACGATGGTCGCAAAAGCGGCACGAAGGTCGGCCGTTGGTGCTATGAGTAGGTCCTCAGCAACATCTTGTGCCTCGGTGGAGGCGTCCGTGGCAGAGAAGTTGACGAGCGCCACGAGACGCTCCCGAGGGCCATGCTTGACAATGTCGACAGCGACATGCTCCAACAACGCAGGACCTGCAGAAGCTGCGGCCTTGATGGCACTTTCGATTGCACCCAGCTCCACACGTTGACCACGGAGCTTGATTTGCGTGTCCTTTCTGCCCACATATGTGATTGTGCCGTCAGCATTGTATCTGACCAGATCTCCTGTCTTGTACACCCGCTTCCTGTCGTCCGCGAGCGCGGCGGGGATGAAATCGAGCGATTTCAGGAACGAGCGAGACGTATTGACGGCGTCATTGGCATAACCCCGTGCCAAAGCATGACTGTGGACCACCAGCTCACCAATGGTTCCGACGGGAGCTAGCTGGTTATGGTCATTGGGCTCGACAATCCAGCAGTTGCCTGTCAGGCCCTTGCCGATGTTAATGGGCGCCTCAGCCTGAGAGGTGTAGGCGTGATAGGTGCAGTAGATGACAGTCTCCGTGGGTCCGTAGCCGTTGATGAGGCGGAAGTCTCCGTGCAGCCAGTTGTCCAGATCCTGTTGCGTGGGAGCTTCACCGCCCATCACCAGGGTCTTCAGGGAGGGGACATCCTTTGGCTTGATGGTCCTGGCAAAGGAGGGGGTAAGCATAGCCGCTGTGACCTGGGCTTCCCTCGCGAACGTTGCGATGTCCTGGAGTCGGTCAGCTTCGGACGGGACACAGACGGTTCCACCACATGACAAGGTCGTGAAAATCTCTGTGATGGCGGCATCGAACACGTAGTTCGAGAACTGCAACACCCGACTGTTCTTGTTGATGTCGTATGCACTAGCCTGGGCGCTAATGCTGGTGCACAACGCCGAGTGCTCAACCACAATTGTCTTTGGCTTGCCTGTGGAACCAGAGGTAAAGATGGCGTAGGCCGCGTTGGCTGGTGTAGCAGCGATGCTGGACGCGGATGAAGACGTCAGACCTTCCCTCTTCTCAGAGAGAACCTCGAAGAGAGCTGCAGATACCGAAAGGACGGTGTCAGCGAGACCCGAACTCGAGGGCGCCGTGCTGGGAGAGACCAGCAGAATGTGCGCATTGGCGTCCTCGATCAAGGTTCGGCGACGAGCAGTCGGATGTTCTGGGTCAACAGGGATGAAAGCGCCACCTGCCTTGAGCACGGCTAGCATGGCAACTATGGCCCATGTGGACTTCTCGAGACACAGTGGCACCATGGTTTCTGGCTGCACACCGAGCTCGACCAAGTGCGCTGCTAGGATTCCAGAGAGGCGATCCAACTCCGAGTATGTGAGGTTGCCGTCCCAAGAGTATATGGCTTGCTGGTCAGGCGTCTCACGAACCCGGCTGGCAATGATCTCTTGCACACACGTGTCTGCAACTGGTACACTGGCAGTGTTCCATTTCGCAGCCATTTGGAGGTCCCATGCGCCAGACACCTTGATACTGCCCAGCGTCTCTTCTTTGTTGGCCGTGAGCTGCTGCAGGACATTCTCGAGGTGGTGGCTTACAGCCTCGACTCGAGTGTCGGAGATGACCGCTGCGTCGTAGGTAATGACAATGTTGACGTCGTCGTCCTGTACCACAGCCTGGAGCACCAGTGGATAGTTGAAGAATCCTTGGAGGCCGTCAGAAGAATCCGACGGGAGCAGCAAAGCTCTGTCGCTGCCTTCCGAGCCATTCCCTGGCCCGGAAGCAGGTTGGATAATCATCAAGCTGGCGAAATCGCACGCCTCCCTAATTTCGGCATTCAGCTTGGCGATATTCTGCACGCCGAACTGCTCATGCGCCACCATGGATGTCGCCTGAGTCTGCACTTGCAGCAAGAAATCACTGATGAGCTGTTGGCCGTCAAGGCGCATTCTGACGGGTACTGTTGCCAGGGCTGGGCCGGCCATCCTCTCGATTCCTGCCACGGGCGCCTGCCTGCCTGAGACGGTGGTTCCGAAGCAGACATCGTCGGTGTCGCAATAGCGACCAAGAACCACTGCCCAGGCCGCGCGGAATACATTGGCTCTGGTAACGGAGTTGTCTGCCTGCTGCGCAAACGCAATGGTCCTGTCCGCGGTCCGGATGAGCTGCTTGCTGCTGTCTTGGGCAACAGGCGCTGCTGCAGTATCGGCGGTAGGGAATGAGGCCCGCTGTGCGCCGCTCAGCTGCGCCGACCAGAAACCCGCTGACGCGTCCTGGTCAAGGTCAGTGAGGTACTTGACAAAATTGGCGTAGGGCATCAAAGTCGGTAGTGAGCTGGAAGCGTCATCTTGGGCGTAGTAGAGTCTGGTCAGGGTTTCCAACATGAGACCGAAGCTCCATCCGTCAAAGATGGCGTGGTGCATGACGAGAGTGAAGCAGGGCTTGCCAGTGTCGTCTTCGGCGAGCGAGTACTGGCATAGGCGGGAACCATACTGCATCAGTGGCGAGTGCTCTGATGACTCCCACACTGCGGTCTCTGCAATGATGGCCTGCAGGGTGACACCGTTGCGGAATATGATCCTCGTGCGAAGATTGCTGCACGTGGCCATTGTGTCCTCCCAGGCCTGCTTGAACCGCGCCACGTCGACGTCGCCTGCCAGGCGGTACGAATGTGTCGCGATGTATGATCCGGGCTGCTTGACCGTGAGGGCCATCAGGCCCTCCTGGAGAGGCGTGCAGGGGAACACGTCCTCTATCACTTGGCCTGGCTCAAGCTCACACAGATGAGCTACATCGTTCTTGATGGTATCGATGCTGACTCCACTAGGCAGAAGGCTGAATGGCTCATGGTCTTCATGCTCGTTGCGGAGTCCTGCACTCGTCTTGAGGGCGATTGCGGATAAGCGAGCATCGATAAAGATGTCGTGCACCGTGAGAGACAAGCCCAGGGAGCTCAGCGCAGTGACGACGTGGATTGCACTGATTGAATCGCCACCGATCTGGAGGAAGCTGTCGTGGCGCCCAATAGTATCGACGTCGATGTCTAGTACTCTGGCCCAGATATCCCGAAGGACAATCTCCAGGTCCGTGACGGGGGCTACCTTCTCGACATCCTGGGACAGTGAGTACCGTTGGAAGTCCTCCTGGCTCAAGCCGTTGGCTATGACCTGTAGTTCTGCTCGGTGCAGCTTCATAGAGGACTGAAAAGGCATTGCCTTGAGGGGCACGAACAGGGACGGGACCATGTATCCAGGCAGCTGTTGGTGTAGGTCTGCTGCGAGCTTGCTCAGCAGTTCTCGTCGGGAAGATGTCATTGTCGCAGACACACTGTTGTCCTCATCATCGTCGTCGCCAGAGTCAAATCCCTGGATCTTGAGCAGAGCCACAAGCCATTCTCTTGAGCCGTTCTTGACAACGGTCACCGCTGCGTGCTCAACAAGCGGCTGCACATCCTTGATGGCATGCTCAACAGCTCCGAGCTCGATGCGTTGGCCGCGCAGCTTGATCTGGCTATCCTTTCTGCCGACATATTGCAGCGTGCCGTCAGGTCCGTACTTCACCAAGTCACCAGTCTTGTAGATCCTCGTCGCGGAATTGCCAGAAGACAGTGGCAACCACTTCGCCCCCTTTAGAAAGACGCGGTCTGTCTCTTGCTGGTTGTTGGCGTAACCACGAGCCAAAGCAGCGCCCTCGACGATGAGCTCTCCGACGCAACCAATAGGCGCGAGGCGGTTGTGATCATTCGGATCCACAATCCAGCTGCGTCCAAAGATGCTCTTGCCTATAGTCGCCGGGCTCTCGCTCGCGGACGTGTACGTATGAATTGTGGCCACGACACACGTTTCGGCGGGACCGTAAGCGTTGATGAGGCGCTGCACGCTGCCAAACCAGGCGTCGATACTGCTGCGCGTCAGTGCCTCGCCACCCAAGATTAATGTCTGGAGTGTGGGAACTTCAGCGGGCGACAGGGTTGTCGCGAATGACGGGGTCAGCAGAGCGGCTGTGGTGTTGCTCTTCCGGACAAAGTCTGGTAATTCTTGCATGCGCTGCATGTCTGTCGGAATGCACACAGTGCCGCCGAAGGCCAGGGTCATGAGGATCTCCGTGATTGCAGCATCAAAGACATAGCTGGCGAACTGGAGGAAGCGTGTTTCGGGGCCTGCGCAGAACGCCTCACCCTGTGCGAGAAGACTGCTGCTGAGGGCCGCGTGCTCGACGACAATTGTCTTGGGTTTGCCAGTGGTGCCAGATGTGAAGATGGCATAAGCCGCACTGTCGAGGCGAACCTCGATTGCTGGTGGCGAAACATTGTCCATGGCAAGCTGGGCCATTTGCAGTAGGGAGGTTGCGGACACCTCAACAATTGTGTCAACAAGACCTTGGCATGACAGAGCGGTGGCGGACGAGGCTAGCACCGCACGAGCTCTGGTCTCTTCAATGATTGTCTGTTTGCGGCTGACTGGGTGAGATTGGTCCAGGGGCACAAATGCTGCGCCAGCTTTAAGCACACCAAGAATGGCGACTGTGAACCACATGCTCTTTTCGAAACACACCGGGACGAAGCACTCTGCCCCGATGCCCAGGTTCCGCAGGTGGCGGGACAGTGTTGTAGACAGCTCGTCGAGTTCTGCGTATGTGAGTGTACCCTCGGACGAGTAGACTGCCTCGTGGGATGGCGAGCTGCGGACATGCCAAGAAATCAGCTCCTCGGTGAGTTTCGAGGAGGGTGTCTGGCAAGCTGTGTTCCACATGAGTGCCTGATCGAGATCCCAAGAGCTAGTGGCCGAGAGCGATCCAACTAGCATGGTGCCATTGGAAGAGAGCTGCTGAACGACATTGTCGAGGTGATGGGTCAGCGCCTCGATCCGGGCCGCCGAGACTCTGTTGCCGTCGTAAGTAAGCATCAAATCGACCCAGTCGTCGTAAGTAGCAGCCTGGATGACGAGGGAGTAGCTGAAATATCCATCCAGGGAGTCCTCGACAACATGTCCCTTCATGCCGCTTGACATAAGCCCCTCGCGCGTAGCTTGGCCCGCCGCCAGATTCATTGGCTGCACGACCATCAAGCTCGTGAACTCGCATGCTTTCTTGGCTTCGCGGCTAAGTTTGGATATATTTTGCAAGCCAAACTGTTCGAAGGGGATCATATTGGAAGCCTGCGACTGAACGGCCTTGAGGAACTCGTCTACCCGTTGGGATTGGTCAAGACGAATGTGAACTGGAACAGTCGCCACCGCGGGACCTGGCATCCGATCGACTCCTGTAACGGAGGCATGTCGGCCAGACACGGTAGTGCCGAAACAGATATCCTGAGACTCATCGTACTGGGCCAGGATGATGGCCCAGGCTGCACGCAGGATAGTCGCCTTTGTGATTGAGGCGTCTTTCTGGTGTGCAAAGTCGATTGTGGTCGTCTTGGTGACGGTAGCGACGGGGGTATCGGGAGCCACACTGCTGTCCTCAAAAGAGGTCTGTGAAGGCGTTGCGCCATCGAGCTGTGAGGTCCAGTACTCCGCCGCTGCAGCGTGGTCGATCCTCTTGATGTAGTTAACGAAACCCGCGTACGGCTCCAGAGGTGTGGCGGGCAGACCATCATAGAAGGAGGCCAAAGTCTCCAGAACAAGAGACATGTTCCATCCATCGACAACGGCGTGATGGATGACCAGCACAAAGTACCGGCTTCCATTTGGTTCGATGACAGTGGCATACCGACACAACGGGAGGCTGGGCTTCATGCCGAGGTCATGGATCGAGCGTAGCACCGTCTGTAGGTCTGAGCCATCTGGAACGACTTCCCAAGTTGTGGGTTGGCGTAGAACAGCCTGGATTGCCTCCCGGTTGTGCATCACAATCCGGGTACGGAGGTTTGTGCAGGCCAGTAACGTCTGTTCCCATGCGGTGCGGAACTTGGTGATATCGACGAGCTCTTGAAGCTCATAGACGTACTTGGCCATGTACGAGCCGGGCTGTTTGACTGCCAGCGCCATCAGACCTTCCTGGAGAGGGGTGCATGGGTAGGCGTCCTCAACATCCTGAGGACCAGAAAGACCACACTCAATAGCCACAGCAGAGAGGACGCTGTCGAGATCGCTTGGCGCAATCATGCTGAAGGCCTCAGTATATCTGTCATCCTCAAAGTTCTCGCTTGTCTTGGCTGCGACCGCCAGGAGGCGTGGGTCGCTGAAGATGTCGTGAACAGTGAGCATGAGCCCTTGCTCGCGTGCCGCGGTAACCACGTGAATCGCAGTAATGGAATCGCCTCCAACCTGGAGGAAACTATCATCGCGACCGATAGTCTGCGGCGATACCTTGAGGATGGTTGCCCAGATTGCCTGCAGGCGCTCCTCCATCGGGGTCACGACCGCGCGCTTGTTCACGCTCGCTAGAGTATACTGCGCGCGTCCCTCGCGGCCAAGGGCATCCGCCGAGCGCCGCAGACTGCCCCTGTCGATCTTTGTCGAGGTCATGCAGGGCATGAATGCGCATGGGACGAAGAGAGAGGGCACCATGTAGCTGGGCAGCATGATGCCTACGTGGCTAGCAGCGGTCGCCATATCGACCTTCATAGCCGCGGTCAGCGGTAGGAATATGTCGTTCTCCAGTTCCTGAGTGGTAACGAGGCGCGTGTTATCGGTGAAGCAGAGGAAGGCAGCCAGCGCAGCATTATCGCCATCCCGAAGAACGTCGACAACCACCTGACAGACCCCCTTTACTGCGGCTTGCATGTGGTGCTCAACCTCGCCCAGCTCCACACGCAGGCCACGGATCTTGACCTGGGTATCCTTTCTGCTCACGAATTCGAGTGTGCCATCTTCCCGGTAGGCACACAGGTCTCCCGACTTGAAGAAGCGGTTCCATGGCAGCTCCTGGCGTCGGGGAGCCCACTCGGGGAGCTCGGTCACGGTCGCGGCGGCGGTTCGTACAGGATCCGCCAGATACTCTCGCAGTATCGTGGGACTCTGGATAACCACCTCGCCCACACATCCAATGGGAGCGAGCTTGTTGTGATCCTGCGGGTCAACGATCCAGCAGAATCCTCCCACAGGACGACCCACGACCAGAGGCGCCTCGGGCGTTGTCCACTCATGCATCGTGCTGACGACACAGGTTTCCGCGGGACCCCATCCATTGATAAGGCGGATCCGACCAAACCACGTCTGCAGTATGTCGGCTCCAACAGCTTCACCAGCCAAGAAGATGAGCTCAATGCTAGGCACGGCATCTGGATGCAGGGTGCGGACGAAAGACGGAGTAAACCACGCCCAGTTGATGTCCATGGTCTTGATGAAGTCCTGCAGCGCACCCAACCTGGTATTGTCGGATGGGATGCAAAGTGTAGCACCAACCATGAGTGTGGGGATCGTCTCGCCGATGCACATGTCGAAGACATAGGACGCGAACTGGAGCATTCTGACCTCTGATGTCATCCCCAGGCGACGAATCATGTCTGTCTGACTGGTGCAGAGAGCCCTGTGCTGGATAACAAGACCCTTTGGCAGCCCTGTGCTACCGGAGGTGAATAGCACGTACGCGGCATGCTCAGGAGTCACAGAACAGGTTGGCGCGCCCGGATTGGCACCGTACTCGGCTTGGAGCTGCTCGTCAAGAAGATGGTCAATCACCAGGGTCTCCTCGACGAGGCCAGCAACCTTTGCGGATTGCTCAGCCGAGACGAGTGCGAGGCGTGCTTCGGTCTGCTTGATGATCTGCCTATATCGGTCAACGGGATGACCGGGATCCAGAGGCACCCAGGCCGCTCCCGCTTTGTTAATGGCAAAAATCGAGACGAAGAACCATGCCGACTTCTCGAAGCAGACCTGAACCAGATCGCCAGGCTTCACTTGGAAATCGGCCACGAGCTTGTGCGCGAGTCGGTTTGCCGCATTGTCGAACTCGGCATAAGTCAGCTCTGAATCCCACGCGCGGATGGCGAGAGCCTTGGGGCGCTTTTGTGCTTGCTCTTCAATGATGTGGTGGACACACTTGTTGACCACAAGAGGACCAGCGCCATTCCACTCAGTTGCCTGGTGCAGATCCCACTGGCCAGCGACGGAGATGGTGTCCATCGTCACTTCGGTATTCTGCGTCAGCTGGTGGATCACATGCGAGAAGTGCTCTGTCATAGCCTCTAGTCGACCACGGGAGACTGTGTTGGCATCGAAAGTAAAGACGAGCTCAACATGGTCGTCATGTGGGTATGCCTGCACGACCAGTGGGTAGCTGAAGTAGCCTGCGAGAGACTCTTCAGTACCATACTGCTCGGATGAGACAGGGCTCAATACACGATCGCTGTCGAGCTTGTCACTGTCACCCATCAACTGCTTGGCTGGTTGTACTACCATCAAGCTGGTGAAGTCACAGGCGTCTTTGGCATCTGGATGAAGCTTGGCAATTCGTTGCAGGCCGAACTGCTCAAAAGCGGTCATTTCAGCAGCTTGGGCCTGGACTGAGCTTAGGAAGCTGGCAACGCTCTGTCGACCATCAATCTTGACGCGGACAGGAACAGTCGCAACAGCTGGGCCAGCCATGGTCTCGACTCCCGGAACAGGGGCCTGGCGGCCGGAAATCGCGGTGCCGAAGCATATATCTTGGGTGTCACCGTACTTGGCCATGACAACGGCCCAAGCAGCGCGCAGAATGGTAGCTTTTGTGACGACACCGGACTGAGATCCAGTTGGCAGCGTAATAGTCGTCTCGAGCACCTCTGTCTTGGCTTCGGCGGCCTTGGTCGTGTCAACTCGGGGGAACTGCGCACGCTGGGCTCCGTCGAGGTGGGTTCCCCAGTACTCTGCAGCATCGTCGACGTCGATGCTCGTGGCAAAGTCGACAAAGTCGGCATATGGTCGCGGAGATGGTTGAATCTCCTGGCCATGATAGATGGTGAGCAGGCTGTTCAGGATGAGGCCCACCGTCCAACCGTCGAAGACGGCGTGGTGCATCACGAGGATAAAGTGGGCAGGCATCAGCTTGTCCTCTCCTTCGACCAATGCATAACGGCACAGGCGGCTGCCATATTGCATGTCCACGCCACCGACTCTGCGAATTGCAGTCGCCAGATCTGTGCCCTGTTCGATGGCCTCCCACTGCATAGGCTCCTGAATGACTGCTTGGACAGTCATCCCACCATGCACGATGATTCGGGTGCGGAGGTTCTCACACAGGGCGATTGTCTGCTCCCATGCTGTCCGGAACCTTGCGAGGTCAACCGAACCACCAAGTTGATAGACGTGCTTGGCAATATAAGATCCAGGTTGCTTCACCGCAAGGGCCATCAGACCCTCTTGGAAGGGTGTGCAGGGATATGCATCCTGGACAGCACCGGTGTTGTCCAGTCCGCAAGCCTGAACAACTGCGTTTTGTAGTTCTTGAGCATCGGCAGCAGGCAACAACCGGAAAGGTACTGTCTCCGTGATGATCTCCGCGTCGATGCTGGTCACCTTCGCGGCAACAGCGGACAGTCGTGGGTTCGCAAAAATGTCGCTAACGCTCAGAGATAAGCCGGCCTTGCGGGCAGCAGTAACGACCTGGATCGCCCTGATGGAATCACCACCGAGATTGAGGAAGTTGCCATTACGTCCGATCTGCTGCACGTCATCGAGACGGAGAATCTGTGCCCAGATGTCGCGAAGCGCAAACTCGTAGGGCGTGCTTGGCGCTTCTTCCTTCTCTTCCTCGGCCATGATGTAGCTTGTCAGCTGCCCCTGCGTCAGACCGGAAGCTATCTTTCGGAGGCTTGAGCGGTTGAGCTTCATGGATGTCTGGAACGGCATCTGTGATAGCGGCACGAAGAAGTTAGGGACCATGTAACTTGGCAGTGTGTCTCTGAGGTCCGTCATGATCTTGGAAAAGCATTGGCGGAGCTCATCAGAGTCGGCGAGTACAACGGCATCACCCGTGGTAGCCTCGGTGTGTTGGAAGTGGACCATGGCGATCAGTTGCTCCCGAGATGCCTGTCTAGTGACATCCACCGCGACATGATCGATGGCCGGGCAGATGGTCTTTATGGCATGCTCGATGGCGCCGAGCTCGATACGAAGACCACGGAGCTTGACTTGCGTGTCTCTTCTTCCGAGATACTCGACGGAGCCATCGTCTCTGTACCTGGCGAGGTCTCCTGTTTTGTAAAACCTGCAAGAGTCCTCGGCGGTCGAAGGGTACCATGAGACGCCCGGCAGGAAAGATCGAGCGGTGGTTTCTGGGTCGTTGGCGTACTCGCGTGCGAGCACGTGGCCCTGCAAGACGAGCTCACCGATGCAGCCGATTGGGGCCAGTCGGTTGTGGTCCTTGACATCCACGATCCAGAGATTGGCCGTCGTCCCCTTGCCGAGGGACGCTGCCGGCTCTCCCGAATCCGGATTGTGGTAAGTATGCGAGGCGCAGTAAATGCAGGCCTCTGCCGGCCCGTAGGCGTTGACAAGCACCACCTGGTCGGCCCAGACTTCCACAACCTGCTGCGTGGGAGCTTCTCCAACAAGTAGCAAGAGCTCCAGAGACGGCACGTCCTCGGGAGCTAGTGTAGCAGTGAAGGAAGAGGTCAACATGGCACAGCTGACCTTGGCCTCGCGGATGAATGCGGGTAGATCGCGCATGCGCTGCTCTTCAGACGGAATGCATACCGTGCCATTGTAGACGAGTGCCTCGAAGATCTCGCCCAAGCTGATGTCAAAAACGAAGCTGGAATACTGGAGCACGCGGTGAGCCTTGGAGTCAAAGCCGTGGCTGAGACCGTTCTTGACCACACTCGTGCACAGAGCGGCGTGCTCCATGACAATTGTCTTGGGCTTGCCTGTGCTGCCGGAGGTGAAGATGGCGTAGGCTTTGTTGTCGGGTGAGATTGAGGGCAACTGCACATCCAAAAATTGGTTCTTGGATAGGGCCGTGATCTGCTTCTCCGAGACCTCGACGACGGTCTGAACCATGTCAAGATGAGAGGCTGTAGTGGCCGGCGAGGTGATGAGGATCTTGGAATTCGTCTCCTCGATCAGCAACTGTCGTCGTGCGGCAGGATGAGACGGGTCGATAGGGACATAAGCGGCACCAGCCTTGAGAACAGCCATCATGGCAACAATGGCCCACAACGACTTCTCAAAGCAGATTGGCACGATATCTTCGGGACAGATCCCCAAGTCGACCAGGTGTAAGGCCAGAGCATGCGATTGCTTCTCGAGCTCACTATATGTGAGTACACCATCCCAAGCATACACTGCTTCGCGGTCAGGTGTGCGCAGCGCGGCCTCCTTGACCAGGTCGTGAATGCAAGCGTTAACAGCAGTGATGTCGGCAGTGTTCCAGCTCGTGGCTTTCTGCAAGTCCCACGTTCCGGCGACGTTGACCTCTCCAAGGCAAGTACTGCCCGGTGCAGTGAGTTGTCCCACAACGTGCCCCAATTGCTGGGCCAGAGCGTGGAGTCGTGCCTCGGAGATGACGCTCGAATCGTACGTGAACGCCAGGTCGATGCGGTCGCCGAAAGTTGATGCTTGTAGGACAAGAGGATAGCTGAAGTAATCGCCTGCTGTACCCGCTCCCACGAGCTCGTCCAAGTCGCTCGGAAGTAAGATATCGGAGCCGGGACCAGCAGATTGTCCCGGCTGCACAATGATGAGGTTGGCGAAGTTGCACGCGTTCTTCGCACTGGCGCTCAGCCTGGCTATATTCTGCAGACCAAACTGCTCGAATGGGACCATCTCGTACAAGTGTTCCTGCACTGCTTCGAGGTATTGAGATGTCTGCTGTCTTCGGTCAAGCTGGACACGGACGGGCACAGTTGCCAGTGATGGCCCGGCCATCCTCTCTATGCCAGGCAGGGGAGCATAGCGTCCCGAGACGGTGGCACCAAAGCACACATCATCGGTATCAGAGTGACTGGCAAGGACTAATGCCCAAGCTGCCTGAACAATAGTTGCCTTAGTGATTTTGTGGTCCTCGGCCTCAGGGAAGGCGACCGAAGCATGATGCGACCGCATAATCTGCTTCGTGGTCGAGATGTTGCCCACAGCATCTGAGGATGGGAAGGGAACGGGTTCGGCGCCGGCCAGTTGCTCGTTCCAGAAAGCCTCTGCACCAGTACGGTCGAGGTTGGTGGTGTAATTGACAAAGCCGACATAGGGGACGGGCGACCCGAGCTCCAGCTTTCCATCGTAGATGTTGCACAGGGTTTCAAGCACAAGGCCCAAACTCCACGCGTCAAACACAGCATGGTGCATTGCCAGTACGAAGTATCGTGCTCCGGTTCCGTGGTTGGTAAGGATGGCGGAGCGAGTCAGGCGGGTGCCGTACTGAATATCAAGCTCCTCGAGGGCGGCCAATGCCGCAGAAAATGGGAGAGTCTGCGGCGAAGCAGGCTCCCAGATGACCTCCTCCTTGAGCACAGCCTGATAGGATGTTCCATCGTGAACCACAATTCGGGTGCGAAGCAGCCCGTGGATGGCAAAAGCACGGCTCCAAGCATCCTGGAAGCGAGCCAGGTCGGTCTCAGAGCCAAGTCGGTAGATGTGCTTGGCCACATATGTGCCTGGCTGCTTTGTTGTAAGCGCCATGAGGCCTTCTTGTAGAGCTGTACACGGGTAGACATCTTCGATTTGATCGGTGCCGGTCAGGCCGCACCCCTCTGCTACAGCTTGCAATACTGCGTCCACATTGCCAGGTGGGAGGAGACTGAAGGCTTCGAGAGCAGCATCCTCGCCACTTGCTATAGTCGCGCAAGCAGCAACGGCAAAGAGGCGAGGGTCCTTGAAGACGTCTGGTACACTGATCGTCAGGCCTACCTCATGGCAGGCGGTTGCGAGGTGGATCGCGGCAATAGAATCGCCACCAAGCTCGAGGAAACTGTCGTCGCGGCCGATATCCTCAGAGTCCATGCCCATCACGCGCGCCCAGACAGTGCGAAGGGTCGTTTCGGTCTCAGTCTTTGGCTCGACCTTCGCGCCATTGTTGTTGTTGAGCGAGTATATGCGGAGTTCTTGTTGTGTCAGGCTGTTGGCAAGCTCCCGGAGCTTTGATCTATGCAGCTTCATGGAGGTTTGGAAGGGCATCTGGCGCAGAGGAACGATCACGTCCGGCACCATGTAGGTTGGGAGCGACAGCCTCATCTCCTGGAATAATATTGCCAGCGATTCCCGGAGAGAGTCGCTCATAGGGACCACCTGTTGATCGTCATCGCCAGCAACTGAATCCTCAAACTTGATGAGTGCAACCAGTCTCTCGGTTGAGCCCTGCTTGACAAGATCGACGGCAGCGTGCTCAACCCGGCACGACGATGCCTTGATGACGTGCTCAATAGCACCCAGCTCGACACGTTGGCCACGCAGCTTGACCTGCGTGTCCTTTCGGCCCAGGTATTCAAGGGAGCCGTCAAACTTCTGGCGCACTAAATCACCCGTGCGGTAGAAACGACCGTTTGATGCGGCCTGGCCCGGGAGGAAGTCGACGGAGTCCAGGAACACTCTCGAGGTCTCGGCTTCGTTGTTGGCATAGCCACGAGCTATGGCGTGGCCCTGGACGACGAGCTCACCAACACATCCGACAGGCGCCAGGCGCTGGCGTGAGGAAGCAGAGCCTGCAGTATCCATAACCCAGAGCTTCAGCGACGAGCCGGATCCAATACCGGAGGCCGCGGCCTCCCGTGTGCGGTAGGTGTGCGATGCACAGTAAATGCAGGCCTCTGCTGGTCCGTACGCGTTTCTGAGCTCCACGTGCTCCGCCCAGGTCTGGACAGCCTCCTTTGTCGGGACCTCGCCGACCATGAAGAGCTTCTGCAGTGCGGGCACGTCTGAAGGCTTCAAGGTCGCCAGAAATGAGGCTGTCAACATGGCAATGCTGACCTGGGTGTCGTGCATAAACATTGCAAGCTCTTGCACATTGAGGCGCTGGCTCTCTGAGGGCATGCACACCACGCCTCCGCAGGCAAGGGTCTCGAAGATCTCACCGAGACTGATGTCGAAGACGAAGCTCGAGTACTGCAGCACGCGAGACTGCTTGCCCATGTCGTGGATGGCGCCGTTGCGGACGACGCTCGTGCAGAGCGCAGAATGCTCCATAACAATTGTCTTGGGCTTTCCAGTCGAACCCGATGTGAAGATGGCATAGGCAGCATTGCTAGGCATCACAGCTGACTGGACCTGCGTAGGATTGGGGACAACGTCGTCCAGAACCTGTGCGGAATCTGGCGAGAGCCCGAGAATAGGCAGCGACACATCACTGAATAGGGCGGCATTCGCGGGTGAGGTAATAACCATGCGAGCCCGCGTCTCCTCAAGCAGAGACTCGCGCCTCTGAGGAGGGTACGCGGGATCGATGGGCACAAAGGCACCACCCGCCTTGAGGACGGCCAGCATAGCCACGACCGCCCAGAGAGATTTCTCGAAGCAGATCGGGACCAGGACCTCGGGTCCCACGCCGGCCTGGATGAGTTGTGCTGCAAATCGTCCGGAGATATCGTCGAGCTCTTCATAAGTCATTTTGCCGTCCCAAGCAGTGATAGCCTCGCTCTGCGGGGCTTGCAAGGCCTGGACCGCAATGAGATCGTGGATGCACTGGTTCACAACTGCGATATCTTCGTCGGCAGGGTTCCAGAGCATAGACTGCTTGAGGTCCCAGGGTCCCGAGACCGAGATCGTACAGACATCAGTAGCAGTGTCACCGGCCATGAGCTGCTGGACCACGTGATCCATGTGTACAGTCAGAGCCTGTACGGCGTCCTCAGAAAGGATGTTGGCGTCGAAGGTAATATCCATGCCGACGTGGTCATCGTGCGTCGTCATTTGCAGAACGAGCGGGTAGTTGAAGTAGCCGTCCATCGGCTCGGACGAGAGACCTGCCTCGTCAAGCTCAGCAGGCAGGAGAATCTCAGCATGCTCGGCATCGATGCTGGCCGCGATGGGCTTTCCGGGCTGGATAATGAGGAGACTGCCGAAGTCGCAGGCTGCCTTGGCATCCGGGCTCAACCGGCTGATGTTCCGTATACCAAACTGCTCGTGGGCAACCATGTCCGTAGCCTGCGCCTGAGTCTTGCGCAAGAAATCGCCAAGTTGCTGGCGACTATCGGTCTTGACACGCACGGGCACCGTAGCCACTGTGGGACCGACCATGCGTTCCACGCCTGCGAGCGCGGCCTGGCGACCCGAAACCGTTGTGCCAAAGCAGACGTCTGTGGTATCGCAGTAGCGAGCCAGGACCAGTGCCCACGCAGCACGGAGAATGGTGGCCTTTGTAATTGAAGAAGTCGACTGTTGTCCCTGTGAAACGGCAAATGACTTCTTGAGAACCTTGGTCAGAGGTTTGGCCTCTCCACGACTGGTATCAGGAGCGGGCCATGCAGATCTCTGCGCGCCTTCGAGTTCAGATGTCCAGAACTCGGCTGCGGTGCCAGCATCAAGCTGGCTGGTGAAGGACACGAACGCCGCGTAAGGCTCAACGGGAGGGACTGGTTGATCGTTGTACATGCTGTAGAGCGTCTCCAGCGTAAGGCCCATGCTCCAGCCGTCAAATACGGCGTGGTGCATGATCAGGACGAAGTGGCACGGGCCTTCCTTCTCAGCCACAAGGGCATATCGACACAGCGGAGTCCCATACTGCATGTCGATAGCTGTGAATGACTTCATAGCTTCAGTGAGAGTCATGCCGTCCGTAGGTTCCCAAGTTGTCTGGCCGTTGATGACGGCCTGGATCGAGACACCATCACGAACGACAATACGGGTACGGAGGTTCTCGCAGATGGCCAGAGTGTTCTCCCAAGCTGTCTTGAACCGCTCGAGGTCGACGTCTTTCGCGAGACGGTATACCTGCTTCGCGATGTACGATCCTGTCTGCTTGACTGACAAGGCCATAAGGCCTTCCTGCAGCGATGTACAAGGGTAGGCATTCTCAACCAGAGTCGGAACAGCGATGTTACATTTGCTGGCGATGTAGGATTGGGTATCAACTGCATCGCCGTCGGCAATGAGCGAGAATGGCGCGAGACTAGCCCGTGTCATATCAGACTCGACTGCCTTGGCTCTTGATGCGACCGCAAGGAGCCTGGGATCCGCGAATACGTCCTGAACAGTAAGCTGCAAGCCCGCCTCGCGCGCTGCAGTGACCATCTGGATCGCAGTGATTGAGTCACCTCCAATCTGGAGGAAACTGTCATGGCGCCCAATCTGCTCCGGTGTGGTCTTCAGGATCGAGGCCCAGACTCCTTGCAGTGTCGTCTCCGTGATGGTGACTGGCGCAACCTTCCTGCTGTCCGCGAGCGAGTAGCCCAGCATCTGGTCTCGACTCAGGCTGCCCATGATTTCACGAAGCTTCGTACGGTCCAGCTTCATAGATGTCTGATATGGCATGCTACGCAGCGGGAGGAATATCGTCGGAACCATATAAGGCGGCAGATGCAAGGTCAATTCTTCCGACAGCGACGAGAACACATCGCGCAGATCTGCGCTCATTGGCATAATGTTGTCGTCGTTGAGGGCGGGCGAGGAGTCTCCGCCATGGAACTGGACCAGGGCGACAAGAAACTCGCGCGAGTCCTGAACCAAAAGATCCACAGCGACATGCTCAATCTCCGCAGTCTTCGCCTGCTCGATACAGTGCTCGATAGCACTCAGCTCCAGACGCTGGCCGCGGAGCTTGACCTGCCTGTCCTTGCGGCCAAGATACTCAATCGTTCCATCCTCGGCACAGTATCTTGCCAGATCGCCCGTCTTGTAGAAGCGCTGCCCCTTAGCCGAGCCACTAAGCAGCTCTGATGGACACCATGCTACAGCGTTGAGGAATACGCGGTATGTAGCTTCCTCGTCGTTGGCGTAACCTCTGGCCAGCGAGAAACCCTGCACGAGCAGCTCGCCTATGCATCCGACAGGCGCTAGGATATTGTGGTCAGCCGGGTCAACGATCCAGCAGTTCTCGCTGATGCCCCCTCCGATGGTAGACGGGGACTCAGTGGCGGCTCTGAAGACGTGGGAGGCAGTGTACACAACGGCCTCTGCGGGTCCGTAGCCGTTGATCAGGTGTACCCTTCCGTACCAGGTTGACAAGCTCTGGCTGGTGGGAGCTTCTCCTCCAAGCACCAGCGTCTTGAGCGAAGGCACGTCATCGGGGCCGAACAACGCGGCAACTGTCGGGGTCAGGTATGCCACGGAGACTCGGCTGCGGGTAATGAATCCGGGAAGGTCTTGAAGTCTGTCCTGTTCGGACGGAATGCAGACAGCTCCACCACAAATGAGGGTGGTGAAGATCTCCGCGATTGACACGTCAAAGACGAAGCTCGAAAATTGCAGTGCTCTCGAATCCTTGTCGATGGAAAATTTTCTAGCCTGGCCAACGACGCTGGTAGACAAACCGGCGTGTTCAACAACGATAGTCTTGGGTTTGCCAGTAGTTCCCGAAGTGAAAATCGCGTAAGCAGCGTCCGTAGGCTGCGCTTGTGTTTCCACCAATGTCGACTGTGTCTTGGCGAATGTGGTGATGGTTAAGGCCGACAACTCAATGACATTCTTCGCCAGGTCCTGGCAGCGATCAGCCAACGCCGAAGACACGAGCATGAGTGAAGCTCGCGTCTCTTCGATCAGTGTGGCGTGTCGGGCGACGGAATGGCTGGGGTCGAGAGGAACAAAGGCACCACCCGCTTTCAAGATACCCATCATGGCCACAATGGCCCACTGGGACTTCTCGAAGCAGATCGGCACCAGGACCTCCCTGCCCACACCCTGCTCAATGAGGTGGGCCGCCAGCGTAGACGAGAGCTCGTCCAGCTGCGAATAAGTGAGACTGCCATCCCAGGCGGAGACTGCCTCACGGTCCGGATTCACGGCCACCTGCTGGCCAATCAGAGTGTGGATACACTCATTGACGAGACCAGTATCGGCCTCTTGCCACTCCATGGCTTTCTGGAGATCCCAGGAACCTGAGACTGAGATGGTGCCCAGGGGCGCATCACTCAACGACTGAAGCTGCTGTACAAGGTGACCGAGGTGGTGAGCGACTGCGCGCAGGCGGGCCTCGGAAATGACTGAGTCGTTGTAAGTGAAGTGCAGTTCGATGCGGTCGCTAGAAGGAGCTGCCTGCACAACAAGCGGGTAGCTGAAATAGCCATCAAGTGCCTCATCATGACCGTACACCGCTTCGCCTGCTGGCAGGAGGCACCCATCGCGGCCAGATCCCTCCTGATTCATCCACGAGTTGACAGGTTGGATGATCAGGAGCGAGGAGAAGTCACAGACAAACTTGGCGTCCTCGTTGATCCTGGCGATCTTCTGGAGACCAAACTGCTCGTACTCGACCATTTCCGCAGCCTGTGCCTGGACAGCCTCGAGTGTCTCCCTGATGCTGCTACTGCCTTGTCGATCCAGACGCACGCGCACGGGCACGGTAGCAACCGTTGGGCCGGCCATGCTCTCGACGCCAGCGACAGGCGCGTGGCGGCCGGACACCGTCGTGCCGAAGCAGACGTCATCCGTGTTGCAATAGTTGGCCAGCAGCAGTGCCCAAGCGGTGCGCAAAATTGTGGCTTGCGTGATGGACGTGTCGTGTGACTGCTCGAACGCAATGGTCTGCTTGAACACACGAGTAGAAGCTTCTGTGCCGGACACGCCATCCTGTTCCGGGAAGACTGCCTTCTGCGCGCCCTCGAGCTGGCTTCTCCAGAATTCAGTCGCTGCGGAGACATCAATCTGGGTTGTGAAGTTGACAAAGCTTGTGAAGGGCTCCATGGTGGGCAGCGAAAATCCCTTGTAGGCATCCTCGAGGAGCTGCATCATGACTCCCAAGCTCCAGCCGTCAAAGATTGCATGGTGCGCCACGAGCACAAAATATCGCGCTCCGGCCGCGTCAGAAGCCAAGGCGAAGCGGCTGAGACGCGAGCCACTCTCCATCGTGATGTCTTTGATCCTAGATAGAACCGTGGACAAGTCGGTGGTCTCATCAGCGTCCCATTGTGCTTGTTCTTGCAGGACGATCTGAGCCGTAACAGAGCCTGCAGTGACGATACGAGTCCGCAAGTTGGCGCAAGCCTGTACTGTCTGTCCCCATGCCTCTTGGAACCGTTCGGTGCTGACATTGTCACCAAGTCTGTATACGTGCTTGGCGATGTACGATCCGGGCTGCTTGATGCTCAAGACAAGCAAGCCTTCTTGTAGGGAGGTGCAGGGGAATGCATCCTCGATCTGCGACAGATCTTCCAGGGCACACTCCTTCACAGCAACGGTGCGGACCTCGTCAAGCTGAGCGGGAGAGAGCAGGCTGAAGGGCTCAACGTGGTAAGACACCTCATTTCCAGCCTCCTCGCCGAGTGCGGCAGCGCCCAATGCAAGCGATGAGAGGCGAGGATCTCTGAAAATGTCGTGGACTGATAGCGATAGCCCGATGATGCGAGCCGCGGTCACGAGCTGGATTGCCGAGATTGAGTCGCCGCCGAGCTGGAGGAAGCTGTCATGGCGACCGATCGACTCCTGTGGGATCCTCAGGACAGAGGCCCACAGCTGTTGGAGGAGACCTTCGGTAGGAGTCGAGACTGCCTCCTTCTCTGCGTTGGCGAGGGTGAAGTCCACCAGCCGTTCTCTCGAGACCGCAGAGAGCGTGCGGCGCAGCCCACCACGGTCGATCTTGGTGGATGTGATTGAGGGAAAGTACTCGCAGGGGACAAAGAGGGTCGGGACCATATAACTCGGCAGCGCTGTCTCAAGCTGACTGACTGCAACGGCCAGGCGGCTCTTCAGCTTTGGCGTGAGCGCGGTGAATAGCTGATCTGGATCATGTGAGCCGTCACTAGACATTTGCGTCTTCTCAGTAGGGCAGAAAAACGCTGTCAAAGTGCTGGAGCTGCCATCGCGCAAGACGTCGACGACAACCTGTTGAGCGACGCCTGCGAGCGCGAGCTGGAGGTGGTGCTCGACTTCGCTCAGCTCCACGCGCAGGCCACGAATCTTGACTTGAGTGTCCTTGCGGGAGACAAAGTCGATCTCGCCCTTGCTGTTGTAGACACACAAGTCGCCAGACTTGAAGAAGCGCTGCCATGTCCACGGGGCACCATCTTTCCGTTGGGGAGCCCAGGGCGGAGGCTGCGCGACCATGGAAGCGGCAGTCTTTTCTGGGTCAGCCAAATATTCCCGCAGGATGGTCGGACTTTGGATGATAACTTCGCCAACACACCCGATGGGTGCCAGCTGCTGAGGATCTTCCGGATCCACGATCCAACATTTGCCGCCGACGGGACGACCGACGGTCAAGGACGACTCGTCTAGGGACCTCCACTCATGCAGAGTACTAAAGATACAAGTCTCTGCGGGTCCCCAGCCATTCACGAGTCTAACCTTGCCGAACCACGTCTCGAGGATATCGCGACCGACAGCCTCACCGGCCAGCAGCAGCAATTCCAGATTCGGGACATCGCTCGGCTTGAGCGTGCGGGCAAATGCTGGGGTCAGGTATATCCAGTTAATGTCCATGTCGCGAATAAAGCTGTCGATACCGCTCAGTCTCGCTGAGTCCGGAGGAACGCAGAGTTGCGCGCCACAGATCAGCGGGGCAATAGTCTCTCCGACGCTCATGTCGAACACGTACGAGGCAAACTGCAGCATCCGCACGTCGGAAGTCAGGCGGAGTCGCTTGACGGCATCGGTCTGGCTGGTGCAGAGAGCGCGGTGCTGCATGACGAGACCTTTGGGGGTACCGGTACTGCCCGAAGTGAAAAGGACATAGACGGCGTTCTCGGGCGTCACATCGGCAGCCTCAACATCAGCCGCATCGTCGACGAACTCACCCGACTGGGCGGACAGTGCTGCGTCCAGGTCCGGCGAGACAACAAGCACATCTTGGACTAGCTCGGCACATCGCGCCGCCTGGGTCGACGATGCAAGTGCGAGTCGTGCTTTTGTCTGCTGGACAACCTGCTGCTGGCGTTGGAGAGGATGGGCCGGGTCGAAAGGGACCCAGGCTGCTCCAGCCTTGTTGATGGCGAGGATGGAGACAAAGAACCACATCGATTTTTCGAAACACACATGCACGAGGTCGCCGGTGCGGACCGAGTCGTGCATGAGCTTTCTCGCCAGACGGTTCGCAGCCGCATTGAGCTGCGAGTAGGTGAGCTCGCCATCCCACGCCCTGATGGCGAGTTTGTGTGGCCGGATGCGAGCCTGTGCCGCAAAGAGACGGTGGAAGCAAGAATCGACGATCTCTGGCGGCGCGTCGGGATTATTCAGGGCAAGTGCCTGCTCGAGATCCCAGGGGCCCGCTACGGAGATACTCGACACTGGCGACTCTGCGGTCCGGCTCGCATCTAGGAGCTGTCCAACGACATGCTCCAAGTGGTGAGACATCGCAAGTGCACGACTCTCCGGCACGACGTTGGGATTGTAGGTAGTGGCCAGATGGATGTGGTCTGGGTAAGTAATGGCCTGAAGGACGAGCGGGTAGGTGAAATAGCCAGCAAAAGTCTCGCCCGCGTTGGGTGCATCCGACGCGCCTACCAGCAAGGCATCGTCCGTGCCAGCCATCTCGTTGACCAGTTGGGCCGGCTGAACGACCAGTAAGCTGCCAAAGTCACAGGCCTGTTTCGCATCAGGGCCAAGCTTAGCGATCCTCTGGAGGCCGTACTGCTCGTAAGCCACCATCTCAGAGGACTGCAGCTGGATATTGCTGAGCAGGTCGGCTACCGAGTCGTGGCCGTCGAGATTCACACGGACTGGGACGGTGGCGACCGCCGGGCCAACCATGCGCTCGACACCGTCAACGGAGGCGTGTCGGCCAGAGATGGAAGACCCGAAGCACACATCTCTAGTGTCGCTGTATTTTGCGAGCACAATGGCCCACGCGGCGCGTAGAACCGTCGCTTGGGTGAAGGAACTGCCCTTCTCCCCGTCTTTGTTGACAGACAGTGGGATAACAGCCTCGTGGACCTGGGATGCCTGTGCTGCTGCTCCCTTGACGACACGGTCCACGGCGGGGAACGACGCGCGCTGCGCTCCCTCGAGCTGAGATCTCCAGTACTCGCCTGCGGCAGCCGAGTCAATGGTGGTGATATACTTGACGAAGCTCGAATAGGGTGTTGGGGCATCAAGTGTGGTGCCGTAATAGATCTTGTTCAACGTCTCCAGCATGATACCCAAGCTCCACCCGTCAAAAGCGGCGTGGTGAACATGGAGCACAAAGTACCGTGTGCCAGCCGCCTTGTCCGAGACGAGCGCATAGCGACACAACGGAGTACCGTATTGCATCTGCACATCGCGCGCTAGCGTTGCCGCAAGGTCATGGCTGGCGTCTTCCTCCCAGGCAGGGGCTTCTGCGGCAATGACGGCTTGGACAGAAAGGTCGCCATGGAGGATGATGCGAGTGCGGAGAATGGAGCAGGCCTCGAGGGTCTGTTCCCACGCAGACTTGAATGCATCTTGGTCGGCCGAGTCCGAGAGCTTGTAAATATGTTTTGCAATGTAGGATCCAGGCTGCTTGATCGCCAGGGCCATCAAGCCTTCCTGGAACGATGTGCAGGGGTATGCATCCTCGATCTGACTGTTGGTGACATCGCACTGCTCACAAATAGCCTCTCGAATATAGTCAAGCTCTGACGGAGCCAGTAGAGAGAAGACCTCCGTGGAATAGTCGGAATCAGACAAGTCGGCACCGGCACCGGCCTCAGCTCTAGCGGCCACAGCCTGGAGGCTGGGATCCAGGAAGATGTCGTGCACGGCAATGCTGTACCCAAGCGTCCGCAACTGCGAAGTGACGTGGATTGCGCTGATGGAGTCACCGCCAATTTGCAGGAAACTGTCATGCCTGCCAATGAGATTCGGCGACAATCCGAGAACGCTTGCCCAGACATCTCTGACTCGGTGCTCGGCTTCCGTGACGGGCTCGGCCTTGATTGTAGATGAAGCCAGGGAGTACGCGATGAGAGTTTCTTGCGAGAGCGCGTGGGAAAAAGTGCGGAGCTTGCCGCGGTCCAGCTTGAGTGACGTCTGGAAGGGCATGTCGCGCATGGGCAAGAAGAAGGTCGGCACCATGTACGTCGGCAGGGCGTGCTTGAGCTTCTCGACGACGCCGGAGAAGAGCTGTTGCAACTCCTCACTCATCTCAACGAGCGGCTCGCCAGCCTTGTTCTGCTTCTTGTCTTCGTCGTGCATGCTCAAACCCACCATGGCGACAAGTTGTTCCTGGGTGCCATGGCGGATGATATCGACAGCCACGTGCGCGGAGCCAGTAGTCTGGCTGAGCGCAGCCTTGATCTCGTGCTCCACGGCGCCAAGCTCAATCCGCTGGCCGCGAAGCTTCACCTGGGTATCTTTGCGTCCGAGGTACTCGAGCACGCCGCCTGAGTTGGGCAGATATCTGACGAGGTCACCAGTCTTGTAAAATCTATGACCCTGACCGACCTGCGAAGCCGGGAGCCATTCCAGCTCGGTCGGGAAAGACTGAGCAGTGAGCTCCTTGTTGTTAGCATACCCGCGAGCTATGGCGTGGCCCTGGACAACAAGCTCGCCAATGCATCCGATCGGAGCAAGACTGTTGTGATTGTCCGCGTCAACGACCCAGTAGATGCCACTCAGAGCCTTGCCTATCGTGGCAGCGGCCTCCCCACTGCCTTGCCTCTCACTCGAGTAGACATGGTGAGTGGCATAAATAACGGCCTCGGCTGGCCCGTAGCCATTGATGAGCCGCACGCGTCCCTGCCAGGTGTCGAGACTTTCCTGGGTTGGCGCCTCACCACCCAAGACAAGCGTCTTCAAGGAGGGGACGTCGGCAGGGTTGAAGGTCTTTGCGAACGAAGGCGTGAGGTACGCGTTCGTGACCTCCGTTCGCTGGATAAAGCCGGCAATGTCAGAGAGACGATCCTGGTCTGAGGGAACACACACCGTGCCACCAAAAGCCAGTGTCGTATATATCTCTCCAAGTGAGACGTCGAACACGAAGTTCGAGAATTGCAGCACGCGGGACTCCGAAGTGATGGAAAAGGCGGAGGCCTGCGCGCTAATGCTCGTGCACAACGCCTTGTGGTCGACCACGATTGTCTTGGGTTGGCCGGTCGATCCGGAAGTGAAGATGGCGTACGCTGCGTTCTCGGCGGTCACAGCGACTGGCTTCAGGTCGTTGTTGCCATTGGGCAGCGCCGCCAGGGCGGCAAATGTCTTATCCGACAACTCTACAACACATTCGGCGATGCCCTCGCAAGAAACCATGTTCTGCCTCGAAGCGAGGACTACGCGGGCGTCCACTTGCTGTACGAGTGCCTGTCTACGCTCGACAGAGTTGGCTGGGTCAACGGGGACGAATGCGCCGCCAGCCTTTAGAATAGCCAGCATGGCAACAAATGCCCACTTGGACTTCTCAAAGCACATGGGTACCATAACCTCCGGCCCGACACCGGCAATTTGGACGAGGTAAGCAGCGAGTATGTCCGACATGCTGTCGAGCTCGGCATATGTCAGCACACCATCCCAGGCATGGATAGCCGGGTGCTCTGGTGCTTGTGTTGCGGCCTGGGCGGCAATGAGTTCATGGACACAAGCGCTGACAACCGTCTTTGTGTTATCATTGTCGTCGTTCCAGCCGATGGCGCGCTCGAGGTCCCATGATCCCGCAACAGAGATACTGCCCAGCAGCTCCTTGTCGTCGTCCTTGGTCAGGATCTGCTGGATGACGTTGCCAAGGTGGCTCGCCATGGACTCGAGGCGATCCACCCCAAGCACGGTCGTGTCGTAAGTAACAAGAAGCGTCACTCTATCGTCGTAGAGCACCGCCTGTACCACGAGCGGGTAGTTGAAGTATCCGCGGAACGACGACTCGCCGTCGCCACACTCCTCGGCACTGACGGGCTGGAGCATGGCCGACTCCTCGGGTGTGAGCTGGGACGCCACCGCCCTGCCGGCCTGGATGGTGAGGAGACTGGAAAAGTCGCACGCCTCCTTTGCGCTGCGGCTCAGCCTGGCAATGTTGCGGATACCAAACTGCTCATGGGTTGTCATTTCGGCAGCTTGGGCCTGCAGATCTTGGAGGAACGCGGCAACAGTCTTTTGCTTGTCGAGGCGCACGCGTACCGGCACCGTCGCCAGTGTTGGACCAGCCATGCTCTCGATGGCCCCAACTGGGGCTTGTCGACCGGACAGAGTGCTGCCAAAGGCGACATCGTCAGTCTCGCAGTACCGTGCGAGCACCACAGCCCAGGCTGCCTTGAAGATTGTAGCGTTGGTGATGGAGCTACTGCTGCTCTTGCTCTTGAGCCGTGGGAACGGGATTGAGCTCTCCCAGGCCCGTGTGGTTGCTCCCTTGGAGCCATCTGTTGTCGTCTGCACGGGGCCGCTCTCGGGGAATGGAGCACGCTGAGCTCCTTCGAGCTGTTTCTCCCAGTATGCGGCCGCGGCATCTTGATCAAGCACAGTGGTATACTTGACAAAGCTTGAGAATGGCTCCAGTGGGGCGGCGGGCTGCTGGCCTTGATAAAGCTGCTGGAGCATCTTGAGCGTTAGGTCCATGCTCCAGCCATCGAAGACGGCGTGGTGGGCAGTGAGGATGAAGTAGTGGACGCCAGAACCTTCGGTGACGAGGGCGTACCGACAGAGACGGGATCCGTAGTGCATCTCCATGGAGTCGAACATCTGCAGTGCAGTTCCGATGTCAGACATCTCGGCAGTGACCTCCCACTTGGAAGGCTCGTTGATGACAGCCTGGAGGGAAGTGCCAGAGTATGAGACGATGCGCGTCCGCAAGTTGGCGCAGAGTTGCAGCGTCTCCTCCCAGGCGCTCTTGAATCGCTCGACGTTGACGTCCTGGGGCAGTCTGTACACGTGCTTGGCTAGGTACGAGCCCGGGTGGCGCACTGCAAGCGACATCAAGCCTTCCTGCAGGGCAGTACAAGGGTAGACATCGTCGATGGTTTCCAACTCTGCAAGCTGGCACTCGCGGCGGACGAATGCACAGATGTTTGAGACTTGGTCTGATGGAACCAGGTCGAACTTGTCAACACTGTACGTCTGCAGCTCCGACCCTGTGGCCGCAAGTGCTGCAATGGCGTGCAGTCGAGGGTCGTCGAAGATGTCCTGCACTGTCAGGGAGAAGCCCGCATCACGCGCCATCGTCACCAAGTGGATGGCGCTGATGGAGTCACCGCCGATCTGTAAGAAGCTATCGTCACGACCAATGAGCTCGGCATCAGAGCCCAAGAGCTGAGCCCAGATGTCTCGCATCTTGAACTCAATGTCGTTAATGGGCGCGACCTTCTTGCCCTGCGCCAGGGTATAGCTGAGCAGCTGTTCCTGGGAGCCGAGGAGGTTATTTCCGATACGCTGAAGCTGCGAGCGGTCCAGCTTCATGGAGGCTTGGAATGGCATTTTCTTCAGCGGGACAAAGTAAGTCGGGATCATGTACCCGGGCAGACTGCGCTTCAGCTCGTCGACCATGCTCGCGACCAGCTCGCGCAATGAGTCCGTCATGGGCACAATGTTCTCACTCTCAAACATGTCCTGGTACAGGGACGCATCGTCGAGATGGAAAAGAGCCATCAGCCACTCAGACGAGGCCGATGACGAGGATGAGCTCTTGACGACGCTGACGGCGACATGAGTGATAGTTGGCTCGGCGTGTTTCAGGGCGTGCTCAATGGCGCCGAGCTCGATTCGCTGGCCGTGGAGTTTGACCTGGGTGTCTTTACGGCCAATGTACTCCATCGTGCCGTCAAAGTTGTATCGAACAAGATCGCCTGTCTTGTATACACGCTGGCCCTGCTGCTCCGAAGCGGACAGCCAGTCGACGCTATCAATAAATGCACGCTTCGTGGCAGCGGCGTCGTTGGCATAGCCTCGGGCCAGCGAGTTGCCCTGGACAAGCAGCTCACCAACACAACCAATGGGGGCCAGACGGGTGTCGTCCTCGGGCTCCACGACCCAGCAAGTAGCAGTGGTGCCCTTGCCAATATTCGTGGGAGAGTCCTGAGCAGACGTGTATGGATGGCACGCGCAGCAGATTGTCGACTCGGCTGGGCCATAGGCGTTGATGAGCTCGACCTGGTGGCACCAAGTCTCCAGGGTCTGCCGAGTTGCTGGCTCACCACCAATCACCAGCGTACGAAGTGTGGGCACATCGGCGGGAGTGAACGTCTTGATAAATGACGGCGTTAGCTGCGCGGTGGTGACACCAGCTCGGCACATGAAGTCGGCGATGCCCTGTCGGCGGTCGCCTTCCGACGGAATGCAGATGGTGCCTCCGAGCGCCAATGCCATGAAGATGTCGGCAATGGACACATCAAAGACAAAGTTGGAGAACTGCAGAACCCGAGAGGTCGGGCCCACCGAGTATGCGTTGCCTTGGGCGATGATACTGGTCGAGAAGGCTGAATGCTCGACCAGGACCGACTTGGGAACACCTGTCGAGCCGGAGGTGAAGATGACGTACGCGGCATCTGTTGGAGAGACCCTACGGCTCAGCGGCATCTCCGTAGATGAGACCAGGAGCTTCTCAAGGTTCGAAGCGGAGACTTCAATGATTGACTCGCTCAGCCCTGCAAACAGGCCTGCGGTGGATGGCGAAGCGAGAACGACTGAAGCCTTGCACTCCCGCAGCAGGGTCTCGCGACGTCCCGCTGGATGCTCAGGGTCAATTGGGGTGAATGCGCCGCCAGCCTTCAGAACGGCAAGCATGGCGACGATCGCCCATACTGACTTTTCAAAGCAAATAGGCACAACAGTCTCGCTCTGAACACCAAGGCGGACCAGAGTGGCTGCCAGGGTGCTAGAGAGCTCTTCCAACCTGGCATAGCTGAGACTGCCGTCCCAAGAGTACACCGCCTCGTGGGATGGTGATGCCTTTGCATGTCCAGAGATCATGTCATGTAGGCAGGTCTCAATCTGCTCAGGTAGAGGAGTCTGCCAGGCTTGGGCCTGCTGGAGATCCCAAGCACCAGCAACAGATATCTCACTCAACGGCGCAGACGACTGGCTGAGCAACTGCTGCAACACGTTGCCAAGGTGCTGCTCCAAGGCTTTTATCCGGTCCTCACAGAGCACGTTGGAGTCGTAGGTGATGACGAACTCGGTCGTGTCTGTGGAAGTGAGGGCCTGCAACACCAGAGGGTAGTTGTATGAGGCCTCCAGTGCGGCTTGGGATCCATAAGCCTCTGGATTCACGGCAGTCCAGTCCGCAATCTCATCAGCAGATGTGGCATCGACACCACTGCTCGCAGGCTGCACGATGAGCAGCGAGGTGAACTCGGATGCCTGCTTTGCATCAGCTCCGAGCTTCGAGATGCGCTGCATACCATACTGCTCGTGCGGGATCATGTCGAGCACCTGCGATTGCAGTCCGCGGAGGAAATCACCGGCTGTGGTTGCGTTCTTCTCCTCGTGGTTGCTTGCAGCAGCAGCAGCAGCAAGGCGCACGCGTAGGGGCACAGTAGCCACGGCTGGACCGATCATTTGGTCCAGCCCTGCGACAGGTGCTTGCCGGCCAGACACCGTCATGCCGAAGCACACGTCATCCGTCTCACAGTATCTTCCAAGGACGATGGCCCAGGCAGCTTGAATCAGTGTAGCCTTGGTCACACCGGACTCGTCTGCAATAGAGGATTCCACAACCGCCCGGTGGACGCGAGTGACGGCTTCCGCATTCTTGACGCCGCCATCGATTTGCGGGAAAATAGAACCTCTCGCGCCATCGAGCTGTGTCTTCCAGTAGAGTTCTGCGTCCCCGTTGTCTGCCTGAGCGGCGTAGTTGACAAAGTCTGCATACCGGACAGGGGAGACAGGTGCAATGTAGTGACCATGGTACATCTTTGCCAGGATGTCCATGATGAGGCCCATGCTCCAGCCGTCAAATACAGCGTGGTGTACTACCAGGATGAAGCTACGCGTGCCGTCCGAATTCTGGGCCATTGCATAATGGCAAAGTCTGGTGCCGAATTGAAAGCTCTCATTGCCCTTGATGGACTCAATCAAGTCCACAAGCTGGTTGTCGGACTTGGAGGACAATGACGATGTTGACCACTCTGCCTGCTCCTCAATGACGGCTTGTACAGAGACGCCGTTGTGGTTGATGATTCTAGTGCGCAGAGCGTCGCATGCCTGGAGAGTGCTCTCCCAGGCAGCCTTGAATTGGTCTTCCGAGATGTGCTCGCCGAGCTGGTAGACAAAGCTGGCAATGTACGATCCCGGCTCTCGCGCAGTCAGGGCCATGAGAGCTTCCTGCAGGGGCGTGCACGGATATGCGTCGACAATCTCGTGCACACTGCCGAGTCCACATTCCTGTACGATTGCGCTCTGAAGGGTGTCAAGAGTATCTGATGGCAAAAGGGAGAAAGGCGTTGTGGCGTAGCTGGCCGCTTCTCGATCGCCGACAACAACCTCAAGCGCGAGGGCAGAGAGGACGGGCGTGTTAAACAGCTGCTGGACACTCAGCGTGAGACCGAGCTGCTGCAGTTCAGAGACGACCTTGATGGCCGTGATCGAGTCACCACCAACATGGAGGAAGTTGTCATGGCGGCCGATCTGATCTGCTGGAATGCCCAAGGCCTTAGCCCAAGTATCCCTAAGACGGACCTCGAGGTCTGTTTCTGGCTGTGCCTTGGGAGCGCTGTCGGGCAGGTAGCTGCGGAGCTCTTCCTGAGTGAGCCCCTTGACGACCTCCCGCAGCTTCGACCTGTGCAGTTTCATCGAGGTCTGGAACGGAACCTTCTGCAACGGGACGAAGAACGAGGGCACCATGTAGCCAGGCAAGTGCATGCGCAGATAATCGGCGATGGCAGCAAATGAGTCCTTGACGTCTTTTGTGGGATTCGCAAGGAACCCATCTCCCTCCTCGCCAGGCTGGGACTGGGAGAACTTGACCATAGCCACCAATGCGTCCTGGGCACCGTACTTGATCAAGTCCACCGCAACCTGCTCAGCTCCAGACCCGGCCTCCTTGATTGCGCTCTCAATGGCTCCGAGTTCGATACGCTGACCTCGGAGCTTGACCTGCATATCGCGACGACCGAGATACTCCAGAGACCCGTCTGTGTTGTACCGGACCAAATCACCAGTGCGGTAGAATGTCTGGCCCTCTTGCTGCTGAGCCGAGGGCAGCCACGATACGACACCCTTGACAAAGGATAGCGCCGACAGCTCCTCGTCACCAGCGTAGCCTCTGGCGATGGCGTGGCCTTGCACGACGAGCTCACCGATGCAACCCACGGGAGCTAGGCGGTTACGATTGTCCAGATCGACCACCCAGAAATGGCCGGACGTCGGGCGGCCGATGGACGCGGGCGGCTCGTCGCGCTGCAGATACCGGTGGTAGGCGCAATAAACAACCGCTTCCGCGGGGCCGTAGGCGTTGACCAGCTCGACGTGGTCCACCCATGTCTCGACGACGTGCTGTGTGGGTGCTTCACCGACGAGAAGGAGATGCTTGAGGGACGGGACGTCCTCGGGATCAAGCACGGCGACGAACGAGGACGTCAACATAGCCACGTTGACGCGCGACGACTCCATGAAACTGGCGATGCCCTGTAGACGGGTGGCATCGGAGGGGATACACACGGTACCGCCGACGGACAGGGTCTCGAAGATCTCGCCGAGACTGATGTCGAAGACGAAGCTGGAGTACTGCAGGACGCGAGAGGAGGGTCCCAGCTTGTGGACGGCGCCGTTCCTCACTGCGGCTGTCGACATGGCCGCGTGGCTGACCACGATCGTCTTGGGTTTGCCAGTGGAACCAGATGTGAAGATGGCATAGGCCGCGTTGTGCGGTCTTGCGACTCCAAGCGGCTTCTGGCTGTCTTCCGCGGAGCTAGCGGTTTGTGCTGAAATCTTGTGGACGTGGTCGGCGAGGCCCGCACAGTTCTCAAGCATAACCGCAGAGACAAGCATGTGCTTGGAGCCAGTCTGCTGCACCAGCTCGCGAAGTCGGCTGTGAGGATGAGTCGGATCCAGGGGCACAAACGCGCCTCCGGCCTTCAAGATTCCGAACATGGCGACAATCGCCCACAGAGACTTCTCGAAGCAGATCGGGACCAGGCTCTCTGCGCAGATCCCCCGTGCGATCAAGTCGATAGCTACGATATCCGAAAGTCTCTCAAGCTCAGAGAAGGTCAGAGTACCATCCCACGAGCAGATAGCCTCTTGTTCTGGGTGCTCGAGCACTTGCTTGCTGACGAGGTCGTGCATACAGGCATCAACGACGGACATATCGGCAACCTCGTTCCACTGGGTGGCCTGCTGGAGGTCCCACCCCCCAGCGATCGAAAGCTCACCTAGGCGAAGCTCGGGCTGGGTCGAGAGCAGCTGAACGGCACGGCCGAGGTGGTGGACGAGCGCTTGCAGGCGGCTCTCCGTGACCACGGCCGAGTCATATGTCAGCAGCAAGTCGACTTTGTCAGAATGCATTAGCAGCTGGAGCACCAGAGGGTAGGTGAAATAGCCGCTGGTGGCAGCAGTGGTAGCATCCTGAGGCAGCTGAGCTGGGAGTAGCAGCTGGGAGCCCGGTCCATCCGTCAAGCTCAGGTCCTGGGCAGGCTGGATGATCATCAAGCTTGCAAAGTCGCAGACCTCCTTGGCGCCCGAGCTGAGCCTCGAGATGTTCTGCACGCCGTACTGCTCGTGCGGGATCATCTCGGTGGCTTGGCTCTGCATGCCGCGCATATACGCCTGCACAGATTGCTCGCGGTCGAGGCGGACGCGGACCGGGACAGTGGCCAACGTGGGCCCGGTGATGCTTTCAATGCCAGCAACTGGGGCTTGACGGCCGGAGACCGTGGTGCCAAAGCTGATGTCGTTTGCGTCACAATACCGGGCAAGGACCATACCCCATGCAGCACGGAGTACTGTGGCCTTAGTGACAGACGAGTCTACCAGCTCGGGCATCGGGATGGAGGCACTGAGCACAGCACTACGGTCCTGGCCTTGCGATGCAAGGCTTTGGGCAAGGTGATCTGACTGCGGGAAGGCAGCGCGCTGAGCACCCTCGAGTTGTGTTTGCCAGTACTGCGAGGATGCCTCCGTGTCGGTCTTGCGCGTGGCATAATCCACGAAGCTCACGTACGGCTGGAGCATGGCCTTTGGACTGCCGTTGTCGTACGAGTCCCGCAGAGTGCTGAGCATCAGGTTGATCGACCAGCCATCAAAGACGGCATGGTGCAATGTCAGAACGATATATCTCGCTCCATGTTCATCCGAGGCCAGCGCGTACTTGCAAAGCCTGCTTCCATACTGCATCTGGGTCGACTTGGAATTTGCCAGCACAGTGGACAGAGACTCTCCAACCGCCTCATCCCAGGAGAAAGGCTCACTAATGATGGCCTGCACCGGCGTGCCACTGAAGAGCACGATACGAGAGCGCAAGTTCTCGCATACATTGAGAGTATGCTCCCATGCGGCTTGGAAACGACCAACGTCTACATCAGATGCGAGCTGGTACACCATGGTGGCGATGTACGAGCCAGGCTGCTTGGCTGACAGTGCAAGCAGACCCTCTTGCAGAGGCGTACAGGGGTATGCGTCTTGGATCTGTGCGGCAGATGCCAAAGCGCACTGAGCCACAATGGCATCTTTGATCTCGAGGATCTCAGCGGTTGGAAGCAACCCAAAAGGCGCGGGGATGTCAGCTGGTGCCTCGAGATCAAGTATGGCCTTCAGAGCCACAGCCGAGAGACGTGGGTCGTTGAATACGTCCTGCACAGTGATGCTGACGTTGTGCTCGCGTGCAGACGTGACCATCTGGATGGCGCTGATGGAGTCGCCACCGATGCGCAGGAAGCTATCATGACGACCGATCTGCTCAATGGGGAGATGCAGTACCTGCGCCCAGATGAGCTGTAGAAGTGTCTCTATCGGAGTCGTGGGAGCCGACTTGTCAGCAGACGCAAGGGAGTATGTTAACAGTTCTTCCTGCGTCATTGCGCTGGCAATGGCCTTCAGCTCAGAGCGGTTGAGCTTGAGTGATGCTTTCTGCATGGGCATGCTGTCGAGGGTAATAAAGTACGACGGCACCATGTAAGCAGGCAGCAACGCGCCGAGTTCCGCCGCGAGATCTGAGAAGGCGGTACGCATCGACTCGCTGATGGCAACCAAGCAAGGCTCACGGTCGGCTTCGCCATCATCGTGACCCTCGGTCTCGAAGGCCACAAATGCGGCCAGGGCTTCCCTGCCGCCATGCTTGACGATGTCAACAGCGACATGCTGGACTCCGTGCAGCAGGCTCTTGATGCTGTGGTCGATGGCGCTCAACTCGATACGCTGGCCACGGAGTTTCACCTGAGTATCTCGTCTGCCCAGGTACTGGAGGGTGCCGTCAAAGTTGTACTTGACCAGATCACCGGTCCTGTAAAACCGGCGCTCGTCACCAGCCGACCTCTGGAACCATTGGACATCAGACAAGAACACTCGCGCTGTCTCCTCGGCATTCCCAGCGTACCCGCGGGCAAGCGAGTATCCTTGAACGACCAGTTCACCGATACAGCCAATGGGAGTCAGGCTTTGGCAGTCATCGACATCCACCACCCAGCAGTCACCACTCAGACCACGTCCAATGGTGGCAGGATTGTCCGCCAGGGACTGGTACACGTACGACGTGGCATAAACACATGCCTCAGCGGGTCCGTAGCCGTTGATCAGACGGAGGTGGCCGAACCAGGCGTCAAGGTTGCGACGTGTAGGGGCTTCTCCTCCGAGCACCAGCGTCTTGAGCGTCGGGACATCTGCGGGAGAGAATGTATCGGCGAAAGATGGGGTCAGGTACGCGACCGACACCTTGGCCTGCTGTATGAAGTGCGAAATGGACCTTAGGCGATCCTCCTCGGCAGGCACGCAGACTGTGCCGCCGTGCGTGAGCGTAGTGAAGATCTCACCGATGGCGACGTCGAAGATGAAGTTGGAGAATTGCAGCACGCGACTATCAGCGTTGACATCAAAGGCTTTTGCCAATGCAGTGATACTTGCGTGCAGGGCCAAGTGGTCGACGGTAATGGTCTTTGGCAGACCAGTCGAGCCGGAGGTGAAAATCGCGTAGGCGGCGCTGGCAGGAGTGACGCCAGAAGCGACCACGGTCGAGCCGCCATGCGAAGCCAGAATATCAGCCATGCTTTCCGAGGAGATTTCAAGCACCACCTTGGCAAGATCGTGACAAGACCCTGCTGTGGCAGCGGAGACTAGCAGGACCTCGGCATGGACCTGCTCAATGAGGGCTTTCCGCCGGCCGACAGGGTGGGCAGGATCAAGAGGCACAAAGGCACCGCCGGCCTTGAGCACAGCGACCATGGCCATGATCGCCCATTTCGACTTCTCGGCACAAATGGGCACCATGGACTCGGGGCCCACACCCAATTGCACCAACCGGGCAGCCAGGGCGGACGAGTAGCGATCCAACTCGGCATAAGTCAGAGTGCCGTCCCAGGCGAAGACGGCCTCACGCTGCGGGACCTTGGCAACCTGCTCTGCAATGAGGTCGTGGATGCACGCCCCATCCCAGGTCGGTGCCGCGGTGTTCCAGCTGGCCGCGGTCTCGCGATCCCACGTACCTGCAACCGAGATGTCCGCAAGCAGAGAGTCCTGCTTGGTCATGAGCTGGGAAACGACGTGCTCGAGGTGGTGGCCCAAGGCACGCATGCGACCCTCGGGAATGATGTTGGCATCATACGTCATGAGGAAGTTGACAGAGTCGGCATGAGTGATTGCCTCCAGGACCATCGGGTAGCTGAAGTACCCCTCGAGCGCCTCGGCCGAGTTGACGAAGTCCGAAGTAACTTGCCGCAGCACGCTGGAGTATGGCGCCGCGACGGCCTCGGCAGGCTGCACGATGAGCAGGCTGTCAAAGTCGCAGGCGGCGCGGACGTCGTCGCCGATGCGGGCAATGTTCTGCAGGCCGTACTGCTCAAAGGCGACCATGTCGGCGGCCTGGGCCTGGACACCGGCGAGGAAGTCGGCGACGGACTGGAGTGGGTCCAGTCGGAGCCGGACGGGGACGGTCGCCACTGCGGGGCCGGCCATGCGCTCCACCCCGGCGACCGGAGCATGCCGGCCGGACACGGTCGAGCCGAAGCACACGTCCGCCGTGTCCCCGTACCGTGCAAGCACCAGCGCCCACGCCGCACGCAGCACCGTCGCCTGGGTGATGGACGAGTCGCTGCCGTGCGTGCGGGGAATCGTGGCGGTAGTCTCGAACGACTGGGTCAGGGGCTTGCGGGTCGCGATGCTGCTACCGTTGTTGTTGTCGTCTTGCACGAACGCGAGCTTCTGCGCACCAGCGAGCTCGGCACGCCAGTACTCGGTAGCAGCGTCACGGTCGATATTGGCCACGTAGCGGATAAAGTCGGCGCAGCGCACCACCGACGGCACGGTACCATCAGTGTACAGGCTGCACAGGCTCTCCATCACGAGTCCCATGCTCCATCCGTCAAAGATGGCGTGGTGCATGACGATCACAAAATACCACTTATCGGCCTCTTCGATAAGGGCATAGCGGCACAGGCGCGATCCATACTCCATGGCCTCGACGCCGAGTGCCTCCAGGGTTGCCACCAAAGTCCGACCGGCAGTTTGCTCCCAGGTCGGCGGCTCCCGGATGACGGCCTGCACGGAGACGCCTTGGTGAAGTATGAAGCGCGTGCGGAGGTTTGTGCACTCGACGAGTGTTGTTTCCCACGCAGCGCGGAAAGCCTCCATGTCAACGGAGGACGGCAGCTCATAGACGCGCTTGGCAATGTAGGAGCCGGGCTGCTTCACGGCCAAGGCCATGAGACCCTCCTGCAGTGGTGTGCAAAGATATGCGTCCTCAATCTCTTGCAGACCACCATCGAGGTGGCAGACTTCCGATATTACTGCTTTGATCTGCTCGACATCTTGTCCGGCAGGAAGCAGCTCAAAAGGTGCCGCGCTCTGTGCGCTGACGTCTTCCTCCTCCTGGCTAGCCTCAACCGCGTTGGCTACGGCCTTGGCCGTCACTGATGACAGACGGGGGTCGGAGAAGATGTTATGCACCGTAAGTGGGAATCCGGCCTCCCGCGCAGCCGTGACGAGATGGATGGCGCTAATCGAGTCACCACCGATGCGCAGGAAACTGTCGTCGCGGCCAATCGAGGTGGTCGGGATCTTGAGCACAGCAGCCCAGACAGCCTGCATGCGCTCTTCCGCCTCGGTCTCCACGGGCCGCTTGTCCGTCTCGCCGAGAGTGTAGCTCGCCAAGACTTCCCGGGGCAAGTCGCCTGCTGCCGTGCGCAGACCGCGTCTGTCGATCTTGGTCGAGCTGATGGATGGGATATAGCGACAAGGGATAAAGAGGGTCGGGATCATGTAGTTAGGCAGGGCGATATTCAGAGCTCCGACCATGCCGACCAGCTGCTGTCTGAGCTCTGTCTCCAACGGCAGAAGAACATCCTGAGACGACATGCGCACCTCATCGCTGAAGCAGAGGAAGGCGACCAACATGGCCGACGACTCGGTGCGCAGGACATCAACAACAACCGTCTTCAGGTCGGGCATGTTCTTCTCAATGTAGTGCTCGACCTCGCTCAGCTCGACCCGCAAGCCGCGGATCTTGACCTGCGTGTCCTTGCGGGTCACGAAATCAATCGAGCCGTGGCCATTGTACACGCAGAGATCACCCGACTTGAACGCCCGGTTCCAGCCCGGCTGGTTCCCCTGAGGTGCCCAGGGCAGAGCAGACTTGAGAACCGCCGCGTCCGTCTTGACGGGGTCGGCGAGGTACTCGCGCAGCAGAGTCGGGCCCTGGATGACCACTTCACCGACACACCCGATCGGTGCCAGCTGGGCCGGGTCTGTCGGATCCACGATCCAGCAGAACCCTCCGATCGGTCGACCAATCGTCATGGGCGACTCGTGGGCCGAGGTGAACTCGTGGAACGTGCTCAGGACACAGGTCTCGGCCGGGCCCCAGCCGTTAATCAGCCGGATACGACCAGCCCAGGTGCTTAAGATATCCCTAGTCACAGCCTCGCCGGCGAGGACCATAAGCTTCAGGCCAGGAATCCTGGACGGGTGCAGCGTGCGGGCAAACGCGGGGGTAAACCACGCCCAGGTGACGCCGCGATCCTCGATGAACTTCTCGAGACCGCTCAGCCGCGTGCTGTCGGCGGGAACACACAGCTGGGCACCCACAAGCATCGCCCCGACCGTCTCACCAACGCACATGTCAAACACGTACGAGGCAAACTGGAGCATGCGCTCGCGGCTCGTCATGCCGAGGGGTCGCACGAGCTCCGTCTGGCTCGTACACAGCGAGCGGTGGCTCATGACTAAACCCTTGGGCAGGCCGGTGCTGCCGGACGTGAAGAGGACGTAAGCGGCATTGTCGGAGCTCACGCCGGAGCCGGCGGGTTTGGGAGCCAGGCCATGTTTCTGGATAAGTTGCTCGTCGAGCTTTGGATTAACGATGACAACCTGGGATACCAGCTCTGAGCACCGCGAAGACTGCAGCGGGGACGACAACGCCACCCGCGCACAGGTCTGCTGGACGACTTGCCTCTGGCGCTGGATGGGGTGGCTAGGCTCGAGAGGCACCCACGCCGCGCCGGCCTTGTTAATGGCGAAAATCGCCACGAAGAACCAGAGGGATTTCTCAAAGCACACGTGGACGAGGTCGCCCGTCGCCACGCCATATGTATCCATCAGCTCATGAGCTAGACGGTCGGCCGCGGCGTTGAGGCCCGAGTAGGTCAGTTGTCCGTCCCAGGCATCAATAGCAACCGCATCGGGCGTTTTGAGCGCGTGCTCGGCGATAAAAGAGTGCAGGCATCTGTCGATGATCTCGGGTGCGTCGCCGTTGCGCTGCTTGGCCTGCTCTACATCCCATGGCCCAACCACAGAGATGGATCCCAAGGTGCTGGTCTTTGTGGCGCCGACGAGTTGCTGGATGACATGGCCGAGGTGGTGAGAGAGAGCATCCATGCGACTCTGGGACACCACGTCGGCGTTGTACACAAGCATAAGCTCGATGCGGTCTTCGTATGGCACGGCCTCGAGCAGCAGAGGGTAGTTGAAGTAGCCAGTCAGGGACGACTCGGCGCTGTATGCCGTGTCGTCTGCAACCAGCAGCTGGTCCGCCTCGCCCGTCAGGTTGGCCACGATCTTCGCGGGCTGGACCACCAGCATGCTCGTGAGGTCGCAGGCAGCCTTGGCTTCTGCGGAGAGCGCCGCAATGTTTTGTAAGCCGTACTGCTCGAAGGCGACCATTTCTGCGGCCTGCGCTTGGACATGTTGCAAGAAATCGGCCACGGGCTGAGCACGATCGAGCTGAAGGCGGATCGGGACCGCCGCGATGGCCGGACCTGCCATCTGGGTGATGCCCGGCACTGGCGCCTGGCGTCCAGAGGTCGCAGTGCCAAAGCACACGTCCGTGGCGTCGCAGTAACGCGCGAGCACAATGGCCCAGGCGGCACGCAGGATCGTGGCCTTGGTAATAGATGAGCCACCATTTTGAGGGATGGGAATCGTGGTCTCGAGCACCTGTGTGGTACCCAGTGCGGTGGTGTCGACCGCACCTTGGGCGCCCAAGACGGCCGGGAACGAGGACTGCTGAGCACCGGCGAGCTCTTCTCGCCAGTAATCAGCCGCAGCATCGGCGTCGATCCCAGCAGTGTAGTTGATGAAGCCCGAGTATGGCTCGAGCACGGGGACCTCGTCGCCGTTGTAGAACCCACGAAGCGCGTCAAGGATCAGTCCCACGCTCCAGCCATCAAAAACGGCATGGTGCACAATGACCATGAAGTAGACTTGCCCGTCACTCTGCTTGGCCAGGGCATATCGGCAGAGTGATGTTCCGTACTGCATCTGGATCTTGCCGGCCGCCTCGACCATGTCGTTGAGGCTGTTGTATCGTGGCATGTCCGTGGGAACATCGTCACGAACCACAACCTGGACAGACCGCCCCTGGTACCAGAAGACCCTGGTGCGCAGATTGGCACAAAGGTCGATGGTGGATTGCCAAGCTTTCTCAAAGCGATCGAGGTCGACATTGTCAGACAGGCGGTAGACGAGCTTGGCAATGTACGATCCAGGCTGCTTGACCGAGAGAGCCATGAGACCTTCCTGGAGCGACGAGCAAGGATAGGCATCATCGATCTCCTGGCTAGAAACGAGGCTGCATTCGCGCGCCGCGGCGTCTCTCAGATGCTCCAGATCGGCATCCGGAAGCAGGCTGAAGGGCTCAACGTCGTAGACTTCCTCCTGTTGATTCTGCACGGCCTTGGCCGTCACAGCGAGCAGGCGGGCGTCGTCAAAGATGTCGTGCACTGTCAGGGAGAACCCTGCCTCGCGAGCCGCAGTGACGAGCGCGATGGCACTGATGGAATCACCACCCAGGCGGAAGAAGCTGTCGTCGCGGCCAATGAGCTCTGGCGAGATCTTGAGGACATTGGCCCAGACTGCCTGCATGCTGCTCTCTTGAGCGCTGGCCATGGCCCGCTTGTCGCTGCCGACCAAGGTGTATCCAGACAGGGACTCCCTCGTCAACGCAGCAGCAGCAGCCCGGAGGCTGTTGCGATCCACCTTTGTCGATCCGATGAAGGGAAGGTATTGGCATGGAAGGAACAAGCCGGGGATCATGTAATTGGGGAGTACAACTCCAAGCTTGCCAATAACGGCAACCAGCTTCTCCTTGAGCTCTGGGTCCAGCGAAGCAAAGAGCGCCTCGGGTGTGTGCTTTTCACCACCGCTCGACACCTTGACCTCACTTGTGAAGCAGAGGAAAGCCACCAGCGTCGCCGTGGACCCATCGCGGAGCACATCAACGACTACTCGATGGACTCCCTCTGTAGCTGCTTGAAGGTGGTGCTCGATTTCGCCAAGCTCGACACGGAGACCACGGATCTTGACCTGGGTATCCTTGCGGCTGATAAAGTCGATGGCGCCGGCGCTGTTGTACACGGCCAAGTCACCAGACTTGAAGAAGCGGTTCCAGTTCTCGAGCTGAGGAGCCCACGAAGGCAGAGGAGTAACTGTGGCGGCATCGGTGCGCACAGGATCGGCAAGGTACTCCCTGAGCAGTGTGGGACCTTGAATCACGACCTCTCCCACGCAGCCGATGGGCGCGAGGCTGCTTTGGTCCTCTGCGTCGACGATCCAGCAGAAGCTGCCGACAGGTTTACCGACAGTGAGGGGGCTCTCTGTAGCTGATTCCCACTCATGCAGGGTGCTGAAGACACAGGTCTCGGCAGGGCCCCAGCCGTTGATGAGACGCACATGGCCAAACCAGGTATCCAGGATGTCCTGGCCGACTGCCTCGCCAGCAAGCAGCAGCAGCTCGAGGCTCGGCGTGTCCTGTGGGCGGATCGTCCTGGCGAACGCAGGGGTGAGGAAGGCCCAGTTGATGTCCATTGTAGTAATGTACTCTTCAATGCCGTTGAGACGAGTGGCATCTGGTGGAACACAGAGCTGGGCTCCAGTAATAAGGGGAGCGACGATCTCACCGATGCAGAGATCGAAGACGAACGAGGCGAACTGGAGCATGCGAACGTCGGGCGTAAGCTGCAGGCGGGCTGCAATGGCCGTCTGACTAGCACACACGGCACCGTGCTGCATCACGAGACCCTTGGGCACACCTGTACTTCCTGAAGTGAAAAGGACGTACACGGCGTGCTCGGGCGTGACGGCGGAGACGAAATTGTGGCTGGCATCCCCTGACGCCTCCTCGCTGCGTAGTGTGTCGTCAAGAACGGCAGAAACGACCAGAACATTTTCGACGAGGTTGCGGCACTTTGAAGCTTGTAGTTCAGAAGCCAGGATGAGGGTCGCGCCCGTCTGGCTGATGATCTGCTTCTGTCTCTGCTCTGGATGGCCTGGGTCGAGCGGCACCCAGGCGGCGCCGACCTTGTTCACTGCGAGCATGGCCACAAAGAACCAAGCCGATTTCTCGAAGCAGACGTGAACCAAATCTCCCACGCCTGCAGCTCCGTCTCGGGCAATTCTGGAAGCCAGACGGTTTGCCGCGGCGTTGAACTCGGCGTACGTCAGCTCGGCATCCCAAGCCCGGATCGCAATAGCGTCAGGTCGCTCACGGGCCTGGCGCTCGATCAGCTGGTGGACGCAGGCGTGGAGGGGTTCAGGATCCTCGCCGTTGTACTCGATTGCCTGGCCGAGGTCCCAGGGTCCAGAGATGCTGACGGACGAGAGAGCCTCGTGCTGCAGCTCCTCGTCAAAGAGCTGCTGTGCTGTGTGGTTCAGGTGCTGGGAGAGAGCCTCAGCCTGGCTGTCCGGCACCACGGCAGGGTCATACATGAGCATGAGCTGGACGTAGCTCTCGTGCGTGACAGCCTGCACCACAAGAGGGTAGCTGAAGTAGCCGTCCAGAGACCCGTCGACCTTGTAGGCGTCAAGGCCGGTCGTCGTGAACAGCCCACCACTGCCGTTCATGTCCTCTACGAGCTTGGCAGGCTGAATAACCATCAGGCTCGTAAAGTCGCAGGCCTCCTTTGCGGCAGCGTTCAGCTTGGCAATGTTCTGCAAGCCGTACTGCTCAAAGGCGGTCATGTCGGTGGCTTGAGTCTGCAGAGCCCGCAGGAAATTGCCTACAGATTGCCGTTGGTCCATCTTGACCCTCACGGGCACAGTAGCGACTGCAGGGCCGGCCATTCTCTCGATTCCAGGAACCGGAGCCTGGCGACCAGACACGGCAACACCAAAGCACACATCATCGGCGTCGCAGTATCTCGCCAGGACCAAAGCCCACGCGGCCCGGAGGAGCGTGGCCTTGGTGACAGATGACTTGTTGCTCAACTGACGCAGATCCATCGTGGTCTCGAGGACTTGTGTCGTCTCGGCCATGCGGTCACGTTCCTGGCGCGGCCACGATGCAAGCTGTGCTCCCTCAAGCTGCGAAGCCCAGTAAGTGGCGGCACCGGGGTTAGGTCGGCTGGTGTACTCGACAAAGGCCGAACATGGCTCCAGTACAGGCGCACTGCCACCATCGTACAGGGTCTGCAAGGTCTCGAGCATCAGGCTCATGCTCCAGCCATCAAAGACGGCATGGTGGATGAGCAGGACAAAGTATCGAGGACCCGAGACCCCCGTGTCGACCAGGGCATACCTACACAGGCGAGATCCGTACTGCATGTCGACCCCCTTGGTCTCGTCGAGCACGGCGGAGAGATCCGATGACGACAGGCTTGTCTCCTCCCACTCTGCGGACTCGCGGATGCTGGCCTGCACAGATACGCCGTTGTACAAGACGATCCGGGTGCGCAGGTTGGCGCAGGACTCAACGGTGCGCTCCCACGCGGCCTTGAAGCCATCAAGATCTACCCTCTCGGCAAGCTCGTACACGTGCTTGGCAATATACGAGCCGGGTTGCTTCGCGGCTAGAGCCATCAGGCCTTCCTGTAGCGGCGTGCAAGGGTACGCATCCTCAATGGCTTGTGCGGTGTTGTCGAGAGCACACTCGGCGGAGATGTAGGTCTTGAGAGCCTCGTGGTCAACCTCGGCCGGGAGGAGGTTGAACGGTTGTCTCGCTGCAGCGGCCAGGCTGTCGGCTGCCTGGGCAGTGCGGGTAGCCTTGGCCGCAACGGCGGACAGCCGCGGGTCGCTAAAGATCTGCTGCACGGTGACTTGGAGGCCGACCTGACGAGCAGCCGTCACGACCTGGATTGCACCAATCGAATCACCTCCAATCTCGAGGAAGCTGTCGTCTCGACCGATCTGGGGAGCTGGGCGAGCCAGGACAAGCGCCCAGACATCTTGCAGCTGAGTCTCGGTGTCGGTGAGCGGCTGATCGAGGGAGGAGTCGGATGCAAAGTCAGAAGGAGAGGAGGCCATAAGCAGGGTGTTGATGTCCTTCTCCGCAGACACAAGACTGGCAAACTGCTTCCGGTCGACCTTGCCCGAGACGGTGAGCTTTGGCTGGCCCGCGAGCACAAAGTACACGGTCGGGACCATGTACCCTGGCAGTCGCTGGCCCAGTGTAGTTCTCAACCCGCCAGTCAGGCGCCGGTCTTCCGAAGACAGCTGCTCGACGAGTCTGAGAGGCTGCTGCTGCTTGTCCCCTCCTTCAGTCCTAGCCGGCTGCTTGGTCCAGATGAACGCAGAGAGCAGCTTCTGGCCCTTGCCGGCGGTGTTGCTGTCATTGTGAGTAGTAAGTACATCCACCATACCGGTCAGGCCACTCGGCAAGACCTCGTGCAGGTGTGTCTCAATTTCGCCGAGCTCGATACGCTGGCCGTGGAGCTTGACCTGTGTGTCCTTGCGGCCAATGTACGTAAACGTCCCGTCGTCGTTGAGGCGCACCAGATCACCAGTGAGGTAGCCCCGGCTTGCCTGGGAGGACGGCGACGATGACGACGACCACGGCACATTCTCGACCCAGTTGGCAGAGGCCTTGGGGTCGTGCGTGAGGTATCCTCGCGCAAGCATGGGCCCCTGAACGAGCAGCTCACCAATGCAGCCAGCGGGGAGGAGCTGCTTGCTGTTGGTGGGACTGACCACCCAGAACGCGCTTGCGAGGGGTGTGCCGATGTTAGTAGACTTGGAGGACGTACCTAGGCTGGCGTTCCACGCGCACGTCGAGGCCTCTGCCGGGCCGTAGATGCCGTGGAACGAGTTGTTGGCGCCGGCCGTGGCGGCGTGGCCCTTCCACTTGTCGACGACGCCCTTGGTCACGGCCTCGCCTGCGAGCGCGAGAGTCTGTAGCCCAGGGACATCGGCGGGAGAGAGGAGGTCGGCCACGGTCGGCGTGAGGAGGGCCCAGTTGGCCCGGAGGCTGTTGATGGCGCCGGCGAGGTCGTTGACGCGGGCCTCCTCGGACGGAATGCACACGCACCCGCCACGCATCAAGGTGACGAGCACATCGAGCACGCCAATGTCGAAGGTGTAGGACGAGAACTGGAGGACACGCGTGCCCGGTCCAACGCCAAGCGCGGTGCCGTATGCTTCGGCTGTCGAGCAGAAACCATTGTGCTGCATGACGATGCCCTTGGGGCGGCCAGTACTGCCAGACGTGAAGAGAATGACGGATGCATTGTCTGGTCGGACTGCCGCCGAGGCGGTGACACCGCTCTCCTCAACAGTGGGCAGAGCAGTGAGCAGGTCCTCGTCGACGGTGAGGACGTCCAGTCCCATGTCGACAAGCTTGGACGAGCTCGAGGCTCCCACGAGGGCCACGGTAGCCGAGGTGTCGGCCAGAACACTCTGCAGGCGCAGTCTCGGCGCCCCTGGATCCAGGGGAACAAAAGCGGCGCCGGCCATCTGTACCGCAACCATGGCAACTGCTGCCCACTTGGACTTGTGGAAGCATACGGGCACGAGATCCTCTGGCCCGAGACCAAGCTGCTGGAGCTTGGACGCGAGGCGGAAGGCGTGCGCGCCGAGCTCTGTGTAGGTGAGGTCACCATCCCATGCCACCACGGCGGCCTCGTTGGGCCTCAAGCGGATCTGCTCCATAATCTTCCAGTGCGTGCAGGCATGAGTTGCAGGAGGCAATGTCTGTGCAGCAGTCATCCTGGCCAAGTCGGTGTTGCTGACCATGTCAATAGCCGAGATGCTGCTGACGGGGTCGTGGACAAGGCTGTTGACTACGTGCACAAAGCATGCACCGAGGCTGGTGGCCTGGGCTCGCGTCATGACGGTGCCAAAGTAGTCCACAGCCACTGTCAATTCTGCCGGGCCGATCTCGATGTTCAGAGTAATGTCGTACTGTAACGAGGCAAAGGTGAGGTCATGTCAGTGGCTCACTCGCTCACTCCACAAATCGCTTCAAGTATCTGCTCCTGCTTACCTCGGTAGGAGCGTGACTGGCTCTCAACTTGACATCAATCTCCCTCTCGGGCCTCTTGTCTTCAGGCATCGCATACATGACCGATAGGAGCGTGTTGAAGAGTCGCCTGGTGCCCGGGGCAACCGCGTGCTGGATCTCAGCCAGCGACACATCCTGGTTATCCATGCTGTCGCCGAGCTGGGCCATGAGCTGTCTCACCAGCTCCTGTCCGCTTTGCACTCCGCTGCCGCCCTCGGTAAAGTCGATACGGCAAATGAGCATGTTGATCAGTGGTCCGATCATGCTGGCCATCCCGGGGAGCGGAAGGTCGCGCGTGGCGGACAGGTAGCCGAACGAAACATCGTCAGTCATGGTGTACCCGCGGAGGACAATTGCCCAGGCGGCCTTGAGGAGCGCCGCGACGGTAATCGAATGGGTCTTGCAAAAGTCCCGGACCATCGGCGACGCAATCCTGGCCGAGACGCTCTCCATCTTGGTCGGCGTGCTCGCAACTTGGTCAGTCAGCGTGGGGAAGAGGCTTGGCTTGACGTCCAGCAAAAGCGTCTTCCAGTAGTCCATCTGCGCCTCCATGGCCTTGGACTGCGGATAGGCGATGAACTGTTCCATGTCAGCGCGGCCCTCCTCAGGCTTCTGCCCGCTATAGGCGCGCGAGAGGCTAGTGAAGAGGTGGAAGACAGAGATGCCATCAATCACAGCGTGGCTGATCTCAAGCTTGCAGTAGGCACGCCCGTCCGCAGTCTCACCCACAGCCAGCCGGTGGGCCGGCTGGTCCTTGACGAACAAGGCCTCGTCGAGACCCTCGAGGGCCGCGACGACCTCGTCGCTGTTGGCGAACTTGCCGCAGTAGGCAAGCTCGGCGGCGGTGTTGCGGAGGACGACCTGCTCAAACATGGCACCGCCACGTGCGCTGGGGACAAACACGGTCCTCAGGGCCGCGTGCTGGGCTACGACGTCGTTCCATGCCGCCTGCAGACGCGCCAGGTCGAGGGGCGTGGCTGCTGTTCGACTGGACACTTCAAAGACGCAGGAGATACGATAGACATCGGACGATGTCACTTGAGACAGCAGAATACCGTCCTGGAGTGGTGTCGTGGGGTATACGCTCTGGATCTTGTCAAGGCCAACCTCTTCAATGCCTTGGGAAAATGCATCAAGCTCGTCATGCGAAAGTGTCAAGTTGGGAAAGTCGCCAAGCGACAATATGATGCCAGACTTGGTGACGAGACGTGATGGCTCGGTCTCGAGCAGGTTGCGGCAGCTCTCGAACCATTCTTGGAGCTGCTGCACATTCTGCTTGAGAGCCAATGGGTAGTCGAAGGAGATATCCACCCGGTGGTCGTTGGCATCGATCTTGATATTGAAGATAGACGACGATGCCACGCCTTTAATGGTGGCGACAGGGGTTTCAATGGCAGACCCCTGTCCACCGATGTCGCAAGTGATGCAGAGTTCCGTGCCAAGAGCGACGGTCGCGACCTTGTCGTCACGAGCCGACGCCACAGCATCTTTGGTACATCTGACGGCCAACCTGAAACTATCGGGATTGGCTTGCTGAGCGGCATTATGGGAGGGAATCTTGAAGGTCAGCGTCGCCTGTTCCGACTGGACGGCCACCGGCTCGTCAACTCCACCAAAGGTCTTGCAGAACGACTGCTGGACCGTAGTGACGAAGACGGCCTGCAAAGACGAGATATCGCGGATCTTGCGTGCCGAAGCCGCAGCCTGGCTTGAAAGCGAGAAGCGGTAGGACTCGCGATGCTCGGCATCGAGGTCCCGCTCTCGGAGATTCCAATGCGCAAGGCCGCGAATCGGCGACAACGCGCCTGGCCGAGCCACATCCGCAGCGGGACGAGCGGCCGCCTGTTGCGAAGAAACCGCACTTTTGCGACGAGCGAGCTCTGCCAGCTCGGCAATGCTCGCGGCGCCGACAATCTCGCGAACTCTGAGTTCCAGCCCGGCCGCCTGGCACCTGGACAGCACCTCGACGGCACGAATCGAGTCACCACCGAGCTTGGCAAAGGACGAATCCAGCGCCACGTCGGCAATGGGGATATTCAGGACGTCGGCGATGACGGCTCGGAGGGTTCGCTGCGTAGGATTGTCGGAAGAAGTGACGCCCAGCCTTGCGAGCTGCTGGGTAAGCGATTCGTCGTCGTCAATGTCGTCCACCACGACCCAGGTGCTCGGAACCTTGGTCCCGGCATTGGCCTCGTGCCAGAGGCGTCGCGAGGCCTTGCGGAGGCGCTTCACAATCGCCGAGGTCTCCTCGTCCCCGGCCGGCGCTGCCGTCTCGTTCAGGGCCAGCGCAACCACCCATTTCGCATCCTCTTGGATGTCTGTCGAGAGATTCAAGACGCGTGCTTGCCTCACGGCCGCGTCCTTGAGCAGAAACTGCTCCATTGTAGAATTTGATGAAAACATGTCTGTTGTTGTGCAATCTGTGTGTCTGTGTTGGTAGTGTCGCTACTGTGTGTGTCTGTGTGTCTGTGTGTGTATCTTGTGATGCTGTGAACAAAAGGTCTGATTCGCAATGTTTCAAAGGCTTGCTTGCTTGTCCGCTTGCTTGCTGCACAGCTGGCTTCCTTGATTGGATCAACCTAGATGGTTCGCGATCAGGAAAACTTGGGACGAAGCTTGCAGGAGTGCGTTCTTGCGAACTCGGGGCATTGGCAACCGGAAAGGATTGGGTCCGCGACAGAGCAAGCCCCCAGCCACCAATCACCATCGTAGCCTGTCCGACTTACAGCTCTCCTGCAGGGATCAGCATCCTCGGAGAGGACCCTGAGTCGTTGAGCCGCAGCTGGGCATCTCAGCTGCCCCGGTCAGCCTTACCAGCCCGCATGGGGGACGTTGCTCTCAGCCATCACGTCAGCGCACGGTCACTACACAGTGTTCATATGTCCCATGCCACCTCGTTCAGTGGGCGAGCCTGTGTGGATGTGGTACTGTGATTGACCAGGATACGCACAGTCAGGGTACTTATCGCCACCCGTAATGTCTTGTGTCGTGACCACGGCCGTGCGTTTCTTCAACCGCCCCAGCGGGAGCATCCGACCCTTGCCACTTGCAGCAACGTGGGGCTTCCCAGGACCCACGTACATGGATCTGACAGCTTTGGCCATGTAGTGTCACTGTTTCTCTCGCCTTGAGGGGCTGAGGTGCATGCGTTGGCGTGGGCCACGCTGCGCTATATCCGGGGGTAGTAATGCAGCCTCGTGGTCTGCAGGCATCCAGGGTCATCCGAGCAGGGGACAATCCTGGTCCACACCTCAGCCATGACACTAGACGCGACTAGAAGTGCTCATGTTTTGTACGCTATAGTGGATGGATGTCGCTCACATACATAATCACCATGCCCTGCCCCTCTCCTCTTTCCTGAAGGGCGAGTCTCAGCACATAGTGTACCCTGCACGGACTCGGCCCCCATGGAAGCCTTTTGTGCTATTTTTGCTCCCTGTCACTTGCTTGCCTGCCTGTGTGCCTCTCCCTCACCCCCTGTCCTTGCATTAGGGAGGACTCGGAATTGTGCAGCAAGGGTTCCCGATTAAGCTCGCCGGCCCTCAATGCATGGCGACCGTTGAACTTGTGCACGCTAGGGCCAACGATGACAACAAAGGGCTCATGGTGAGCTTCCTCCTAGGCAGGCGCTAGGTTTACAAGCGGAGGAAGAAAACTGGTGGATGCAGCACAGTATTGGCCACACAGCAATATGATTTGGGACGCGAGGATAGAATTGATACTGCAGAAATGTTTAATGCCAACACAATACCGTGAATAACAGCTGAGATGACCTAACGTTGAAGCTTCGTGACTTGGTGTGGTTTGTTTGAGAGAGAATGTCGTAGTTTCGTCCCAGCGTGCATCAATCTGTTGCATTTTCGATTAGTTTTGAATTATTGAATGACTTTCGTGATTTTTATTGAAGTGTTGACATCACACTGTTTTTGGAGGAGCATAGTTGGTGGTGGTTGTTATCATGATTTTGGATGTTGTTGTTCACAATTGACAACAATGTCAAGAAAATCTACAAAAATCTAAATAAATTGCTCAAACACGCTAACAAAGCAAATAACAGACAGGCGATGCTCTTTTGCTTTGTCCAAGTCGTGAAATATTGCATGCTCACCACAACCAACACGTTGCAAATATTGTCCATTTCTATCGTCGTCGTTATTCTGCTTCTTGAGGTCACTCTGGGCGGTCTTTCGGGTGTGTTGTGGGGTAGCATGGGTCTTGTGTGGCCTGTGCTCCACGCTTTGCCAAGGTGCAGGATGCGAGTGACGCGTTAAATGTCTCGTGCTTTCGACGCGTCGATCAACACTTTTCTGGTTGTCACCAAACAATTACAAAAACCAGGTACGGGCACAGAACAAGAACCACGATATCTACCACACAACATTCGAACAGACCAGAAACAGACTGAGGACCAGTGACTAGTCCCGTCAATCATTGGCACATGCTGCACAAAGACTCCAGGCAGTGGGTGATGCACAATGCAATTCTAGGAGACGTATCTAAATGTCTATGGCTCATTATTTCATTATTTCATGATTTTGAGACTGTCCAGAGCCGCAAGGCACTCATTCAGCTCGCGCGTTACTTGGTTGACCTGGGAGAATACAAAAGCTGTCAGTCCCAAAGTCTCTTCTGCACCAGTGGCAGCCAAGCGGGAGGCGGCTAGTGCCACAGCCTGGAAATGCAGAACGGGAAGAAGAGAAGAAAAGGAAATCCACTCACATGGGAAAACTGAAAGACGTTGAAATGGCTCTCCTCGGTGTCAACAATGACCTTGATAAAGTCGTGGTAGTGATCGCCCCAGCCGAGGTAAGGGTCTGCGCGGTACAGATCCACCTGCGACGCGCCCTCTGGCGCGTCACCCTCTGTAGCGGTGGGCAGGACACAGCGGATCAGCAGGGCTGGGGGCAGGCCAGAGCTGTCGCGGGCCAGCGCGGCGGCAGGCGAGAACCGTCCGCTGTCCGAGTCTGGCGGCGAAGGAGGAGCCTGTGCCTCTGCCCGCTGAGCGGCTGTGAACGACTTTGCCTCGACGACGTGCCACTTGCCGTCGAGCGTCTTGTGCATGGCCGTGCCGGGCTGGACAGTGAAGCTGCGGCCGCTGCCGACGGAGAAGCGCACGGGCTGGGAGCCACATGCTGGATCGTCAAACTCGGGCAGCTCCCACGTCTGCAGCATGCCGTCAGCAATGTTGAACGACTTGCGGACCAGTTCGGGAAGGTGGTCCAGCTTCGGCGCCGCGTCGCAGGGGGTGAGCTGGCTGGCGGGCAGGTGGAACGGCGAGTCGACCAGCACGAGCCCGCTGACGCTAAAGGGGCTTGAGACCCTGTCCTTGAGCTTGTGGGCGATGAGCAGGGCAAGGTAGCCGCCCAGGGACCAACCTGTTTTTTTTTTTTTGGGACAAGCCGCAGAGTCAGACACTAGGCTTGTATTACAAGAACAATAACAGCAATAGCAAAATGCATGGTCAATCAAGTCATGTATGTGGCTTTGTTTTGATTTACCTCCAAGCAGCACTGGGCCCCTGATGCCCGCCTTCTCAATCAGCGCAATGTAATGGTCGGCCATCTCGTCCATGCCGCCCGCCCAGGGCTCCGCCGTCGAGTAGTGCGGGTTGCTGACGCCCCAGACCTTACGCTTGAGGTTGCCCAGGCTGAAGTAGCCAAAGACGGTGCCGCCGCCATCGTGGATGAGCACCAGCGGCTTGGCTGCAGCAGCATGACTGCCCCGGAGTGGCCCCGGCTGCACCACCACGGGGTTCTGGTCCATCGTGTGTATGCGTCTGTGTCTGGATCCGTCGTCGACAATTATGCCAAGATTGCGGATGCACTTCGTCTGGGCGTCTATTCGTCAGGCGTAGAGCAAGGGGGGGCCTGGTTGATGGTCTCCGCTTCGTTGACAATATGCACGACTGAAGCACGGATTTCCCAAGTTGCGTTGCGGACTACTGTCATGATAATGAATCTGAGGTGAACCGTGACAGTCAGAGTGCCACGAGAACTGACAGCCTGGTGTCAGTCATGTCTCTACGTGATGCGTGCACGCAGATCGCGATCGCGACATGTCTCCGTCAGAATCAGATGTTGGCGTGATGAGCATCACGACGGCCAGTGTGGTCCCTGTGCACGCATCACCGCAGAGGCAGGTCTGCTGTACGGCCAGCAGCACCCTGCGTACGTGATGAATGAGAAGTGCTCCGGGGAGGCCCCGCCTCAAGTCAGGAGCGGGGAGTGCTGGACGCGCCTCTGACAGCATTACGTTGACTGGCCTGGCTTACATACGCCGTGTTGTTTATTACATCCACCTGGGTACGTACCACATCAGTATTACGCCAAGACGTCCATTGGGGGAATCCGGACAGCGCTGTCCCACTGGTTTCAGGGGTCAGCTACAGGCAACCAGCCCTCTCTTGCTGGTCACAGTGGCAGAAGAGCACCCAGCTGGTAACGCAGCATAGCCAGCCGGGGCGGACCTCTAAGGTGCTGCTCTCCAAAGTTTGAAAGTCTGCAGATCACGGGACCCAGTTTGGCTGTCCACGCAAAGTTGTCGTGGGTAATGCGGAAACACGGTGCACAGGAGCAGCCCAAGCTTTTTTCCACAGCGAAACATGGGTCCCCATCACGCGGGACGCGCCACTGTACCTGCACTGCACTCATGCCTTTGCGGCCTCGCCCGCAAAGCCAAGTAGGTTGTGACCATCTCAAGGTATTGCAGTCTCCCTCAGTAGGCAGTGCAGCAGCAGATTCACCACTAGAATCTCGTGGCTGTACCTGTTTGCAGCCAGCTCTAAACTAGGAAGCCCTCCCCAAGCAGCATCTAATTACGAATCAGGCCATAACTACAGTCCTGGCCTGGCATCACCTCATCCACAAACTGGCAGTACACCCACACTCGTGATAGCCTGGCCGGGCTGTCAAAGAAGCGCGTCTCCTCTCGAATCTAGTCAGACCATCAGACCATTTGTTACCCAGCCCATCGTAATCATCCTGGTGCCACACCTTGGCCAGCACGAGACGTCATGCTCAGTAGGACCGCCAGCCAGACGACACTTTTGTCTGCATGAGCATAGACAACACTCCATGTTCAGCCTCAATGTATAATACCCATTAGAAGTGTCCACGTTCCAGCTCAATCGCGAGCTCGCAATCTCAACCCGTCAGCCAACGAACGTCATATCTGTCAAAGCTACCGTCACAATCCGCAGGCTAGGTGACATTCGGCCTTTCATCCCTTGCCCCCTGCACCGCAGCATAGAAGTGCCACACACACACAAACACACACACACACACACACACACACACACACACGCACATACATACATTCGCACCCATACCCTGTAAGAGCCATGGCTGTCAGCAAGCCCTACCGGCTGGAGGTCAAGGTGCTCGACGCGTCGCGCTACAAGTCGGCCGACCCTGCGGAGCGCAAAGCATATGCAGCCCAGCTCGTGCAGGGTCTCATGCAGGACGGCTTCGTCAAGATTGTGAATCATGGTATTCCTCGTTCGGTCATCGAGGAGGCAATGGCAACAGTAAATGCAACCCTGGGCAATGACACTTCCTTCCGTCTGCGCCTCCGCTCGAATGCAAAGTGAGCGGCTTTTGATCGGTGACAGATTTGCTGATGAACTTTCTCTGCCCTGCACCTCCCCTGCTTCTAGTCCAAGAGATTCTTCAGTCTACCTGATTCTGTCAAGCGCCAGATCGAGCACGTTCCCGGGCCGGACCCGCAGCGCGGCTGGAGCCGTGTCGGATCCGAGAGCACCGCCAAGCTCTTTGGCGCGCTCAAGGAGAACGGTGAGGTCATTACCGACACAGACTCCAAGGTTAGTCCCTCCTCTCTTTTCGAAGTCAGGGTTCTCCTGCCCACACTTTCCGATGCCACGTCCGAGCCCGTAACCATGGCGAGCCCCACGCGAAGTGTTTCTATGAGCTGCAAAGGCTAAGTTCAGTCTTTGTTCGCTTTCACAGGAACACTTTGACATTGGCCCGCCGACCGACCTCAAGTTTCCCAACCGCTGGCTCTACGAGTCCGAGGTGCCCGCGATGAAGGCGTTCCTCGAGGACTTTTACGAGCGCCTGCACGAGACGAGCATGGACATCCTCGCCGCGATGGAGCTGGGCCTGGGCCTGAGCGCGGGGACATTCACGGACCGGTGCGACCAACGGGCGAGCGAGCTGCGGCTGAACCACTACCCAGAGGTGGTGATGGAGCATGCACCCAGGGAGGTCAGCCGCGTGTGGCCGCACTACGACCTGGGCATCATCACGTGCCTGTTTCAGGACAGCGTCGGGGGTCTCGAGATCGAGGACCGCAACCACGCGGACCGCTTCGAGACGGTCGACCCGGACCCGGCCAGCCCGGACGAGCTGATTCTCAACATCAGCGAGACCTTTGAGCGCTGGACCAACGGTATCTTCAAGGCCGGCCTGCACAAGGTCCGGCTCCCGCCCGCGCTCGAGCGGACGCGGCAGACGGGCAAGGAGCTCGTCGTGCCCGAGCGGTACTCGATCCCCTTTTTTGTCAAGGCCAGCCACGAGACCTGCGTCGGCCCCATGGACGAGTTCATCTCGGAGAAGCGGCCGCCAATGTTCCAGCCGCTCACCGCCCTCGAGTATCAGATGCAGCGGTTGGCTAAGGCCTACTAAACGTGTCTGGGGTGGGCGGGTGGGATGTGTGTCTGTGTGTCTGTGTGTCTGTGTGTCTGATAGCGTGGTGTACACGCAAGCGCGAAATTGTCTTTTTTTATTTTTTTTTTTTTTTTATTATCTTTCACTGGCATAGGTGACGGTCATTGTTCGTTTGTTCTGTTTCTTGTTTTGTTTCCTAGGGGTGAGCCTTGAGCTATGAAAACGCTGTTTCAAAGACTTTGGTGCCGTGCAAGTACTCGCCTGATTTGCACCCCCCCCAATGAGATGATATATGATCTTTTCCGTGGGTGAAATGGCATCGTCACGCGTGAAGACATAATCCTCGAAGTCTTGCTCCTCCGATAGCGTGTAAGCCGGGGATGAGGACCTGGCAGGGCTTAGGCGGTGATGACAGGACAAGGAGAGGAGCTTCAAAGGGTCTTAGGAACCAGTATCGTCTGTTGTCGGCTACTGATGAATGACGAAACCCCCTCGTGGAGCTGGGCGCAGAACAGACATCATGTGACCTCGATGATAATAAAGGAAGCATGTATGGGAGGTCAGGACATTAATTATTAACTATTATAGTGTAAAGCGATGGCTGCATCCTCCCACATTGTCGCTGTCTTTTCAAGACGTCTAGTTGGCGGCGACGGTGCGCTTGACAGCCGTGAACCAGCCGCCAGAGATGTAGCCATTACCCTTCTTGGAAGACTTGAGCCAGCAATACTTGGCGTTGGACCAGACGACGTCGACGCAGCCGGCATCCGAATCGCAGAAGTCGACGCACTGCTCAAAGGTCTCGGCGCGCTTCGAGGCGCCCAGGACGTCGCCGTCGTACTGGAAGTTGCAGCGGATGTCGTAGGTGCCCAGCGGGGTGGTGAAGACGGTATTGTCCGCCGAGTTGTCGAAGCAGTTGACGGCGCCGACGCCAGTGGTGCTGCCAGTGTTGGTGCTGCCCGAGCCCGTGCCGTCCACGACCTTGACGGCAGTCCACCAGCCGCCGCTGGCGTAGCCGTTGGTCTTGGACGACTTGAGCCAGCAGTACTTGGCGTCACTGTAGACGACATCCACGCAGCCGGCAGTCGTGTCGCAGAAGCCGACGCACTGCTCAAACGTCTCTGCGCGCTTCGAGGCGCCCAGGGTGTTGCCGCCGAACTGGTAGTCACACAGGATCTGGTACTTCTGGCTGGATCCCTCAGGGGTGAAGATGGTGCCGCTGCTCGACTTGTCCTTGCAGTTCAGCGGGGCCTTGATCTTGAAAGTACTGATGTACGGATGTCTCTTCTCAATCACGCCGTTGCTCAGTGTCTTCGTTGCCGAGTGGTAGCAGTAGAGCCCGTCGTAAGTCGAGACACTATTGAGACAAGTGCTGCTGGTTGCGCAGGCGGCGACACATGCCTCCACACCGAGTCGGCCCACGAATGTCCAGTCATTATGATTATTGAGCTGAAGTGTGTGACACCTGATGGCGAAAGAATAGCCTCCCGAGAGATAGACAGTGTTGTCGCTCGGGCCGGTCAGGTCGTTTTGACGGCCACAGTCGATTGAGGCCTGCTGAGCCGAAGCGAGAGCCGCAAGGCCCATCAGGGCAGCAATGCGTGCCAGAATCTGAACCATAATGAAAGTGCGTAAGGAGTGGTATAAGTAAAAGAGTGTGGGTTACTTGGACAAAGTGCGTGGTGTCGGAACCGAGCATTGCAGAGTATGTGGGAGGCACTTCACACCTTATAGAAGCTTTCTTTGCTCTCAATACATCTACTGCTCTTCTGTCCAGAGTCTAGACGGCAGGCTCAGAGAGTCCAGCTGGCTGGATTGCGCCTCGTGGAGATGAGCCGGAGTTGCCTGTCATTGTGCTTCAAGACTTCGCAGTTTGAAGCGCAGGTAATCCGTACAATGAATAATGATTCTCGCGGTACCCAGCTCCGCTAGCCGCCACATCTCACGATTCTCCAGGATCTTGGCGAAGAAGGCGCTTGACAACCTTAGTCTATTGATCGGCAATTTCGCAGAGCTGGTTCAGGGGCGTTGAAGAACATGTGCAGTTCCTGCGTTAGTGTCCCTGTATTGCCTCATTAAGCATAACGCCTCGGACTGACCCGCACAATGCCTCCACACTTTGCTCAGCTGGCCGGGGCAACTGTGCGTTCTGGGCTAGCATCGGCGCCAACAATGAGGTCCAGCACCACTCCACGCACTAGGGGTCGCCTACCAGCAGACTCCAAAGTGGAAATTGGGAAACGCCGCCGCGAGAACGTTCCAGAGAACACGAGCTGGATGGAGATGGGCTCCCGTGGGAGGGCTACAAGGACATCCACAGAACCGCCATGTCCATTTGCTGGCTAGAGTCAGGTATCTGTGACGGATCTGTGCACGACCGTGAGGGACGTCATTCTATACGAACAAAGTGTACATGACACCGAGACCCCTTCGGGGGATCTTGTGGGTCGCATGGCCCACCAACCGCGACAACATCAGTAACTCACCTAGCCACAAGACAGTACCCGATGCACCGTGTTGAACCCGACTTGTTAGGCACAGAATAAGGCACGAATGATTGCACTGACGCATTGACATTAAAATGCGCCCAAAATATTTCGTTTTGGTTCTTGATTGTAATAAAGTGGGTGAATTCACATGGAGTCATTCCGGCGGATGTTAAGATCAGCTAAGGAACAGGAAGAGGTACTCTGGTTTAGAATTGTCCAGGAAGCGCCATATCTCAAAGGCCGTAGCGACACAATACATTAGAGGTAACCAACAGACTAGGTAGCTTTACCTCACATTTCCCCGAGTTGAGCACATATGCAAGATCTAAGATAAAAGTTGAATTATCAAAAAGAAATTTATAAATGGGAGAAACAAATAATATCGTGTACTGTTCTCGGAAAAGCCTGTCATCCGCCCCTTTCCAATGTATACGCCAGTGACAAAGAAAAATCAAGAATATCAACGGTATCCTTCGCCTGTAAATCTCCATCCTTCCCTATATTTTGTTTCCCGTGCTTTCCGGGTTTTTTCTGTTGTTGTTTCTTTTCTTTCTTTTTTTTTTTCTTTTTTAGTGTTGTGTGTGTGTGTGCGTGTTTGCGTTTCTCCTTTCTGAAGCGTTCTCCAATACGTAGAATCTCCTTTCCCACAACCAGCCATGTCATTCTAGACATGCATCTCTGGATTATCCCCTCAAGTCTCCTACACAGAAGGCAGCACGACAGAGCCAAGCGGCCTGGAGTCCTGTGTGAGAAGCTGGCTCATGATGTGGTTGTACTCGTCGCACAGTCTTTGGAGGGGCTCCTCGGACACCGCCTCCGGGTTGTACGTCACCATGAGGTGCACGCGCTCGGCCTCGATGAAGACGTCGAGGCAGATGGGCGCGCTCTCGTAGCCTTTGACGGGGCCGTCGCCGCCCAGCTTGGTGGCCTGTAGCAGCTGGATGTTGCTCACCAGGGCTGCTGGTGCCGCTGCCGCCACTGTCGAGGACGAAGCTGTGGCCGCGGCTGAGGAGGATGGTGACGAGAGCTCAGGCTGGATAAGGAACTTCCAGGGAAACTCGCAGGCTGCCTTTGCGGCCTGGCTGATGGTGGAGATCTTGGGCAGGCCGTACTGCTGGAAGGGGATCATGTCTGCGGCTTGGGCCTGGATGGCCTGCAGGAAGCCCGCTATCGTCGTAGGTCTGCTTCCATGCTTGCTCTTATCGTCGTTGCTGAGACGGACACGTACCAAGACGTGCGTGAGGGCCATGCCGACCATGGACTCGACGCCAGGGATGTCGGCGTCGCGACCAAGCACGGTGGTGAGGAAGCAGATGTCGTCTGTCTGGCAGTGGCGGGCGAGGAGCAGTGCCCAAGTCGCGCGGAGGATTGTCGCCTTGGTGAACGAGGTGCCTGTCGCGCGGGGGAAGGGGAAGTACCGGTGCAGGAACAAGTTTTGCTGCTTCGCGCCGGGAGGCAGGGCAGCAGCAAAGGGGAGACGCGCGGGAGTGAGATTGTGTAGCTGGTCCGCCCAGTATTCCCGTGCTACTGCCTCGTCAGTCTCGACGATGTTCTTGATGAGTCCGCTGTATGGTCGGAACGGAGCGACATCGAGACCCAGATAGAGGTTCTTGAGCGTGGACAGGACGAGGTCCAGACTCCACAGGTCAAAGAGGGCGTGGTGGATGACGAGCACAAAGTAGCTGCCCCTGCCGGAGCCTGTCTGATCCGTGATCAGAGCATATCTGCACAGCGGCTGGCCGAAGCCCATGCTTATCTCGCGCAGGGCGTCGAATGACTTGTCGACATCCGGGTCGGCCTGCTGCTCCCACTGGGTACCATGGCGCGTGACGACCTGGAGATAGACGTTGTCGCGCAGGACGACGCGAGTGCGGTGGATTGCGTAGAGCTCGAGCACGCGCTCCCAAGCCGCAATGAAGGAGGCCACGTCGGCCCCATCGTGCAGTTTGTACGGGATCTGGCGGACCCAGCCGTATGGCTCCACGGCGGTAAAGGCAACCATTTCCTCTTGTAGGGCCGTCGCGGGAAGAATGTCCTCCACCTCGTCGACAGAGTCCAGCCCACACTCTTGTGCCACTGACTGCAACAAGCTCTCGAGCCTGCTGCCCGGCGGGAGTAGGCTGAATGGTGTGGCATCCCTGTCGCTGTTGTTGTCGTCGTCTTGGCGCAAAGTCTTCTTGTTTGTTGCGAGGGCCGCAAGCGCAGACAGCCGGGGATCATGAAGGACATCTTGCACAGTTAGCGTCATGTCCAGGTGTTCTCGGACGGCGGCGATCATCTGGATTGCCGTGATCGAGTCGCCGCCCAGTTCCATGAAGCTGTCATGGCGGCCAATCTGGTCGACTTGTAGTCCCAGAACCTGCGCCCATGCCTTGCGAAGCTCGTGTTCCGGCTCAGTGACCGGCTCCTCCTTGGTAGCACTCGACAGCGAGTATTCGAGCAGGTCAGCACTGGTCAGTTGACCGAACTGCTGTCGGAGCGCAGCTCTGTTTAGCTTCATCGAAGTGAGGAGCGGCATGTCTCGCAGTGGGAGGAGAGTGGTTGGGCGCATGTATGACGGAAGCCTGAGCCTCAACTCGTCTACGGCCTTGATGAAAGCCTTGCGCATCGAGTCAGTCATGGGGAGTAGCCAGTCGACCTTGCCAGCTTTCTGTTCCGGAGGAGTTATCACGTCTGCATAGGAGGCAGCATCCGTGAAGCTGAACAACGCGATAAGTGTCTCGCGGGAATCCAGTCGCAGGACATCCACGGCAGCATGTTGGATCCCGGGAAGGACCCGTTTGAGGGCGTACTCGACCTCTCCCAGCTCCACACGGTGACCGCGCACCTTGACCTGAGTGTCTCTGCGGCCCAGATACTCAATAGTGCCATCGGCATTGTAGCGAACCATGTCGCCAGTCTTGTAGAAGCGGCGTGTGTCTCCGGCGTCGCGTTCCGGCAGCCAATCGACGAGCTTGATGAAAGCTGCGTCCGTGGCCGCCCTATCGTTGAGATAGCCACGAGCCATCTCGCGCTGCACCAGAAGCTCACCGACACAGCCCACTGGTGCGAGTCGTGGGCGGCCGTCGTCCGATTCGATGATCCAGCAGTCTGCTCCAAAGCCGCGGCCGACAGTAGTCGGTGGCTCCTCGGTGGATTTGAAAACATGCGAGGTGCAGAACACGCTGATCTCGGAGGGGCCATAGGCGTTGGCCAGAGTCACGTTGCTTGCCGGCAACCAAGTGGTCAGTATGTCCTTTGCTGGTGGCTCACCCACGAGGATGAGCAGACTCAGCGACGGCACGTCGGCTGGAACGAAGGTCCGGACAAACGTCGATGTCAAAAGAGCGGTGTTGACGCCCATGTCGCGGATAAAAGGCGTAACGTTCATGCGCTCCTCGTCAGAGGGGACGCATATGGTGCCGCCAAAGAAGAGCGTCTCAAAGATCTCGCTCAAACTGACGTCGAACACGTAGTTTGAGAACTGCAAGACCCGGGACTCGGGTGTGAAATGGTAGGCTCGGCCACTGCCCAGTAAGCTAGTGCAGAGCGCCGAGTGCTCTACCACGATAGTCTTGGGTCGGCCTGTCGATCCGGAGGTGAAGATGACGTATGCAGTGTTGGATGGCGTTGCGGGAGAGATGCTGTTGCCGCCATACCGCAGATACATGAGGTCCAGGCGTGTAGGAGAGATCTCGACGACCATAGGTACGAGTCCCCGGCATGAAGCCATGGTAGCGGGAGAAGCAAGGATGACTTGGGTTTGCGTATCGCTCACCAGACTCTGGCGCCGTGTCGCGGGATGCGAGGGATCGAGAGGCACAAAGGCTCCACCGGCCTTGAGCACGCCTAGCATGGCAACAACTGTCCACACAGACTTTTCCATACAGATCGGGACCATCATCTCAGGACCAACCCCGAGCGTCGAGAGGTAGACAGCCAAGCCACTGGACAGGCAGTCCAGCTCGGCGTAGCTGAGAGACTCCGTCTGAGAGACGACAGCCTCGTGGGTAGGTGTTCGCTTGGCTTGTTCTGTCACCAGGTCGTGCACACATTTGCGAATAGGGGTTGAGTTGGCCGTGTTCCATTGGCAAGCCTGTTCAAAGTCCCAGGGGCCAGCCAATGACAGGTCGCCCAGAGAGGCGCCTTGTGGTGAAAGCAGCTGTTGCACAATGTGATCGAGGTGATTTGTCATGGCGTGTAGTCGATGCTCTCCGACCACGCTGGGATCATAGGTCAACACCAAGTCTGCAAAGTCCGAGTACGTGAGAGCCTGCATCACCAGCGGGTAGCTGAAGTAGCCGTCCATGGCTTCTACGAATCCAAAGATCTTGGGATCCACAGGGCGAAGGAGCGCCTCGCCTCCGGATGCGTTTTGCACAACACCGCCGCCACCGGGTTGAATGATCATGAGACTGGAAAAGTCGCAGATGGCTCTTGCCTGGGCATTTAGTTTGGATATGTTGCGGAGTCCGAACTGTTCGAATGGCACCATCTCAGTAGCTTGGGTCTGAACGTCGTGAAGGAAATCAGCCACTGGCTTGTCGCGACTAAGCCTCATGCGCACAGGCACAGTGGCCACGGTAGGGCCGGCTACACTCTCAATACCGGGAGTCGACAGCTGCCGCCCAGAGACGGTCGTTCCGAAGCACACGTCGTCCGTGTCAGAGTAGCGAGCGAGAACCAACGCCCAAGCAGCTCGTATCACAGTGGCGGTAGTGATGGAAGACATCTTTGCGGATCGTGATAGGCTGATGCGCTTCTCTATGAGGCGCGTGGTTGTCGTCGATGATGTCTTGACTGGGCCTCGAAACGACAATGGCCGGGCACCATCAAGCTGTGTAGCCCAGTACTCCTCCGCGGCAGCATGGTCAGTGCCTGTAGCGAGATGCTGGACGAAGCTAGAGAACGGCTTCAGAGGAAGCTCTGCATGGCCCCGGTACAAGCCATCAAGAGTCTGCAGGGTCAGGGCCATGCTCCAGCCATCAAACACCGAGTGCTGAACGACCAGCATAAAGTAGCGAGCACCATCGGTGTCAGTGACCAGGGCGTATCGGCAGAGGCGGGATCCGTACTCCATCCCAATCATCTTGAGTCCGCTCAGGACTGCGGTCAAGCTGGCCTCGCCGGTCTCCGCCCATGTTGGCTCTTCTTTGATGACGGCCTGATAGGTAGCGCCGTCGTGGAGGACGATGCGGGTGCGCAGACTTTGACAGAGCTCGAGTGTCCGTTCCCAAGCAGCCTTGAAGCGCTTGATGTTGACATTGTCGGGCAAGCGGTGAATATGCTTTGCAATGTATGACCCTGGCTGCTGCATGGCCAAACCCATGAGACCCTCTTGCAATGGCGTGGCGGGATACACATCCTCAACTTCTTGGTTGCTGTCAAGGCTGCACTTGTGCCTGATGCTTGCGACAATCTTGTCAACCTGGTTGGCCGGCACCAGGCTGAAAGGAACGACAGTGTGTGCCTCTTCCTCCAAGTCGACGGCACTGATACGGATAAGCTTCTTGGCCACTGCGGACAGGACAGGATTTGAGAAGATGTCCTGCACTGTGAGCGCTAACGCCTCCTCACGAAGTAGCGTGACGACCTGGATGGCGCTGATGGAATCGCCTCCTATCTCCAAGAAGCTGTCGTGACGTCCGATATGGTCCAAGTCGAGGCCCAGGGCTCGCGACCAGACGGACTGGAGGACGATCTCCATGTCAGTACTTGGCGGATTCTTCTCCGCAGCGCGTACAGAATATGCCAGGAGATGCTCCTGCTTCAGACTTCTTGCGAGCTGGCGAAGTCTCGACCGGTTCAGCTTCATCGAGGACGCCTGGACCGGCATCTCCCGCAGAGGCACGAAGAAGGCTGGTATCATGTACCCCGGCAGTTTGCTCCGGAGCGCCGTAGTGATGGCCATGAAATCCGCCGAGATGGCCGCCGTGACAGGTATCAGGAGCGGGTCCTCTCCCAAGCCAGACTGCTCGTTCCCAGCTTCGTCGTCATCGCTGCTTTCTGGATCCGCGGCGAGCTTCAGCATCGCTACGAGGACGTCTTGCGTGCCGAACTCGATCTTGTCCACTGCCACGTTCTCTACTGTCGAGTGAACACTCTTGATCGCATGCTCTATGGCGCCGAGTTCGATGCGGTGGCCACGCAGCTTGATCTGGGTGTTCTTCCTCCCGACATACTCGATGGAGCCGTCGACGTTGTACTTGGCGAGATCGCCGGTCCTGTAGAAGCGTGGCTTTACGTCAGGGCCCAGCGGCGTTGGCAGCCAGCCGACACTGTCCAGGAAGACGCGAGCTGTCTCATCCTTGTCATTCGAGTAGCCCCTGGACAGAGTGTTCGTCTCGACCACGAGCTCGCCGACACAACCGATTGGCGCCAGTCGCTTGGGATCACGCTGATCTGCAATCCACATGCTCGATGTGATGCCCCGGCCGACGTTGGTAGGCCGATCATCTGGACGCTCGTAGGTGTGGGCGGCGCAGAAGATACATGATTCTGTTGGGCCATACGAGTTCATCAGCCGGACGCCAGGTCTGACCCAGGTCTGTAGAATCTCCTTCACCGGCGGCTCTCCCACGAGGATGACAAGATCTAGAGAAGGCACTTGCTCGGGAGTCATAGTCTTGAGGAAGGAAGACGTTAACATGACCGCGTTGGCGTTGGAGCTCCTGATGAACTCGGCGACTCCCTCGCGGCGCTGTGACTCGGACGGCACGCACAGCACACCACCCCAGACGAGCGTCTCAAAAATCTCGCTCAAGCTGACGTCGAAGACAAAGCTCGAGAACTGCAGCATGCGCGTCCGGGTGTCTACGCGGTGGGCCGCCGCGTTTCTCATCACTGTCGTGCACAGGGCCGCGTGCTCGACTACGATAGACTTTGGCTTGCCCGTGGAGCCAGAGGTGAAGATTGTGTAGGCGGCATCGGATCCCTGTGCAGTTTGGCTGTTGACTGTGCCTTCTGACGGGCATGGGCAGGGTGGTAACTGATCTAGCAGCTCGTTGCATAGCACGATTGCCTTGACGCCAAGTCCAGCACATTGCGCTGCTGTCGAGGGGGAGACGATGACCAGCCGGGCATTGGTCTCCGCCAGGATATCTTGGTGGCGGCTTGGCGGGTGTGAGGGATCCAGCGGGACAAAAGCACCGCCGGACCTCATGATGGCAAGGATTGCCACAATGGAAAGCTTGGACTTGTCCAGGCAGAAAGGCACCATCTGCTCTGGTCCCACCCCCGCTTCGACCAGGTGTGCTGCCAGCTGTGTCGATAGGCTGTCCAGCTCCGAGTAAGACAGCGATCCGTCCCAGGCCTCGATAGCCTGGGCTTCAGGCTGTGCGGCAGCACGGATGGAGATGAGATCGTGGACGGTGGTCTTGGCAAGCTCCATGTCTACGCTGCTATTCCAACGCGCGGCCACTGCGAAGTCCCATGGTCCGCCGACAGAGACCCTGCCCAGAGTGGATTGACGATCATGGCCAAACAGTTGCTCAATGACATGCTGCAGGTGTTGCGCCAGAGCTTTAGCCCTCTCTTCCTGGACTACGTTGGCGTTATAAGTGATAACCAGCTTTACTTCGTCATCTCCAGCAAAGGCATCAACCACCAAGGGGTAGCTGAAGTAGCCGTCCATGGCACCCAGGTCATTATACACTTCAGGGCTGACCGGGAGCAGAGGCTCGTCGTTGGGTTGTTGTGAGGCGGTGTCCGCATCCGAAGCCGTTGTTGGTGTTCCTGGCTGGATGACGAGCAGACTCGTGAAGTCGCATGCCTCCTTGGCGTCAGAGCCGAGCTTCGCGATGCGCTGCACGCCGTACTGCTCGAACGCGACCATCTCAGCAGCCTGGGTCTGGACGTGCTCGAGGAAGTCAGACGTGGGCTGTTGCCGGTCAAGTTTGAGCCGCACTGGGACCGTGGCGACAGTCGGACCACACATGCTCTCGATGCCAGGGACGCCCGCCTGGCGACCGGAGATGGTCGTGCCGAAGCAGACATCGTCCGAGTCGGCATACTGGCTCAGGACAATGGCCCACGCGGCACGAAGGACAGTAGCACGGGTGGCCATGGCTGCTGTTGCTGCTGCTTCACCTCCAGTCGTCTTCGGGATGGAAAGTGTCGTTTCCACCGTCCCTGTCTTCTTGTCAGACGCGACGTCGACGTGCTGCGGAGTATCCACGTCGAAGAACGACGTCTTCTGCGCGCCGGCGAGCTGCTGGCTCCAGTACTCCTCAGCTGCAGACTCATCGACCTGGTCAAGATAGGCGACAAAGTTTGCGTAGGACGACATGGGCGTCGCGAGACTGCTGCCCTTGTAGAAGTTGCAGAACGTGCTCATCAACAAGCCAAGACTCCAGCCGTCGAAGACAGCATGGTGCATGACCAGAACAAAGTAGCGTGGACCCGCTGCCTCGGCGGTAAGTGCATATCGACACAACCGCGAGCCATACTGCATCTCCATTGTCTTGGCGTGGTGCAGAGCAGTTGGCAGGTCAGGAGTGCTGCTTGCAGGCTCCCACGAGGCAGGTTCTCGAACCACGGCCTGCAGAGACACGCCGTTGTGGAGGGCGATACGAGTGCGCAATGCAGGAATAGCAGCAACCGTGTCGTCCCATGCAGACAGGAAGCGATCCATGTCCACCGTCTCTGAGAGCTGGTATATGTGCTTGGCAATGTACGACCCGGGTTCCTTGACAGCCAGGGCAAGCAGTCCCTCCTGGAGGGCAGTGCATGGGTAGATGTCCTCCACCTCATCGGTGCCGTCCACCAGCGAGCATGCACTCGAGACGGAGTTTAGGACCTCGTCCACCTCGAGCCCTGCTGCCCTGATGAGATCAAATGGCTCGACCACGAGCGCTTCCTCGTAAGCACCGCCAGAGACAGCGCTGCTGGCGACAGCGGACAGACGTGGGTCCTTGAATATGTCGTGGACTGTCAGGCTGAGGCCGGCGTTGTAGGCTGCCGTCACCATGTGGATCGCCGTGATCGAGTCACCGCCCAGGCGCAGGAAGTTGTCGTCACGGCCGATCGACTCGGTCGGGATCCGGAGCAAAGCTGCCCAGATGGCTTGCAACTGTCGTTCCGTGTCTGTCTCCATGGGAAGCTTCTCGGCACTCACGAGGGCATATTGTTTTGCGATCTGCTCAGGGCCCAGAGCTGCAAGGGTCTGCGTGAGCGCCTTCCTGTCGAGTTTGGCCGAGCCGCTGAACAGCATGTAGCGACATGGGACGAACAGGCTGGGGACCATGTACGAGGGCAAGGCGAGATTCAGCTTGCTCATGGCGTCGAGGACCATGTCGGTGCTTTCCGGCGTCATGGGGAGGAACACATCGTCTGGGTTGTGTGGACCAGCGCCCTTTGTCACTCGAGATGTGTCGTCGGCACAGAAGAAGGCCACCAGGTTCGCGCCCGAGCCGTCCCGGAGCACATCGACCGCGACACGTTCCACTCCATGCGGGCGAAGCGCCTCGCCCAGGTGGTGCTCCACCTCGTGAAGCTCGATGCGAAGGCCACGGATCTTAACCTGGGCGTCCTTGCGCGCGACGAATCTCAAGGAGCCGTCGGGGTTGAACGCGCCCAGGTCTCCGGTGCGGAAGAGTCGGTTCCAGCATGGCTGGCTGTCGTTGCGGGGAGCCCAGGCTGGCACTTCCGTCACCATGGCGGCGCTCGTCTTGACCGGGTCGTCGAGGTATTCGCGCAGGACAGGCGGTCCTTGGACGACGACCTCTCCCACGCAACCGAACGGAGCAAGCTGTTGGGGGTCTTCAGGATCGACGACCCAGCAGTAGGCGCCGACGGGTCTACCAATGGTCAGAGGCGACTCTTCGGCGCCTTTTTGGCACTCGTGGATGGTGCTGATGACGCAAGTCTCTGCCGGGCCCCATCCCAGAATGAATCGAGGGTGGCTGTTGTGCCAAATCTCGAAGACGTCCTGGCCTACCAGTTCACCACACAATAGGAGTAGCTCGAGCCCGGGGATCTCGTGTGGTCGCAGCGTGCGGGCAAAGGCAGGCGTCAGGTAAGCCCAAGTGACACCTGTACTTCGAATAAACTCTTCGATGCCGTCGAGTCTGGTTGCCTCGGCCGGGACACACAACTGCGCGCCAGTGATGAGCGAGCCGACAATCTCGCCAATACAGACATCAAACACAAAGGCCGAGAACTGCAGCATCTTGACACCGGCATGCAGCCCAAGCCGCTTTGCAATGGCGACCTGGCTGGTACAGACGGCTCGGTGCTGCATCACCAGACCCTTGGGCACGCCAGTACTACCCGAGGTGAACAGGACGTAGGCCGGGTGTTCTGGCGTGACCATGACGCTGGCCAAGGTCGAGACCAACGAGGCTGGGTCGGCAGAGAGTATCGCCATTGTCTCGTGGTCGACTACAACGATATTCGCGACCAAGTCGGTGAATTTCTCGGTCTGGGAGACTGATGCCAAAAGTAGCGTGGCTTTGGTCTGGGCAATAACCTGCCTGTGCCGCTGCTTAGGATGCCCCGGGTCAAGCGGGACCCAGGCGGCACCGGCCTTGTTGATCGCGAGCATGGCGACGAAGAACCAGGCAGACTTTTCAAAGCACACGTGGACAAGATCTCCGGGCTGCACCGCCAACTCAATGACCAGCTTGTAAGCGAGCTGGTCTGCCATGGCGTTCAGATGGTTGTAGCTGAACTCTGCGTCCCAGGCGTGAACGGCGATGGCATCCGGAGTCCGGCGGACCTGCTGCTCCATGAGGGTGTGCACACGAGACTCGATAGTGTCGGGGGTTTCTCCGCGGAAAGAGTTGGCTTGCTGCTCATCCCACGTGCCGGTGAGCGACAGGGCAGATAATGACATCTCGGGGCTGGAGACAAGCTGCTCAATGGCGCGCTCAAGGTGATGTGCCAGCGCTTCCAGCTGAGAACTCGAGACCACGTTGGCGTGATAGGTAAACATGAGCTCCACGTGGTCGCCGACGGGGACCGCTTGCAGGACCAACGGGTGAGTGAAGTAGCCGTCTAGAGAGGCCTCGACACTGCTCACGTCCTCGATCGCGGCCTGAAGGAGCGGCTCCTGCTCTTGCTCCTGTTTCTGCGTCGTGGTGGGCACAAGCAGGGCTGGTCGGGTGGGTTGCACGACCAGCAGACTGCCGAATTCGCATGCCTCTTTCGCTTCAGAGCTGATCTTGGCAATGTTCTGCAGACCAAACTGCTCAAAGGGAATCATCTCGGAAGCCTGGGTCTGCACTGCTTGCAACAGGGCGGCAACCGTGTTGTCTCTGTCCAGACGGATTCTGACCGGCACAGTCGCAACGGTCGGTCCCGCCATGCGCTCGAGACCAGCAACAGGTGCCTGGCGACCCGAGATGGTAGTGCCGAAGCAGACATCGTCACTATCGTCCTCGTAGCGGGCGAGGACCAAAGCCCAGGCAGCTCTAAGCACGGTGGCCTTGGTGAATGATGACGAGACGCCCTGCTGGCTCTGGGGAAAAGAGATTGTCCTGTCTAGAACTTTGGTGACGGGCGTGCTACTCTTGCTGTCATCCTGTGGGAACGAAGCAGCACGAGCACCATCGAGCTGCGCAGCCCAGTACTCGATTGACTTATCCTGCTCAATGCGGTCGAGATAGCTTGCAAATCCAGAGTAGGGCTCCAGTGGCAGTATGGCCTTGCCGTCGTACAGCCGGGAAAGGGTGTCAAGCACCAGACCTGCGCTCAGCCCATCGAAAACGGCGTGGTGCATGATGAGCACAAAGTAGAGACAACCACCTTCGGCCGTGGCTGGGAGAAGGGCATAACGGCACAGGCGCGAGCCATAACTCATCTCGACCTTGTTCGTACCCTCGAGAATAGAAGTGATCTCGCCGTCATCTTCCAGAGAGTCCCAGACTGGAGGCTCCTTGATAACGGTCTGGATGGATGCGTCGCCGTGGAGCACAATGCGTGTACGCAGTGCGTCCGTCATTTGCAGAGTCTGTGCCCAGGCGGACTTGAAGCGGTCCACGTCAACATCTCTTGCGAGGCGGTAGACATGCTTTGCGATGTACGAGCCAGGCTGCTTCATGGAAAGTGCCATCGCACCCTCCTGGAACGCCGTGCATGGGTACGCGTCCTCAATTGAGTCGGTGCTCTGGAGGCCACAGACGTCGGTTATCGTGTCGAGAAGGCCGTCACGGACGAGTTCAGGCACCAAGCCAAATGGTGCCACTTTGTACGAGTCAACCACCCCTTTACCCTCGAAAACGGCTTTCTCGGCAACCGCGCAGAGGCGAAGATCCGCAAACATGTCTTGCACCGATAGCTTAATGCCTGCTTCCCTGGCTACGGTGACCAGCGAGATGGCGGTGATCGAGTCGCCGCCAAGCTGGAGGAAGTTGTCATAGCGTCCGATCTGCTCCGGGTCGAGCTTCAGGATCGCGGCCCAGAGATCCCGCATCACAACCTCGGCCTCACTAGTGGGCGCAACCTTGTCCCCAGAGGTCAGGGAGTAGCTTGCCAATTGGCGGTATGTGAGACTATTGGCCGTGCGGCGGAGCTCAGATCTGTTGAGCTTCATAGAGCTGTGCTGGAAGGGCATCTCGCGGAGTGGTATGAAGAAAGTCGGCACCATGTATGCTGGCAGACGACTGGCCAGGTCTTGCGTCAAGATGGCCAGTTTCTCACGCAACGACGAGCTCATGGGAAGCATGTCCTGTGCGCGATCAGCCAGGTCCTGATTGTGGGCAGTGTCGACAGACTCCAGGTCGTAGGCGGTACCGTCTGCTCGATCTTGCAACTTGAAAAGAGCAACCAGGAACTCGCGCGACTCATGCTTAACCAGATCGACAGCGACATGTTCGACCTCGGACCAAGCATTTTTGATGCCGTCCTCAATGGCACCAAGCTCGACTCGCTGGCCGCGGAGCTTGACTTGCGTGTCCTTTCTGCCGAGGTAAACCAGGTTGCCATCTGCAGCATAGTGGACTAAGTCACCTGTCTTGTAGAATCTTTGCCCAGGCACCGTGGCACTGGCCGGCAGCCATTTCACGTTGCTCAGGAAGGCCTTGGCAGTAGTGGCCTCGTCGTTCGCGTAGCCACGTGCGAGAGAGTGGGCTTGCACGACCAGCTCACCGGTACAGCCGATCGGGGTGAGATATTGGCCATTCTCGGGATCGACAACCCATAGACGTCCGCTGAGACCCCTGCCAATTGTGGTAGGGTTGTCCATCGCTGAGGAATATTTATGGGTGGCGGCATACACGCAAGCCTCGGCTGGGCCGTAGCCGTTGATCAGGTGGCGTACCTTGCCATGCCAGAGATCAAGAGTGTGCTGGTTCGGTGCCTCGCCTCCCACAATCAGCGTCTGCAGCAAGGGAACTTCCTGGGGGCTCAGAGTGCTGGCGAAGGATGGGGTCAGGAACGCGGTATTTGTCCGGCTCTGGTTGATGAACTCGGTCACCTGCAGACGACCTGCATCGCTAGGGATGCAAATCGTGCCGCCCACGGCTAGAGTTGTCAGGATTTCGGCCAGGGACACGTCAAAGACAAAATTGGAGAACTGAAGGACTCGGGAGTTGTTGTCCATGAAGAATGCCCGACTCTGAGCCATGGTGCTGGTTGAGATGGCCGAGTGCGCGACTGTGATGGTCTTGGAGTTGCCGGTAGTACCCGATGTGAAGATGGCGTAGGCGGCATTGGAAGGAGCCACGAGCGATTTGCGGGTAAGCTTGTGGTTGGCAGCACGCATGATCTCGATGGCACGTTCTGACAGCTCAACTATTTGTGGACACATGCCCTCACACGAGGCCACCTCCGCAGAGGACGAAACGATTAGAGGCGCCTTGATTTGTTGCACAAGCATCTGTCGACGGCTGTCTGCGTGGGTGGGATCAAGCGGGACAAAAGCGCCACCGGCTTTCATGACACCGAGCATGGCAACAATCGCCCACTTCGACTTTTCGAAGCAAATCGGCACCATCACATCTGGACCGACGCCGAGATGGACGAGGTGCGAGGCGAGAAGGGATGAGTGTTGGTCGAGTTCGGCATACGAGAACGAGCCATCCCAGGCGTGGATAGCCTCGTGATCTGGAGTCTTCGCGATACGTGCCGCCACAATGTCGTGCACGCACTTGTCTACGATGGCTGTATCCGTGCTGCTGCTCCATCTCATTGCCTGGTCGAGATCCCACGGGCCCGCAACCGTGACACTCTCTAGCAGACTCGACTGTTGCGAGGTCAGTTGCTCGATGAGATGCTCCAGATGTGCACTCATGGCCTCAAGACGCTCCTGGGAAAAGACGCCGTCGTCATATGTGAAAACGAAGTCAACCCTGTCATGGTGGGTAACGGCCTGAAGCACAAGCGGGTAGCTAAAATACCGGCTCTGTCCCTTGGCCGAGTCGAGCGCGGTGTGATCCACTGGCAGCAGGAACTCGGGCCGCTCAGACGCGCCACTCATGATGGTCTGCCCAGGCTGGATAATCATCAGACTCTCGAAGTCGCACGCAGTTCGAGCGTCCGCGCTGAGCTTGCCAATATTCTGCAGACCAAACTGTTCGTACGCCACCGTCTCGGCAGCCCGTGTCTGGACATCGCGAAGAAAATCGGCAACCCGCTGCTGACGCGGGATGGGCATTCTAACGGGAATCGTGGCAACTGCTGGTCCAGCCATGCGGTCCACGCCAGGTACCGCCGCCTGTCGGCCGGAGACGGTCGTGCCAAAGCAGATGTCGTCAGTGTTGCAGTAGCAAGCCAGCAGCAGACCCCAAGCGGCACGGACAATGGTCGCTTTGGTGATGGATGTGTCGTCCATGGTAGAGCCGAGCTCTACAGTCTTCTCAAAGATCTTGGTGGTTGACCCGCTGTCCTTGGCACGTCTGCTTGTGTCGCGGCTTGGGAAGTCTGCGCGCTGCGCACCTTGGAGCTGTGCTGTCCAGAACTCCTCTGCGGAGTTCCGGTCTATGGTTGAGACATGCTTGATGAACCCAGTGTACGGCTCAAGCACAGGGACTGCAACATTATTCTCGTAGTGAGCCTGGAGAGTCTCCAAGACGAGCCCCAAGCTCCATCCGTCGAAAATGGTGTGGTGCATGATCAGGACCAGGAAGGAGTCTCCAGTCGAGGACTCTGAGATGAGAGCGTATCGGCAGAGCCTGGTCCCGTATTGCATCTCCATGGCGTTGTGGGCCACGAGGAAGTCATCCAACGTGTCCATCGCTGTGGCAGGCTCCCAAGCTGCAGGTTCCTGAACGATGGCTTGCAGCGAAGACCCTGAGTGGTGCACAATCCGCGTCCTCAGGTTCGGACAGGCTTCAAGAGTTCGCTCCCACGCGACCTGGAAAGCAGCAACATCTATACCAGGCGCGAGGCGATAGACCTGACGTGCCACATAGGAGCCGGGCTGCTTCACAGCGAGGGCCATGAGTCCCTCCTGCAGAGCAGTGCAGGGATACACGTCCTCGATCTGCCCAGGGGAAACCCCACCGCATGCCTCTGCCACGGTCTTTTTGAGGTTGTCAAGGTCCGCTTGTGCCTCCTCGGACAGCAACTCAAAGGGTTGTGCCAGATATACCTCGGAGTCCTCCGTGACGAGACAAGCAGCAACGGCGCATAGCCGCGGGTCCCTGAAGATGTCAGACACGGCGAGGCTGAGGCCGAGGCTTCGCGCGACGGTCACCACTTGAATCGCACTGATGGAGTCTCCACCCAGGCGCATGAAGCTGTCGTCCCTTCCGATATTGTCGATGGGGAGCTGGAGCACTGCGGCCCAGATCTTCTGGAGCTCGTGCTCCATGGGGGTTTCCGCGGGCCGCTTCTCGGCGTCTGCCAGGGAGTAGGTGGCAAGTGTGGCTCGGTCCATAGCGAGGGCGGCTTTCCGCAGACCGCCTCTATCGAGCTTTGTCGAGCCTATGAATGGCATGTACTTGCAGACGATGAACATTGCGGGCACCATGTAGCTGGGCAGCACAACACCCAGACGACCCGAAGCAGCAACCATTTGGCCCTTGAGCTCGCCAGTCAGCGGGAGGAACATGTCGGTGTGGCTCGTCTCCCCAGCAGAAATGTGCGTCTCGTCTGTCAGGCACACAAACGCAACGAGCACAGCTGAGGAAGAGGAGGAGGAGGAGGACGACGACGACGATAACGAGTCCCCGCGCAACACATCGACAACAACCTGCTGTACGAATCCGGCGGTAGCCTGTTTGAGATGGTGCTCTACTTCGCTCAGCTCGACGCGCAGACCTCTGATTTTGACCTGAGTGTCCTTGCGGCTCACAAAGTCCATCGTGCCAGAGTCATTGAAGCAGCAGAGATCACCAGACTTGAAGAACCGGTCCCAGTGGGCCTCTGTGCGGCGCGGTGCCCAGCCTGGCAGGTCCAGCACGACTGCCGCATTAGTAGCAGCCCGGTTGGCGAGGTATTCCTTGAGGATTGTCGGGCTCTGGATGACCACCTCGCCCACGCAGCCGATTGGCGCCAGGTGGGTATGATCATCGGGCTCGACGATCCAGCAGTAGCCACCGACGGCGGAACCGACTGTCAGCGGCGCTTCGTCCGCGGACTGCCACTCGTGCATTGTGCTGACCACGCACGTCTCGGCAGGACCCCAGCCGTTGATGAGGCGGACCTTGCCGAACCAGAGGTCAAACAGGTCCTGCCCGACGGCTTCACCTGCGAGGAAGATGAGTTGCAGATCTGGTAGCTCTTCCGGTATCAAGGTCTTCGCAAACGCAGGGGTGAACCAGCTCCAAGTGACCTTATTAGCTCGCATAAACTCGGCCAGGCCGTTAAGCCTGGTCTCTTCGGCTGGCACGCAGAGCTGTCCACCGGTCATCAGTGTGGGTACCGTTTCTCCGACACACATGTCGAAGACATAGGATGCGAATTGGAGCATGCGGACGTCAGAGGTCATTCCCAATCTCTGGATGAGGGCAGTCTGACTAGTGCACAGTGCCCGGTGCTGCATCACCAAGCCCTTTGGCGTTCCCGTGCTTCCCGAGGTGAAGAGAACATAGACTGGATGCTCGGGGGTGACGGCGCTGGCGAGGTTTGCATCGCTGGTCTTGGCGGCTTGCAACTGCTGGTCGAGGGCATCTGTGACCGTGATAACCTCATCCACGAGCTCGACACAGCGAGCAGTCTGCGTGGCTGACGCCAGGCAGAACCTGGCTTCAGTTTGTTCGACAACCTGACGCTGCCTTTGGATGGGATGGCTCGGCTCCAAAGGCACCCAGGCGGCACCGGCCTTGTTGATAGCAAGGATGGAGACGAAGAAACACGCCGACTTCTCGAAGCAGACGTGCACGAGGTCACCCACAGAGACGCCACGGGATACCAGATGGCGTGCCAAGCGGTTGGACGCGGCATTGAGCTGGCCGTAGGTGAAGTTGCGGTCCCAGGCCCGGATGGCTGGGGCTTCTGGCTGCTGTTGGGCTTGGGTCTCGAACAAATGGTGGAAACACTTGTTGATGACTGGCGGGGCCTGGCCATTGCGGGCAGTGGCAACCTCTAGATCCCAGGGTCCAGCGATGGAGATGTCGTGGAGCGGAGAGTCGAATCTGGTAATGAGCTGGCTGACGACATGACCAAGGTGTTGAGACATGGCTTTCAGGCGTGTCTCCGACACAGCACTTGTGTCATATGTGAACATGATGTCCATGTGGCTCTCATGAAGGATGACTTGGACGACCAGAGGGTAATTAAAATATCCAGCGAACGTCTCCTCAGCATCGAAACCATCGTGCCCGCCCGCCACCAGCAGATCAGCCGAACCCGTCAATGAGCCCATGAGCCGGGCAGGCTGGACGACGAACAAGCTGCCAAAGTCACACGCGTCACGCGCATCCGCGCTCAGCTTGGCAATGTTTTGCAGGCCGAACTGTTCGTAGGCAACCATGTCGGAACTCTGCTTCTGAACCGTGCGCAGGAAATCCGACACGTCCTGCTGCCGGCTGTCGAGTTGGATGCGGATGGGCACGGTAGCGACGGCCGGACCAGCCATCATGTCGACGCCGGTGACAGGAGCCTGGCGACCGGACACGGTGGTGCCGAAACAGACATCTTGGGTATCGCTGTAGCGAGCGAGCACCATGGCCCATGCCGCTCGCAGAACAGTCGCCCTAGTAACGGAAGCACCTTGCTGCATGGCTGGCAGAGCCATTGTGGTATTCAACACACCAGTTTTCTTGGGCGAATTACCCTCCGAAGGTCGAGTGCCTCCGATACGTGGGAAAGCTGCTCTTTGGGCGCCCTGCAGCTGGCTCTGCCAGTAGTCTCGCGCGTCATGGAGGTCTAGCTTTGCCGCATACTCGACAAAGCCTGAGTACGGCTGGATCTCAGGGGTAAGCCCGCCGCCGTACAGCGTCGACAGCGTGTGCAGCACGATGCTCATGCTCCAGCCGTCAAAGATGGCATGGTGCATGACCAGCACAAAGTACCGTGCCCCGGTCTCGTTGTCAGTGGAGATGCCATATCGGCACAGGCTTGACCCGTACTGCATAGTCTCTTGTGTGGTAGCTTCCACAATGGCAGCCACGGTCGGGCCGACCTCCCAGCTGGGCGCCTCGCGGACGATTGCCTGGAGTGAGACATGGTCGTGGAGGGCGATACGCGTGCGCAGGTTGCTGCAGGCGATGAGGGTGCCCTCCCACGCCTCGCGGAAGCGATCCAGGTCGACCGTGTCGGCCAGTCGGTACACATTCTTGGCTACGTAGGAGCCCGACTGTCGCACCGACAATGCCAGCAGGCCTTCCTGCAGAGGCGTACAGGGAAAGATGTCCTCTATCTGCTCGCTGCTCTCAAGGCAGCAGGTCTCGACCACCACAGAACGGATGTCGTCAAGCTGGTCCGCGGCGAGAAGGCGGAAGGGCTGGGAAATCGGTAACAGTGATGTATCAGCATCGGTAGGTCCCCCTTCTGTGGCGAGGAGCGAGGGATCTACACTGGCGCATGAAGCGACCGCCAGCAGCCTGGGGTCGCTGAAGATATCAGGCACGGTCAGCACGAGGCCACGCCGGCGGGCGAGCGTGACGGTGTGGATGGCAGTGATGGAGTCGCCACCCAGCTCGAGGAAGCTATCATGTCGTCCGATCATCTCTGGGTCCATCCGCAACACCTCGGCCCAGACCTCACGGACAGCAAATTCGGTCTCCGTAGCCGGAGCGACCTTGTTCTCGTTGCTAGCTGTCGAGTACGCAACGAGTTCGTCCTCACTTAAGGCGTTGCCCATGCGGCGCAGCTCAGCCCGGTTCAGCTTCAAGGACGTCAGGAGAGGCATTTTTCGAACTGGCAGGAATATGCGTGGAAGCATATAAGAGGGCAGCAGGCGGCGCATCTCGCTCAGTCCGGCCACAACAAGCCCTTTGAGGGTCCGGTCCATGGGTAGCAGCCCGTCCGATGACTCGTCCTCGTCTACAGAAGCAGGCTGATCGAAGAAAGCAACCAGATACTCGCGTGACTCTTGCCGCACGAGATCGACAGCCGCATGCGTGATGCCGGGGATGCAAGCCTTGAGAGCGTATTCGATTTCACCAAGCTCGACACGATGGCCACGCACTTTGACCTGCGTGTCGCGTCGGCCAAGATACTCGATAGTGCCATCCCAGTTGTACCGCACCACGTCGCCGGTCTTGTAGAACTTGCGTGTATCGCCAGGCTGCACGAGTTCCTTGGGCAGCCAGTCGACGGCGCGGATAAACGCAGCGTCTGTGGCCGCGACGTCGTTGAGATACCCCCGCGCCATCTCCCTCTGCACCATGAGTTCTCCCGTGCAGCCTATGGGCGCCAGAGCGGAGTGATTGCCCGGATCGACGATCCAGCAGGCGCTTCCGAAACCGCGACCCACGGTGGTCGGTGGTTCATTGTGCGACTTGTATACGTGTGAGTTGCAGAACACGCTGATTTCGGAGGGGCCGTAGGCATTCGCCAGCGTTACGGAACCCATCCACGTGTCGAGGATTTCCTTGGTAGGAGCCTCGCCGACCAGAATGAGCAACTTGAGTGAGGGAACACTGGCGGGTTCGATCGTCCGCAGAAAAGTGGAAGTGAGTAACGCGGTATTAACGGCTGCGTCCTGGATGTAGCCTTGGATGTTGTGCAGGCGTTGCGCCTCGGCGGGAATGCAAACAGTGCCGCCAAAGATCAAGGTCTCGAAAATCTCACTCAAGCTGACGTCGAAGACAAAGCTCGAGAACTGCAGGACGCGGGATTCTTCAGTAAAGTGGTAGGCTCTTCCGCGGCCGACCAAACTAGTACACAGGGCGGCGTGTTCGACCACAATCGTCTTCGGCTTGCCCGTGGACCCGGATGTAAAGATGACATAGGCAACGTTGGAAGACGTAGCCCTGCTCATGAGCTTCGGCCCGCTCGAGTACTTTTGACAGAGTTGAGCCACCTCGGGACCTGACAGTCTAACGACGACGTCTGTCAGGTTCTCGCAGTTGGGCGCCATGGCCGTGGACGTGACCATCAGACGAGCGCCAGTCTCGCGGATCACGGTCTGCCATCGAGCCTTGGGATGAGATGGATCTAGCGGCGTGAAGGCTCCGCCAGCCTTGAGAATGCCTATCATGGTTACCACAGCCCAGACCGACTTCTCGAAGCAGACAGGTACGATAGTCTCTGGGCCAACACCGCAGGTAGCAAGATGAGCGGCGACGGCATCTGACATCTCTCCGAGCTGGGAATAAGTAATCACTCCATCCCACGCATGTATCGCTTCGTGGTTGCCGGCGACCTTGGCTGCCCGCTCGGCGACCAGGTCATGTATGCAAGCCCGAACAGGGCTGGCGTCTGCGGTGTTCCAGTGAACAGCCTGGGCGAGGTCCCAAGGTCCTGCAAGGGAGATGTCGTGCAATGCCGCCTCAGCACGAGTAGCCAGCTGGAGGGCGACGTGTTCGAGGTGACGGACTAGAGCCTCCACTTTAGCGTCTGGGACAAGTGCCGTGTTGTAGCTAATAACGAGGTCGACAGTGTCGTCTCCCGTGACAGCTTCGACGACTAAGGGATAATTGAAGTAGCCCTCGAGCGTCTGTGTGGCATCATAAGCTTCCTGATCCACCGGGAGAAGCAACTGTTCTTTTTCCTGACCAGACTCAGCAGATGTGGCCTTAGCAGATCCGGGCTGAACCATCATAAGGGAAGAAAAGTCGCAGGCTTTCTTTGCATCGTCGCCAAGCTTGGAAATGTTACGCAAACCATATTGCTCGTATGCCACCATCTCAGACGCGTGAGCTTGTACCCGGTCCAAAAAGCTGGCAACAGACTGCTCCCGCTCTATCTGGATGCGGACCGGCACAGTCGCGACAGCGGGTCCGACCATGATATCCAGGCCAGAGACAGGCGCCTGGCGACCGCTTACCGTAGTGCCGAAGCAGATATCCTCAGTGTCGCTGTACCGGGCGAGCACGAGAGCCCAGGCAGCGCGCAAGGCGGTGGCTTTGGTGATCGACGTGCCCTCGCCCCGCCATGGGAAGGCAATGGTCATCTGTGCGACCTTGGAGGTGGGCTTGTCATCATCCGCTGAGCCCGACGAAGTTCGCAAGAAGGATTCTTGCTGGGCTCCTTCCAGCTGCCCTCTCCAGTATTGCGCGGCTTCTTCCTGGTCGAGATTGGCCGTATACTCGACAAAGCCGGAATATGGCTCAAGGGCAGGGGTCTCAGCCCCTCCATATATCTCTGTCAACGTCTTGAGAATGAGTCCCATGCTCCATCCGTCAAAGATAGCGTGGTGGATCACAACGACGAAGTAAGCGGTCCCATCAGCCTCGTGGACAAGGGAATACCGGCATAGCCGCGAGCCGTACTGCATCTGCATAGTATCTGCGGCCTCGAGCGCCTGCTGCAGGCTGAGACCGTCGGTCGTCTCCCAGAGTGCCTGTTCTTCTCGGACCACAACTTGGAGCGACATGGTAGACTCCTGGTGGAGGATGATGCGTGTCCGTAGGATACCACATGCGTCAAGTGTGCGATTCCAGGCGTCTTTGAACGTCTCTATGTCGATGCCACGACCCAAGCGATACACCTGCTTGGCGACGTATGTGCCAGGGTCTTTGACCGCAAGCGCCATCAGGCCTTCCTGCAGCGGGATGCAAGGATAGGCATCTTCGATTTGCTGCTCCGAGGCCAGGTGACAGTCTTCCACCGCCGCAGTCTTGATACCCTCGACGTGCTCCGCGGGGAGAAGCGAGAATGGCGCCGACGGAACTCTGTCTGTACCGTGACTACTGTCGACGCTGCTGTCCACGGCCTTGAGTGCGACTGCCGAGAGACGGGGATCGAGGAACACGTCGTGGACGGTGAGAGAAAGACTAGCTAGCAGACGCGCCGCGGTGACCATCTGGATCGCGCGGATAGAATCGCCACCAATCTGGAGGAAGCTATCGTGCCGACCGATCGTCGTCGGCTCCACACCCAGGACGTGCGCCCAGACCTGTTGTAGCTGTACTTCGACGGGTGTGACCGGTGCGGCTTTCTCGCCGCTTGCTAGGGAGTACTCGATGAGCTTCTCCGGGCCCAGGGCAGCTACGATCTGCCGCAGCCGGGACCTGTTGAGCTTCATGGAGCTCTGGAAGGGCATTCGGCGAAGCGGGATGAAGACATTGGGGATCATGTACGACGGGAGGTGAGCACGAAGCTCCTCCGCCAGGGCAGCAAAGGAGTTGCGGGTGGCGGAACTCAGGGGAATAGGCGCATCTGCGTCCTCGTTGTCATTGACAGAGCTCTCTTCACCACCAAGCTTGACCAGTGCAACCAGCCACTCGCGTGATCCATCCTTCAGCACGTCGACGCCTACGTGTTCAACTGTAAGCGCGGACACGGTGGTCTTGATGCTGTGCTCGATGGCGCCGAGTTCAACACGCTGGCCTCTGAGCTTGAGTTGTGTGTCCTTGCGACCCAAGTACTCAAGGCTGCCGTCGGTGTTGTATCGGACCAAGTCGCCAGTCTTATAAAACGGAGTTGCGTCGCCCGCTGTCTCGCCCTGGTTGGCTCGTGACAACCACGGCACGCTGCTCAGAAACGCCCTGGCAGTGAGTTCCTCGTCGTTCGCGTACCCGCGAGCTAGAGCATGGCCTTCCAGCAGAAGCTCTCCAACGCAGCCTATGGGCGCCAGGCGCTCGTAGTTGTCCGAATCCACGACCCAGAAGTTGGTCGTCAGCCCCTTGCCGATGTTGGTTGCCATCTCGTCGGGCGAGCGGTAGGTATGCGTTCCGCAGTAGATGCAGGCCTCGGCCGGGCCGTACGCATTGATCAGCTCAGCATGACTTCCCGTCCACGTTTGAACGACTTCCCGCGTTGGGGCCTCGCCGACCAACAGCAGCTTCTTCAGTGAGGGCACCTCGCTTGGGTTCAGGGTGACGAGGAACGACGCCGTGAGCATGGCCGTGTTGACTCTGCTCGACTCCATGAAATCGGCCAGCCCTTGCAGGCGGGCCTCTTCTGAAGGGATACAAATAGTGCCTCCGTATACTAGGGTCTCAAAGATCTCCCCGAGGCTGATGTCGAAGATGAAGTTGGAGTACTGCAAGACCCGCGACTGAGAACCGAAGCGGTGGTCACGGCCATTCTTGATCACTGAGGTGCACAGAGCCTTGTGCTCCATGAGAATAGTCTTGGGTTTTCCTGTCGATCCGGAGGTGAAAATGGCGTAGGCCGCGTTGCTTGGAGTGCATCGTGGAGATTGCGTTCCAGAAGAAGTCTGCTGTTCCCCCTTCGTGGCGTTCTTGGTCACGTTGGATATGCGGACTATGCTATCTGCAGATATCTCGATTGTCGACACGCCGTCAAGGTCATCGCATATTGATGCCATGGATGTTGAAGTAAGCACGACACGGGTGCCGGATTCGCGGATGAGCAGATCACGCCGTTTGGCAGGGTAAGTCGGATCTAGCGGAACAAAAGCAGCACTCGCCTTGAGTATGCCAAGCATGGCAACGATGGCCCAGATTGATTTCTCAAAGCAGACCGGAACAATCATCTCGGTAGCTACTCCCAGGTCGGTCAGGTATGCTGCGAGGATCGAGGCATTGTGCTCGAGGTCAGCATAGGTCATAGATCCATCCCAAGAGTGAATCGCCTCCTGTTCAGGGGCCTTGCTAGCCATCTCCGAGATGAGATCGTGGACGCAGTAATCCTCGAGACTGATGTCGGCGGCGTTCCAGCGCTGAGCTTGCTCGAGATCCCATGCTCCGGCAATGGACAGAGTCTCCAGTGGTGCGTTGCCCAGCTGGACCAGTTGGCTAACGACATTCTCGAGGTGGCGCGTCATCCCGAGCAGTTGTTCGGGCGTCAGGAGAGACGCATCATAACTGTACAGAAGCTCGGCACGACCAGGGAACACAGAGGCAGTTAGGACAAGTGGGTAGCTGAAGTAGCCATCCAACGCCTCATCCGTGCCAAGCAGCTCGGCATCTGGTGCCAGAAGCAACTGCTTGCCCCCCGCGAGGTCGCCGTCTTGCTGGCTCGCAGACTGCCCAGGCTGGATGATCAACAAGCTTGAGAAATCGCAGGCCGAGGCGCAATCAGCGCTCAACTTTGCAATGTTTTGAAGGCCAAATTGTTCATACGAGACCATCTTGGACGCCTGGCTCTGCACAGACTGCAAGAAACTTGCAATCGGCTGCTGCTTCCTCTCTGCAAGCTGGAAGCGCACAGGAACTGTAGCAAGGGTGGGACCCGCCATCTGGTGAATGCCTTCGACTGGCGCTTGCCGTCCAGAGACAGTGGCGGCGAAGCAAATGTCGTTTGTATCACAGTACCTGGCTAGCACCAATCCCCATGCAGCACGGAGAAGGGTAGCTTTGGTGATGGAGGTGTCGTGTTGCTTGGGATACGCTAAGCTGGCCTCCAGGATCCTGGGATCCGGCTTCCGCTGGACCTCCGCGACAGTGGCAGGGCTTGTACGGGGAAACGCGGCTGTTGAGGACCCAGAGAGCTCCTCGGTCCAGTATTCGACGGCTGCGTCGTTCGCAATCTGGGTACTGGTGTGGTGCACGAACTTCGAGTAAGGCTCGAGTGCGGGCATGGAGTTATCGCTGTATGACTTGTACAGACTATCGAGCACAAGGCCCATGGACCAAGCATCAAAGACTGCGTGGTGCATCACCAGGATAAAGTACGACTTGCCCTCCTGGTCAGAAACCAGTGCATAGCGAGCGAGTCTGCTGCCATACACCATCTCCACGGCCTTGGTCTCTTCTGTGAAATCGTGGAGCTCCATCCCGACAGCATCTTTCCAGGTGGGCCGCTCCCTGATGACGCACTGGATGGAAACACTCTCGTGGAGAATAATGCGCGTCCGGAGTATCTCGCATGCCTCGACGACACGTTCCCAGGCGGCCCGGAACTGGTCCAAGTCCACGTCATCAGACAGCTGGAAGACACGGCGTGCCACGTATGAGCCTGGCTGCTTCATGGCGAGAGCCAGCAGACCTGCCTGCAGCGCAGTGCAGGGATATGCATTCTCAATGTCTTCTGGTCCACTGAGCTTGCAGTCCGCCACTATGCTCTCTTGTATAGCATCCACCTCGTCTGCCGGCAGCAGACTGAAAGGTGCGTTGTCGAAAGAATCCCCATGCCGTCCTCGGGTTGCCTTGGAAGCGACAGCACAAAGGCGAGGATCGCTGAAGATGTCGTGCACTGTTATAGTAAGACCAATGGCAGCTGCTGCAGTGACCATCTGGATGGCGCTGATGGAGTCGCCGCCGAGGCGCAGGAAGCTATCATAGCGGCCGATCTGTGCCTTGTCAATCTTGAGCGTCTGCGACCACAATAATTGCAGGGTACTCTCGAGCTCAGTCGCTGGCTCTTCCTTGTTGGAGTCCAGCAGAGAGTATTCCAGCAGCTGGTCAGAAGTTAGGTCTTGAGTGAGCTGGCGGAGCTGTTTGCGGTCGAGCTTCATGGATGTTTGGAAAGGCATCTCGCGGACAGGGATGAAGTAGGCCGGCACCATGTAATTAGGCAGGGTGGCGTGCAGTTGGTCGGCGATGCTGGTAAATGCAACGCGCTGAGCGTTGGTCAACTTTGCCGCCAAGGGACCGCTGGTGTCCTCAACCACCACGCTCAAGCTACCATCAGCCTCTGGATCAAACTTGACGAGAGCGGCCAAGGCCTCCCTTTCACCATCCGTCACGATATGCACAGCGACGTGCTGAACCGCGTCATGGGCGCGCTTCATACCATCCTCAATGGCGGCAAGTTCTATGCGAAGACCACGGAGCTTGATCTGAGTGTCGCCGCGGCCAAGGTACTCGAGAGATCCATCAGAGTTGTACCTGACCAAGTCGCCTGTGCGGTAGAACTTCTCGCCCTCACGCATAGCCGATTGTGGCATCCACTCCACGGAATCGAGGAAGACCCGGGCCGTGCCTTCGTGGTTGTTGGCATATCCGCGTGCGAGCGCGTGGCCCTGGACGACAAGCTCACCGATGCACCCTATAGGGGCCAGCCGAGTTGGATCGTCCCTCTCCGTGACCCAGAAGTTTCCAGAGACAGGCTTGCCGATGCTTGCTGGATTTTCACCCTTGGAGTGATATGTGTGGACGGCGCAGTATACACATGCCTCGGCTGGGCCGTACGCATTGATGACCTTTACGCTAGGACGACTAACCCAGGCCTGCAAGACTCGGCTGGTGGGTGCCTCACCAACAAGCAGGATGAACTCGATGCTGGGAACGTCTTCCGGATTCAGCGTAACAAGGAAGGATGATGTCAACATGGCGACATTGACGTTGGCGTCGCTGATGAAGCGTGCGATTCCTCCCCCGACACGCTGGGTATCGGATGGGATGCAGACTGTACCTCCACACGCCAGCGTTTCAAAGATCTCACCCAGACTGATATCAAAGACGAAGCTGGAGTACTGTAGCACCCGAGAACCTTGACAGAACCCGTGAGTCGCGCCGTTCTTGATGATGCTTGTGCTCAGGGCAGCATGATCCATGAGAATCGTCTTGGGCTTGGCAGTGGAGCCAGACGTGAAGATGGCATAAGCGAGATTCGGAGGCGTGGCGCGACCCTTGGCTGGGTGCGGCTCGGTAGCCAGCAATGCTAGCTGCGATGGGGAGACTTCGATCGTGTGCTCGGCCATGTCCTTACAGCTCGCCGCCAGCGAGGCTGAAGCGAGAACAATCTTTGCACCAGCCTCCTCAATCAGAAGTTGACGCCTGGCAGCAGGGTGAGACGGGTCGAGCGGGACGAATGCACCACCGGCTTTCAAGACGGCCAGCATGGCCACAACGGCCCAAAGAGACTTCTCAAAGCATAGAGGCACCAACATCTCTGCAACAACGCCCGACTTGACGAGATGCCCGGCAAGCGCATCAGCTGCTATGTCGAGCTCGGCATATGTCATTGTTCCGTCCCATGCATGGATAGCCTGGCTCTGTGGCGTCTTTGCAACCTGTGAAGCAAAGATGTCGTGGACGCACTCGTCAACAATCGCCGTGTCTGCCGTGTTCCAGCGCAGAGCCTGCTCAAAGTCCCAGGCACTAGCAAGGGACACAGTTCCCAGCTGGGAGTCTCCCAGGTTCTGGAGCTGGGCGACAAGGTGCTGGAGGTGTTGGGATAGTGCATCGAGTCTCTGCTCCGACAGCACTGCGGAGTCGTATGTGAACACCAGGTCGATCGAATCGTCGTTGGTGCTAGCCTCAAGAACAAGAGGGTAATTGAAGAAATTCTCGAGCGTCTCTTCTCCGCCGAATGCTTCCGCATCGGGTTGTAGCAACAGCTGCTCCTGTTCCGGTGACGCCTTGCCTTTACCTGGCTGGATGATCAGCAGGCTAGAGAAGTCACAGGCGTCCCGGGCGCCAGGGCCCAATTGTGCTATACGACGCAAGCCGTACTGCTCAAACGGCACCATCTGGGATGCTTGCTTCTGCACTCCCTCCAAGAACGCAGCGACCGTCTGCTGCTTGTCAAGACGCACACGTACAGGCACAGTCGCGACAGCTGGGCCCGTCGACATTTCCAGCCCTTGGACTGGAGCTTGTCGGCCCGACACTGTTGTGCCGAAGCAGACGTCCTCCATGTCACAGTACTTGGACAGGATCAGGGCCCAGGCAGACCGCAGGAGCGTGGCCTTTGTGACGGCCATCCTGTTGCTGGTGCTCGTGAACGGAATGCTCGACCTCAGAACACGACTGCCTCTGCTTCCGGTGCCTTGCTGCTGGGGAAACCTCAGGTCTGGGAGCGTGGTCTTCTGCACTCCCTCAAGTTGGGTTCGCCAGTAATCTTCCATGGAAGATTCATCCATCTCCATCGTATACTTGACAAAGCTGGAGTATGGCTGGAGCGGCGGCACTGCAGTATCCAGGTAGTGACTGCGCAATGTCTCGAGAGCCAGACCCATACTCCACCCATCAAACACTGCGTGATGAATGATGAGCACAAAGTAGCTCGTATCAGCCGAGGTGGACAGCAGTGCGTAGCGACACAAGCGTGAGCCGTACTGCATCTGCACACCTTTGGCTTTAGCCAGGAACTCGGACAAGTCGCTGACATCCTCGGTGACCTCCCAGAGCGGATCCTCTTTGACTACAACCTGCATCGATGCCTCGCCGTCGAGGACGATGCGAGTGCGCAGATTCTCGCACGCTAGCATGGTATGTTCCCAGGCGGCCCTGAACCGGGCCAAATCAACTGTGCCAGCGAGCTCGAAGGCGTTCTTGGCAATGTAGGATCCCGGTTGCTTGACGCTTAAGGCCATTAGACCTTCTTGCAAGGGCGTGCAAGGGTAGATGTCCTGGATACAGTCAGGCTCATCGGGAAGGTGGCAGGTGTTCTTGACCGTTGAGCGAACACTGGCCAACATCGCCGGGTCGACAAGGCTGAAGGGCTCTGCAGTGTACGACGCCAGTGGCAGTTCTTGCGTGTCCGCAGCAGCGGCAGCCAGAGCGACGGCAGATAGGCGTGGGTCTTGGAAGATGTCCTGCACAGAGACCTGAATGTCGTAGAATCGTGCCAGAGTCGATACTTGGATCGCCGACAGGGAGTCACCGCCAATTGTCAAGAAGTTGTCGTCGCGCCCGATCTGGCTCGGCTCCATCTGCAGAACACGCGCCCAGATCTCGGCCATCTGGATCTCCATCTCGGTGGCCGGCGCCACCTTTGCTGCATCTGCCAAGGTGCAGGCGAGAAGCTCTTCGGTGGTCAGCTCGTTCGCAATCTGGCGAAGTCTGGAACGGTTCAGCTTCATTGAGGCAGCCTGGAAAGGCATCTCGGTCATGGGGATGAAATATTTCGGCACCATGTAAGCCGGGAGCAACGCTTTGAGTTCTTCAGACAGACTGACAAACAGTATCTGCGTGGCATCGCTCTTCTTGAGCAGTCCAACTCCGGTTTCGCCTTCAACGCCCTCGAGGACGGCGTGCCCAGCATGGAAATTCACCAATGCGGCGAGGGCATCACGGCCGTCGTGCGAAATCACCTCGACGGCGACATGCTCAAAGGCGGGCTGCAAGCGCTTGATGCTCTGCTCGATAGCCCCAAGCTCAATGCGCTGACCGCGCAGCTTGATCTGGGTGTCCTTGCGGCCGATGTACTGCAGCGCCCCGTCTGGCCCATAGCGCATCAAGTCTCCAGTCTTGTAGAACCGTTGGCCTGCAATATCGGTAGGTGAGAGCCAGTCTACGCTGTTGAGAAACACCCGAGCTGACGTCTCGATGTCGTTCGCGTAACCAAGTGCTAGAGCATGCCCTTGAACGACGAGTTCGCCAACGCAGCCGATGGGTGTGAGCTTCTGGTGATTCTGGGGGTCGACCAACCAGCAGCTTCCCGTGAGACCGCGGCCGACGATCGTGGGGCATTCATCCTTGCTCTCGTAGACGTGGTATGTGCAGTAGATGATGGTCTCTGTCGGGCCGTAACCGTTGATGAGCCGCACGCGTCCCAACCAGGTATCCAGGTTAGCCACTGTTGGTGCCTCGCCGCCCATGACGATAGTCTTGAGTGTCGGAGTCTCGTCGGGGGTAAAAGTCATTGCGAACGATGGCGTAAGCATGGCTGCAGTCACGTTGTTCCGGCGGATGAACCCGGCAATATCCTGCAGACGGTCGGCATCAGAAGGCACGCAGATGGTTCCGCCAGCCACCAAGGTTGTGAAGATTTCGGTGAGTGTAGCGTCGAAGGCATAGTTTGAGAATTGTAGCACTCTCGACTCTGAGGTTATCTCGTAGGCCGTGGTCTGTGCTTTCAGACTCTTGCAAAGGGCCGAATGTTGTGCGACAATAGTTTTTGGCCGTCCTGTTGATCCGGACGTGAAGATGGCGTATGCAATGTTGTGTGGCTTTGTGACCACATTGCGGGTCGCCGTCGCGTGGGAGGTGACGAAGCTTTCCGACAGCTGCGTAATGAAGGCAAGATTGAGTGTGACGACTGACTCACAGAGCGCAACTGACGAAGCCGCCGAGGTTTCAGACACAATCATGATCCGGGCCTTGGTCTCCTGGATCAACTCCTGGCGTCGGGCAAGGGGATGCGCCGGATCAACAGGGCAGAAACCGCTGCCCGCTTTCAAGATACCCAGCATAGCCACGACGGTCCAGATGGACTTCTCAAAGCAGACCGGGATGAGCATGTCCGATTGAGCCCCCAACTCAATGAGATGGGTCGATAGCAGTGAGGACATGCGATCCAGTTGGCTGTACGTGAGCGAGCCGTCCCAGGAAGTAATCGCTTCTTTGTTGGGGCTGGCTGCCACCTGTGCGACGAACATATCATGGACACAAGCCTCGACTGGGGAAGCGTCGGCCGTGTTCCAGCGTCGTGCTTGGTCAAGATCCCAGGGTCCAGCCACTGAAAGTTCGCCAACGGTCATGTCGCCCTTGGTATACAACTGCTGGACGACGTGGTCGATGTGGTAGGTCATGGCCCTGATTCTCTCTTCAGAAACGACTGCGGCATCAAAGGTCATGACTAGCCGAACCCGGTCGTTGTAGGTGAAGGCCTGGAGCACAAGTGGGTAGTTGAAGTAGCCCTCCAGCCCCTGGGATGGGCCGAAGCTGTGTGCATCCACGGCGCGAAGCAAGACGGACTTGCTGAGACTTTCGTCGTCGTTGTCACCGCTTTCCGTAGACTGCACTGGCTGGACAATCATGAGGTTGGCAAAGTCGCACACTTCCCGAGCCTCGGTGCTGAGGCGGGTGATATTGCGGAGTCCATACTGCTCGTACCGGACCATTTCCACCGCCTGGTTCTGTACGTCCCGGAGTACATCTCGAATCAGCTGCTGCCTGCCAAGGCGGACTCTGACTGGCACGGTAGCGACAGTAGGGCCGGCGATGGACTCGATGTGGGGAGCGCTGGATTGCCGGCCAGAAGTCGCCGTGCCGAAGCACACGTCCTGGTCCAGATCGCTGTACTGGGCGAGCACAATAGCCCACGCGGCCCGGAGGATGGTCGCTTTTGTGATTGATGCATCCTCCTGCTCGCGCAACCGCATTGTAGTCTCGACCGTCCGTGTCTCTGACGACGTCGCCTGCGAAGAGACCCGGTCGACTGACGGGAACGAAGCCCGCTGCGCACCAGCAAGCTGCTGGGTCCAGTAATCTGCAGCCTCGGACGGTTCAAGTTCGTCGAGGTGCTTGATGAACCCAGAGTATGCATGCAGCATGGGTTCCGCGCTGGCGTCCTCGTACAGCTCATACAGGGTGCGCAGGACCAGCCCCAGACTCCAACCGTCAAAGACGGCGTGGTGGATGACCAGGACAAAGTAATGTGCCCCGGATCCGTCAGACACAAGAGCGTATCTGCAGAGGCGCGAACCGTACTGCATCTCCATCTTCTTGGTCCCAGCCCAGGCGGTGACCAGATCATCGCTGGTGGCCTCCCACTGTGGTGTCTCGTCGATGACTGCCTGGATGGAGTCGTTTCCGTGGAGGATAATACGTGTGCGCAGGTTGCCATGATGTTTGAGTGTCTGTTCCCATGCGTCACGGAATCTGTCCAAGTCGACATCACCCGCAAGGCGGTAGGCATGACGTGCCATATAAGAGCCAGGTTGTTTCACAGCCAGTGCCATCAGACCTTGCTGCAGGCCACTGCACGGAAAGGCGTCCTCGATCTGTTGCTCGTCTCCCAGGCTACATTCTTCCAGGATTTTCTGTTGCAGGACGTCAAGGTCGGTCTCGGCCGGGAGAAGGCTATAGGGCTCCGGGTCATCCATGCTGTGAGCGACGTCGAGATCATCAAGCTGCGCCTTTTCCGCGACGGCCAGCAGCCTGGGATCGCTGAAGATGTCATGCACGCTGAGGCTGACATTAACCGCGTGGCATGCCGTGACCACCTGAATGGCGCTGATGGAGTCGCCACCAAGGCGGAAGAAGCTGTCATCGCGACCGATTGACTCTGGGCTGACTCTCAAAATCGAAGCCCAGATTTGCTGCATTATAGTCTCCATGGGTGTCTCTACTGGGCGCTTCTCGGCCCCAACCAAGGCGTACATGGTCATCCCTTCGCTACCCAAAGCAGCTGCTGCTCGGCGCAGACCTCCACGGTCGACCTTTGTAGATCCGATGCAGGGGATAAAACGACAAGGAATGAAGACGGCAGGCACCATGTAGCTGGGTAGTGCAACGCTGAGCTGACTGGCAGTGCTGATGATGAGGTTCCGAAACTCAGGGGATGGCGGGAGAAACACGTCGTCGTGGTCTACACCGTCACTCTTGGGCAGGCGCGTGGCCTGGCTGAAGCACAGGAAAGCAACCAAAGTTGCCTCTGCGCCATTTCGGAGTACATCAACGACGACCTGTTGGGCGCCCTCCGTGGCCACCTGCGTATGGTGTTCCACGTGGGTAAGCTCGACCCTGAGACCTCGGATCTTGACCTGCGTGTCTCTGCGGCTGATGAATTCAATGTCTCCGTTGCTGTTGTAGAAGCAGAGATCGCCAGACTTGAAAAAGCGGCCCCAGCACCGCTCGTCCTGATTGGGGGCCCACCAGGGCAAATCATCCACGGTCGAGGCCTCAGTTCTGGCCTTGTCGCTCAGATACTCGCGCAGAAGCGTCGGGCCTTGAATCATGACTTCTCCCGTGCAGCCCATCGGCACCAGGCGGCTGTGGTCGTCGGGATCGACTATCCAGCAGAACCCACCAACCGCACGCCCCACGGTCAACGGCGACTCATCTTCGCTCGTCCACTCGTGCAGTGTGCTGAAGCAGGCGGTTTCTGCAGGACCCCAGCCGTTTACCAGGCGCACTTTGCCAAACCAGGTGTTGAAGACATCGCGACCCACAGCCTCGCCTGCTAACAGTAGCAACTCGAGGCTGGGCATGTCCTCGGGACGCAGTGTACGCGCGAACGCCGGTGTCAGGTACGCCCAATTGACGTTCAAATCCGATGCGAATTTCTGTAGTCCCTCCAACCTGGTCTCGTCTGAGGGGACGCAGATCTGGGCACCGGTGATCAGGGGTCCGATGATCTCGCCGATACACAGGTCAAACACAAAACTGGCGAATTGTAGCATGCGGACGTCAGGGGTAAGTCCGAGTCGCTTGACAATGGCAGTTTGACTTGTGCAAACAGCCCTGTGCTGCATCACCAGGCCCTTCGGGGTGCCAGTGCTCCCGGACGTAAACAATACGTATACGGCATCCTCTGGAGTGACGGCGGTTGCCGGGAAGGTATATGCGGGTCCGAGCTCGGCTTTGAGCTGCTCGTCCAGCTCCGTGTTGACCGCAAGTACATTGGCGACAAGGTCGGCACAGGCGGCGGCCTGGTCGGTGGATGAGAGGACCAGCGTGGCGCCAGTCTGCGAGACAATTTGTGCTTGATGCTGTCTTGGATGTTTTGGGTCGAGTGGAACCCAGGCAGCGCCAGCCTTGTTGATGGCGACAATGGCCACGAACCACCAGGCCGACTTCTCAAAGCACACATGCACGAGGTCGCTGACACGGACCTTCTCCCGGTCTACCAGTCGCCTGGCCAGCCTGTCTGAAGCCGCATCCAGCTCCGCGTACGTAAATTCTGCATCCCAGCCGCGCACGGCCATGGCATTGGGACGCTCTGCTGCCTGCGCCTTGATCAGAGTGTGGACGCACTTGTCCACAATTTCAGGCGCGTCTCCATTAAACTCAATTGCTTGCTTGAGATTCCAGTCGTCGGTGTCGTCCAGCGCGTCAAGCAACATCTCCTCTCCATCGCTGCTGTCGAACGGCTCACTTTTTCGTGATGTCAGTATTTTTGACAATGCAACTCCAAATCATCACCAACGACACTTTTGGTCTTGAATTGCGAAAAGAGCTCACCTGCTATTGCTGTGGTCTTGCGAGCCAGACAGCGAAGAGCTCTCTAGACTTGACATGTTGGCTGATATGTTTGTTTGTTTGTTTGTTTGTTGATTTGCTGTCGCTATCTTCCTAATATGAAATGATTGCTTCTGTGATGGTTAGCTGTACCACAATGCGATTGTCACCTGCCTTCTCTCTTTTGATAGCTCTGTCTCATCTGCACGAGGCGTCTGTGTGCACTGTGTTTGGCGATCGTCGTGACTGCTGCTAGGCTTGGTGTTTCACGTGGCGTCACTATAGAATGGCTCTAGCACTATGCGTCGATGGAACTGCGATGTCGCACTATCAGACTCCAGCAAGTTGATCGCGGAGCTTCTTGGGACGCCTCGGAACCGGTTCAAGCTGCGTCGCGCCGCACAGGGCTGTTAGCGGCAGGCCAGCTGAGTCCCCAGGCCCCATGTGCTACAGGGGTGGGCATGCATGCTGGCTCCGCTCCTCACATGCGGCCGCTAGGGTCTTGCAGTCCTTCATGAGCCATACACAGCTATGCTGTCGTCCCGATTAGTCTTGCGTACAGGGTTCACGAAAGACACCTTACGTCGAAAGCGTTGAAGCTAGCCTGCAACGAGCTCAACGTAGCTGCGTGGGCCAAGGATTTAGGTGTGCAAGGATCCCCCAGCTGAGCTTGGCGTTGGGACGATCCGCGCCTTGACTACAAGTCATGAACTTATGAAAGCAGATGCTATTCTTGTCTGCGCCGCGACAGCTTCGGTCTTGATGTTAGGCACTTTGCTTCAACAGATTGATTGTCAGAGCAACCAACAACAAGGCACACCAGTCTTCCCCCACGGTTTCACAGAGGTCGTGTTACGTCTTGGCCTTTTTGCAGACAGAAACATATATTCAATATTGATGCGGTTCTATAGTTGATGCCTGTGCAATCACATGTGCCTAGGCGAAATTTCCAGATATCAGACTCCACGTTGTAGTGCTTGGGTGAATTCTGAGAGCGATCTGGCATGGGTGCGAGACCAAGGCAGCACAGGTGGTGCTGCTTCTGTCCACCTAGGCTACAGGACTATGCCTTAACTAAGCACCTCGATTCCTGCTACTAACATTGTCCAATGACGGCTCTGCAGCAGACTGGGAGGAGGGGCTGTGTGTGCCGTAGCATTCTTCGTAGCTGAGCTTGACGAGGCGAGGCGGGTGAACACGTGGAACAGGTCCAAGACAGCAGTCAGCTGTGCCTGACCCCCACAAGGCTGATGGTTGACTGCAAGTGTGGTGTCGATCCGTGCCCATGGCATGTCTGATATGCACTTTCTCGTTCCCCAGCAAGACACCGACTGACCTGGATGACCTTTTTTGACAAGAACGACAAAGTGTCATCCAATGTGTCCCAATTAGGAAGGAGGGTTGTCACCGTGGCCAATCAGAGACAGTCATTGTGTGGATAGTAATGCAATAGCGGGGCAGGACTTGTATTATGACAACTATTACTATGGGGCAAGTCCTGCGCTGGTGAGGCGTTATCACGTTGTTCCTGCTGATAATAGCGAGGGGGTGTGTCCGCTGAAGAGAGCAAGAGGGCGTGGCAGTCGAGAGGGTGTGTATCGATCAAGTCTTCAGCTGAGGCTTCGTGATGAGGCTGAATGTGGACAAGGGCCTTTTTCGCCATGACTGTCTTTCCTCACCGAGGCCAGGATAGAGATGTGGCCAGAACGAGGATGGCTTACTGCACCATGACAGGTCGGCTATAGCACAACTTTCATTGCATTTGAGCAAGAATTGTCAAGTCTCAGACATCTAGATGACAAAGGCTGATGTCGAAGAATAAGTTCATGGAGACGCCCTGTTCATGATCCAGCCCTTTTCTCACGTTGGTTGGCTGGGTCTCCGATAATGCACAACGAGCCTTGGCTACCGTAGGCAGCAACCAATTGTTCCCCAGTGCAGAATACATGACATTAGGCTCATAGCAGCAAGACCACTCTCCCCCGCAGCAGCCCAACCGCAACCATGCAGCCAGGCAGCATTTCCCCCGTCGAGCAGCTGGTGGCCGGCACCAACCCGGCCGCCCTGCCTCTGGTGCTTATCCACGATGGTGGGGGCACTGTTGACAGCTATCGGTCTCTAGGCCCTTTTGAGTGTGACATCTATGCCATCTCAGACCCCCGCTTCGAGGACGAGCAGCCTTGGCAAGGTGGCATGCGCGAGATGGCACAGGCCTACCTGGACCTGATCAAGGAGAAAGTCCCTAGCAAGGAGATTCTCCTTGGCGGTATGTTGGGCCTCTTCCCCGCACCTGCGGCTGCTGCCAAGCCCCCGTGAAAGCCCACATCACTGACATTTGATTTTCATTTTGCAAAGGTTGGTCCTTTGGTGGCCTGCTGTCCGTCGAGCTGGCATGCATGCTCGATGGTGACGACTCCCTCAAGGTGGCGGGGCTGATCCTGATCGACACGCCTTATGCGAGCATCGGCGACCGCACCCTGCACGATGTCATGTACAGCGACATGCCCGACCTCCCGGGGATGCCGCCCCGGCTGCGTCGCAGGATCTACTCGTCGATCCAGCGGGCCCGGCAAATGATGTTCCACTGGCAGGAGCCCAGCGCTTACCAGTCGTCGGGCGGGATCAGCGACAGTGACAGCGACGAGGGGTCCCCGATCCCTTCCCAGCTGATCCGCCGAAGGGCCAAGTTGCCCCCGGCAGTCCTGCTCCGCGCTTCCGAGTTTGTTAAGCCGGGTGCCGGTGCCGTCCAGCAGCAGCAGCAGCCTGTCTCTGTGGTCGACAGCTTCCGTCGTGACCCGACGCTTGGCTGGGACCGGTACCAGGAATCGTTCATTGATCTCGTCTGGAATGTACCTGGCAGCCACTACAGCCTGTTCGAGTCCCGCAATGTAAGTTCATCCGATTCATGCTCTGGTTGCTATCTTTCAGTGGAAAGTTGACATGATCCAGGTTCGCCATCTGAATGAGAGGCTTTCTAGTGCGTACAACTATCTTTGGAACACCAAGGTGGTAGGCTAAGGTCTGCGCTGGAGGAGATTGTGGTTGGATGATTTGATTATACATGATGAGAGGAACCTTGGGTTATCAGGCTTGAAAACTTTCGTGGAGCAGCCAATGTTTATTTTGAACTGGCGCATTTTGTCTGCCGTTTGATACTCGTTGAAAATATCTCGTATTCTGATTTGCATTTACTCACACTAGTCTCTTTCTATGCAACCTGAAAATACATTGATCAGCACCCACGGCATAGCGGTTCCTTATGCACGTGATTAATCTATTAAACTTGCCTTTTGAAGTTGTATTTTATAAGGATATCTATGCTTGGTATCAAATGAAGTGAATGTACCACTTCGAGTGGGCCATGTTTCGGTCTAACCTATGGATATGAATTTTATGATATATGATTGTCTGCTTAGTGTCATTCTTTGATTCCGAGTCTCCAGTAAAAGATGAACATTTAAAATTAATAATAAAAGAGAAATTATTCCAAAATTGTGCAGCATAGTAAACGGGTTGATATGACAAATTTCAACATAAACACTCATTCTCCATTATTTTTATATTCGAGATTTTTAACACATGCCAATGATCTTAAAGCTACTATGTTGATAAACTATTGCTTCTACTATAATTAAGAGGGACAATTACAAAATGAGTGATTTTAATGTTAAGCAATCTATAGGAGCCTTATCGACTTTACAGCTGCCTATGGCATTACCCTTCAAATACTTAATCCTCAATACCATCACAGGAGAGCAAATGCCTCTCGTGATGGCAATCTACACTAACCCTAACTTGAGGAACTTGGACCTATGTATACAGCCTGGTCAAGCTGCCTGCCTTACCATATAGCAGCTAACCTGAGTGCCGTATACATGTATTCTGATTATAAAACCTGGGATGGACTAATTTGCCCATCTTTTAACGCAAATGTCACATTTCAATAGTGCCGAGACACGAGTGTTGATTACGTGCATTGAGCTCTTTGGCAAACGACTGATTCTGTGTAGATAATGTATCTGGAGAACCTGTCAAATGTTTTGAAACGAAAGACAATGAGTTGAGCGTGCTCGAGTACTAGATAAAAGAGCCTGGTATGTCCGCGAGCAGCCTGCTCAACCACACGGACCACGCAAACAAAAGGTTAACCAAACTCGCGAGAAGTAGCTTCTCTGCAACTACCGATCCTGGCACCACCTCTTCAAGACCTGCCAAAGCTCCAGAAACCAGACTTGTCCTTCTTCTCCTTGCCTTCCCCTGCCACTTCGGAATTCTCCTCCTGCACATTGTGCTGGCCGACAATGTTGAGGAACACCTGGTCGAGAGTGACGTGGCTGACGGCAAAGTGCACCACGCCAAGTTGCTCTCTAGCCAGCTCGATATCGACAATGAGCTGGCCGATGGCGCTGCCCATGCTGCGTCCGCCTCGGCGCCTCGCCTCGGCGCCACCTCCTGCCAGCACGGCATCCGTCGACACCGAGAAGCGTGGCTGGCCGTGGTAATCATGGCCGTCAATCTCCGCCGCAGCACCGTACTGCGCGCTGACCCACTCCCGGACACGGCTCATCTCCTCGGGCCGCGAGTGCGGCGCCCCGCGACACACGAGATGCACGTGCAGGGTGTTGCTGAACCGCCGGCGAAGCGATTCAGGGGTACCGACGGCGAGCATGTGCCTGGCCAGGATTGCCACGCGGGACGCCAGGGCACCGGCTTCTTCCATGCTGTGCGTGGTCAGGAGCACCGCGCGGCCAGGGGACACGGCCTTGAGGGTGCGCCAGACGTCGCGCTTGGCGGCGGCGTCGAGGCTCGCGGAAGGTTCGTCGAGCACGAGGACGGTCGAGTTGCCCATGAGGGCGATACCCAGGGACAGCTTGCGCTTGCCACCGCCAGAGAGGGCGTGAGCCGGGCGGGAGGCCAGAGAAGAGAGCCCGACGGCGTGCAGGACGGCGAGAGTGCTGCGCTCGATATCGGACACGCCGCGGATGCGGGCGTAGAAGCGTAGGTGCTCGGCCACGGTCATGAGATCCAGGGCGTCTACCTGCGGGCACACGCCCAGGTGGCTCCGCGCGGCTGCGAGCTGGGTCGTGATTGAGGCGCCCTCGATCTCGACGTCCCCCGTGAACTGCTTGGTCTTGTTCTTGGTAGGCCGGACATCGCCGCGGACCATGGCAATGGTGACGGACTTGCCGGCACCGTTGGGGCCGAGGAGGGCCAGAGTCTCGTCGTGGGACACGCCGAAAGTCACGTCGTCGACCACCTTCTTGCCCTTGGTGAACTCCTTGCTCAGGTGCACCACCCGGAGACCTTCGGCAGCGGCAGCCGCTCCCATCACCTCGTGCTGTGGCGAGGTGACTCGTGCAATCTCACTGGCAACGTCACTGGCAACCGTATCGCCTTCGGAAACGGACGACCTGCAGTCTCCCGTCGGGTCTCCGGCAACCTGGGACTTCTTCTCTTGGCGCGACTGCTTGTTGTTGTTCGCCTTGCGAGAGCCCGGCCAGGTAGACGCCCCAGCTCCTACACCAGCATCGTGCCAGAGAAGCACAGAGTAGAGCAGGATACACTGAAGGACAAGAACAACAATGGGCCCGCCGTACAGCGTCAGTGCAGCCGGGTTACTCGCCAGCTGTCCGTTGGTACACGAGACCATATTGACATTGAGGGCGATCATCATGGCCCGCATAATGGACCCTGTGGGCGCGAAGAGCGAAATAACAAAGTGTACCACGAGCACGGTGCTCTCGACCCGGCTGGGCGACGTGAAGTTGGTCACGAGGTTGTACACGATGAAGTACATGAGAGCCCCAAACCCCTGGGCACCCGAAGCCCAGCCAAAGGTCGAAGCCTGCGAGCTGATAAAGAGAGACAAGACATAAGCCAACAGGATCGAGGCCAGGCCGTACAGCATTAGCACGGGGAACAGGTAACCAATGTGGTACCAGGCACTCGTGGTCCCGACGAACGAGCACGTGATGACGGCGGCCACGACGACGACAATGGCAAAGTCAAACACGACATGCGAGGTCCACAGTGCCACAGGAAGGACCCCGTTGGAGTACTGCAGACTGCGGATCTGCTGGCGCCGCTCAAGGTTAGGGTACAGTCCAAAGAAGGCGGTCGACACGGCGAGCGCAAGACTGAGGTAGACCATGAGCTGGAGCGCGGTGCCCGGGCTCGTGCCCGAGGGTGTCTCGAAGGGGGCATACGAGGTCGCAATGCTCACGTTGCTAAGCATCACGTTCAAGGCATTCTGGCCAATGACACTGGTCGACACGTCGCCCGCGCCGGCGAGGTAGGCCAGCGTGGGCACAGTAGAGGCCGCATCGCCGAGCCACCACCCAGCCGGGCGGACGAGCTTGCGCTCTCCAGAAACAAGACTGTTGAAGTTCCCAATGGACCCAGCTGGGCGGATGCTGTCGACCAGTGCCTGCTGCGACCCCGTGGAAACCAGTGGAGTGAACAGCTCTGAAAGTTCCGAATCGTTGTAAGCCGACTCAGGGCCTACTACCATGGAGGCATCGTTAGACAGATATGTGGAGAGTGAGATCGGACCAGGCAGAGTGCTGGCATCGGCAGGCGTGCAAGTCGGTGGAGCGTTGTCCCGGATGAAGAGCGTGATGATGCCCGCAACAACCAGGGGAATCGCCAGAGCCGCGAGATAGGGCAGCCAGTTGGACTTGAAGATGGTGCACCGCTTCCGGAGCAGGATCAGAGTCTGCCGGCTGACACCCACCGGGCGGCCAGAGAGAAACTCGAGGCTGCTGCTGACATCAAAGTCTTCTGCCACTTCTTCCGCACGCCCCGACCTCGGTGAGTGTCTCGTTGCAGAGGCTTGAGATCTGCCCTCCCTGCGGAACTCGTCTGCAAGCTTCAAGAACACGCTCTCCAGGGTCGGGCCCGAGTACTCATAGTCATGGCATCCCGCATCCTCGAGCGTCCGGATCACCCTGGCGAGAGCGGCCGTCGACGTTGCAGTGTACACGAGCCCCTGTTCCGAGACCTGTAAATCCACGCCGCGGACAGACGGTGGTGAAGTTTGGCCGAAGTTGCCAGCTGAGCGTGGCACGCTGATCTTGTGCCCGGTTCCATGCTTGTCCTTGAGCTCCGCAGAGAACCCTTCAGCTCTCAGCCTGCCCTTGGATAATACCGCAATGCGATCCGCGAGGACGTCAGCCTCGTCGAGGAAGTGTGTCGTCATGATGATTGTCCGCTGGCCCCTCTCGGCGAGCAGGATGTCCCAGACCTTACGGCGGGAGAGGGGGTCCAGGGCAGACGAGACTTCGTCGACACAGCACACGGCGCTGCCGCCCGCGAGCATCATTGCCAGCTGCAGCTTGCGCTTCTGCCCGCCCGACAACGTCTTGGACTGGGATTTGCTCTTGGCGGCGAGGTCGACCTTAGCCACCAGCTCCTCGACCTCGGCGGTTGTGGCCACTCTCTGGGGAGCCTTGAGCTGCAGGAAGATTTGCACGTGCTCGAAGACGCTGAGGTCGTCCCACAGAACGTCCTTCTGCGGTGTGATGCCGATGCCGCCCGTGATGTCTACCTCGACACTTCCCTTTGTCGGGCTGTTCATGCCGGAGATGGTGTCGAGCGTCGTGCTCTTGCCCGAGCCGTTGGTGCCGAGCAGGGCGAGGATCTGCCCGCGCTCTGCTCGCAGGTTGAGCCTGGCCACGGCGACAACTGGCTGCGGCGCCGGCACCATCCAGCTGAGCAACTTGCGTAGCGGGCCCGGCTGATAGACCTTGGTAAAGTTGGTGATTTGGACAGCAGGAGTGCCGTGGGCAGCTCCACCCGAGTAGTCGGCACCTGGGTCATGTCGCCTGATTGTGTTGCGACCTTTCGCTGCGCTCCCGTGTATCGATCTCTCGACGAACGCTCCGATGAGGGGATACAAGGGGATCTGCACAAGCAGGAAGACCCATAGCACAATACCAGGCAGCGCCGAGGGGCTATCTGGGCTGGCACGCGTCAGGTCGAGCCTGGAGGACACTCGCTCCCACCGGGCCACCCAGGTGATGAAGTACACAAAGTTGCAAGGGGCAAAGAGAATCGACAGGATGGCTGTGCCGGCTGTTCCTGGAGCTGGAATCGTCTGAGCAATGATGGCAAGGACCGTGTACAGAAGAAGACTCAGTCCCGACAGCTGCGATTTGCGGAAAAAGGTCGCGCCCAGGATCGACATGGAGATGAGCGCTATGCCAAAAAGAATGAAGTAGATGAGCACCACGCCGACGTTGGAGCTCGGGAATATGGCGCGGCCTAGGAGAATGGAGCTGATGACCCAGCCGGGGAGATACACCAAGGTGAAAGCAAGGTGGTAGGATATGAACCGTGCCGCTTGCGCCTCCCAGTGTCGCGTCACTGGCATCGTGGCCTCCAGTAGTTGCGACATGCCAATCTCCCTCTCGGTAGACACAAAGGCGGCGACATGATAGCAGGCACCAACAAATACCGTCATGAGCGCCACGGCCATGTAGCTAATCACTGACGACTGGAAGGCCTCGCGAGACGCCTCGGACTGCTCATCCTGCGTGAGGGCAGTGAAGGCGTACTCGTTAGTGGCCGCGGGCAACTCGGACGCGCCATTGGGACCGCTCAGCTTAACGATAGCCGAGTCGATCGCTTTTTGAAGCGGGAGAGTGTAGATTTGTGCATTGTTGTCGTTCTTGGTGACGTCGATGCGACCACCAAGGTAGTTATCTCCCCGCAAGGTGTAGTTCCACAGACTGTCGCCGCCCTCTTCCGGCGACGTGTTGAAGACAACAGCGGCAAAGCACGCCGTGACTCCACGGTTCGAAGCACGGCAGACGTCTCGCAGCTCCGCAGCGTCAGAGACCCTGACGACCTGGCTGCCGACATCTTCCACCTGAGCTGCAACTTGGTCAATCACGAGATCTATAAGGCCACCCGAGTGGTTGCTGTTTGCAAAGACAACGGAGCCACGAGTGCCACTGGCGGCGGCCGCAGCATCAAGGGCGTCGCCAAGAGTGCGGATGGGGGTTGGAGTGGCGATGCCAAAGGTTGAAGGAGACGCTGCGAAGCGCGGCGTGAAGCTGAGCAGCAGAGCGAGCGCGATGGGCACCGTGAGCGCCGTAAACGACGTCGGGCCCAGCTGCCGCCATGCGATAATGCGGAGGTTCTTCGCCGTCAGCGCCCATGTCTGCCGCACAAACCCCATGGCCGATGGTGGCGGCGGCGCAGGCGCAGGCGGCGCCGGGGCCGGAGACGAAGCCATGGCGAGCACGACGACGTGAAGCAGGAACACCCAGGCTGCTCTTCAGAATGCGTATGGCTGTTTGTTGTTGTAGAGGAATGTTTAATTTGCTAGACTGTTTGCCCGTAGAGGACCACGCCGGTGAGGTTTGCAAAGCAAACAAGCAAGCAGTACACGACCAACAATGCAAGGCAGCAACAATACCCTTCCAGCCGAAGCAACGTCGGACGAGGGTCATGGCATTAACATCAATCCGAGCGCCAGGGTCTCTCATGACTCCACAATTGGAACAGCTACAATTATCTTGGCGGCTGAGCCATTGTTGCTTGCTTCAGGCTTGAAACACCATGCCCAAGCTTAATTGGCATAAGAAAAATCCCCTATGCTGGAAGGCGCCGTGGCGATCTCAAAGTGTCATCAGAGCTTCGAGAGACAACGCGTCGAGTTTCATGTGAGCACTTCCATCGATGCATCATGCATAACCGTGAGCAGGAACTTTCCCAGAACCACTGGTCCTTCCCCCGCAGCAGTGTGGAGTCTCTCGCCAGTCCTATCCAGCCCCGGACGTTGTGCCCCGACCCTTGCGACCTTGGCTTACGTTGTTGGGGGGCCAGAGCCCTTGAGAACAAAGGGTCCTAGGTAGCCCCACGTGCCTTACATGTCAGGTGAGCTTCACGTAAGCCGTAATTTCTGCGCGGGATATCTTAGATGCACTTTGGAAAATGCATGTTGGTGGTTCTGGACGGGGGAGTAACCCCAGGGTATCCCTGTGCGCAAGATCTTGACAGGGTCAGCTCCCTGCAGGGCCTTATCTCGCTCGCTTTAGTCACTCTCTTGGCGTGATGGGTGGCTTGGGAAAGACAAATCGCGCAGTGTTTGGCGCCAAAGCCGAGTTGCACACGCAGCAGGGGGCTTCTGCGCGGGAAGAGGCAGCGTACAGGGCGCAAGCTAGAATTGAGTCTCGACAATCGGCCTGGACACCATAGACCAGTATCCATAGTCTGGGCCAAGTTATGCATCTCGATTGTGCAAGGGGCAGAGCTCGATAACGCTTAATGCAAGCTAGCATTGGGTTGATGCAATCGTCCAGTGGCCTGGCCGTCTGGAGCCGAGACATAGGCTTTATCACAACCATTGCAAATTATTGTGGACGTGGAATGATGCTGGCTTTGAACTTTTGGCCATCTACGAGAAGACAAGAGCACTAATTCACAATCACATCAGGTCCAGGCAGAAATCTGGGATGTAGCAATAGTTCAGACAAAATATCTGTCTCGATTGTCTGTGTGTGTCTCGGCTCCTATGATTGTCTATTTACGTGTCGACAAATTTCCATTCCTCCTCAATAACATTGCTTTCAGTATGCTCTGAGAGTTTCGAATTTCCCCCGGCTTGAAGAATCCACCACTTATTTTCGGTGATGCAAGCTCACCGCGCAGATCTTCACTTTACGAAACTTAGTCCTCACGCAAGATGGGGTTCGAGCCCGAAGCCTTTTCGGCTGTGCGTTGAATAAGCATGATTTCTCCAGACCATCTGTGGTCAACATGGGAGTAGTCAAGCCTGGGCAAGCATAAATCTTTCCTCAGATCTGCTCCACAGCTTCTGCGACAGGCTCTGGAACGTGCGGGCCATAGCTGACAAGCTTGCCATCGTCCAGAACGGCAACTGCATCGTAGTCCAGAAGGTCGTCGACATTGTGCGTGACCGAGATGACGGTCCAGTTTGCGAACCAGTCGTTGATGATGCCGCGGACAAGCTCAGTCATCGTCGCGTCCAGGCTGTGACAGCATTAGTCCTCTGGTCCAATTCTACAGTCCCACGAGCCTCGCTCAAGTCATCACCAAGAGTCACTTGGGGGGGGGGGGGGGGAAATACCTTCTAGTGGGCTCGTCCAGGATCAGAATCTTGCTGTCACGCAACATGGCGCGTGCCAGAACCAGCAACTGCGCCTGACCGGGTGACAAGGCCTCCTGGAAGATGACGGTGTCCAACCCGCCGACTGCCTCTGCCGTGGCCCACAGCTGCACTCTCTCGAGCACATCGCGGATCTTGGCATCGTCAGCAACGCCCAGGGGGTCCACGTTACGCCGGATCGTGTCGTGCATGATGTGCGCCTCCTGAGGGCAGGCCACGACGCGGGTCGGCACGTAGTCCCGGGGCAAGGTCGCGATGTCCACCCCGTCGATCACGACTGAGCCGGTGTCCGTGTCCATCATGCCCAAGAGGCAGAGCACGAGAGAGCTCTTGCCACTGCATGAGTGTGAGCTCGTTGTCAGTGATGCATGCCCCCGGATCGGCGTTTGGGGGTTGAAGAGCTCATGGAGACCTACCTTCCGGTCCTGCCACAGACGGCAATCTTTTGACCAGGATTGACTGTGAAAGAAATCTTGTCGAGGCAGACTCCTGACGACCTATTACAAACGGTCCTGTGTAAGTATGTTGACAACCAGGGATGATACAAGTTGTGAGGATACTCACGGGTACGAAGCCACGATATCGCGGACCTCGATAACACCAGCAGCTGGCCACTTTGGGTCTTGTGGTGCAGCTCGAGGTGTGGTTCCAGCAGCTTCATCCTTGTCCATGACCTTTGAGAAGCGAGACACGCGGGCGATGGCGCCAAGGGCATTCTCAAGCATGACCCAGAAGTTGATGATGAGCTTGACCGAGCCGTTGATGGATAAGAGACTGGTCAAACCGACACCCATGTTGACCGCGCCAGTGTCTTGACGGAGCACGGTGGTTATGACAATGAAGACCAGAGCGAGCACCAGCATCATCATCTCAATGGAGAAGTTGAGCCAGCACTGGACGCTCCCGAGCAGGTAGCAGGGGATCTGCGACTCGTCGAGAACGGCAAGACTCTGGTCGAGCATCTTGTCGTGCCACTGGAAGGCCCTGATGGACACGAGGCCGCTCGACAGTTCGAGCAGCTTGGATGACACGGGTGCCTTGAGCTCAATGTCCAACAGACGCAGCTGGCGAGAGGTGCGCAGGTAGAAATGCTGCACGAAATAGAAAACCAGGGCAAGAATAGGAATCACTACGGCGATGTACTTGGTGATATAGGCCAGAATGGCGAACTGGGCCAGGAGGACCGCGCCAGCTGCATCGGGGAGATGAAAATGTCAGTCCCGAATACGGCTGCACCGAAAGAATGAAAAACGAGAAGTTGCACTTACTAGTTCCCATGCCGTACACGGCTGTCGGAACTTCCATGTCGATAAGGCGGATATCCTCGCTGAAACGGTTCAGAGTGGTGCCAGCGTCGACTGAGGAGAAGAAAGACAAAGGCGCTCTGATTTCTTGTTAGCCCTCCTGTAGGAACTGATGACCACAGGATAAATTCTGGCTTGGTGTATGTATCGACTTACTTGGAAACAGCGTTAAGCAATCGTTCGTGGAAGATGACGCCGCACTTATTGATAATCACGACCATGAAGAGCCTGAACATATTGAGCGTCAGTCAACTGTGATGTTCATGCAATTGACGCAGACTCCCCCCCGTGGAAGAAACTTACCAGATGGCCAGTGCAGCACCAGCAAGTGAGCCAACACCAAGCAAGACATAGATTCCGAGCCACTTGCCGATCGGCGTGTAGGGATCTAATGCGCTCTGCTCTGCCCACCATCCAAGCCAGATTGCTACAAGGAAGACATCGCATCAGCCACGAGAACTAATTCGTGCGAGTTGTCACGGATTGAAATGGCCAAGACTGGACTTACTAGGAAACGATCCGCAGAACGCATAGGCAGCCAAGCTCAGTGCAACCATTATCAAGGTAGGCCATCCAGCGGCAAAAGCGTATTCTCTGAGAGTGCCCTTGTCGCCGAGCCGACGCGCCTGCTCCGTGAACTCTTCATCGACTACAGGGGCGACTGGCGCAGCAGGGCTAGCAGATGTAGGTGCAAGGGTAGCTTCGGATGATTTCTCTTCCTTGGCCTGCTCGGTAATCGGAGCGCAGCGCTGAGGAGCAGGGATGCCCAAGACTTCGCTGACCTCCTCGGGTGAGCCCTCAGCCTTGACATGGCCTTTCTCATCCAGCGCAACAACATAATCTGCATATGCCATATGCTTGTCTGTATTCTCCAGTAGTCAGTGCATTGCTTCTTGTTCAGAAACGGGGGTTGAAATTACCATCCGAGGACGCCAAGATTGTCGACGTGCCGCTAGCGCGGAGGAAGCCTTCAGTGCCCCAGAGATTCTCCAACACACGAGACTCGGTCGAAGCATCGAGGGTTTTGAACAGATCATCTAAAACAATGAGTTCTTTACCAGAGTAAACCGCTCGGGCGAGGGCCTGGGCATCAACAAGGTCAGTAAGCGAGAGCCCGGAGCTGGAAGCGGGACGGTGGTGATGTTTGGAACAGTGGACTTACCAGGCGATGCTTCTGGCCGCCACTCATGGCTAATCCAGCAGATGCGGTCTGGGTTTGATCACCAGCCGGCCAGATGCCAAGATCATGCTGGAGCTCGCTCGCCTTGAGGACCCTTTGATACCAGGTCTCGTCGATTTCGCCCCAACCAGTGATTAGTCTCCGGACCGTGTCGTTAGGGATCCAGGGATTCTGGTCACAATATGCCACCCCGGCGTAGTTCGTGCGAATGGTTCCCTCAAAGCCGCACAGCTCACCCAGGATAGCTTTGAGCAGCGTCGACTTGCCGCAACCCACAGGACCCAGAATCACCGTAACTTTCTTCCGGGGTATGCGGAGATCCTGGATGTCGAGGACAGGCTCTGCGTCCGCGGTCCAACGGAAGGTGCCTTGCAGCGTGGCGATGGTGTCGTTCTCCAGCGAGTGTAAGCTTCTGTTCCTGGTTGAACCCGACGCGGAGAGTTCGTCAGCCTGGTTGCTTACGCTGGAGGATGAGCCTTCCGTCTTGGCGATTGTGTGGACAGTTGAGGTATCGAGCATCTTGCTCGGATCGACATCCACATGCGGCAAGGCTGGGCCCTCACCGACCAGGTTACGCGTGTCTGTCCTGCGTTGGCCGTTCAGGAAGGCCTGTATACGGCCGAATGCTGCAATGGAGCCAAAAATGACGGGGATGGTCAGGGTGAGCGTCAAGAGAGGACCACTCAACAGAGAAATCAGCGAGTAGGCTGTGAAAATTGTCGCCGGGGACAAGATAGTGCCATCCCTGGCTGCAAGTCCAGTGTACAAACTGAACGTCAGGATAGGACTCCAAACCGGCGCAAACATGACTGCGGCCTAAATATTAGCGATAGGCCCTCTGTTGCCCAGCCCCGAGCGCCTAGGCACAGCAACTTACGGACGACCATAGACCCTCCAGCGAGAATGCGATATTTCAAGGAGACCTTGAGTTCATTCAGTCGAAGGTTGCGGATGCCTTGGAAGGCCGGGTCCGCAAGACCTGCCATCTTCATCCACTTGACCGCACCAAGGGTAGTAGCAGTCTTGACGACACGCTCTTGAATAGCCACCAGCCAGACACCAAGAGCCGCGCCGGTAGGTGCGGCAACCAGAGAAGAGACAACCACAGCAACTACGTTGGAATTCGCGTCAGTACATAAGTTTTCACCTATAAAGAGCTTGTCATGTTCACATACGAACAGCCACCGCAATGGGGACAGCACAAGCGGCACCCATCTGGCGCCAAATCAAGTAGTCAGCAATCACAATCTCGACAATGCTCGACCAGAGATCGTGGGCCTGGTAGAGGCCCTGCTGAGCTGCGTCAGTGTCCGCGTTGGCGAGTGTCAGCGCACCGAGAGGGTTCGCGCCTGGTCCGTGAGGGTCGATGAGCAGAGACTCGTTGAAGATGAGCCCGACCACGCTGCTTCTTGTCATGGAGATCATGCGGCGGAGGCGCCAGTAGAATTGACCAACGGAGATCTGCCGAGAGAAGTTTATACATTAGACACAGTATGGAAGTCGAAGGGATATTGCAAGCATACCGCCATGCCTGCGTAGACAAGGAAGAAGGCGCCAATAAGGCCGTAGCCGTAATTGTCGTAAGGCATGCCTTTCGGCGCAGACGCAAACTCAACCGCGGCCTGGATGAGGAAGGGCTGGGCATATGTGAACGCGATGATGAAGAGTCTAGGAACCGCAGGGGCCCAGAAAGCACCGGCGAAGACGCGCAGCCATGTGAACAGAAGCGCATTAGGAGCAGCCTTGTTCGGCACTATGTGGAAGAGCATGGATCAGCTTGAGGCCAACCCGAACGTGGGAGATCACGGGCTAGCGGGTTACGCACCTTTCTCCCACTCCCTCTGGAGAGTCTCGTGTAGGTCCTTTGAGCTGAGCCACTCATCCACGGGGTACAAGTCGTTGACTGAGAACACCTTCCTGTATCCGCCCCGTAGTAACGGTAGAAGCCAAGTAAAAGTCGCGGTGCTTAATGGGCCTCGAATAGCCTCTGGAGTGGACACCTTGTCGTCGATGTTGGCCGAGGCCCCCTTCTGAAAAGACTCAAGTGCAGCGGTGACAAGTCGCATCACCAGAGTGGTCGTGAAGAGCGCAGCAATGGCAGAACTTCCGGGATCGAGCAGCCAGAGAGTGCGAGTGCGGGCTAGATCGAGCAAGACAGACAAGTAGAGGTAAATGGACAAGAGCGACGCGGGCCGCCGGGAGCGGTCATGCTCAAGCCATGTTAGAGCGCACACGGCGACGGACGCGACGAAAGCCAGTACTGCATTTGCTGTGCTTGCCCGAGTGTTGGTAACGGCATAACCCCCGTCTCTCGCCCAAAGCCCGACCAACGCGATGTTGAGTGCTGCTAATGACACGGCAGATATCTAAAGACGCGCGCGACATCAGCATTGTCAGGACGATGAGTACAGTGGGGAACGCAGGGACTGAGACAGGAAAGTGCATGTGCAGAGGTCACGACGGTGTGCTGAGGACGAACCACACAAAGTGTTCTGAGAACGAGACGAAGGGAACCAACCGCTTTCAAAACGCGTAGGGGGCCAGACGACGCCCTGGTTGGCAGCCGGACCAGTTGAAGAATTCGAACAGGTACGGCCAGAAGGAAGACGGCATGCACGGGCAAACTGAGAGCCGCTTCCTCAAAAAGCAGAGTGAAGTCGAAGCCGCCACGACAACCAGGCCCAGCCCAGGGCCCCAGCGTGTTGTCCGGGCAGACTGAAAGCTGGACAGTCTCCATGGCAGAGACACCAGAGTGAATTGTGAGGCGCTGTGATCGTTTGACGCCACTAGTGAACTCGGAATTGGACAATAGAGCTAACAGGATAAAGGTGCAAGGGGAGCAATGTCACCGCCTCCAGTTTCTTGGGATCTTGGAGATGGGGATTAACACTGCAATGCACATGTAAAGAAGGCCCGGCACCACTGCCCGAAGCACGCAAGTGGAACTTCTGGAAGACGTGGCGCTACAGCGGAGTTCAGGGTCCGGTGCATCAGCACTGCCTGGAATGTAAGGCGGACGACCGAAGCCTGGCTTTCTCAGCTCAGCCCCTGGGCCGTTACTGTTAGCGCGCGGCAGTGGCCCGTGGGCCGCTGCATGACTGTACCATTGTCGGTGGGCGGAATAGGGCAGGGGCTGGCTTATCCTGCAGAGCTGCAGGTTTCCCCAGTCCTGCAGACAGCGGTGACAACCCCCGGCCAGCACCCTGGCATAATCACCACGCCAGCCGCATGCACTAGCTAGGCAACAGTGCATGACCCCAGACTTAGTCGAGCTCAAAGAGTCGTGCTGGAGCTGAGAGGCAAGCCCCGACTACTGCAGGCACACTCGTGGCTGCTACGTCAGGGCCCAATCACATGCACAGGAGTTTGATAGTGGGCAACGATACAGTTTCTGGTGCATCATGGGCAGAGGAGTCTGATATTGGACAACTGTACAGTTCTGATTCATCATGTGCACGGGAATTCGGCAGTGAACAACAATACAGCGGCAGTTGCACGGTATTGATTATAGCAGCTGTTTCTGGGTGGTCAATAATCTGGCACACAAGTTCAAATTGTAAACACTCTATGTTGCAAAACTAGCCCAAGCCACCTTAATCAAATCCATCAGACGATTCGTCGTTCAGGTCATCATCATCGCTGTCCGTGAAGTCCGATGAGCCGTCCGAGTCAAAGACAAACACGGCAGCGTTGACGGGATCTTTAGCTGCCTGCCTAGCCTTGCAAATAGAAAGTGCCATGCCCTTTAGAACCTTTCTCTGGATCTTGCCGCTGCCAGTTTTGGGGACTGCCGCGACAAACTCGATGCCGCCAGCGAGGTGCTTGTGCGCGGCCAGTGCGCCTTTGACGTGGTCGTCAATTTCCAACTTGAGCATGTTCGCGTTCTCCGCCTCGGCCTCGGGAGACCTGACGATGAAAGCCAGCGGCAATTCTCCCGCCAACTCATCTGGGATGGGCACGACAACCGCCGTGAGAATCTTTGGGTGTGCCATCAGATGGTTTTCCACCTCTGTGGGGGACACTTGCATGCCCTTTACGTATCGCGTTAATGTCTTCCAATTGCAAAGGGGTTATTCCACTGGATTACTTACTCGGACTTTGATGAGCTCCTTCATGCGATCGACAAAGAAAACATGGTCGTGGCCGTTCTTGCTCTTGCGGAACTCCACAAGGTCACCAGTCCGCAACCATCCGTCCGGAGTCAGCATCGCACTCGTCTCGGTGTCATTGTTGAGATAGCCTAGCATCACTGTAGGAGTGCGCACTTGTAGCTCTCCCGGAGTCTCGTGCTTTGTGATCTCGGAGCCGTCAGGATTGACGAGACGGCCCTCCACGCCAGGCAGCAAGGATCCACAGGAACAAAACATGTCATCTGCAGGATTGGTCAGAGTGACTGCCACGGTCGTCTCTGTGAGACCATAGCCTTGGATGAGCTTGCATCCGGGGATGACCGAGTCGAATGCTGCGGCAATGTCCTCGGACAAGCTAGCTGCACCCACCACAGCGGTGTTGACGCTGCTAATATCGTACTTGCGGACGACATCGCGAGCTCGGATAATAGTCATAAGGACTGGAGGGATCTGTCGAAAGTCCAGAGTGTCAGCTTACTTGCTGGTTGTTCTCAACTAATCGCGAAAGTTGCATGCCACTTACCAACCACAGTCGTCCCATCTGGTAGTCCTGTATAGCCTGCAGCATGTCTTGCAGCTCAAACGACGAGAGAACGACAACGCCATCGCCCCTGTAGACTGCCAGGTGGGCCACCGCGATTAGTGACAGATTGTGGCTGAATGGAAGCAGCCCCAGGCAGTACTCCGAGTCGGCGCCTCTGTGGTTCTTTTCGTACGTCGCAATCTGCAGAATGTTTGCAATGACATTCTTGTGTGATAGCTTCACGAATTTCTGGGCCCCTCCCATATCAGTATTCAGGAAGCCTTCATGAGTAGACAATTTAGAGTTTTGGACTTACAGGCAAGCCCGAGGTACCGCTTGAGCCACAAAGATATGCCACCTGACTTGCGCCTCGGCCTCGCTGCCACTGCTGCACTGGTAATGGCTCGAGACCTCTGCCCTCGTTGATCAAATCATCCACAGTCTCAATGCCAACTGGCAAGGAGGCGGGGCCTGTAGTCGATACAGGCGTGGGAAGCAGAAAGATGCGGTCGCGCGGGATGCCAACCGTCGCCGCCGCCTCGTAGGCTTTGTCCAGAAGTGCAGTACACGTGAACAGGGCGAGAGGCTTCACTTTCTCAAGCTGGTACACCAGCTCGGCCACCGTGTAAGTTGCGCTTGCATAATTGGACACGCCGTCAAGCCGGTGTGTTGCCCATGAGACGACCAATGAGTTTGCCTATTAGATCTATCAGCCTGGACTCCTTCCATTTGCATGCTCGTGGGGTTTGACGCGCATGCATGGGAACAGAAATGACTTACCGTGTTGACGCTGAAGATGCTGATCACTTTGTCCAGCTCATTGCCAGTGTCGACCTGTAAGGACAACTTGTGGGACAAGGCCCTGGCCAGTGATTCGACCCGTTCGGAGACCTCGGCTACGGAGTATGACAAGCCCGATACGCCACATGTGAAGGGCGGCTTAGATTGGGCTAGAGGGCGACGACCATACCGAGAGTCATCCTTGAGCAGAAATGACTGCACCGGAACGTCATCTGGAACCTCAAAGGGCATGGAGGGGACGTAGGCAGGAGTTACGAAAGCCATCTTGCGCACGTGGATGTGGGGAATCGAGGGTTGAGTTGACCTGGACCGATGACCTGTTCCGGAGTGAGGGCTTGGAAATGGACTGGAAGCTCTGTGCAACTTGCTCGACCTGGCTCGCTAGAATTGGTCAAGCCTATGACAAACGTTAAGGGAGATATTTCAGAGGCGGGCCAAGATCAAGATACTCTGGTGTGGTTATACAATAAGTCCGAAACGAGAAGGTTGCTTAGGTCTAGCTGCACATAAACTAGTCCAGCTCTTGCTATGCAGACGGATGGCCCGGAACGAGGGGTCCAACGTTGCTCGCTGAGTTAGTTCCAGGTCGATCGGAGCCTGGACTCGAGGTCAATTCCGCTGGGCCGCACTGAATCTTCCAGGCTGGAGGCTTACTCGCTAGTCTAAGGGGGCCTTGTCCTTACGTTTGTTCTCGCGAGCGTCGCTCACCACAAGAAGTCATCTGATTCTCGGAAGTCTATTTATAGTCATTTAACTATGAGGTCCTATTTTCCATGGAGAAAGTTCAGCATGGCTGTCCTTCGAGCGCTGGGTGGTCGGGCAAAGCCAAGGCACGGAAGAACTTCACGTGCGCTAACAGCGATGTCTCAGTGCGTGGCTAGCAGCGGAAAGAGGCTTCGCCTCACAATGCGCTGCCCTTTATTTAGTCATCATCAAGTGGCTGAAAAATGATGTTCTGTGTACACTAGTACTTGCACAGCGGCTCTTCACTGATCTTGCTACCAAGTGTCATTGCTGAGACCAGGGTCGGAGCCAGCACGTTTGCCCTCGCGTAAGCCAAGCTCTCTGGCCCCCACCGTCATGACTGTCCCCCATGCAGGGCAACCTTTAGGGCCGCGCTGTGCCAAACACTTTGCCATTCGTGAACATTATGTGTGAATTAGCATCGCGAGCATGGGCAGGTCCGCCCAGCCGGAAGGATTCCCGTAGCTGGAGCCCGGTTTGCCTTGGCGCTCCCTGATCAGGCTTCCGTCTCCGAACGTATAACTGCTCAATCTAAAGAGCCACCAAGCCGGGATTGCAGGCATTGTGAGGGTGTACATACATTGCTTGTCCCAAGTTACTGAATAACACAAATCGTGCACCAGCCCCATCTGAATGTACTCATCTCATTGGCGCATCTCACACGAACCCTCCCGCAATGGGTGACGCCTTCGACGACGAGCCGACCTTTGAGTCGACCGACGCGAATCTTGACGGCACCTCGCTCCTGAACGGCGAGTGGCTGCTTGAGCCGATTGCCATCATCGGACTGGGCTGTAGATACCCAGGGGCCGCGTCGACACCATCGAAGCTATGGACAGAGCTCGCAGCCGGGACCTCAGCATGGAGCAAAGGCCCTCCTGGTGAGCGCTTCAACATGGCGGCGTTCCACGATGTGAAGAATGCACATTCAAGCACAGTATGTAGAGCCTCATGTGCCTTTCGCCCTTGATGCATATGGATTCTGAGCATGCAATAGACCAATGCCGACGGCGGCCACTTCTTGTCCGAAGACATTTCCGCATTCGATGCGACTTTTTTCGGCATCCATGGCGCCGAAGCCCGGGTAAGTGAGCTGATATTGGTGGTGCCTGCTATGGTTTTACACACTTCCAAAAAAAAGAAAAAAAAAAAGAAAAAAAAACCGCTAACGGTTCAAGCAGGCCATGGACCCTCAGCAGCGCCTTTTGTTGGAGGTGGCCTATGAATCATTTGAGAATGCCGGTGTGACGCCAGATCAGCTCTGGGAGTCCAACACCGGTGTCTACGCCGGCCAGTGGACTTCGGACTACTCTGAAGTACTGGCCAGGGACACTGAGAACCAAGCCACGTATCACGTCACCGGTGCTGGTCCTGCGATTACATCAAACAGGATTTCATACTTTTTCAATCTTCTCGGCCCCAGCATGACCGTAGATACTGGTTGCTCTGCTAGTTTGGTTGCCTTGCACTTGGCAGTCCAGAGCCTGCGATCTGGCGAGACCGAGATGAGTTTTGTTGGTGGTGTCAATATCTTTGCCGACCCACAGCGTTTCACTTATCAGAGCAAGCTCAAGATGCTGTCAGACGCGGGCCGGTCTTTTCCATTTGACCACCGCGCGAACGGCTACGGCCGTGGCGAGGGCGTCGCAGGGCTCGTGCTCAAGCCGTTATCAGCGGCACTGCGCGACGGGGATCGCGTGCGCGCCATCATCCGCAACACTGTTCTCAACCAGGACGGCCGCACTCCTGGCATCACTGTGCCAAGTGGCGAAGCGCAGGAGCGGGCCATCCGGCGTGCCTACAAGGAGGCTGGGCTTGACCTCCATGCCGACTATGTTGAGGCACACGGTACTGGCACAGCCGTGGGAGACCCCATCGAGGTCGAGGCCATCGCATCTGCACTTTCCAAGAACCGCAACCCTACTGACAAGCTGCCGATCGGCTCAATTAAAGGCAACGTCGGCCACACAGAGAGTGCGGCTGGTTTGGCGGGTCTTATCAAGGCAGTCCTCATGCTCGAGAAGGGATGTATACCCCCTCAAGTCAATTTTGAGAAGGCCAACAAGAAACTCCTATTGGATGAGTGGAATCTGCGGGTATGGTTGCGAGATTGCACTCCTCAGGCGAAATTGCCGGGCCGGGAAGGAACTGACTTGGAGACAACAGATACCGTTGGCACTGGAGCCAAGAGAACTACGTCGGATCTCGGTAAACAGGTTCGTTATTCAGCCAACCATTTTGGTAGATTTTGCGCTGCTAGAACATGCTAATGAATTTCAGCTTCGGTTACGGTGGCACCAATGCTCATGTTATTCTTGACACTGCGAGATACGTCCTCTCCATTGACAAGATCAGACCGGCTCCCTCGGCACCTCGACCACGGGCATTCGTGCTAAGCGCAGGAAGCGAGATAAGCCTTCAACTGTTCGCAGCCAACCTGGCGGCATACGTCGCCGAGCTGGCTGCCAGAGGAACGGACGAGCGGCTCCTTGATCGCTTGTGTTACACGCTCAACCGGCGGGGCGTGCACCGCCACCGGGTCGTCCTTGTGGCCAGCAACGCCAAAGACCTTGTTCAGAAGCTCCAAGACCTGTCAGAGATGCCTGTCGAGCCGAGTCCGAAGCACAAGTCCCCTAGGCTTGCCTTCATTTTTGGCGGCCAGGGCGCTCAGTACTTCAATATGGGTCGCGAACTGATCAATGTCTGGCCTGTATTCACAGCTTCACTCCACAGAGCCAACCGTCATCTGTCCACTTTGGGCTGCCGGTGGGATGTGCTGGAAGAGCTGAACAGAACCGTGCAAGAGAGTCGGCTCGATGAGCCGCGATATGGTCAGCCTCTTTCCACGGCTATCCAGCTCAGCTTGATCGACACCCTGACGAGCCTGGGAGTCCAGCCAAGTGCCGTGGCCGGCCACTCCAGCGGCGAGATTGCGGCTGCCTATGCCGCTGGCCTGCTGTCGTTCGAAGATGCAATGTCCGTTTCCTATCACCGCGGCCGCCTCACGAGCGACCTCACCGCTCGCACCACCGAAAAACGTGGTGGCATGGCTGCGCTCGGCGTGTCCTCCTGGGTCGCCGAGAAGTACATCAACAGCCTTGGAGACGATGCACGGAAGCTCACCGTTGCATGTTACAACAGCCCTTCGAGTGTGACTGTCTCGGGCGATGCAGATGCGATCGAGAAGCTGGCTGAGATCCTGGCTACAGAATCCGTCTTCCACAGACAGCTGCGGACGAATGGCGCAGCTTACCATTCAGACTGGATGCGGCAGATTGAGAAAGAGTACTCGGAAGCACTTTCGGGTATATCGACATGGAAGCCCAAGCCGGGTGTTGCCATGTACTCGTCATTGACAGGGTCTCAGCTCGTGCCCTCGGACTTGAACAAACAGTACTGGGTCCAGAATCTGGTCTCGCCTGTGCTCTTCGAGGACGCCGTGTGGAACATGTGTGAGCCAGAAGGCGATTCTCCGGCGATTGACTTCATCCTCGAGATTGGCCCTCATGCAACCCTCGAAGGACCCATCAAGCAAACCATCCAATCGTTTCAGGGTCCTGCCACCGCGATCAAGTACATCGCAACGCTCAAGAGGAAGACCAATGCTGCGGAAGCTCTCATTTCCAGTGTTGGGCGACTCTTCAGCGAAGGCTTTGCCTGTGACTTCCACACTGCCAACAACGGTCACGATGCGAATCTTCCCGTATTGCTCGATGACGTACCATCATATGCCTTTGACCACACACAGAAGTACTGGCACCACACACGACTCTCCGACGAGTACACCAACAGAAAGTTCCTCCCCCATGAGATCCTGGGGACTTTGTGCCCAGACGCGAATAGCATCGAGCCACGCTGGCGGTGCTATCTGGACAAGAATCGTGTGCCGTGGCTGATGGCTCACGTCATCGAGGGGCAAGTTGTCTTTCCCGCTGCAGGATATCTGGCAATGGCTATTGAAGCGCTGCGCCGATATAGAACAGCCGATGACCCCTCCCGGCAGATCAACGGTTACCAGCTCCACAAAGTCAGCTTTGGAAATGCCCTGGTGATTGACCCTGAGGCTGGCGGCACTGAAATAAGCTTGTCGCTGCGCCCGGAAGCTCGCTCTGCACGGGGGTCGTCAGCACTCTGGATGGAGTTCCGCGTCTTTACTGCGACAGCAGACAACAACTGGACGGAGCACTGTCGTGGACTGATCTCTCCTGTTGAGGGCAGCGATGCCTTGCTGCAGGAATCTGACGTCCAAGGTGAGATCCAGCGAGCCGTCAACGACAGCCGGGAGAACGTCAACCCCCGAAAGTTCTACTTCAAGAGTCAAGACATCGGTCTGCAATGGCAGGCGCCGTTCGATGGCGTCACGAGTCTGAAGCTCGGCGCGGAAACCTCGATATGCACTATTTCCAACGCCAAGGTAGAACACTTGGCCAGTCCTCAGTCAAAGACTCCCGAGTATATCATCCATCCGGCCACGCTCGACGCCGCGCTGTTTCATGGCCTGTGCTCCATGATGGTGTTCAACCGCGACGTCAAGTCGGCCACAGTTCCTGTCTTCATCCAGGACCTGCTTGTCTCTGGAAGTCACCAGGCCTCGGGGAGCTCCGTACTCACATGCTACACCACTAGCGCCGATGGTCCCCAGACATTCGACGTATTGGCACAAACTACCACCGGAAGCGAGACCAACCTTGTCTTCCACGGAGCTGGTATCACTGTGGCCGTCTTGCCCGGAGACGTCCATCTCGGTGCCGCCCCGAGGAGCCTGGGTCACTCCGTCGAATGGGTCACCGACTGCGACGCGCTTACTGACAAGCGCATCCAGGAGTTCCGTGCTGCGACCGTGTCTGCCGGCTCAGTCTTGGAGATGAACGCCGAGGTCGACGTCCTGGTCAAGCACTACGTCAAACAAGCCCTCTCTGCTGTCCAGGGCACTGAGATCCCAAGTGGTTACAAACAAGATTGGTTCAACTGGATGCAGCAGTATGCAGGTAAAGGAACGGAGACTGAGTCCCCGACAACAACCACTTCTGCTCCAAGCTGGGAGCATCTGGGCGTTGTCGGTGAAGCTGTTTTCCGCATAGGCAGCAACCTCCCCGACATCCTTCGGGGTGCCACGGAGCCCCTAGAGCTCCTGAGCCGCGACGATCTCCTCACGGGGCTGTATTCCGAAGAACGCGCTCAACGCTGCTATGCCCAAATGGGGGCGTATATCTGTGAGTTGTCCAAGCAAAAGCCCGGGCTGAAAATCGTCGAGATTGGCGCCGGCACAGGTTCTGCGTCTGAGCCGTTGCTGCGTGCCCTCGGTACAGAGGGTCAAGCCATGGTGGAGAAATACGACTTTACCGATATCTCGCCGGTCTTCTTCAAGGCTGCAAAGGAGAAGCTAGCAGACTTCCGAGACATCGTGGGTTTCAAGGTTTGTGACCTCGAGCGCGAAGTGAGCCAGCAAGGGTTCCAACCACACAGCTACGATCTTGTTATTGCCTGCAATGTCGTCCATGCCACACGGTCAATCACCGAAAGTCTTGATCGCATTCACTCCCTCTTGAAGCCAGGTGGAAAGTTCCTGTTGATGGAGCTGACTAAGGTCGAGCCGTGCTACAACCTCATCTTTGGGTCCCTCCCGGGATGGTGGGCGGGCTCGGCCGAAGGGCGCTCGCTGTCTCCTCTGCTGTCGAAAGCAAGCTGGACCAGCATTCTGAAGCAGCAGGGGTTCTCAGTCTCGCGTAACTCTTTCCAGGACTATTCCGAGGCGGACGGCGGCCTGGTCGACGTCATCATCTCCCAGACAGCCCCGTCTTCTGGGAGCTCCGTGGCATTCCCAGTCGAGGTCATCTACGAGCAGTCTCTGGAACCGCAGCTTCCAGGACTTACACAGAGCCTGAAGCCCGAGATTGGCAACCATCTCGTGGCACTAGCCGACCTTCGAACCCAGGGGACCCCAAATGTTATTTCCGTGTTTCCTCCGGAGCTGTCGGACGCGTTGGCGGGAAGCGTCAACCCTGACTTATTCCAGAGCCTCAAGCAGCGTCTTCTCTCCTCGCGCGCAGTCCTCTTCCTCACTCGCGGCGCCACTCAGCCCTGCCGTAACCCTGCCGGAGGCGTGATCTCTGGCTTTGCCCGCACGCTGCGTCTTGAACATCCCGCAGTCCGCATCATCACTCTGGACTTGGACCCGCGACGGACAGCCCAGCAGTGTGCCAGGATCATCGCAAAGGTTCTCAACAGTGCGTCTTTTGACTTCCTCTCGAGCCAGAACGAGGTGGAGACGGAATTTTCCGAGTCGGAGGGCCAGCTGTATGTGCCTCGTGTGACTTGTGAAGAGTCCATCGACGCGTACATCCGTGCTCTGAACCACGAGTCCAGCCCGGAAACCTTGCCGTTCTTTGATGGCGACCGTGCTCTTACTGCTCGACTTGACGTGCCGGGCTTGCTCGACACCCTTCGCTGGGAAGATGACAACAGGCCGGCAGAGCTCCATCCAGATGAGGTACAGTTCGAGCTCCGTGCTGCCAGTATTAACTTCAAAGATGTTCTCATTGCTGCCGGGCAGCTGGAGGGCACGACAGAAATGAAGAATGACTGCAGCGGAATCGTCACTGATGTTGGCGCAAACATGGTCGGCCGCTTCAAGAAGGGCGATCGCGTCTGTGCCTACTACTCGCACTCATACAGCAATCGTCCGCGCGTCCACGGAGACTGCGTCGCCATCATGCCAGATAAGCTCACTTTCGAAGAGGGCGCGTCTCTGCCTATCGTCTGGGCGACCGTCTACTACTCTCTGGTCGACAAGGGTAGCCTAAGCCCCGGCGAGAGCATCTTGATCCACTCAGCTGCCGGAGCTGTCGGTCAGGCGTCCATCATCCTGGCCCAGCACTTGGGCGCCGAGGTCTTTGTGACGGTGAGCAGCGAAGAGAAGAAACGCTTTCTCATGAGCACCTACAATATCCCCGAAGACCACATTGCGTCAAGTCGGTCGACCGCCTTTGGCAGGACGTTCCGCAGAATGACTGGCGGCAAGGGGGTCGATGTTGTCCTTAACTCGCTCGGCGGGGACATGTTCCGCGAATCGTGCAACATTGTCGCGCCTTATGGTCGCTTCGTCGAGATCGGCCGCAAGGAGTTCCTCGAGGACATGCTCATGCCCAGCAGGTTCCTGCTCAAGAACATCACCTTTGCATATGTCGACCTGGCCCTCTTGATCGAGGACAAGAAACCACTTGCCAAACGCATTCTACAAGATGTCATACGACTTATGGATAGCGGAGCGGTCCGCCCAACGTCCATTATCAATATGCCCATCTCCGAGATCGAGTCTGCATTCCGCCTGATGCAGACTGGGCAGCAGATTGGAAAGGTCATTCTTTCTGTGCAAGAAAATCAAATGGCTAAGGTTTGTCATATCCCAACCTCAAACTCGTGGTGACGTAGCACTGACTTATCTCCTCCTTCCTGAAGGTCATGCCTCGCCCGCCAGCTGTGGCAAGCTTGGCCGCGGACGGTACTTATCTCGTTGTCGGGCTGGGCGGTATCAGTAAGGCTATCGTCCGCTGGATGGCACAACGCGGTGCCCGCCGGATCGTGGCTGTGTCACGTTCCGGTATCATTGGCGCCGCGGCCGTCACTTTGGTCGAGGATCTGCAAGCCGCTGGCGTCGAAGTTGTCATCAAGCGCTGCGACGTGTCATCTTTGGCTCAGGTCCAGACGCTTGTGGCAGAAATCGGCCCGATCCGCGGAGTTGTGCATTCAGCAATGCTCTTGGAGGTCAGTTCTAATCACTTCTGCCTCCGTGCACAAATATGGTATGATTGTGGCATCAGCTGACTTAACCCTCGCTTATAGGACGGTCTCTTCGCGAATGTGACTCGCGATCAGTGGACCGCTGTGCAGAACCCCAAGATCGCTGGATCATGGCACTTGCACAGTGTCCTGCCTCATGACCTCGACTTCTTCGTCATGTTGTCTTCGGTCGTTGCAGTGAGTGGAAACGCTGGCCAATCCATCTACGGAGGTGCCTGTGCATATCAAGATGCACTCGCTCACTTCAGGAGGCACCGGGGCCTTACCGCTCATTCTCTCAACCTCGGCGTCGTCATCGACAGCGGGTTTGTCAGCGACGAGCCTAAAGTTGCTGCATCTCTCCGCAGACAGGGCTTTGGCACGATCACAACTGATCAGCTGCTCGCGAATCTCGACTACATCCTAGTTCGCGGAAATGGAGACGCTGCCTCGAAGAGTCAGACCCTCCTTGGTCTCGTCCCCCGCGGCAACGAGCGAGGTCTGCGCGAGGCCGAGTGGATCAAGGATTCCAAGTTCCGCCACCTGACGAACCGGCAGCGAGGCGCGAACAAGTCCGGCAAGGGGCCTAGTGGTTCCGACACATCGCTGTCTATCGATCTGGAGGGTGACATACCGGGCCAGATCTGCGATGCGATCATCAAACAGCTTGGCAAGCTCCTCGCCATGCCCGTCACGCATCTGAAGCAGGACCGCAGTCTGAACGAGTATGGTGTGGACTCGCTCGTGGCTGTGGAGCTCCGGAACTGGATTGGTGTCTTCCTGCAGGCGAACATTACTTTGCTCACGTTGCGGAACACGAGCATCTTCGAGGTGGCAAAACATATTGCGAAGGATTCTAGGCTGGTAGCCGCCTGAGGCTAGAGGATGTTTGACCCAAATTGATATTCAGCGGTTTCGTTTGTATCGAGTCTATGTTTCCTGGTTTACTTCTAGTTTCTCGAATAATATCTTTTTATCAAATCAGCGAGCGACAATGCTGAACAGTCTGAAGAGCTACTAGATCACATTGCAAGTAAATCACCGCATCAACTGCGACGAATGGTCCAATCCAAGGTACAGTATATTCAACCATCTAGAGTAATGCATCATTATAGTTCCAAGAACAATCGCCCTCGGCACAACATTAAACAATTCCTGCTGGTCGTAGCATTTCAAACATCGTCCAAGCGAACGTTGTTGCGAATTGCGCAAAATACAAGACTGGTCTGGTAAACGTTCTTCGCGATCTTGGCGCTCCCCAAGGTGAAGATAGCCTATCTGAAGAGTTGGCGTTGGCTTTGCCAAGAGGTGAGAAAAACAGTACATCACAGCGGAAGGCTTGGTGGACAACGGAGATAAGCGGGTGGTTGTGTCCAGCCTGCGACGCCTGGAAATGGCTAAGCACCAACCAGGAGGCTGGTTCCAAATCTTACTCTTTGCGTGTGTTAACATGCTTCTCGTAAGGGACCCCTCCACTCACAGGTGGCGTGAGAAAGCTGACGTGGGGGGCATGAGCATGCCTTCCTCCTGGCTGTGATGGAATGTCCAACTTTTTCCGCACCGCGACGTGCAGCTTCACGTAATGGCCGGGGTGCCACAGATGCTGCTGCCTGGAAGTGGCTGTCCTTGTCTTGCACAGCGCCAAGAGGCTCGTTCGAAAAATTCGCATGTTTTAGAATATCGAGAAAACGTCCACGAAGCAGGTGTCTGTCATCTACTAGTCTCGTCTTGCTGGCAGCCGATCTTGATGACTGACCGTTCACATGTGGCTGGAGTTGTCAGGTTCTAACACGATTGCATAGTCAGTTACACAATTATGGGCTGTGATACAGGATTATGTCAGTATCGCAGGCTTGAGGGATGTTGCAAGCTTCTGCCGTAGGACTTCGTGATTCTCTACCTAATTGCCTGAATGACAATGTCGAGCGGTAGAGCATAACGAAATGGCATCAGCGAGATCACTAAGTCGTTGAATAGCAGTATAGTCTACAGCTGTCTTGCATGTATATTGGTTTCGAGCCATTTGTATGATCTCGACAGGCGACCATTGCGCGTAAAAGTTGACAGACGCAGCATTCACATTCACTGTACAACTGGAATTAGGCTGATTCATCCTTATCTGCTTGCCGTATCATACCCAACGCTTGGCAAGAGAGGGCCACACTTAAGGCCAGATGGCACCATATCTATCAACGACGGAAAGCTGTGTCAGCGACACAACTCCCGGACTAGGCGAACTTGTCAACAAGCAGAACAAAATTACTGCGAAACGTATCGTAGCCACCACCGATGAGCCACATGGAGCAATTCTCAGCCGAGCAGGCGAGGTTGGTGACCTCATCGATGCCGTAAAGGACCTCATCGTGCCGTTCATCCGGGATGCAGACGAGGCCACACCCAGCAGGGTGCGTGGGACCCCCTGCGAACCTGGGAAGAATGTGCTGGTCGAGGCTCTTCAGCCGGAGGAGCTGATGAGACGCATGGACGTCACCATGCCCGACGTGCAGAACGATGGCCGCACGGGCATCCTCGACCTCATCCAGCTCGTCTTGAAGTACAGCGTGAACACGTGGGACCAGGGCTTCCTGGACAAGCTGTGCGCAAGCACCGACGCGGTCGGCGTCGCCTCTGAGCTGGTCCTTGCCGCCCTCAACACAAATGCCCACGTCTACCGTGTCTCCCCCGCCCTGACAATCATTGAGAAGGTGACCGCCAAGTCTCTCGCCAGCCTTTTTGGGCTAGTTGGGCCCCATGCTGGTGGCATCACCTGCCAAGGTGGAAGCGCTTCCAACATGACCTCACTGGTCACTGCCAGGGGGGCACTCTACCCTGACACCAAGCGAGTGGGCAATGGCAATCACCGATTCGTCGTCTTTGCCAACGAACATGGGCACTACTCGATCGAGAAGGCGGCCATGGCATGCGGCTTTGGCTTAGGCAGTGTCGTCCCGGTGCCAGCAGATAAGCAAGGCCGCATGGACCCAGTCGCTCTCGCCCGCCTGGTCGTCGAGGCCAAGCAGAGTGGCAGGACGCCGCTCTACGTCAGCGCGACGGCGGGGACTACTGTCCTGGGTGCCTACGATCCTCTCCGCGCCGTGTCTGCTGTCTGCAAGGAGCATGGTATGTGGATGCATGTGGATGCGTCGTGGGGAGGCGCCGCCGTCTTCTCCGCCAAGCACAGGCACAAGCTCGACGGCACCGAGCTGGCTGACTCGTTGACCTTCAACCCGCACAAGATGCTGCACGTCCCTGCTGCCTGCTCGTTCCTGCTCACCAGGGACACCAGGGTCTTCCAACGTGCCAACACCTTGCCTGCGGATTACCTGTTCCATGACAAAGCCGCTACCGGCGAGGAGGCTGAGACGTGGGATATGGCCGACTTTACGCTACAGTGTGGTCGTCGCGCGGATAGTCTCAAGATGGCACTGTCGTGGACATATTATGGCACGAAAGGCTTCGAGGCTGCGGTCGATCGGTCCTTTGCCACGGCCGCCTACTTTGCTAGTCTCGTGGACAAACACCCTGACTTCAAGCTCGCTTCCCACCTTCCACTGCCATCGCTGCAAGTCTGCTTCTATTATACACCAGGCGGACAACTTGGAGACGACTTGGAGAACACGAGAAGAACCCGGTTGATGATCTCGAAACTCCTGCATAGGGGTTTCATGGTCGACCGTGCACCTGGTCCTTCAGGTAGCTTCTTCCGCATTGCCTTCAACCTTCAGACCTTGCAAAGCACAGTTGAGGGTCTGCTTGTAGCTCTTGCAGAGGTCGGAAAGGAGGTCGTTTCATCTTGAAATTCTGCCAAACTTTCGAGTACTTTCGTTCCTTGTTTACCACAGTTCTTGTTCATCACGATTCACAGTTTTCGCCTCTTCATTATAGCCACGTCTCAATTGCAAATTGATATATATCTTCAACCTTATTCCCAAATCATGGTTTCATTGTTTGCAGTTTGGCTTTATACCATCGGAGACACTTAGGAGAATGCTCCGTTGCCTTGACATAACAGTGGCGTGTCTATCCGACAGACGCGCTCCAATCGAATGGTGCTTAATACTATCCCCTGAAAAGTCCAGAGGCACCCACACTCCAGTCAGTCGAGTTGAGCGTGCAGAAGATCATCGAGTCGAGCTGCTAAAACCAGCTCCTGTCATTTGTGACAGGGGTGTATGCGACATCACGTAATTTGGTTAGACCCCTTACATGAATGGGTGTGCATGGAGTAAGAGCAACCCCGTAATAGTCGAGTATTACGTGGGCTTCCTTATCTCACCACGTCACAGCTTCCAGTGGCTTACGTTGGTCTTCTGAAGCAAAGGACAGCATTGTATTACCCCGTTCAGGTTTCTGAGATCGACAGGCCCGAGTTTGTCGGAGTGCGATTTGTGCGGGTCGTCCTTGCCTGGTGTTCCCAGCAATTGTAGCTAGCCGTAGTATAGTAGCCTGCTCTCGTAGGCTACTGTCCTGTGACCCGGGCATGGTGACAACCACGGTGAACGTGACGAGGCTCTGAGTATTACAGAGGAGGACGATTAAGGCACATATTAAGAACTTGGATCCGAGCCATTTTGACAACGGACTGAACGTCTGTGGCTGTAGCTAGTTTGACCATAAACAAGCTCATGATCCGTCGCCGTGAAATGCAACAAGACCCCCTTCCACACTCGTTGAAACCAAGTTCTTGGACTTTGAAGGTCGGGCAGCGGTGGCGCAGTACCATCAGACATGTGGATCTTACGCCTTGGTTGTCCGGCGATTCTGCACGCGGATACAAATTGAAGACCTTACTTAAGGACATGCATTCTGTGATGGGATCCAACAACCATAAAAATACGACACTGGTATTCTCCTGCATTGTCAGTTATGTTTTGATTCGTGTGACTGGAAACACTTCTTGATTCTGCTTCTAGTGTTGCGTTGCCTCTCTGCTCTGGCGCGCACGAAAGGTTGAAGCAAGGTAGTACGAGCACTCGGATCTCGATGCCGCGAACCTGCCGGGACTGCAGCTCGAGACCCGGCCTGGAATCTGTTGATCGAAAAATCCCTGTGCAAGCGCTCCATACAAGCAAAACACATGCTGGCAACAGAAGACCCGGCAGGCACTCTGCATATGGCTGGAATAGCTCGCCTGCCGCCGAAAATCACAAATTTAGCTCGTAGAAGGTAATATCATAGCTCCCTACTAAACTTTAAGAGTTCCTTCAGCAGGCAGAGTATGTATTCTGCCCGAGGCAGCGTATGCCACAGCTTTGGTTAGACTATGTGAGACGCAGCTTCGCAGGTGGAGGCGACCTGCCCAAATCTGCAAGAAAGCCCCAGATCTGGACCCCGCAACAATCTCCAATAACAGGGAATGATATGTGCCCGACCGCCTCGATTATTGCGCAAATTCTACCAACTTGGACCATTGTTCGAGGTATGCTTTGGCCTGTGTTGGGCCACACCGGAGCCCACATTCCTCGAGAGCTGCACCCATAATGTAACGCAATCACATATAGCTGTGGGGAGTGCTGAGCGAGCCTGTTCTACTGCATGGACGTGTTGATCAGCAGTGCATATGAGACTTTGTGAGGTGGTAGTGGAGAGCACTGCCATGGAACCAAAAGGTGCACTGTAAATCTCAGAAAAGGTCAGACAAGGGCTGCCGAGACCAACGAAGCGGGTGCCTTATCGTTCCGCTGGGCAGAAGGTTTGCCAAGAAACCTGTGACGAGGGACTTCCCCTGTGTTGACTGGCTGTTGCCTCCCTCATGCCATGCCACACACACTTTTGGCCAGCACTGGGCGGATGTCGAGGTGAAGGTCTGCCGCTCCTTTCTGCCAGCCGTTCCTCTTGGTTGTCCGTTGCGCAGCTTGCCAGCTCCGCAAGCCACGCCCACCATCACTCTCTGCCGACGTGGCTTTTCTCTCAACCAGATCCTCTCACGGACCTTCTTGCATTCACACTCATACACCTTCGCATTGCCGCTTGCCGTTCCTCTCCGTCTCTGCGTCGCCTGTGCACAACCAGTGCCCACCCCGCCTACAGCCAGATCTCCCGCCGCTATGACGACAAGCACCACTTCTGCAGTTCTGCAGCTCTGCACACTGCCGCCCATCTTGATCATGGTCCACGGGATGCCGTCAATCCATCCGATCCTTCTGTCGTCTAGGACATGCACATAGCGACAGCCGCGCTCATCCGGAGCATTATTGTGTCAATGCAAGCAGGACGACGGGACGAGGCAAGATCTACAGCAGGCTACTTTCTCCGCTACGTCACAAGCCTTTGTCACCGTATCGCGCCAAAATTCTATGCTGTCAAGGACACCTTCGTGGCTCGCTTTCTGAAGTCACGTCAAGAAGCGGATACCATAGTATGCCACGGTTCTTTGACCAAAATCCAGACTGGGAACGGTAGGGGGGGGGGGGGGAGCCTCGGCCACCAAATCATCAGTATGCTGCTCCGGCACTGTAGCCCAAAACAAGGCTGTATCAGGCCAGATACCAGACTCGTCATCCCAAGCACCACGAAGACAGGATTTCATGGCCTCTACCTGGGCGCGGCACACGCCGATGGCGCCTCGTCTCGTCACTTCAGGTTGTTCATCGACAATAATGGACGAGGGATGGCCACTGATGACATCCGGTGAGGGCGATGAGTTCAATATTTTTGCCCGATTCAGCCGCCACCGATCATCAGAGACTTTGCTTATGAGAACAAAGTTATTTATCGAGTTGGCCAATAGCCTGTGGTTTCAGGTCAACACGACAGGACTTGCACGCATACTTGAGCATGAGCTCTCAACACCCCCGACGACATGAGCTGGCGGCTTGCTTGGCCCTCCGAAGGCTCGAATAGTCTGTGGCTGACACTAACACATCTCTCTTAGAGAAGCTTTGGTCTGCAAACAGAGGCTGCGCAACCGTGCGAATTCATTATCAGAGGACAGCGATCTTCCGGTCGGGCGGATGGGATAAAGGTTCGAAAGTGGTGAAGTACGGACTTGATCAATACAAGCCTGTCCTCAGCAGCACAGCCTTCGATTTCCCTTGTCTGAAGTGGAACTGGTCTTGGTGAGTAAAGAATGTATACTTCCGTGGCAAAGACGATATAGCTGATCTCAGAACCGCCCTAGAAGAAGCTAGCCCTATGTGGCGTAGTCCTTGTGGCAAGTCGGTCACGCCGTTGGAGCCACTAGTATCTGGTCATGATGCCAACAGGTTGACATCCCAACGCCCCAACATTTCAGAGAGACCAGTGTACGTGGCTCTGCGATGCAATTCACCGAGCATTACATGAGATTTGGGAAGCACGACTAGTATGATACCAGGCAAGTCCATAGCTGAGTTGCTTATACGGTCTAGCTATGATGTACTACCCTTATCCGACTATAGGCACATAGCCAAGATGCACCGGCGCCTGAGAACGCCTGGCTCTACCAAAACAGAAACAACAAGAAAAATCCACAGACTAGAAAGTGTGGACGTATGCTGTACAGTCATTCATGTTCGTCACCAGGCAGAGCCAAAAAAGAGAAGCGAAACAACCGACGCCGACTATTATCATGTTTATGCGAACCGAGCGGCCTTCTTTCCCTTTATTTTATTCCTTTATAGAAACGCACTGAGCAGACCTATGAGTTGGTTTGCCGGCATGCGTCCTCCGTACCGCAGGAGTATGATTGCTGTCAGTACGTTGTTTGACCTATTGCGTTGCCAGACATCTCTGTCCTCGGCTGAGAGGGCCATCAGCAATGCCCAGAGCTCGGGTAACTATATCGTCGGCACAGGTCAGTTCAATCATTCTTTCTCATCATCCTCGTCGCAAGCCACCATCGCCATGTCATCACCGTCAGAGTTGTCGGTGTAGAACATGTTGTTGAGTATGTGGGATGAAGTCATTTCACGTGGAGCGGCAAGAACATACTTCGTCTTCAATGATTTCCTTCATGGCCATGATGGTCTGTGGGTTGGCCGACGTGGTGGCCCAGTCCTGGGACTGCAGCAGCGGCATCAGGCGGGCATTCAGAGCATGCCGTGCGCGCTCGGCCTCAGACTGGAGCACGTTCTCGGTCCTGCGCAGGACCTCCTCCAGAAAGCCGCGGCGCTCCCACTCGCTCCACTCATGCGTGGCCTGGTAGACCTCCTTGACGAGCTTGGGCAGGCCCCGGTTGCGGCTCAGGCGCTGCTCGTTGGCCAGAGGGGAGCCGCCGTCAAACTTCTCCGTGTAGTACGCGATGACGAGGGCATCGAAAGTCTCGAAGCCCATGGCCTGGCCGTATTGGAGCGTCAGCTCGAAACACTCGTTGAGGCCGGTCGTGCCGCCGCTTGCGGAGTCGCTTTGGTCTGTCTGTGGTGGCGAGGCAGGCAGGCTGTGGTGGCCTTTGCCATTCATGTGCTTGTTGTCGCGAAGGCTGTTGGTGTTTTCCTTTTCTTTGTTGCCATTACTACTTCTCCCATCACTGCTGTTGTTGTTGCTATTGTTGTTGTTACTGTTGCTGTTGATATTGTTGTTGTTATTGTTGTTGTTGTTAGTGGTAGTAGTGGTAGTGTCCATAGCGGAGGACAGATCATTCCTCGGCACATCGGGAAAGAAGTTGTGATTGAGCATATCGATGCGGCCGGCCGCCAGACCTGTTGCTCGCCGACTCTGCTGCATCATGTCGTCAGTCCAGCAGTCTATGGCTGATGAGAAGTTCATCATGTCGCTGTGCTCAGTAGCATAAAGCTGCGTGGCCGAGTTGAGTGGCTGCTGCTGCTGCTGCTGTTGTTGTTGTTGTTGCTGTTGTTGCTGCTGTTGTTGTCGTTGTTGTTTTTGCTGTTGTGATTGAGCCTGGGCATTGCTGACGCTTTCTTTTGATGCAGTTCGGAGATAGTCCACGTAGACCTTGTCGCCAGGTCTCCCGTTCATGTTGACGTTGCTCGAAAATCTGTCCTCAGAGCGCACCGACGGTGCTTGGGGAGACGGTCGAACTTGGCCATTCCCCATGTGCCGCCTTCCCATGTCCTGGATGTCCATCGAGTTGCTTTCACCATTGTTGAGCTGCAAGGCCCGCGGTTGCACTGTGGTGCCCTCATACGGCTTGTTAGGCGTGGGTCTAGGCGATGGTGACAGCCCTTGATGGCCGGCTTGTGCCACAACTATCGACGACTGCTCTGCAATGAGACCATCATTCAGGGTTCTCGAGTGTTCTTTGAAAGCTGCCTGCTGGCTCTTGACCGTCGACTCAAGAGCCTTGAGGCGGGCCTTGACTCGTTGTCCTGCTCGACTGCGTCAGTCCCGTACTATCAGAGTTCCATGTTGTTCGTGGTGGACCCAGTCGTCTCTTGACTTACGGTATACTCTCTGAGCATTTCTGTTCTGTATCCGTTTCTTTTCCTTGGGGTCTGTGATTTCGGACCAGTGGCACTCACCGGCAGTGCCGGCGTTGGTATCCGATATTGAGTATCGCTGAGAAGACTCCATGGCTGACATTGTGGAGGCAGACGAAACACAAGAGTTCAAGGTGATTGAGCTCTGTCAAGAAGATCGGCGATTGTCTACAAGATCTCGATTGCCCAACACCAGGACGGCACCGGCGTTGAGTTATCCTGTTGAAGGATGGCCAAAGGTGCTGTGAACCCCTTGAAGCGCCACAACACTAGGTTTCCCCACATGTACGACCAGAACGTCCGCCTGGTGGGAACAAAGAGCAACAACGGTGGCCAATACTGGGTTTATCGTCGCAGCAGACCAGGGACATGGCACCCATGGGAACTTTCTGCGAGCCCGTTCGGGGCTATGGAGATTGTCAGTGGCAAGACTACCCCAAGCCTGCCCAGGATTCGTCTGGATGCTGTCGTATAACGATGAGTAATCCCGAAAACTCGCGTCGCGAAGCAAGCCACATTGAACCTGATCAGTAATGCATGCCCGCTCGCTCCTGTCCCGTGGGCTGAACCCCGCGTCACAATTTGGAATTAAAGTTCTTTGACTTGATGGTTTCTATATTTGGTTTTGTGACCAGCTCAACGGTGCAAAAACTAAGTAACAATCTAGTACGAGGAGTTGGAGAGTGCTGCTGTCAATCTTCCCACCATGATTGGCCCGTAACTACGCCAAGACGCCTCAGCTGCCCTATCCTCCTCAGCCATCGGCGGCACGCCCTATATCCACCGCAGCTGCTTCTGCTATAATAAAAACGGTTCGGCCGGGACTCCACTTCTCGTGCGACAAAGTTATCGGTGCAAGGCGCCACAAGACCATGCTGAGCTCAGATCCCAATGCGCCCTGGCTGTCTGGGGAACTCAGTGACGGGCGGCGGCGGCGGCGTGCGCAGCATCCACTGCGTCAGCCATGTCGCCCATGGTCTTGAAGTGCCACGAAAAGTCGACCTGGTTCTTGAGGTCCTCGTGCTCGCCGCCCATGACGCTGACGACGCCGGCGTCGCGCTCAATCCAGGCCGAGGGTAGGCCCATCTTGTTCGCGGGCACGTGGTCGTGGAACAAGCTCTGTGCGGTGTGGATGATGTCGTCCTTGCCGATGCCCAGATCCTTCTGGCAGTGCTCGAGCAGGTACTCAAAGTTGCGCAGGTCGGGCTTGTACGAGCCGATGTCCTCGGCGACGTACACGGCGTCAAACTTGACCTCGCGCAGGGGACCGGCCAGCGTGCGGTCAAAGGACTCGCGGTCCACGTTGGACAGGATGACGAGCTTGAGGTGCTTCTGCAGCCGCTTGAGCGCGTCCACCGTGTCCGGGAAGGCCACCCACTCGCCCACGCTGTGGCCGAACCGCGCCATGTCAGCGGGCGCGGCCTCGAGGCCGAGCTCGGTGGCGATGCCCCGGTAGGTCTCAGACAGCACTGTCTTGTAGTTGGCAGCTGGGTCCTCGAGCTGCACGCGGTTCTCGTGCAGGATGAACAGCCGCAGCACGCCGAGGCGGTTGCCTTGCAGCGGGTGGGAGGCGGGCAGTTGCTGCGTCAGAGGGGACAGAGCGGTGTAGATGCCCGTCTCCCAGTCGACAAGGGTGCCGAAGCAGTCAAAGGTAAGGCATTTGAAAGACTCTATCGGACGTGAAGTCGGCATGGCGGCGGCTGTGATAAAGCAGGCCCGGTTCTGGTTTGTGATATTTGGATGCACAGGTATTGTGGACAGGTTCAGGGGCCACGCTTGGCCTGATTTGTTCTCTATAAATGCCACAAGATACAGTCTGCTCCAGCTGGTAAGCCATGCTTGTACTTCAAGCGACTTTCTGTCTATCTCGACGACAACGAGGTCTAATGCTGTTTAAGATCCACTGCTTTGTCTATTGCGCCCTACAAGTCATCTTACACGTAAAGCAGAGTCCCGCAAGTCTCCGTCTTTCTTGTTCTTCTGCTTGTGGCCGTTTCCACAGTTGAAATGGACGGTCTAGAACCAAGACTGACTGACAGCTCACCTGTAGTGACCGTTGGTGCGGCTGCGTAAAGCGGGGTTCTGCTGATCCAACCAACAGCTCCTACAGTCAGAGATCAGAGGGGCTGAGCTACATTAGGATCCTTGAGGTCGCACGCGCGAATACTACCTCCCAGGCGCCGAGTTTGCCGCGCCCAGCTGGGATGGATCCCGTAATATGGCCATGATGAAGGGATGGCGTACCAGATCTCTAACTGCAAAAGGAAATACAGCTGAAAACGGACAGGTCAGGGGATGAGTCCTGGGGCGGCCCTGGTCGTGGCGATAGGGTGGCCGTTAAGATGACGAAGCCCCGCCGCGCCTTGCTGCCCTTGCTGCCAAGAAAGTTGGGGGCCCATGGCTTGGTTTCGTTATTGATTGCCGAAAAGGTGAGCGGCATGGGCAACACAAGCGAGGAACGGGAGGCGCCGCAGCTTGGCCCCCCATTACGTGAGCCCCTAGAGCATGTGTGCCCTTGCACCCTTTGCATGGCCTACCCTTGCCGGTCGAGGGTCTCAGAATAGAGATGGCGTATCTCCAAGCATTTTCCCGCACTTGCTTGATTTGAGACGAGAGGCGCAAAAAGCATGGGAGACGTGGCTGTTTAGCTACGACCTCGTAAATCAAGGTTATGCTTGAAAGGAACTCGTGTTACGGTCGACCAGTTATTTCCAGTCGTAACCTCTGCAAATTGCAATGGTGATTCCGTCCAATTGATATGGTGACTCCGCTAGACATTGCCTTGCCAATCGCATTATTGTTGATGGGCTGCTGTGCTCAGTGAAAGAAAATGTCAGCACATGCCAAAGATATTTGTAATGGGGAGGCCCCCCTCGGCCGAAGATGCCATACCAGTTTATCACACAGGTGGGGAGCCGCAGCCCCCCAAACCATGTCGCAAGTCTTGAACCCAGCAGTGTTGCTCGATCCCACTTGATCTAGATGCTTCCAGCGTAATTGCGATTCCAGAGAACAGCACGGAACGTCGCCCACCTTCCCCTTGCAGCCATGTACGACCGGAGAATGTACAGCGGCCCAATCTCAGTTCGCCCACTCAGTGTCAAAGAGGTGCCTTGTTGGGGACGGTGTGGCCCCCATGTATCCTCCCAAGGCTCCGGATCGCCCAGGCGAATCAACGTACGAAGCGAAGAGGGACTTGGACCCCGCCACACAATGTCAGGGTCTTGATCCTCACAGCTTCGGCTAACTAATACCTTAGTCAGTATAGCCGCCCCCGGCACGCCCATCCGGGACTCCACACCAGTTACGCAGTAGGGCTGTGAGCAACCGCGAGTCCTATTTCGTCTCCAATTCTCGACCATTTAGGGCTAGATTCGCCGAGTTAACGGGGACGCGTCGTCTCGTCAGCCCAAGGTCGTGCTGCATGCCAACCACTTTTCATTGGCCTTGTCCGAATCCGACGATTCTCGTGGTTCCCAACTCGATCGTCCAGTCTCTTCTAACGGCCCTGCTGGCTGGTGTGTGCGCTGCATCAACTCCTTCAGGACGTGTTAGCAATATTCTGCCCCTCTGCGCCCTGCTTCTCGCAGGCCCATGCACACACGCATGCACGCAGGCGAAACTGCAGCCGGCGCATCCGCGGAGTGGGCAAAGCAAAGGTCCCTCACGCAGGTTTCGTATGGTACATATGTCCTCCAGCGCACCTCACGCATGAGCTGCAGGGATGGATGCAAAGTAAGCCTAACCGGCCCTTTCGCAATAAATCCCCCAGCCCAGGGCGTGTAGGGCTGGGCGCGGAGGATTCTGATCCTGGCTGGGCGCTGCATAATCTCTTCGTGTATAGCAGGACCATGACTGATCGCGCCACGCAGCACCAGCCGGCGGCTTCTCCGGCAAAGGGCAACGCGGCATCCCTATATGCCGGGCAAAGCCGCCACGGGCGGGCATCTGCGCCGTCTGAGACCATCACACCGATCCGCTCTGTGCTGTGCCAATGGTGCTTTCGTGTCGTTTCTCTTGTCGTCAGGCTCCGCGCAAGAGCTGGCAGGTGCCCCTCTACGCCTTGCAGATGAGACTTCTCGCATCGCATCCCTGCTCCCGTGCGGAATGTTTTGTCCACCCTCAGCACGAGAACATCGGATAGAACCCAGCCCACACATGATTGGTGGGGGGACCGCCATGCTGCTGCTGCTCTTGGCGACCCTGCGCCGCCCCGGGCTGCGGCTATCATGGCTGTCTGATGGTTGCGCCAAGTCAGCTCGGATCGGATCGAGCATTGCCTCCCGCTGATCGGATCGGCTTTAGGCTAGAGCTGCATGGTGCAGTGCTGTATTTGTTTGGATCTGTATTGGCTGACTATCACCTCAGATCCCACGCGCTGTCGTAATCTTAGACCTCCCAGGCACAGCCGACCACAGGACAGCAACAAGACTAGCACGCCAAAAGGGCCAAGTCAGCAAGGGGCACCTCGGTGAGCGCGTGGAGTCTATAAATCAGTCAATCGCCTGCCACACTCGCACTTTCCCCGAAAAGATGGATGTGCAGCTCGCAAAAAGCATCGCCAGCCCTATCAGTAGTCAAGGACTTTGCTAGCTGACGCGAGCCCCTGCGATGCCTGCCTGCCATCTCGCCTGCTCATACGCTTTGTATCCCTCCTCTCCTGTGAGCTCGGGAACCCACCTGCCTCATTGGGCAGTCACGCCGCGCGCCCAGGGTTGCATCGTGGAGCTCGAGCTCGAGCTTTTGTCTGGGGTCTTTGCCAAGCGCCACAAGGTATTGATTCTGACACAAGGCCCCCAACTGAGGTCCTGAATCGATTGCACGCCAAGAAGGAAATCGGTACCGGTGTGATTCTGATGTCAGCAGCATTCCAAATATCAGTGGTGTCTCGGGCGAGGATCCAGCAATAGCACAGTATCTCACCCAGGTGAACACCCAGATGAGCGCTGGCGGGCAACAGAATAGCCTACGCTGAGAGTACTTGCTCTCCAACCAGGCCCGAAAGCGAAGTCGTCGGATCCGAACACGACCAGCACCGAACAAGATCGGCGCTGAGGATCCCGAGCAGCAGCCACGAAACAGTCCCTCGTACAGACGAAATAGGTCAGCACACACCCTCTCCTCCAGCCCAGTTGAGGAGCGGAAAACGGGCACGGGGGGCCAGGCGGGTCAGCCTGCTCCACAGGCTGGCAGCCTGCATATGGAGCGAGGGTCTTTTGCGCAGGGCCAGCGTGGCCAAGAAGAGCACCTCCCCCCTTCAGCGGGTTAGGCTGCTTCGGATTCAGCCCGCTCGGGGCCGGGGAAGTGATGCCTAGGCTAAGGCAATTCGGAAAAAGCAGGGCGGTGCTGTTGGTCCATTGCGCACCAGAGTGGAACCTGGTCGCTTCAGGCGGCATGCCAGGCCTCCAGATCGGCCAGCCCCAATAGCAGCTTGCGAGTACACAGGCACAAGATTGTCAGCACGGTCACGGTCACGGTTACCACCAGTCGACTACATCTTCAAATTGCCTCGCAAATTCAAGAAGCCTCCCTAGGGATTACATCGTGCAGCGGGTTTTCTTCAACGGCCATCATCAAGCCTGCTCGCCTGCCAGATCGCTGCTTATCTGCGAGGTATCTGCGCTGAAAATTGTGTGGAGTCGGCTTGGGGGGCCAGCCGCGGGACCCTGGGCGACAGAGTGTCAGCAGGGTCCTTGCGCAGTTTATGGCAACCTTGGAACTTCTAACCGTTCGCTTGTCCAGCTGTCGGCTCTCATGCTCAATGACTTGGAACAAAATGATTCGTGTCGAACCCTCGAACTGAGTGGTCTAACATTGGACCCTACAGGTACAAGGTAGGAAGGTGACTTTGTTCAAGCTTTGCAATGATGCTAACCCCGATAAGACCGAATACACGAGGAGCGCCGGGTAGCGTGCACGGAGCAAGACCCCAGGAAACATGGCCCCGACCACTTGGTGGTCAGAACTGAACAGTCGCTGGACGGTGTGACTGGCAACACTCCCCCTTGAGCCAACGAAGCTCGCGACGGAAATCAATTAGACCCATTGGCCCGCTCGTACTGTAAATTCTCTTGCTCATGATGAAAGTCACAGCTCACAAACCATACTCTATCATCCGATACGTGAACCCGATGCATTAAACCAAAATTTTGTGTGCTGCTTTCGTCATCTGAGACTAGTGATATTGCAACCATTTTACGGTTGAAGGCTTCGCAGTTACACTGATTTGCCCACCGCGAGTCTCTCCCGCGCTGCCATAACCCCATCTTCCTCGCTCCCAGCACCAGACTGTGTACTGTCATCAACCCACTTGCGCAGCCAGCTCCTCAGCCCAGCCGTGCTGCGATCACGGACATCCTGGCCCCTGCGCTCGGCAGCAAGGGCAACCTCGTCCGGATGCAGCAGCTCGACGCCGCCGCCGCTCCTAATGCGGAAGTCGTCCTGCACGATCTCTCGCAGGAGTTTGTCCACCCGGCGACTCGCGAGGGGAACGGCGAGGCCGACGCGGTCCCAGAGTGCGAAGCCGATACCCAGCACACGGGCTAGGTGTGCGTCAGTAGGAACAGCAGCAGCAGCAGAGCTGATTTTCTGATACGACCGGAGCCGGCGCTCGTGCGCGGCACGGCGTAACTTGGCCACGTGGGAAGGGATGCGGCACGTGTAGGGTGTAAGCTTGGGGAACAGCAGGACTACGAGCGGCGAGAATTCTCCCGTGAGGAGCACCACAAGGCCAAAGAGCGGAAGGCGGAGGAAGTCGTGCCGTGTGCGCTCACGGAGAAGCAGGTCCGCGCGGGTAATAGTGGACGCAAGTGTGTCCTTGCCGCTGTTGCTGTTGGTCTTCTTTTTGAGCTGGGAGACGAGTCGCCGGTTGATGAGGACGGCCTTGAGCCCGCTCCGGTAGAAAGAGCCGTAGGCTTTGCCCAGTCGCAGCAGATGACCTGCCAGCGACTGCTTGGGCTTGCGGACCGGCAGATCGAGCGCGGGCGGGCGTGTCGAGTCCGGCGGATTCAGCACAGAAGACCACGTCACATTGGCCGCCGGTGATGACACTGCTGATGCTGCCACGGCCTCAACATTGGATTGCTCTTCCGCAGCGGCTGTCGCTGTGACGGTGGCTGATCGAGCAGAAGAGTGCAATCTCCCCACTGATTTAGCGGCCGGTTGATCCGCGTACAGCCTCGCAGCAGTTACTGGGCGGAGCACGAGGCTGCCAGTGTTGGGCTGAATGCGCCGCGGTACTGAAGTACTGTATGAGCTCAGTCGCGCACCGCGCATGCCGATGAGCGAGGCCATATTGACATTGAAAAAAAGAAAACTGCTATGAAAGAGTGTAGGAGAAGGTTCGAATTTGGTAGATGACACCCGAGCAAAGCAAGACTTGCGAACTTGAAGCCATTCCGACGAGTTCAGAAGACACTATCGTCTTGTTGGTCCAAGTTGCGACTGGAGGCGACATGGTGTTGCTTACTTCGGCCGGGTAACGTAATCTATAGCTGCCTCACGTAATACCTAGTATGTGGGCACAACACCGCAGACCAGGGAACTTGGCTATCAAGAGCGTGCTGAATTGTTTTCTTAGCATAGGGAATACAGATTCCGTTGCGCCATCCTTTTGCGGGGTTCAGTTTTCTTCCGGGACATCTCTTCACGGTGAAATGATGAGTCCTGACTAGCTATTACTCGCATGGCCATGCACTCGTTCGTGGGGGTGGGAAACTACTATATGCTGGGACTGTGGCATTGGCAAGGGTTATTCACGTGATATTCTGCAAGACCCTGCAGTCGCCAATCAGTAAGTGACCAATGGGTGGCCAATAACGGACCTGGCAGCTTACTTGCTAATGAGGCCCCGTGTTCATTGTTCTCACTATCGGTAAGCCCTAGAATAGCAATAGTGTCTTGGCACCTATAGACATTCCGCGACTGCCCTCAACTGCTTGGTGGGATCCATTACCGTAGGATTGGTGATCAATCGACGTCACGGACACATCTACACTGTCTGATAATCGTGCCTATGTTTACTCTATGAGATAGTTGTATGAGATCGATCATTTTAGACTAATGAAAAGCATAATGCCAGAGACCGCTACTCATCGCATTTTTGTTCAGGTATGCTGAACTGAGTGCGGAGAACGAAAAAAAATGATAGCAAAAATGAATCAAGCTTCCAGAAGTCCCTGTTGTACTAGAGATGAGACTCATCGTTACGAAAATGGTGGACCCGGTCTTCCCCTGTTTCTTTCTTGATTAGACATCAAGTCATCCAGGGTCCTGACCCCGCTCGGGCTTATTCCTCGCTCTCAGGGATGAAAATCGGCACTTCCATGGGCATACCCCGGTGTGGTTTGAGCGAGTCGATTGAGGCAGAGATGTGGTCGTCCGTGACCGGCTTGCGGGTGAAGAAGACCAGCATATCGCGGGTAGACTCGAGGGTGCTGTCTTGCGGGAAGACAGGAGAGAGACTGTGCTTGTATTCGCGGTCCGTGACGAGCAGGGTGTCAAGGAAGTGGCGGTGCTGGGCACGAGCGTGAATCTTGGAGGGCGTGACCTGGTCGAACGAGATGCCCGTAGTCTCGCTCGGGTCGTGAAGGAGAGTGACAGCGCTGTGCGGGGCCATGTTCTTACTGCCGAGAAACGTCGTCATGGTGTGGTCGACGCCGTCAGTGTGGACGCCCTCGAGGGCCGGCTCACCGAGGAGGTCAGGCCGAGTGATTGTGCGGACGTTGAAGAGGGTGCACACCCACTTGTTGCCCGAGTAGTCCATCTTGGGCCGGTGCTCTGTCTCGACGCCGTGAACCATGATGGCCTTGAACGCCATCAGGGCCTGCAGCACCGAGTTGAGCTGCAGCTCGTCCTCGATCTCGTCAAAGATGCGAACCTTGTCCGAGTCGTAGCGCTTGAAGTCTTCCTCGGTCGACAGCGCAAAGGGTTGAAACTCGAGCCGGCGCACCGACTTTGTGTCAAAGTCGATGCAGAACCGCCCGTTCCTCGATTTGCGGAACGGCAGCGTCGGGTCCGCGTAGAGGTGCTCGCTCACAACCTGGAGCCGGGCAAAGTCTTCCTCGACCGCGCCCAGGCCGCGCAGCAGCTCGGCCATCTCGTCATGGTGGATGAAGATGCAACGCTCACTGACGTACCGCCGGCGCCACTGCATGATCCTCCCGATTGTCTTGTAGTACTCGGGCGAGTATGCCTGGCTCTTGACGCTGAGCTGCTGCCACTGTATCTGCGGCACCAGAGGGTGCCTCCGAGCAGGGGCTAGGCGCCCTACAGGAACAGGAGGGGGAGGAGCCGACGCCCCCTGCAGCTCTGGGGAGAAGTCCATGGCTGTGGCAGCGCCTCTCTTCTCACTTGGGACATTGTTGGGTGTGGCCTGCGTCGGCCACGCAGCCCGGCGGACAGGGCTCCGCACCTCTGCTGGGCCACGCAAGGAGGCGATGACCCTCTTGGTTGACGCACGAGCCGCCATGGTGAGAAGCCGGCGAAGGTGTCTTGCCAGTGGCTGGTTGTGAGGAAAGGGATGCAGCTAGGTAGAAGAAGCCACCTTGCGCAGTCTTGGCTTCTCTCTGAGACCACGTCAAGAAGCAGTATAATAATGAATTCAACTTAGATAAGATACAGACGCAGACCTAGGCTGTCGTCCTGTGTGATTGTATCAGGGGAAACTGGAGCTGGGATTATCTGACATAGAAAGGCTGTCGAGGAGCAAGCGGTGTCACTACACAAGGTCCAACCCGTCATATTATAATCCATGTACATGTGATGGTGCGAGCCTCGCCTGGTACGATGCAACTGCTGTATGTGCTCTGCTCATGCCGTGGCCTCGTGGGTCTCTAGGATTGCACCACCGAGCTCAGACGGCGGCAGTCAGTAGCCAGTGATGGCCTGGCAATGCTATACCTCAGCTCAGCGATGTCCATGTCTGCCCCATGCTGATCTCCCTCTGAAAGTCCTCCCCATTATCCGTCCCCACTATTCATCGCTGACAGGACTGTCAAAAGAACCGATGTAGCATTGCTGCCCCCACAGGCGTGACGGAAATCCCGGTTAGTGCGTTTTGGGCCGTCGGAGGGCGGACTTCTAATCCTCCTGGACGATCCCAAATTACGTCAGATATTGTACATGGAATGCAACCACACGCATGCACCAAGACCTCCACGGTGATTGATCATGCTAGGCTGCATGACTTGGAGGGTTGTGCGTATTAGTCGGGCTTGGCAATGTCGGCATATTGTCCCGGGATAGCCCGTCGATCGAGCCCCCACCACAGCAATGACCCCCAAGGATTGTTGTTGGAGGGCGCGCTCCGTGTCGCTAGAGGGCGCGTCCCGTATTGGTAGTCTTCTAAGACAACTCTCCCGCAATCCCCACAGAGGAATGTAAAACTCGCAACCAGTGTTCCTCCAGGGTACCCTGCCAATCCATCGAATTTGTGTACCAAGTATCCCACCTAGAGTTGACGATGACGGCCACGACAACCACTCTGGCCCCGGCTGCCTCTGCTCAGCTTGGTGATCAGAATTCAGCTCCATCGCTGGTACTGGCTGTCCCCCGGGCAGCAGAGCAAGAATGCCAACTCCATAGCATGAGCTATGGGCCCAATGCCCTCAAAGGTGAGTGGTCTCTAGCCTTCAACATGATTCGCCCGTCTCCGGGAAACATTGACATGGTGATCGAACCACTTGAACATGATGCTGAGCAAACTTTCTAGGCATCCCGACCTTCAGCTCGTTCCAGGAGCATCGCCAGCACATTGTGCTGCACATGGCAGCCGTGTTCCGTAATTGGGCTCGGGTCGGTTTCACCGAAGGCATCTCGGGCCATATCAGTGTCCGCGATCCAGAGTTCCCAGATTGCATCTGGATGAACCCGATCGGCCGACACTTTGCGCTGCTCAATGCGAGCGACATGCTGTGCATTGACATCAACACGGGTGCTATTGTCGGGGGCAACCAGGTGAGTTGAGACCATCGCGAGACTATGCAAATGACGACCTGCCTGCCGAAACTGTGACACGGTGCCTTGTTATATCTCGGAATGCTCAATTCGTCCCAAATGCCAATTAGACAGCTAGTTTGATGACACCCAATGCTTCGAATCTCTACGCGTTTCTCCTTAAAAGACCCATTTACCGCGGAGAAGGAAGATTATTTCCTGACTCTTTTGGCCATAGAACCGCCCATATAATCTGCCCGGCTTCTACATCCACAGCGCGATGCATAAAGTCCGCCCCGACATCCACGCCATCTGCCACGCGCACACGATCGCGGGCCGGGCGTGGGCGGCCATCGGCAAGCCGCTCGACATGATCACGCAGGACGTGTGCGACCTGTACGGCGCGGCGCTGGCCGTGGACGACGACTACGGCGGCGTGGTCGTCGCCGAGGAGGAAGGCCGGCGGATCGCCCGGATGCTGGGGCCCGAGGGCAAGGCGGCGATCCTGCTCAACCACGGGCTTGTCTCAGTCGGGCACACGGTCGACGAGGCGAGCTTCTTGTTTGGCCTGCTTGATCGGTCGTGCGATATCCAGCTGCGCGTCGAGGCGGCGTGCGGGGGCAACCCGGAGCTCAAGAAGAAGGTCATCTCGCACGAGTTGGCTCGATTTAATTTTGCCATGGCCGGCGAGAAGAACTGGCTGTACGAGGAGGCGCAGCCGGATATCCAGTATGAGATTGAGATGGCGGGGAGTATCATTTCCGCAGGCATCGCCGATATCAAGGTTGATAGATCGGCGGCGTAGTGTGTAGTTCCCCTGAGCTGGTCGTTTTCTGAGACCAGCGACCGCTATAGGTCGCAAGGCCTCCCATACGACGAGACTTTCCAAGTCATTGGCTTATCATACCCAGAGAAAACGCAGAAACTTTCTGCATATCTGATGAAATATATGCCGCGGGGTTTTGAGCTGTGACTGGCACTCTTGCATCCACTCCACCGGTCGATGCCGCCATGCGATGGGCCAGAGTCACGGCCAATAACAAACTTCACATCTAGCAGCTTCGATGGTGGGCGGTGTCGACAACGACGCGTGGCATCCCAGGGCCACAAGCCGGATCCCCATTCCACGTGAGCGCATAGTCCCGTCATGAACCCGAACCCCGGTCCGATTACGACGCTGCGAGTGTCATTTCAGCAGCAAGGTGGAGCGCCTCAGTGCTTGATTGGTCTTGGCTCCCAAGTCGACGTCAACGATTGTGTGAGGATGCTGCGAGCAAGGGCCTGCGCGGCAGCCTCAGCATCTATTTCTCTGCCTTCTCCTGACTGATGGCCTTACCATCCTGCTGCATTCTTCCCTTGTTACTTTTCAACTTTCTCTGAGGTAAACGTCGAGAAGTATTGCACAAGATGGCGTCCATCACCACAGTGAGTGACCGTGCCAAGATGCAGAACCGCCCCGATGAGTGGAAGATTGAGCAGGGTATGTCCGGGGCGCAATTGCCTGTCTTGGACATGACCGGGTCGGAGATCAAGGCCATTCCGCCTGCCGGACCGCCGAAAGATTTCAAAGATGAGGAAGCCATCAAGGCGGTAGGCGACCCGAACGAACTCTTCCAGATGGAGCGCACCGGCTGGAAAGGGTAAGACCATCTACTTTACCACTTCCCGGAGCGCAACGAACCAGCCGATTGACATCACGACACGCAGATACGTTGAGTGGGAGGAGTATCCCGAGAAAAAGGCAGCCGCGCACAAAATCTTGACGTCCCAAAGCTTTCCTGGGGCACCCGAGTACCAGATGACCGAGATCCCAGGGAAGAACCCGCTGCTCGATGGGGATCGCTGGAAGATGTGGCACCACGCAATTGGCGGCGAACTCACTGTGGTGCCCGACGACTCATGGAAGCTTGTGCTCGAGGAGAAGCATCCAGACATGCTGCACATTCTCGGGTTTCCTTACAACGGGGAGCCGCCCAAGCGGCTCGTCACGAGCAAGCCCATCACGCCCAACCCACTGCACTTTGTGCGCAACCACGGCGGGATCCCCATCATCGAGAAGGAGAACTACAGCTTCCGCGTCGACGGGCTCGTCTCCCTCCCCGCCACCTTTACGCTGGATGACTTGATGGACGAAACCCGGTTTCCGCGCATGAAGAAGCACATCACCATGCAGTGCTCCGGCACGCGGCGGATCGAGCAGATTACCCGATATCCCGGTCAAGGCGACGAGCTGCCCCAAGCACCCTGGGCAGAGGGTGCCATCGGTACCGCCGAGTATGAGGGCGTGAGCCTGAAAAAGGTCATTAAGGCCTGCGGCGGACTCGTTAACGGCGGCAAGCACCTCGAGTTCTTTGGGGCAGATACTTACTTCAAGGAAAATGAGTGCATGAATTACCGCGTGAGCGTCCCGTGGGCGAAAGTCAAGGCCAACGAGGTAATGCTGGCATGGAACATGAACGGCGAGCCCCTGCCGAGGATTCATGGCTACCCGCTCCGCATCGTCGTATTTGGCTACATTGGTGCGCGCAGTGTGAAGTGGCTCTATCGCGTCCAGGCCATCACTGCACCCACGCGAGCACCAGTGCAGAGCAAGGAGTATCTCTACTTTGCCCAGCAAGTCGGCAAGTACAACTTCCGCCTGACCGACGGTATCCAGATCCAGGAGATGCCGGTCAGTTCAGCGATCATGTCTCCATGGACCAAACAGGTGGTAATCCACGAGGGCAGCATTCACTGTAAAGGCTGGGCGTATTCCGGAGGTGGGCGCTGGCCCGAACGCGTTGAACTCTCTGCTGATGGGGGTTTCAGCTGGTACACGGTCCCGCCGGAGAACCTCTCGAAGAAGCGCAAGTGGACGTGGCGTACATAGGAATTCGACCTGCCGTGTGATGTCGAAGGATGGATCGACGTCCTGGTTCGGTGCTGGGACAATGCGCTCAACACGCAAGTCCCAGATGTCCGAACGGCCTGGAACTGGGGGCTGCATGTGACCAGCTCTTGCCACACCATCAATGTGTACAGTGTCAACAAGAAGCATCCAGCTACCCGCGCCCGCCTGGAAGACATGGAGAAGAACAAGGTACCGCTGGCGCCCATCACAGTTCCCTTGAGCATTCCCGCGCAGTCATGGGACGACTACGAAAAGTTTTGGAAGAAGCACGATCCGCGTGATGCGGAGGACGATTGAGCTGGAAAGTTGGTTACCCTCGGCCACATGCAGCCGGTATCCTACATCCCTGTTTGTCCACGCACTCTTTGGCCGCAGCGTGAGAAGGTTACGCATCCGATGGTCGTCACATGCCACAACGGCGGACCTGCTCAGTGCACGCAAGCATACATATTAAAGAGAGAAAGTGCTGTTCGTGCCATCGGTTCTTACTAGCGCTTGCCGCTGGGTTGAGCGGCTCGAACAGAGTCGCCGATCCCTTGTAGTAATCCTCACATTTTTCAACTCCTTACTGCTCTATCGTTGACACTGCGCCTTATATAAGGATATTTCTCCTTTCCCCAAACATTACCTGCTAACGAAATTATTATATCAGGCAATAGGGATGGCCAGGTCACTTGTGTATCCATCACATCTGAAGAAGAGGTCTCCCGATAGTTTCAATTTGGGAAGATGCCGAGGTTTGGTTCTCTTATATATTGTCGTAAGGATGCCCGAAAGGTTGCTGGGCTCCTCATGTAACTGAGTAGCTCGTGGGTTCCGGTATGGTGACAAACATTGATTACAGTAATCACGTCGATACCAGATGCCTGTCAATATAGCAAGGCCTGGCCACTCACCTCCTAGCAGCATTCCGGCAGGAAGCAAAAACAACCGATCTTGTCCACAATTCTCATACACATCAACCTCCCATGATGATAGCATCCATATTCTTCTCGGCGGCGAGTCGAGTAGCACAACGCATGCATACAAACATCTGCAGCAATATGGGGTGGTCCGTTGAGATATCGCGGTGATGTGCCCATGGGAGGCTGTACAACAACACGCCTAGCTGGAATAGCTGCTCGAACTTGCTTCCCCTAAGAGCGTAGATGCATTTGCCGGGCCCCAAGTCCTGTCTTTTAATTGGATCAAAAGACGAGATACGATATTCGATTTCGCCAGATGCGTGAGGCAGGTACCCTTGGTCCTGAGCATGCGCACAAGACATCGGAACGTCAACTGCGTCCAATTCCATCATGCCACTGCTCAGGTCGAGTGTCAAGAGGGGTCCTTCGCCATCGACTTTCACAGTAGTCTGTATGGCGATCGCATACTCTGTGAGGATTGCTGACATGGTCACCGCCAGGGGACCGGGTCTGTAATGGGGCGTGATGAGGGTGCCAGGGGCAATCTTAGCGGTCATACCAGATCTGTCGAAGTCATGGTAAGCCTGTAAGCTGGGTTCTGGCACCCCTGACTCCGTGATCCAGTCACGTAGCACTCCTCCTAGGCTTGCCCTGCCCGAGGCAATCGTGATGACCCGGCCAAGATCATCGAAGCAATCGTCCTGGAGAATGGATGTGCAAGAAACAGTATATCTGCCAATGGAAACTCCAAGTACGTATTGAGAAGGTCGTTCGGTGTAGATTTTGCCATTGTTAGAGAACAGCACCGCCACGATCTCGCAAATTTTACCGATGCTTGGACGCATATTGTGGAGTTGCATAAACAGGGAACGTGGCCTCGGGAGCTCATAAATTGCCCTTGCGCTGATTCGGATTGTGTTTGCGTCATAACGACACCTTGCCAAGCAACAGGCCATGGCTGTAAAGAAGCCTATGATATGCTCGACCTTGTGATACAGGCAGTCTCTTCGGCAGCCTGTTTTGGGACCATTTGTGGACAACAATCGGCGCAGGCTTCGCTCCTGAGTGATGCGACACTCGAGGCGGAGAGAAGGCATAATGACCGACTCAAGGTAGGCTTCTGCAGATTCAGGGTCTGCCGCCGCCAGTGAACCTGCCAAAGACGCATCGCTCGAATCGATATCGTGCTGAATGCCTAGGTTCTGCAAAGCTAGCTCCAATGCTCGGCTCATTGCACCAAACGTCGCAGTTTTGCCCTTGACTTGTAGTCCGCTGCTACGCATGAACGTGGAGAACCGCACAATGGCGTGATGAATCAACCACCGGGTCTCTAGCTCGAGCCCAGGGAGAAGACCAAGCTCAGCCTCGAGCGCATCTGGGAGCAGATACTCCACGGCGATGGGTGCGCGTTCTTCCTTGATTGTTGGCGGCGTTAGCAGAAGACCACCGATCCGAAGGCTGCGAGTCATCGCAGCACTTGGCTTGTCGTCCGGCGCCATCTGTAGAACCACCTTGCCTTCGTTGCCGCCGCTGGCCCATAGGATGTGATCATTATAGACTAGTTCAACTGACATTCCTAATAAATGGCTTGCGAACGCTGCTAACCATGCTCCTCTCTGTCGTGGCACGAGGTAGGGTGTTTCGCCCCTCTGCGAGGTGAAAATTAGCTGCTTAATAGCACTCGCTAATACCTGCGGAGCACCAATGGCAGTAACATCAAGGGGGATCTCCAGTTTCTGCCGAACAAGTTCGTGGGAGGCGGAAGTCGTGACGTGCTCAAGGACTTTCGCAAATCCGAGGTCTTGGACCATTGGGCCAATGTAGGCCGTCATGCTTTTCAGAACGTCAACGTTTGGGATCTGATCTGCCGCGCAGCCGTAAGAGTTCAAGAGTTCCGAGAGGCACTGCGCAGCGTGAAAGCTGGGTACACCGGCCGCCAGGGCGCCAATGAGCAGGAGGGCGTTAGTGCCGGCTTGCGTTCGCACCATCTCAACGGCAACGGTTGTGTGGCCCCAGCCGATGCTCAGAGCCTTGACCAGGAAGCTATTCACGACGGAGGTGCGCCTGGCCGCGAGATGTGGGTGCACAGTGGCCTGCAAGGATGTGCGAAAGGGAATCTGCTTGCCGAGCCAGATGGAGGCGGTGATGGCGTAAAGGTCGACGCCGCCGTCGCTAAGGGCCTTGAGGATCCGGCCGGTCAGGAGGTGGGCGAGGTTGGCCGTGCTGACAATGTCGGCCTGGAAGCCGAACCCCACTTGGTTGTCGCTCTCAGACATTGCGTATTTTGTCGATGAGACTGCTCGGGTGCTCAGTTGGCCCGGGTTTGACGCTGACTTGCAATAGGCAAGTTCTCGCCAACAGCCGACTGAAGGCGAGATTGCTGCCAACACCCATCTACCCCGCTCGCATGCCAGCATCCCCTTTCGCCGTCGCGAGGCACCAGTCCGGCAAGAGCCTCTTTTTGACCGCCCCATCGCCTCCCTTGTCCTTACACATGGCGAATATATCACAACCTTCGCCAGCCTCCCAAACCCAGTGATCCGTCAGTAGCAACCTCGCTGTTGTAAGGATTCTGTGCTTCCTAGGCAAATTCTGGGGAAGCTGATGTTGTCTTTCCTGTTCTTTTCGTTTGATGACTGATTTTTGTGGTGAGCTGCTGGGCAGCACTATTCGGGCGAATGAGAAGTATTCCTGCGCAAGTCACACGCCCACCCTCCGCACGGAAGGCAAGAAGACAGTGGCCTGCCTGCCTGCTCCCCTTCGGGAACGGGCCAGGACCACCTGAGATGACACAAAGAGGACATTGCACAGCACTGTACGCGCCGTCGGTCCACAGGTTACGGGGCATACGACCCCAGGCATATAACGGGTGCAGACTAGCATACACGTGGGGAAAAGGGGGTCTCTGGGGCCTCGGTCATTTCTAAGAATACTTTTCTTTTTCGCTAGAGATTGACGGATGCTATCAACATGCGGCTTTGACCAACTATCTCGAACCAGATGATGATCTTTCCGCATCCAGTGTAAGAATACTGTTGAGCTCGTCTCTGGTCTTGCAGTTCTTCAACGCAAAACTGGCAGCAAGGACCTCGAGCTCCTCCTCGGTCTTGCCGCGGAAGAGCTCGGCCATTTCCCAGCCCATGTACTCGCTCATGAGCATCTCCCGCACCACGCGCTCAACCTGGCGGTCAAACGTCCACGTCTTGGGGTACTTTTTCTTGTGCAGGTGTTCGGGAATCGACTCCTTCAGCTTGGCGATAAAGGGCCCATACACCTCGTTGTCGATGCCGCTCTTGTCGCAGATTCCCCAAAAGTCCAGTCCCAGGCGCTGCTTCTTCTCGATGAACGGCTGGATCAGAGTCATGTATGGGCTCTCCGGGTCCGTGTACACCATGCCCTGGTATCCGACGTCCTTGTAGAGCCAGATGCTCCACGAGACATCGCCGAATTCGCGGTAGACCTGCAGCTGCTCCTTGAGCAGCGCGAATCTCTTGGTGTTTGTCTCGGCCGCGCGCGGGTCCGTCCGCGGGTCCTGGTACACGGGACCCCATTCGCCGTTCCAGATCGGCACACCCGCGGCCTGCATGAACTCGACTTTGCGCTTGAAGCTCGAGCGCAGCTTGGCCTTTTGCTGGTCGGTGCCCTCGTACTGTTCGGGCAGCGGGAACCCCATGCCGCTGTAGTCGTGGCAGCTGTAGACGGTGTTGGGCAGCGGCTTGTCGACGGGGAACTGGGAAAAGTCCATGGCGTAGGTGTTGCCGTCGAGGAACAGCATGTGGTCTGGGTCGACGGCGCGGATGGCCTTCTCGGCTCGCTCGTACCAGCTGATGAGGCGGGTGTGCTTCGGGTCGGCGGGCTCGTTGAGCGGGTTGTAGCCGGCGATGAAGGGATTGCCGGCGTAGTGGGCTGCGAGAGCCTCCCACAGCTGGATGACGCGGTCCTGGAAGTCGCGAAACTCCCAGAACAGAGCGCGGTGGACGCCCGAGTCGCTGTGCCAGTCCTGGTTCTGGCCGCCAGGGGCGGTGTGGAGATCCAGCACGACGTAGATGTTGTACTGGGCACAGATGTTGACGATGCGGTCCAGCAGCTCGAAGCCGGACTGCTTGATCACGCTCGGGTTGTCGTCGTCCATGAAATGCCGGTGGTTGAATGGCACCCGCAGGCAGTTGAAGCCGAGCGACGCGAACAACGCCGCGTCATCCTCGGTGAAGAAGTGGTGGAGCAGGCGAGCAAAGAAAAAGTCGGCCTTGTCCTTGCCGAGCACCTCCTCGAGGGTGGCTCTGTGCTCGTGCTCGTGGCCAGAGTAGCCAGTAATGAAGTTCTCCATGTTCAGCATCCCGCCGAGCCCCGCGCCCTTGAGCACGACTTGCTCGCCGGCAGCATTGACAATGTTGACACCGCTGACACGAAGCAACGTGCAGGGTGGGTTGAGTCGCGCGGCATCACCCATGGTCGCTGTACGTGTCAAGGATGGACGTTTGACTGCTCAAAGGATGTTGCAGCATTGACGATGACAGGCCGATCAGCCAGACTCCAAATGTTTTGGCACATAGTTATACACGGCCCGTGGCGCAGACCACTTTACGAGATGGAGGGGGAAGCCTGCATGTACCCCAATTTCTTAACTGCGACATTCCGCGAAGGTCATCCTGTGGAGGCGGCGTGCCATGATAGCGGGGAACCACCCGGGGCTCGGTCTTGGCGAGAAGGATCTGGATCGGTTTAGGTTGGATTGACCGGGGGAGATTGCAAAATTCCCTGGCACCTATTGCAGACTTAGGTCCTTTCCAGCCGGTAATCATTGCTCTCCGCCTCAGCGAGACCTCGGCATAGGATCTTGCGAATCTCGTTGTACCGATTAGTCTCGGGGCCCCAAAATACAAGCAGGTCTACCACGTTACTGATTTCCGTCCGCCAGTCATGGGGTAGATGCAGGATCTGTGCGTGGCCCGGCTCTCCGACTATCGCTTGTTGGGACCTGGACGCAGCCAAGAGTGTCAGAGCCGACCGGGAGCACGATCGCGGCAGTGGGTCCGTTCCGTGATGCCGGTGGCGGTACCCTGCCTTGTTGACAAGCAATCTTGCCATGTGGTTCTCGAGACCACGTTGGGCCTGCTCGCTGAATGCGTTCCATGTGCTGGTTTGTGGTCCGCCTAGGCCATCTTCGTCCAGGAAAACGGCCAAGAACGGCCAGTAGATAGTCTCGTAGAGGTTGATCAAGTGGCCCCTGAGCACGAATCGGCACACGTCATCCTGCTCCGCAGGCGCTTCGAGAGACAGACAGGGCGGTAAGGATGCCTGCCACTCCGTGGCCTGGGCCTCGTATGACGGCAGAGCTGCTGCCATGGACTCAAGGAAAGTGTGCCGTGATGCATGCGTCTCCATTATGGTCACCATCTCTGCACTCACGCGGGCACTCAGCCTGCGCAGGGAGATTTCCGCCAGATAAAAGTACCACGAGATCTGCTCCCTGCTTTGGTCTGCTTCCATCAGGGGCAACCTTATTGCATCTGCTCTTGGTGCTGGGGGCGTGGGGAAGAATGAAGGATATAGTCTTGTGTCGTGGTCGCTGACGGGAAAATCCGGGCGTCGCACATTGCCTCGCACCTCTCGCTCAGACTTCCAGGCGGACCAGTAGATGGCCTGATGAGGGGTGTCATCCAACTGATCGGGTCGTCCAGACGCGTTCGACAGGAACTCGAACTCTTGGCAGCCGACGAGGGCCTGGACAAAATACCTCCACGCTTTGGTGGACTGGAAATTGCACATCATGAAGACGCCTGCAAGAAAGAAACACTGTGGGGCGATGATGTCTTCGGCAACAAACAACAGGCCCATGCGCTTCTGCGCAGCCTGGAAATACGCGTGCGCGTGGGCATAGGCGGCCGTGCCTGGCATCGTGTCGGCACTAGGACCGAAAGGTGTGGCCAGCGATCCGAGGGCGCATATCAGCAAGGCGAGACACGACTCGGGGCTCCAGTCAAACCCCAGCCCTTCTACGGCCTTGCCGAGGACCATTCTGCGCGTCGACACCTCATCGAGTATGGGGTTCTTGACATGGACATAATTGAAGAAGTTGTCCAGCAGTGCTTTGACCAGGCGCGGCTCTTCTGGCACCCCCGCAAGGCCTGGAGGAGACGAAACGTGCTGTTGTGGCGTGACTTGCTGCAGTCCGAGAGCCCCTATGTCGTCGGCACTTTCGTCGGACTGGCCAGTGGCATGCAAGTCTCGAAGACAGCTCCACGAGAGCATCTCTTCGGAACCAGGCGGTAGCACCATACTCACGTCGACTCGGTTGCCACTGTCGCCGGTGTCGGGCGGTTCAACACGAGAGGGTGTAGAAAGGGCTCTCTTTTTGGCGGGTGGCCCTTGTTCATCTGGGGCCGGCAGCGATGACCGCATCAGCTGCTCCAAGCTGTCAAGGCGTTCCAGAATCTTGAGACTGGCGGGGTCAAAGCTGGAAAGGTCCTGGGCCGACTGGATGCAGACGGCGCCGACCTTGAGGCAGAAGGAGCACGACGGCTTGAGATTGTCGCATTTCGTCCGGCGGGCGCGACAAACCTGGCACGCCTTGACCGCTCGCTTGCGTTGATACGAGGCAGTCCCTCGCGGTGCGGGCCGTGACCGGCGTACGGGGTCGCCAGCCGCTTGGTCCATCTCGGTCATCCGGAGCAACGCGACTCAACGCTCTGGGGAAAGCGATTCGCGGGGTGTGGGGAATGGTTGGGGTTGGTTGGTGAGGGAGATGGTCTAGTTTGGGGATATTGGGGTCGGCACGCGGCCGAGGCGCGAAGTGTCGCTCTTATATGTTGATGACTGGGGTTGCCCATAGTGGGTGGCTCGAGGATTATTAGCGGGATTACCGACACACTGAAGCTGCTAGGCCATTGAAGACCTACTGAAGCAGCTGATTGACTGCTGCACCACCCACTAAGCTATCAACTAAAATCATCCACTAAATTAATCACTGAGGCACCTCCGCTACAGTACACCTAACCCTCTGAACCACCCACTGAACCACCCACTGAACCACCCACTGAACCACCCACTGAACCACCCACTGAACCACCCACTGAACCACCCACTGAACCACCTGCTGAACCACCCACTGAACCACCCACTGAACCACCCACTGAACCACCTGCTGAACCACCCGAAGCCTGCGCCAGACCTGCTCGGGAGTACCCGCTCGCTCCGCTCACAAAGCCAGAATCCTCTCCCCAAGCGGATCTCCAGGCTTACCTACGGACTGTGATGAAGATACTTATAAGGGAGTATAAGAACAATAACAATGTCCATAACGTCCTTGATATAACCGTATCCGCATTCTAAATGATACTTAAGACTTCAGCAAAGATCTAATCCCAGGCCTGCGCGAATATGGTTCCCAGCGCCGTTAAGGGGTCAGTAAGCCACCAGTCGTCCTTCGCCCACTGTTAGGCCAGAGGCGAGTTCAGTATGGCTATGCTTTGCTCCAAGAAGTCACTGCTATCCTCGTAGTAAGCCAAACGCCCGTGGGCTAATATTCACTAAGCTAGGTAGAATGCTAATGGTATGGGGGAGGGTCGATTCCACTCTTGACGTCCCTGCTGAGCTCCATGAGTTTCTGCAAGTCTGGCGAAATCTGGTCTACGTAAGAGAGACAAGTACTAGCAAGGTTCTCAAACTTATCGGCTTTCTCACTTGCTTGGATCTCTTGTTGCTCAAGATGTAGAACCAGCTGTTCTAATTCCATCAAGCGGTTTTCGGCGGAGTGTTTCAGCTCTGCTTCTTGGCAAAGGCGCACTTGTAGATCAGCTGCTTCGCCTTGGAGTCTCTCAATCTCACTCTTGAGGTTGCTAATATGTAACGTAAAACTTGGTTGATTTAGGGTGGACTTAGCTAGTTAGCTATAAGAGCTATGATGAAACAACAAGCTGATCTACCATACCTTGCTTAAGACGAAGGGGCCGGCCGTCATAGCTTCGAAAGTCGCCCCGACACCTGAACAGAGCTGCTTATAAGCGCTGATGGAGTGATCGCTTAGATTCTTCGTAAATAAATGCGCTGCCTCGGTGACATAGCTCCAGCGATATGGATCGTTCTCAGACGTCACTAGTCTGACATCTGAAGGACTAATATGGCAACCCACTTGCTGGCCTATATGCTATTAGCAGGGGTTAGGAGGCTGCGCATCCTGACATACGGATATGATCTGCCAGGACCTCACGGCATTTAATCCGCCATTCCTTTCTATCCACGTTACTCGCCCTGGTAGCCATCCTAGAAGTGGATAGGTGATTGTTTGGGGGTGGGGGGTCTATAGAAGACTGAGATAAGCGACCTGTGAATGAGGCACTCATACAGCAGCCTTTCGCGAGACGTCCACGTTATAAGTAACTCCGTCGCCAAAATCAGCGCCGGTACTTACCGCACTGCGTCACATTCAAGCCAGATCTGTTTAACTCGCTTGAAAGTACACGCCATGTATCCAAAAATTAGAGAGTAGCCAAATATAGCCTGGAGGAGGGACGAATCAGAGCACAGGGTACTCTGATAGGGACAGCATTCGTAGTGATAGGCATAGGGCACATTCATAGGGATAATACTAGCTAGGCTATTATACAGTACAGGAAATCACGCTGTCATACGTGCCTCTGTTGGAAACTGATTATAATTTGGGCTGGCTTGCTGAACGCAATTCTCGCACTCGTTTTCGCTGGTCTGTCAGCCACTGAAACTCTTAAGAATCTACTTTTAAACCTTCATAAGTCTGCCACTGGTGGAATTGTCTTATGGCGCAAATCCTTTGTCTTCTGTATCCATCATGCGGCCAGCCTTCCAGTTGGCGGCCTTCTTTTACCCACTTAGTAGTACGTAGCCATGGCCCTTATCCCGTGTCAAACTTAGCGGCATGATAGCCTTAGTGAGGGCTTCACAATTCGCGTTCATATCCTCATGCGCTGATCATAAACACTATTAGGCTGCCCTTGCAACAATTGAACCAGGAGTATGCGCATCAATATTTTGCACAGCACCGGGAACGAAAATAGTAGAAATAATATCTGCAAGGGCCCTCTGTACCGAGAATGACATAACCAGAGCCTAATCCTCACGTTAGACTGGACAAATTCTTGCCTTTATTGGGCAGGCCTCAGCTCCTATAGCGGAAGGCTATTGCCTGTTCATATAATCTTGTCTCGTCTCAACCACGTCGCTGAAATGGAGTCGACCAGTCGTCCTCCACTCGAGCGATCCTTTATCCATAGCCGATCTATATTTATATATATAGCCTTAGCGACGATACTGGCACTCACATACTTGATTCCGTTGTCTTTTACCGTGGAGAGAGAGATCGATGAGGCGGAGGCTCGGGCTTCTGTAGCCTGCCTCAAGGCAGAAGCGATTGGTAGCACGGTGATCTCGATGCCGCATTACCTGTCTCAGGGCGTCAATTCATTAACTGCCGAGGGTATCACCCATTCAGTCAGAGCCATTGCTAGCTCACTCGATCTCATATTAGATGGAATGGAGCAGCTTTTGCTCTTTGTTTTTCACTCGATGACAGACACCTATGTATGTCTCCTGCTCATGGCTGTTCACGGCGGACTAAACATAACAATCAGCGCGATGGAGGAGTTCCGTTCGCTATACCAAGACGCCACTACAGGTTCTCTGCAGGCTGTCGAAGAAAGCGTGGCGGCTACAAACCAGGGCATTGATAGTGTGAATGCTTTCTTGAGCAAAGGGTCGAACACCGTGAACGGTGTTTCAAGCGCGATTAACAGCATTTTCGGCTCGCGAACCAAGAGGCAGGACGTACAACAACTCCCACATCTCAACATAGCGGATGAGCTAGAAAGTATCAGGAATACGCACATAGACATGGGACCAATACTCTCTGACTTGGACAGTCTGCAACAGCGCATTCCTGATTTTGCGACTGTGAGGAATATTACTGATACGGTTCTAACATCGCCCTTCCGAGCTGTTAGAACGGAACTTGATCAGACACTTCGAAACTGGGTGTTCGATCAAAAGGAGCTTTTCGTCCCCGACAAGCAGTCGTTCGTGTTTTGCTCTAATGATACCACGTTTACAGACCTGTTTCAAAAGCAGCGTAATCAAATTCGCTCTGCCCGAATAGTACTTATGCTAATACCCATAACTATGTTCTATTTTGTAGTCCTGGAGGTGATCTTTCAATACTACGTTCACTCCAGGAATCTCAGGGTTGCCGAAGTGCTTACAGAAAGCTCGAAGCTTCAGCGAGCCTTAGCCGCGGTCAGTTTGTCTGTTACAAAGTTCCGGGCCTCCGAGCGTTCCTGGTCAGGTAATGCTTCAGCATTCCTTTTGATTGGGCTTTCGGGACTCATGGGCTGTGCTTTTGCTACCCTCTTCCTCCGCACAGCCGAGGACGACGCCCTTGAGCTGCGAGAGGCTATCGAGATTCGAGCTGAGGAAGTCTCCGCTAGTCTGCACGAAACATCTACTCTATGGGCCAATTCCGCTAATTCCGCAATGGGAAGATTGAATGAGAATATTACTGGTCAGCTCCAAGACCAAATACGCAGAGTCACTGTCGGACTTAACACAACTGTAACCACGTTTAGTGACCAGCTTCAGCAGGCTCTTACATCTGCGTTCGGCGACTCAATCTTAAGAGATGTTGTTCAGCAGGCATTGAGGTGTCTAATAGGGACAAAGATTGACGCCGTGCAGAATGGTCTCCGCTGGGTCAATGATCAAGTCAGTGTCGACTTTCCTCCTTTGCCACAAGATGTCTTCTCAGTCGGTGTCAGTATGGCACAAACAGGATTGGACCACACAATGCTTTCTGGCGGGGACATTATCATGGATAACATTATCTCAGCAATTATGTATGTCACCGACAAGGTGCGTCGCGACATCAGTACTCATGCTATAATCTCTTCTATATTATTGCTTGTCTACCTCGTTCTCCTACTGGTGGACATGGCTATCCTGAAATGGACTTCGGGCTCTAAGACAGAGGAAAACGTTAAACCGGGAGGGGGAGGGGCGAAATTAGAGTCAGCTGAAAAAGCCCCCCAACCTACCCCACTAACACCCCCAAAAACATTACCACTAAGACCAGGCCGAGACTCACGCACAGAGAGTTTTATGGTAGTGCCTGGCATATAAGGTGTAAGTGGTTACATAAAATTGTCGGGATTGAGGCGGTGTTTGAGGGGGGATCTAGTTGGTACAGGAAAGATCCAGTTCTATTTGCGGCTGTTGGCCGTGCAGGTCGGATAAACCAATAATCGTTCCTGCTCCATACACCCAGAACATGGCTGGGCCTTTCATATACTATGCCCTACGTAGCCAAATGAGCTGGAATCTATAGGAAGCTTATGTCCGGTAGTGCAACCTGTCGTAGCAGAGTTGGGGCACTTTCAATAGCCTGACTTATAGTAGCTCCTTCGCACAAGAACAAATACATCTTTACGCCACTACTTGGGTACTCCGGTAACGTACTGTGCTGTACTGTACTCTTAATAATAAGTTTAGCTCAAGGGCCACACACTGGCGGGCATTGTTACTGTACTGTAATGGAACTGCGTGTTTACCTGTCTGCAGTCAACTTCGAAAAAGGTGTCCTCTAGGGACTAGGTGAATTGTATTACGCGTAAGGACCCCTTGTCAGGGTTAAGGCTATAAAAGTATATCACTTTATATAAGGCAATTGCTACACCGGCGTGAACGAATGGCTACACCGGCGTCACTCTTATACAGGCGTCGCTTTTACGGCCTTTGATTGGTCCATCCCTTTTTGTTAGTGCATTTAGATTCTGCCAACAGCGCCCGTTGTACCTCGGGCTTACCTCTCCACCGCAACGATCGACGCGCCTTATGGAAGCTCTTCACCAGCTAGCTACTACACTAATTACCTCTTTGCCGCATGTCGAGCCTACTTAGAATGATTTTCGCGAAAGATACGGTATTTGTTAAGGTCACAGGGCTGGAGTGAGGTGTGTTGGACCCCTGCTGAGACCAAAACTCGAACACAGGCTGTATCAGATCGCGCCAACAGCCTCATCTAGAATCGGCATCGCAAAGCAGGTCTTTACTTTCTGCCCGAAATGAGACCCTTCTTTCCTTCTTTCATAGTCGAATCAAGTACTCTTTTACTCATCTTCTCACCGTGCGTGCGACACTCCCTATCGCGATCGAGGCCGTCATGTCCCAGCCCGAGTCTCCATCTAGCTCCCTAAGCAACCAACGACGACGAAGCTATCAATTCCGGCCTCGAAAACGACAGCGGCAGGACCAATCTGATAGTTCAAGACCACCTTCCTCTAATAGCACAGGCACGAGCATTGGCCGACACTACGGCGTCGGCGACGATGAAGCACTCTATAATCTTTTCGCCTCATATCCAGAGACGTTGACGACCGCGCCACGGCCCCGTGGATCGCGCGGGCTGAACGAGCCACCATGGGGGCTACGATTCGATCAAGAGATTCACCTTTCGAACGATTTCCCATCCCAAGGAAGACGGTCCCAACGAGTTAGAATCCCTATACCAGGCCCAGAAACGGACCAACTACCTCGCTCCTCTCCACCGCAATCAGTACAAGAGCATCCCTCTCCCACCAAGGCCGAGTTTCATTCTGTTCTCAAGCTAGTACGCGAGGTGATTGGGACACACCGGAGACTAACCCTCGAGCTCGTCCGGTCATACGAACAAGTCCGCCAATGGCGTGAGAGATGGGGTTACTCGCCGCTTAGTTCAGATGCACTCGAATCACCTCCGCCCTACTCGCCTCCCCGAGACAGGCACTCTCCGACTATAGCTTCACCGCCCTTGCCCGACCTCTCGTCATCGCCTGTCCCTGACGGGATCCCGAACCCAGCTATCCCAGGCGACCCAGCGCCGTCAGCCGAAGTCCTGTTCGAGTGGGTGAATACTTTCGCGAAGGCTAATGGCTTCGGTATTGTTCGACGAAATGCACATTCATATAAGGGTCGGAGGATCCGGTACACTTTTCAATGCGATCGATTCGGAGAACCAGCCCCTAGTCAAGGCGCAGGACTTCGACGACGGAAGTCTCGAAAGTGTGGATGTAAATGGATGGTTGTTGCCGAGGCGTTAGAAGAGGGGAAGTGGCTCTTACGACAACACTCGAAGCCCGAACACAGCCAGCATAACCACGGCCGCAGCATCGGGCCATCTGCTCATCCCTCCCATCGGAGACTCACCGAGCCTATCAGGACAACGGTCGAATCGACAAGCCGTCGGGTCGGAATTCGGGCCCGTGACGTACGTGCTATCGTCCAGGAGCAGCATCCCGAATCATCCTTTACACGGAAAGACATCTATAACGCCAGATCTCGTATCAACCGAGACAAGCTGGATGGCCATACTCCTACTGCAGCACTGATCAAGCTGCTTGACGAGATGAAGGTTCCCTATCTCGTTAAGTGGGGAGACGATGAGCCAAACCGTCTTGTTGGCCTTGTCTGGACATTTCCTTACTGCCTCCAGATGTGGAAGCGGTTCCCCGAGGTGATCAGCTTCGACAACACATATAACACGAACCGCTTCAAGCTTCCCTTATTCCAAGCAACGGGACAGACATGCCTTGGCTCTGTCTATAACGCTGCCTTCGGTCTGATAGATAACGAGAGGAGAGAAGGGTTCCAATTCCTCTCCGAGAGCATTCGACAGCTAGCAGAGCAGCACTCCATCCGGCGACCGGATGTGATCGTCACCGATTTCGACGACCAGATGAAAGCCGCATTGAACGACCAGTTCCCCGATGTACAGCAGCAGCTGTGCATCCACCACATCAATTCGAACATCCTGCTTAAGTCAAAGCAGAGGTGGGTTAACGCCCGCAGCAGCAGCAGAAGTAGCCCTGGTACCAGCGACGGAGAGGCAACTACCCCGCAGCCACAAGCTCAACTAACCCCTCAAGACCGAGAGTTGGTTCACACGCCAATAACCGAGGCTATCCCTCATAACTATCGAGGAGTTCTCATCATGTGGAAGCTCGTCTTATTTGCTGAGACGGAGGAGGCCCACGACGAGGCATGGGCAAACCTCTGTAAGGAGTTTGATGACCAGCGAGCTATCCTGCGGTATCTCCATGGAACCTACATGCCCGTCAGGGCCCAATGGGCCCGCTGTTTCATCCGGAAGTATCGCAATTTCGGGGTCCGTGTCACCTCTGGTACAGAAGCAAGCAACAACAACATCAAGAGCTATCTTCTGAATGGTATGAGCAATCTTTATCGCCTTTTTGAGGCTATGCAGGACATGATGAAGGACCAAGAGCGGGATTTCAACGATGCCTGCGCAGCGGATGAGGTACTTACCGCACGAGAGTATATGGGGTCCAGCTCGGAGTATCTTGGCGAACTCCGAATAGCGCTCTCTTCGAAGGGTCTCGGACTGATCACGAAACAATATCGGCTGGCAAGGAAAGCAATGCCGACAGGAAAGAATCCGTTTCCTGACCCTCTCGGGGATTGCGGCGAGGAATGCTCGGTTTCGACCGAACTTGGAATCCCCTGCTGTCACACAATCTACTCAAAGCTGGGAAGTGGCACGCCTTTCACCAAATGGGAGGTCCATCCTCGGTGGCGCCTACGAGAGCCATCCTCTCGAGATCCATACCGACGAATCCTCGACCCTAAGATCGCCACTGCTCTCCGGGGCAGACCTAAGAACACCACGCAGGTTGTTCCAGCGCGGCTAGCCATCGGGGCAAGCAGCCAGCCCAGTAGCCAGCCAGCCAACAAACCAGCAAGCAAGTCACCACGGCGCAGACGTGGTCGACCACCGGGAAGTCTCAACAAGTCAACGCTAGCTAGGCCTCCACTGGAAGTGAGCCAACAGACCAGCAGCCAGGCTAGTAACCAGGCCAGTACCCCATCCCAGCGCCAAACGCGCAGCCGGTCAGTTGTTCTTGGAGCTGGAAGAACTACAGGAGTACGTGCCAGCGGGCGGCAGACGCAGCCTAGCATTCGTAGGCGAAGGAGTCAGTGGGAGCTGCTTGACAGCGACGAGGAGGTACTTCCCTCGATAGTAGTGAGAGGATAGCGATATGGAGAGCTGGCATCTAGAGCATACTTGAATTGGTCTTGTTCTGCAGATCTTGTTATGAGCTCGATTTAGACCTGGGTTGACCCTATTGGTTCTTTACCGAAGCTGAGGGACTTGTTAAGGGAGCTGGCTTCACCGCCTTTGCGCCGATGTACCTGTGGGTCGAAGGAAAAAAGAGCGAATCAGAGGCCATGGAAGTGACGCCTGTGTAAGAGTGACGCCGGTGTAGCCATTCGTTCACGCCGGTGTAGCAATTGCCTTATATAAATATAACGTAATCCACAAGCAAGCGGGTCACACAAGCGACCGGGTCATATTCCTGCAATTCTCAATTACTCCTCTTCTTTCCTTAATTTCTCCACGAACAAGTATGCCACGACAATCAATTGAATCAGAGATCATTCTCGCGCTAAATGCGCTTCAATCAGACCCTAAATTAAGCGTACGAAAGGCTGCATCGATATATAAGGTATCACGTACAACACTACAACAACGATACCACGGCCGCTCTGCGAAAGGCGATACCCGACCACGTAACCAGAAATTGACCTCGTACGAAGAGGACAGTATCGTACAATACGTAATCGACCTAGATTCGCGATCGTTTCCGCCGCGGCTTAGTGGTGTTCGAGAAATGGCGGATCGACTCCTCCGCGTACGCGACGCGCTACGCGTCGGAACGAACTGGGCCTCAAACCTCGTACGACGACGACCTGAGCTCCGTACGCGTTTAAATCGAAGAATCGACTACCAGAGGGTCCTCTGCGAGGATCCGGACGCGTATCACGCGTGGTTTAAGCTCGTACGAAATATAGTCGCGAAATACGGGATCCACGATGACGATATCTACAACTTCGACGAAACGGGCTTCGCGATGGGCAAAATCTCCGCCGAAACTGTTGTTACAACCTCCGATCGACGCGGGAGGCCAAGAGCCGTACAACAAGGGAATCAGGAATGGGTTACAGTAATCCAGGGTATCGCGTCGTACGGCTATTCAATCCCGCCATATATCATCTTCGCCGGGAAGGTCCACCTCGACTCCTGGACCGCGAATAGCCCCCTACCGCCCGACTGGGTAATCGCGCTTTCTGAAAACGGTTGGACGACGAACGAGAGAGGCCTAGAATGGGTAAAACACTTCGATTTCCATACAAAGAGTCGTACGAAGGGTGCCTACCGCCTCCTTATCCTCGACGGCCACGAGAGCCACCATTCCGTCGATTTCGAGCTCTACTGCAAAGAACAGAATATTGTTACCCTCTGTATGCCTGCTCATTCGTCGCATAAGCTCCAGCCTCTCGATGTTGGGTGTTTTGGACCTCTGAAACGGGCGTACGGTAAAGAAATCGAAGGTCTAATGCGGGCGCACGTAACCCACGTTTCAAAGGAGGACTTCCTCCCAGCCTTTTATAAGGCGTACGACACTGCAATGACCAAATCAAACATCCAGGCAGGCTTTAGAGCGATAGGCCTAGTACCGTACGACCCGGACTATGTAATTTCACAGCTAGATATAAAGCTTCGTACGCCGACACCACCAGGTTCTGCTGGACTACCACCCCCCTGGGTCTCAAAGACGCCGAATAACCCGATTGAGGCCGAATCGCAGACGGAGTATCTCAAAAATCGCATCGTACGACACCAGAATAGCTCACCGTCGTCTATAGTCGTAAGCCTTAAGCAGCTTCATAAAGGGATGGCGATGATGGCACACGAGCAGGACCTTATGCGCCATGATATCGCCGAACTTCGAGATGCAAACGACCGCCTCAGCCGCCGTCGTCGTACGAAAAGAAAGCAGCTACAGAAAGGAGGGTCCCTCACGATTGATCAGGCAAAGGATTTGAAGGCTCAAATCGATGCGACGCAGCAGTTAATGGCGGAAACGAGTCAGAATAGTGGTCGTACGAGGAGGCCCGAAACGCGCGCGCGACGATGTGGCGTCTGCGGCGAGCCTGGCCATAATGCTCGTACGTGTCAGAAAGTTGTATCTGCCTCTGAAGAAGAGGATTCCTCATAGTTTCAATTGATTTAAGGCGTTATGGTTAATTTGACTTATATATTATCATACGAGTGCGTAGAGGGTGGGCGGGTCGCTTGTGTGGGCGGGTCGCTTGTGGATTACGTTATGTAACTAACTGATACTGTAAAAATGCATATTTCACGAAGTGGGGACATTCTAGCCGTGATGGATCTCTTTCAACCCCCAGTTTGGCATTCAACCCACGCTATCCACATCACCAGCACAACTTCTGAGACCAAAAAGCCGATCACATGCTGGACCTTAGGGATTGGGTGAGTTTTTGCAGAGTTGAAGTGCTTCATCAAAGACCTTAGTGGAAAGAGGAGGATTTCGCCCCAGTTCACTTGTGGTGCGTGCAGACGGTGGTTCGAGGCAGGCGAGCGCGAAAGGTCATTTCCAGAATGCAGACAGCACAAATCAGGCCCTATGAAAATGCGTTGCCAAATATTGGAGCCCTATCACTATTCACTACGCAGCGCGACCCATTTACTAATATCACGGACAAAACGACGGGCGACTCCAATCTTCACCCCTTTCTCCATGAAAGACCCTGCGTCTTGATCCTCAAACACTTGCTCAAAGTCGAGGCAAGGCTCCATCATGACGAGATAGATTTTGTGGAACTCCTGCTTAATATATAGGTGTTCCACTTGCAGACAAGGCCAGTCGCAATAGTCCTTCACTCTGATGTCTCGTAGGCCGGGTATCTCAAGAGAAACGGCAGACGATAAAGGTCTGCTGAGAGACGTTGACGCCGCCACAGAAACAGCTACGGATTCTGGAGCAGGAGAGAGCCAGGCCCTTGGCATGATATTTGTGATGTTAATCGATGGGCGGTTGGCCCGAGATGTTGCCTTTTGCTGCCGTGCTTCTAAACGTTGTTGATCCTCTGCAAACAACTGCTCACGGAGGCTACTAGGCACATCGTCATGGCAAAGTAAAGTGCCACCCTGCTCAACATGCTCAATCAGCGCTTTGAAGTGGTGTACTCTCAAGCGGTATCGCTTCGTGGTGTCCCTATCCTGCCAGCAGTACGGCCCGACGTGGCAGGCCGGACCTAGGCAGCGAAAGGTCGCATACACCTGTTGGCAAATTGATGGCTGCCCACTGGAACCTTCCTCGCCAACAATGCACATGTCACGTTGAGCGAGCATTCGTTCTGAAAAATACGCGAAGCCTCGTTTGTTTCCACCCTTGTATGTTACACCAGCAGCTGCACTTGTTCAGATATAGTAGAGTTGTTATCAGGGTATACAGTAGTAGGCCTGATCATTCCCAGCAGGCTTCCGCTTGATGCGTGCTTTGCCTACTAGTGTACTTGATTGGAATTCTCCGCATGGTGAGGTTGGTGCAGTTGTCGTTGAAGAAATTGGCGATTGAAGGTGTTCTGAGCTGGGGAGAAATTGTTGCGTGGGAAGGGGCTGAGAAAGTTTCTCGGCCGGGCGAAACTTTCGCGGTCGGGCGAAACTTTCGCGGTCGGGCGAAACTTTCGCGGTCGGGCGAAACTTTCGCGGTCGGGCGAAACTTTCGCGGTCGGGCGAAACTTTCGCGGTCGGGCGAAACTTTCGCGGCCAATCAGAGCGCTCAAAAAGGCGGGGCGCCAAGCCGGAGCAAGTAAACGGCTCCGGCGGTGCACGCGACCTTGACCTGCTTGACGGCCTTCTGTGGCGGCGAATGTCGGAAAGTATACACTAGTGCTGATCAGTCAGTCAGAGTTCTATCTTGCCGCCGCCGACGTTCTCCTCCTTGGTGTTATTCTCTGACTGCACAGCCAGACGCAACCTCATTCTGATCTACTGTACCTACAGGCCTACCCAACCAGCCTAGCCTTGTGCCGGCTCGCCTTGCGGCGCACAGAGGGCGCATCCCTGCCTTGGCGCCCCGCCAAGTTGCTATGATCCAGGAGCCTTCCCCGAGGTGACCAGCAGTGGGATAAGAGGACCACCTTTGAGTGCAACTGGTCTGCACTTCATGTTCCTGCCCGAGCACTGGTGATTTGAGGATCATCCTGGTACACAGCCACCACCATGCCACGCCATGCGCACGGGGCACATTCCCCAATCCGGCATTGAGACGTCTACTTGACATGCCAGGGGAACGAAGTGGCATCTCAGTAGATATGGCGACTTGCGCGATGACGGCTGAAATACAAGCGTGAGGACTACATAGTAGAAGTTTCGCCAGCTGGCCCACCCCAGCGACCTAGAGGATCGAAATTTTGGAGGCGCGGGCGTCGACCTGCTCCGTGAAGTGGACTGCGGTAGCCCAGAAGGAAGGGGACTTGAGGCCGGCCTCATTGAGCATGACGGCCGCCGAGGGCCGGCTGGGTCGGAATATCTGGGTCGCTATTTAGGTCGTCTTTGCAGCTGGCCTGGCTTTCGCGGGTGAACTGCTGTCGGTCATCTCGGGCGGAGCGTCGCCACGAAGCGCGGATCGGGTATGGACAGGTGTCGGATAGCATCGTGATTGATTGCGATGATGCGAACCATGTCGCGCAGGGCAATGTCTACGTGGCCATTCTAACTTAGTAGCCAGGCACATAGCCATAGTGCCTCTACATGGTAGCCACATGAGACATTGGATCACATACAGATGAGTCATCCAGCCTCCGTTCCGGTACTCAGGAGTTCCCACAGTCCCATACCTACCGTTCAAGGCATGCGGTGAATTGACGACGGCACGAAGCTCGGCGGTGGCCAGTCTATGTCCAGTCTTGGCCATAAACTTATCAGAGGCCCCTCTAACCGCACTCGATCCCGTGAACATGTATAGATCCGGTATGCTCATCTACATCCTAACTTTATATCGCTTTTTGCCAAAAGCGGCATGTTGTCCCTTGCGAGTCTTAAATGGAATGAGGACGAGGCGACCGCTATTTGCGGTCCATAGACTGCACACCTACACCTAATATTGCTAGAACACTGTGGACTCCCGTTGCTTGTTGACCACGCCTTTCTCTGAGCATGGTCTCGCTGGAGGATTAGGAGGCCAAATACGCCTTATCATCGCCACCAAAAGCGGCCGGTCGAAATCAAGATTAATATGGTTATAAGTTCTCGAGCGATTGCGGAGGCTCCGCCGTGCAAGATATGGACTTTGACTTCGGCCGCTCGGCCAGATAGGTGTACAACTATTTGGTGGCGAGACTCTCGTTTGCTATAGTATTGTGTATATTTGTGCATGACCTCTACGGACACCGAATTCGAATGCGACTGTACTATAGTACTGTAGTGTATCCTGCTCCTTTTACCGAGCAGCCCTGTACAGTACTGTATGTATTATCACATGCTGCCGCCTCTTCCCCCCCCGGGGGGGGGGGCACACGCGCAACCAAATGTTTTGTCTTTTCGTAGTTACAACAACAGTTTGGTCCACTACTAGGCTGTGATTAAATAATACTACGGACGGGAAGACGAAACCTTAAAAGTCACCTATACATCACACCTTCCCAGCCTCTCTACTCGGCTTCATTACCGCATCATCCTACGTCTCATCTGTATAGCTACCAGAGTGCTGACGCGTTCAGACTTGGACTGAATCTTAATCAGCATTATCATGGCAGTGCCGCGGCCGTATGAAGAACTAGGTGTGGAGTGGAAAGGAGACGATGATCGCACGCTTACGAACATCACAGTCATCGCATGCAACGCCGCAACTATTGACGCTGAAATCGCTGATGACAATGGTGACTATCCTTGGGGAATATCCTTGATTTTTATCATTGTTGCCTTGGGTTTGAGCATTTTCTTGGTAGCACTCGACATGGTAAGAATCCTAACCACCCATTCGACCCACGTGGTCTTTACGAACGGACCGGAACCGCTGAGAAATAGAGCTAACAAACCAAGTAGACAATCGTCGCCACAGCTATTCCAAAGATGACAGACGAATTCAGTGGTCTTTCCGATGTTGCCTGGTACGGCTCTGCCTTCTTCATGACCATCGGTGGTTTCCAGTCGGCATGGGGCAAGGCTTACACGTACTTTGATCTCAAAACCACTTTCCTTGTTGCCATGCTCATCTTCGAGATTGGTAGCCTGTTTTGTGGCGCTGCACCAAACTCTGCTGCCTTCATCGTAGGACGCGGCATCGCCGGTGTTGGTGCTGGGGGCCTCAGCTCTGGCTGCTATACACTCATTGCATTTGCCGCCGAACCCAGAAAACGTCCATTGTTCACCGGGATCATGGGTGCTTCTTACGGAATTGCCTCTGTCGCCGGGCCCCTTATTGGAGGTGCCCTCACCGACCATGCCTCCTGGAGATGGTGCTTTTATGTCAACTTGCCCATTGGCGGTCTCTCAGGAATCGTCATCCTCTTATTCTTTACCGCACCAAGCAAATCAAAGCCAGTAGCGGCTTCTCTTCGAGAGAAGCTCCTTCGAATGGATCCAATCGGTATCGTCCTGGTTATGGGAGCGACTATCGCTTTCATCTTGGCTGTCCAGTATGGTGGCCAGAGCCACTCGTGGGGTTCAGACACCGTCGCCGGCCTCCTTGCAGGATCTGCTGTCGTTATTGTCGTCTTTATTGCCTGGCAGGCGTATAACGGCGAGCGCTCCATGATAGTTCCGCGCATCGTCAGGAAAAGAACTGTCTGGGTCAATGCACTCGGCGGCTTCTTCCTGAGCTCTGCCTACCTCATTATCGTCTACTATCTGCCAATTTACTACCAGAGCATTAATAACGATTCTCCAACCACGTCCGGATTACGCAACATTCCAATTATTCTTGCCGTCACCTTTGCCACCATGTTGTCGGGCGTGCTCATCTCGAAGACTGGCATCGCAATACCGCTCATGGTGGTTGGTTGTGCCATTGGGATGATTGGTACAGGGCTCATGTGCACTCTTAGGCTCGGCGCGAATGGGAGCAGATTGACTGCGTACCAGATTCTCGCCGGAGCTGGTTTTGGTCTCGCTATTCAAGTCCCAATGATTCATGCCCAAGGAAATGCTGCAACTGAGGATCTGGCTTTGACTACATCCACCATTATGTGTAATAACATATTCTCAAACTCCTTCTACTTACCCGCGTACCTGAGGACTAACAATTACTTTTCGCTCAGTTTTCCAAACCCTTGGTAGTGCGCTTCTTCTCTCGGGCGCGCAATCAGCCTTTGCGAATGAGCTGCTGGTCAAGCTCAAAGAATATGTGCCGACATCCTCTCCGGAGATGGTGATTGCCACAGGCGCGACACAGATCCAGACGGCTTTCCCCGCCGCCCAGGTCACCGGTATCCTGCAGGCTTACATGGGAGGAATCAACATTGTTTTTGCCATCTCAACCACGGCGGTCGGTTTGGCCTTCGTGACTAGCTTGGCCAGCTCGTGGAAAAGGCTGGGTGTGGAGTCGTTCAAGGTTGTGTGCGGTGCCGCATGAGGTGGGCGACAGCTCACCCACTCGGGGTCGTAAATGGCGTTGTTGAGCTGGTGGAAAGGGTGTCCTATCTGAAGGCAGTCTAGTGTAGCTAATTGGACGCGATGCACAAGCCACAATAATAATGCAGGTTCGTGTATGCATTACAATTCAGAAGGGCTCTCCGTCTGTTATCATGCCCCGTCTTTAGCCCCATCAAGACCTTCAATAACGCCGCCCGAGATCGAAAAGCTCGATTGTCATACTGGTAGAACCCTGAAGTGGTATGATAGTGTACCGATCTCGAATCAAAAGGTAGAAGAGCCCGGTCTGGACGGCATATGTATATCTCCTCGCGATAGATTTACCTTAGGGCGAGGGGCATCTGAGCCTTAATAGACGGGTCATGGGATCTGGTGGCTTTGGGGAGATGGATGATTTGAAAGGCTGATGCGTTGCTTCCAAAGATCCACCTTATTTGACGTGGCAAGTCCAATCAAGCTTCCACTACACGCAAGTAGCAGGCGACCTAAACCCTATCATACCATTGCTAATCAGCCGGCGTACGTAGCCGGCGATGTCCACACCTACGACATGTGCCCGATGCAGATTCCATGGGTCGAACTCACAATTAGGCTGCCAGCAGGTGAGAGTAGAGCCCTGACCGTGACCAAGTCTCTTGCCATACCCGGCTTTCTGTGAAGACAGGCAGAGCGCCGACTAATACGGGCAGCCAACATGGTTATCTTCTGACCAAGGCAATGACTTGAAAACAAGTGCCTGCAGCTCCAGCTAGCGCTCCTAGCGTTAAAAGTCATGCGATACCTTGGCGCTCTCGCAAGTCTCGCTGTTGTCGGACCTCAAGTAAGCATTCGAAGTGCCATGATGAGACTGGGAAGCATAAGTCTATTTGGTCCATGCGGCTATGGACTTGCTGGATCAGCCAAGAACGCTTCCATCGACGACGGACCGTGGGCCATCTTTTAGATGACTAAAATCGGTGATCAGATGCATTACAGTCAGATTCGAAATTGGTGTCCAATAGAGACTACGTAAAGTTTATAGTAGTAAACTTATCTTATGACAGCTCGGAGTCTTTAGGTGTGCTATGGCAGTTCAGATTTGTCACGAGCTTCTAAGCATAGTTTTGGCATTAAGATAGGCATTACGGGATATTTGCTCTCAAGAACTCATTCATTTTAATGAGACTAGGACCAGTGAATTCACATAAAATAGGTATGCATTCGACCTCTTCCAGCAGGATTGTCACCTGACGGAGTGGGTCCTGCGCTACTCATCTCTTCCCCTAAAGGTAAGTAAGATCAGAGATCCCCATTGTTCATCCAACACGAAGCTTTGCACATTTGATAACACCATTTTCTATGTTATGTACCCAACTTGAGAGCTAGTACTAACACGTCTCATCACAAGGGCAGACTATAATGGATAATCAAGATCATTCTAGTACACCAACTGCCTCTATAGATAGCTCCATAGCGGGCCACCTCAGTCACTTCAGGGAAAATAGTGACTGTATTATCGATATAACATCGGGAGGGCCCGCAGCAGGCAAGCTCGGCGAGAGCTTTAACTCCAAAAGCGTATCGAAAATCAACGAACTCGGTGGGTTGCCTGCGATTGAGGCTGCTCTCGACAATATACATAAAATAGGTCTAAGTCGGTCGTATAAGGATGGCCGAATACCAAGAAGGGACAGCAAGAGCTTTTGGAAGTTCGTATTAGACACATGTAACGACAAGGCCTTAATGCTGTTGACGATTACCGTGCTAACATCGTTGGTCATTGCCCTGTACCAGAAATTCACTGGACAACATCAGGTCGGCGATACATCGGCGCGGTGGACTGAGAGCATGGCAATCATCGCCGCCGTTGCTGTCGTAATTGTCACTGGGTCATTCACTGACTGGCAGATGGAGCGACATTTCATTCGGAGGATGGCCTATAGAGTTCTTCATCTCAAACCAGGGGATGTGACCGATGTTGATGGCTTACTGCTTCGGGGAACCGGAGTTCAATGCGACGAGTTCGCAGCGACGCATGAGGCTGGTTTCTTCCCAAAAGACTCCGCAGAAAAGGTGTCAGCGGATGTAAAGGAGGGTAAGGTTGTAATAGAAGCAGACTCCTTCATTCATTCCGGCAGTCGCGTTATGAATGGGGAAGGCACTCTTCTGGTCACTGGGACAGGGCATCTCCAAGTCACACTCCTCCAATCAAAGCTGAATGAAATTGCCGAACGCATTGCCAGACTCGTTGGCGTAACTAGTTTTGTCCTGCTTGTCACCCTGCTCGTTACTTTTTGCACTAAACTCCCGCAGAATACGGGTGCAGCATTATCAAAGGCCCAGGAAGTCTTAGACATCCTTATTGCCGTCATTATATTTATAATCGTGGGAGTTCCGCAAGGGCTCCCGTTGGCGCCCACGATGGCACTCGCGTTTGCCATTCCAGGAATGCGCGGAACTAATAACTTTGTTCGTTATCTGAAGGGGTGCGATGTCCTGGGAAACGCCACGACTATTTGCTCTGGTGTGGCTGGTATAGTTTCTCGGAGCAAGAGTATAGTGGTAGCTGGAACAGTGGGTAATGGTTTTCGCTTCGAGCGCTCCAGAACCGCAGCTTCCGAGAAATCAGCTCAAGAGTTTACACCTCAACAAATTGCTTCCGAACTTGCCAAGGACACTCAAGACCTACTACTGAAGTCCATCTCGCTCAACTCGACAGCTTTTGAGGGCGACGTAGATGGGGTCTCTACTTTCATCGGATCAAAGGTGGAGACAGCACTCCTCATGTTCGCACGAGAATTCCTCGCACTGGACTCTGTCAGCGAAGAGCGCGTCAATGGCAAGATTCTGCAGCTCATTCCTTTTGACTATGGCCGGAAGTGTATGGGTGTGGTCGCGCAGCTAGAAAATGGGAAGGCCCGCCTGTACGTGAAGGGCGCCTCGGAGATCCTTCTCAGTAAGTGCACACGGCTGCTGAAGAGCCCGGATCAAGATAGCAGCAGCGGCCGCCTTAGAGCCAGCGACATTGAGAGCATTGATGCACTCATCAAGGGATATACCTCACGATCTCTGACTGTCATTGGCCTCGGGTACCGCGATTTCGACATTTGGCCCCTACCAGAAGCCCGACGTAGTGAGGACAACAGTAGTGACGCTGTATTGGAAGAAGTGTTCACAGAAATGTGCTTTATTGGACTTGTTGCAATCCAAGAACCCTTAATAGCTGGCGTTCCTGAAGCCGCCAGGGACTGCCAAAGAGCTGGCGTGTTTTTGCGCTTAGTCACTAGTCACGAGAAGCTCACCGCTTGCGCTATTGCCAAAGAGTGTGGCATCCTTCACGACGAGGGAATTGCGATGGAAGGCCCAGAGTTCCTGAAGCTCGACAAGGAGGAGCAGAACAAAATCATTCCCAGCCTGCAGGTGCTTGCAAGTTCTAGCTCCAAGGAGAAGCAAATCCTGGTTGAGCGACTAAAGGATCTTGGTGAAACTGTTGCTGTTATTGGTGAGGATACCAAGGATGCGTCAGTGCTGAATGTTGCGGATATCGGTTTCTCCATTGAGGGGCCCGGAGCCGGCATTGCCAAGGAGGGCTCTGGCATACATTCTGTGGCTAGCAATTTTCCAAGCATTGTTGAGGCTCTGAAGTGGGGTCGAGCTGTCAGCTACGCGGTTAAACGCTTCCTACAGTTCCAACTCACAGTCACCATTACAATCGGCGTCCTCGTATTCTTCACTGCCGTAGTCAGCGCTCACCAGAAACCACTGTTCACCGCTGTGCAACTCCTCTGGATCAACTTGGTCAAGGACACACTCGCCGCTCTTGCCCTGGTAACAGATCCACCTCAGAACAGCATATTAGATCGTGCCCCTGACCGGAGGGGATCTAGGATCGTTTCTTCAGCTATGTGGAAGATGATCATCGGTCAGACTATCTATCAACTAGGTGTGACATTCTCGCTTAGGTACACCGCGACACGGCTCGCGGTAGTTGAAGAACAAGAATATATACATGCGCTTGTCTTCAACACCTTCGTTTGGATGCAAATCTTCAATTTGTGGAAGTAGGTGAAATCATAGATCGATGGCGCTAATTGAGCTGACCTTGCCTATAGCAATCGGCGACTTGACAATAATTTAAATGTCTTCGAGGGTCTGACAAGGCATTGGTTGTTCTTTGGAATCAACGCGATTTTGTGCGGAGGTCAGGTTCTTATTGTCTTTTTCGGCGGCACTCCCTTTTCCATTCCGACCACTACCTCTGAGGGCCGACTTCCTCAGAGTGGTCTTCAGTGGGGCATCGCTATTGGGTTTGGTCTTGCCTCCATCCCAGTGGGTGCCATGATACGTTGTTTTCGAAACCGATTCGTCTGGAGCTGCATCCGAGGGATTTTTGAGCGCCGGGACAATTCGGTTCACCATTCTATAGCCTTGGACGAGGAGAAGTCCAACAGGAACAATACACACTTCGGAGATGTCAGTAATGACCTGAGATTCATCAAGTTTAACGGCGGCCGCCTCAAAAACTTGGAAGCGTTTGCTAACCCTGCAAAGGGTCTGCAGGAACCCGTTTCTTCTTTGGGAACTCCTATGCCGGTACATGCGAAGCCATGTCCCTCAGCTACAGCATCCCATCAGGGCCCGCGACACGATTGGTCGCGGTCACAATCAACATTGACAGGAATCACCCACGAACCTTGCAAGACTGCTGAAGCTGTCCGCATGACAAGGCCGACTGTCCAACAGGTCCCGGGCCCGCGGCCAGTTCCCGCCGCGGTACTTAGCAGCCAATCTGCCGGCAAAATAGCCGTTATCGATACTATATCTAATCTATCGACGGACTCTTCTCCGCAAAACGAGGGTACAGACAGTGGCTCACTCACACGCCCGAAGTTACCTTTGATGCGGCAAATCGGAGGCTCTTGTAGTATCAGTAGTCAACATGACCCACCTTGTCTGGGGAAACTGCCTACGTTTTTAACGAGTCCACTTCATCGGGATCAAGACGGAGAAGTTGTAGGACCAGGACGGGCACAGCCTACTGAGGAGCAAGAGCAAATTACAGAAAGTGGAGATAAATTGAAACCGAGTCACATTGAGCTCCCAAAATTGTTTCAACAGTGGAAGTTCGATGATCTTAGGCGGGAATTTGGGATTCCATTGGACAAGCCCAATATTAAGGCTCACACCTAGAACCAGGCTCAAAGATAATTTTCACGAGTAGCTTAACTGTAGGTATCCTTCATTCTGGTCGATCGTTAAATAATTTCTAGTAGCGGGGCTTTGTGATGATGTACCGCGCCGCGTTGGTCGAAGGTCGCCTATCAATAACACGATATACTATGCCTAGCTATTAGCTCTAGAGATAGGGTTTCCATAGTTCCGCCGAGGGAGCATTAATATCTTTAATAAGACATGTGAGTTTATGAATAGTATGAGGCGGAATGTCTTGGTTTACTACGTACTGTGTCAGGGCAGTGCGGGCTAGACTGATCAGGGGCATATTTGTACAGTACTACTTAAGGCTTGAAGCCACCGTGACGTTTTCCATAGCATGGAGCCAGATTTTTCATCACTCAGCTTCACCAATCCGACTTGATTTTTCCACCCCATTGAATTCCTACGCTTCTGCACCCGTTCTTGTACGCAATTGACTGACAATGCCATGATCAGAGATTCCCTCACAAGTGTCGCATCAACAGGGCGTTGTTGATGTGGCTGGCTCCCCCGTCGAAAATCTGCTTTGGCCCCTTATCTGGGAATGCCCTCACTCTGGCCCAGGGCCAGAGTGAACCTCGCCGGAAACACCGCCGAAACTGGCAAGCGGTGAACTCCCTTCGGTCGTGGTGGTTGTTTGTCCCCGATCAGGAGAACCCTCATCCGCCCCAGGACAGTACTTACGTAGTTCGGCTTTCCGATACTTAGTTGTTTTACGCTATCGCGGTCGTTTAATAAATACCTAACTTATACTTAGACAATTTATAACAAAAGGATAGGTTAAGGCGTAGTAATGCTATTTATCTTGCTAGCTAGTGATCCGTAGCTCATAGAATGCCAGCCGCGTGTACCAAGGTTATGAGTATATGCCAGTGCCCGGTTATAGAAGGCTTTGTAACGTCCATCCCTACATCGCGAGCCACCCTGCGTGCCGAGCCAAAATACAGGTACTTTACCTTTGACATAGACTCTAGTCCGCCCATACACGTGCAATTCCTCAAACTTGTTCGGAAGTTATAGATTGACCACATTCAAGCCACCTGATCCCTCGAAACCATCAATTGTAATCAGTGTCGGATCCCGAGCCCGTGATCCGAACCCACCGATGTCTCGAAGCATTTAAAGACATAGTCAATCGCACCCCACCACCATCTCCTCATCGTCCCTCAAAGTCATAAATGGACATCAATCGAGTCTCTGATTTGGATTTTCACTACGAAAAGTGATCAGCAGGTCCAACGCTGTTGTGGGACGATGATATTAGCAACGTCAACAAGTCGATCGGTACCTTTCCAGTGGTGGGTCTTCCCGTTTAGGCTAGCGTCAAACGTCAAGTTACGTGGGGCATGTACTGCTCGTACTGCCTGTGGCTGGTGCGTCTGTGGCTATTTGTAACTACTCAGTGGGAGGAGGAAAGGTCATTCGTGAATGTGCAGAATCAAATGATTTAATTAACAACTAGCAATACTGACTGCACATATTGACTGCGTTACCTCATTGCAGCCGTCTTTTCACTCAAAGATGCATAATGACCCTCGCAAGCTAACGTAGTAGGATGAGTTGGCCCTAACACTTTCCTGAATCCATTCAAGGCGGTGACATAAAGCTCGCCGGCTTCATCGACTCGGTTTTGCATATGGTAGAGGTAAGCGAGGCAGTGGATGCTCGTGAGTGTGTCTGGATGGTTCTTGCCCAGCGCCTTCTCATGACCATCAAGCGCCCGTCGGCTCATCGCCTCTGCCTCTTCGTACTCGCCCTGGTCCTGCAGCACTGTAGCAAGATTGCTGACGCTCGTGAGTGTGGAAGGATGGTGCTTGCCCAGCGCCTTTTCGCGACTATCAAGCGCCTGTCGGTTCATCGCCTCTGCCTCTTCGTACTTGCCCTGGCCCCGCAGCACAAGAGCAAGAATGCTGACGCTTGTAAGTGTATCGCTACTCTCTGCACCAAGAACTGCCTCTCGAACCTCCACTGCCTTCCAAAGCAATGCCTCGGCCCTCTCGTATCCTCCCACTTGCCACCCATACCATCCTGCGTTTGTCAATAACCGCGCCCATTCTGTCGCATCCTCAGCATCTGCAGGCTGCGTTTCTACAAGCTGCGCAATGTGAGGCTCAAGTTGCTGACACTTTGACCAGTTCTCATAACTCCCCGGCGGGTAATTCTCTGACATGATGTGCAGAAATGTCTGCTTCCATCTTGCCATATCACCCACTGACGAGAGCCAGGCTCGTGCACAAAACTGCACGAGTGCATGCATCTCATAGATACCTTGTTGCACGGTTACGGCCACCAACGAGTAATCTCGGAGCGTTTCTAGATCATCATCCAGACCGTCGTCATCATCGTCGTTGTCATCGTCGTTGTCATCATCGTTGTCATCATCGTTGTCATCGTCGTTGTCATCGTCGTTGTCATCGTCGTTGTCATCGTCGTTGTCATCATCGTTGTCACCGTCGTTGTCATCGTCGTTATCATCCTCGCAGTCCTCATCGTTTTCCTTCCGATAGTAGCTTCGCAGTACCCATTCCGGTATCTCCTGCGGGTCGAAAAGGCTCATGAGAGAGAGCAAGTCTGCGGCCGACCGCCGCTCCTTCTGGATCTGTTCGAACGTCATCTGCCACGTCACCACCACCGAGTTTGCCGCCGTGCCGTCGCGCCGAAGATCACCCAGATCTCGATTTAGCAGACTTTCCTTCTTTTTCTCATTCTTTCGAAAGTGTTCCAGGTACGTCGAGCACGACATCCGTGGCCATCGTCGGACAATATACGCGGCTGCCTGGGTGATTGCGAGAGGTATATATTCGAGCGCTTGAGCTAGGGCGGCGGCTGCCTCTTCGTCGTATTTGTCTCGAAGCTTTTTCTGAAGTAATTGCGTTGCTTGGTTCTCGTCCATCCGCTGGATGAAGAATATGCCCCAGGTGCCTGCCAGTCGTTCGGCCGCATCCCTGTTCCGTGATGTAATAAGGATCCTGCCATTCTTAGTCTGCGGCAGAAGCTGTGCGAGTGGTTGCTGCTTCGATGCAGTCGTCCCAGCCCGGTCGTGGCGCCTTGGAAAGAATACTTCGACATCGTCCGCATTATCCAGTATCATCAGCCAGTGTTCATTCTCGGCGCTGGACAACCAGTCATACACCAGCTGTAGCACATCGACCTTGGGATCATAGCGCTGCGGCAGCTGCAGTCGGTCCGCAATGACGCGATACGCCTCCTCAAACCGCGCTTGGGTGTCGGCGTGTACCCAGAGTACGTACGTGCTCGGCGATTGTTGTCGGGTTCGGTGCGCGTACTCGATCGCTACCTGAGACTTGCCGATACCTCCCAGGCCGACAAGGGCGGCACGGCTGCCTGGCTGCGCGAGGGTTGTATTCAGCCACGCAGTCACGTCTGGGCGCTCGACGAAATCGGCATCGGGAAGGAAAGGGACGGTCGAGAAGGGTTCGGGACGTCGCGATGTGGATTCTACAAGTCGTCAGTCTGTCGAGGCCCTTATCCTTAGGACAGGTGGCCTCACTTGGTTCGTGGAATGTAAAGTTCACGGTTCTTGCTGGTGCCAGTCGCTGTTGGGATGCGAGGAAATGCTCATCGCTCGCCCGAGGCTCTCTCGAGAAGAAGCCTGCAGTGCCAGGTCGGGGTCAGCTAACGCGGACTGGTCAAGGAGTGGGGAAGTCGAAAGGCTGTCACTACAGCTGCATACCTTCAAAGCCAAACCTCATCTCCACGTCGTGGACAGCCTCCCTCCAAAATTCATTCAGGTACATGATTAGCAGCTGGTAGTCGCTTTCATGCGTGCTGCGGAACTTGGGCAGGTCCGCGTGGTTCTGGTTCATCGGCATGTGGCTGTGCTTGAGGCCCGGCGGATAGCTGCCGAGCGCCGAGTCGCGCGTGACGAGCACCTCGGTCTTGCCCGTCAGCCTCCACTGGCCCGGTGCCTCCTCCTTGGCCGTCTTGCTCTTGAGCGTCTCGTACACGGAGACGACGCGCGACCCGGGCAATCAGAAGGCGTCTGAGAAGCGGCGATGCAGGTTGCGCAGGTAGTGCGACTCGGCAGCCAGGTTGCGGACGAGGCTCTCGTTGGGCTGGTTGTGGACGATGGGGAGCCAGTGCGAGATGTAGATCCCGCTATTGGGCACGCCAAAGAAGACAAGGCCGTACACGCACCGGGCGTTGATCTCGTCGTTCTCGGCCAGACGGCAGATGGCCTGCTCGGGTCAGCTTGCGTCTTGTGCGGTCCAAGGGGTCATTGTTGCTCGTACCTCTTTAACGACGAGTCCTCCCAGACTGTGCGCAATGAAGACGATGGGCTTCGGCTTGAAATCGATTTCTCCCTGTGATCTTTAGCATCTGCCTATTTTGTTCGAGTTCTACGGCGCTACCAACTCACCACCCGATGCGTGCGGATACGCGTGATTAAGTCGCCTAGCTTGCAGCCAATCTCGTCAATGTCCTGGAAAGACTCGCTCCTGACCAGCGACGTCTCGTATCCGTACAGGAGCGTCCGCACATTATGGGGCCGCCATGCCGCATCGTCCCGCAGCCACATGAAGCTGCCGCCCCTCTGTTTCCACGAGCCAAAGGGGTGGCTGCTCAGACCGCTTACAACAATGCAGCTGTTTTGTCTGTCAGCACGACCTTGCAAAAACGGCTCGCAAGACGTTGTTTCTCACTCAATCTTGTGGTCCACGTCATCCTTGACTAGGTTGAGCGGCGTGAAGCCTAGGAACGTCGTGTCAATCTCCAGCTCGATGTCTATCGTAGTGCCCTTGACCGACACGCGCTTCCGGATGCCCCAGCGATCACCGTAGCGAAGGGTCTCGGGCGTATTGGCAAAGGTGACAGTCGCCACCCTCTTGATGTTGCAGCCAAAGCTGAACGGGTCCAGTCCGAGTGAGTGCACCTTTGGCTTTGTTGACAGGCCGTCCAAGTCGAAGACCTCCTCCAAAATCTGCTCGGCCTCGTCGACGTCGATGCCGGGGGAACACCCTGGACCCGATACGTGGCATAATCGCTCAGGGCCATGGCATGCGTCTGAAGAATGGCGGAAGGTGTTCTTGTCAAGTCAAGTCCCAAGACCAGACGCCCACGCTCCAGGTCCACGCTGCCCTGGGAAGGCTACGGCTGAAGCGGGGTTCACATCGCGGGGGACAGGCTCGATAGGACGAATCGGGTCTGCTTGCAGGGGACCATCATGCCGCAGGGGTCGGACATTGGACCTCGATACGTTGCTGAGTCCCACACGCGTCTGCATTTGGGAGGCGGGGGCCAATGAATGACCCGCACCGTTGGCCCTCGTCAGCGACAGCCCAAGCACTAGCGGACAGTGGCAGCACAGAGGGACGACAGCTAGACTTGTGCTGGGTTATGCAAAGGGCAAGTGCGAATCGTTCGGGGAACTCTCGCCTCAGACGCCTCTGTCCTGCTGGTGCCTGAGCTCAGCTGCTTCAGCCCACAGTCGAGCCTTATGTTGATTGGCTGCTGTCCGGCTGGGTGTGCTCGGATCTCCCCCAAAACGAAGGAATGATCGCCCATCCAGCTGACCATCATTCCTGCCTAAACGGGACTTTCTGCCACAACGTGGCTGTGGCAGGGCCGCGATCGTGGCGCCACGATGGCTGCCAGCAGCAACTGTCATACACATGACTCCGCAGCTCCTTCCGTCCATTGCTTGCGTTCCTGTTGATTATATATATCTTGACAGGAACGTGTGATGGTAATCTGCGGGTTGGTGCGCAAATACGCTTTAAGGTGAGTCAATGCCTGCGCTCGTTGTCGGTGTGGCATACGGACAAGACAGTTTCGGCGTTCACTCCAATCCTGGCCAGCACGACATGCAGCGCCTCACTGGAAAACAAGTGCTTGGGCTGCCGGGTCCTGCAAAACTGGCATTTTCTTGCAGCTGCCGCCAGGTGGATTCGCAAGGTTGCCAACAGAAGTAGATGGGACGGATGAGGCTCTGCAAAGCGGGGTAACGTCTGAAGTCCAGATTGCTCTGGACTCAGCCGCACTCTTGATTGACACTCCTGCAGGACCTCGTTGACGGCGTCTCTTGCCAGTCATGTGTATGAAATCGTCAGTAGACAAATTTGTGGTTTGCATGACGCTCGTTGTTACAACTTACCCTCCGTTTTATCGTGGCTGAATTCGCACTTGCCGCGTCGATGGCCCCATCCACGACATTTGAGCGGATCGAGGGCCGGACCGTCCTAGCGGGGACCCTGAACGTCACGGTCCACGAACCGAGTGAGGGCCACCCCTCCTGCGAAACAGCAACAATCGGCAGACTGACGACTTGTAGAATCCACACCGCGACGCGCCGAACCCTTCTCGGCCGTCCCTTTCCTTCCCGATGCCGACTTTGTCGAGCGACCTGAGTAGTTATAAATAGCGACATACGTACCACCCACAGGCAGTACGAGCAGTACATGCCCCACGTAACTTGACGTTTGACGCTAGCCGAAACCGGAAGACACTCCACTAGACAGGTACCGATCGACTTGTTGACTTCATCAACATCACCGTCCCACAACAGCCTTGGAACTGCCGGTCACTTTTCGTGGTAAATATTCGAATCGGAGACTCGATTAATGTCTAGTTATGACTATGAGAGGCGATGAGGAGATGGTAGTGGGGTGTGATTGACTATGTCTTTAAATGCTTCGAGACAACGGTGGGTTCGGATCCCGGGCTCGAGATCCGACACTGATCAAAATTTATGGTTTGGAGGGGTCAGATGGCTTGAATGTGGTCAATCTATAACTTCCAAACAAGTTTTGAGGAAGTGCATGCGTATGGGCGGACTAGAGTCTATGTTAAAGGTCAAGTACCTGTATTTTGGCTCGGCACGCAGGGTGGCTCGCGATGCAGGGATGGATGTTAGCACTCGTTCTTTCTGAGACCATTGGGTGATTTGACGTATCTTATTTCCTATTCGCGTGGTAGATAGGATGGATCTGCTAGTGATCTATTTTGGCTTAAGGTAATAACCCAAAAGTCCGATCGGGCGTGTATCTCGTCTCTAGGCACGTATAAACAAAGGCTTTCGAGGTGCAGATATGGCGCGAGTACAACTAGAGCCTGGAGCAAAATAAGGATATTCGAAGATGATGTACTATTACATGTGCTCGTCTTGTGTTACTTTCGTATCTGTCGGCAGGCTTCAGAGCAGGCCTGCACCTTAACTCTGCATATGCAGCCGAGAATAGGACTATTCGCGGCCATAACCTGCTTCCCATAGACCACAAATAGTTGCCCATCACAGAACTATTTGCTGAACTCGCTAGACGGCGGCCTCATTTTGAGGTGACGATGGTGCTTGTCGCCATTATGGCAAACATTAGGAGTCCAGTATTTGTTCACGAGGTCATAGGTACTAAAGCTGTCGGTCTTGGAGCATATGGCAAGTCGACGTCTCTTGGTAACGAGCATCAGAACATGATTAGCACGAATAAGTGCCCAGGCCACTGCCGACACAGGAGAGTACGCCGTAAGGGGTATCCGGAACGCACGCATAAACTGCCTGAAGCTTGGTGGAGACTACGAGTATCTTCTTATAAATTTGCACAAAAGGGTTCGTGACAGTAAGAACAAAGAACGCCGATGGGTCCATCTCCTGGATGACCGAGTTATAGCCGAAAAGATCAAGTTCAAGCGCAATGGACATATCCAATTGAAACCTGCTATTGTAGGTAGCTAGAGTGTCGGCAGCCAGAGCTACTTGGCCCCCGCGCGTATGTCATCCAGGCTCGCGGCAGTCGACGTAGGTGAGCCTGACCTACTGAAGCTCCTTCCACAACTTCGTCACATGAGACGTTCACCGCCTCTTTCTCCAGAAGCTGGCCGTGCCGCAAGCGTATAATGCGTGATACTAAACGATGCGGTTATCAGAATCTGGGTGAGGCCTCTATGCTTCAACCGTATTAGGTGTAATGGCGAGAATAAAATGCGGAGGCTTACCGTATGCTGATAGGCTCGGCCGAGCTTAGCTTTACCAGCTTATTTGAGCATCTGCGCGCCCAACCCAAGTCCCTCCAAGTGCTGAGTCTTATGCGCAAGATTCCATAATAAGAAGATGAAGAAGCATGTGGCCTGTACTATGTAGCTTGCTGAGATGATCCACGGGTAGCAGAGAGAAAGAATGAATATTGTAATTGAGAGACCTGTGACAAAATGACTCAGCCACCATGAGACATCTTGGTCATTACAGAGTACCCAGATATAGACCCGTAGATACTGAGTGTTGAGAAGCACCCTGACACTGAGCAAAATGAGCTGGCGAGTGTCCAAGGGTAGGGTCCTGCAGATTGTGATGAATGAAAGAATTGAGAGGGGTGCTAACAATAGAATAGTGGCGATACCGCTGGTTCTGGGTCTGAAGGAAAGCCTGCTAGACATGACAAAAATGAGCCAAAAGGACGCTAGAATGTCGTAAATAGTAGCGATAATGTGGTGGAAGAGTTGAGTTTGCGTGAATTGCATTCCCAGAACAGGTGCTCCGAAAGGGCCAAGCCTAGTTAATATATAGTATTCCTAGCACGGCATGAACGCGCACTTGTTGTGTCGGCTGCGCCACTCAGGCTTTCCCCAAGGCTGAATCCCCGACACACCGTCATTCTTCTTATCGAGAATGCATTGTCTGAAAAATACAAATGCCTCTAGGGATATCGTTGAGCAGAAGCTTCGTAAAGATGAGAAAGACAGGTGTCTAAAGAAGGTCTATGCCGGATCTCCGTTCTTGGAACCTAGCCCTAATAACTCGCATACGAGCTATAAGTTAGCTATCTAGCTCTATGTTTACACGTGCAGTCGTTGCTTCTGCCGATAAGATCACTGATGATCCAGATTTGGGAATGCGATCGTCGCGAAAATGATATCTCTGTCTCTGCCTTTTTTTGGAAGGTGGGCCCTCTGATTCAGATCCTTCATAATTAGAGTCATCCCATGCTCGCTTTCTCCTGGAAATTAAAGTGGTGATGTCTCCCCCGTCGCTGACCTTCTTGTGGTATTCCTGTGTATGTGTCTCCTTCTTGGGCAAAACCCTGCGTATTGGTGTATATCCCTCCAACGATCCTCGACTGAAGCATCGGCGTCTGTCAATGGCCTCTTGGACAGCGAAGTATTGTTCTGATAGTGTCTTTAGTTGGGTGCCTCCCCGCTCTATCGTATCTCTGATGCTTATCGGAAGGCCCTCGGGAGCGTTCTCTGCGACTTTGACAAACTGTCTCATGAATTTCAAGGAACTACGAAATTTCTTTTCCGCCTCTCTTGCTTGTGCGACAGTCCAGTAGCCAGCACTTTGAGAGGGAGAGGATAGGAGATGTGATGAATCGCGCTCTTGCACTGGATGATCCTCGCCATCAGTTATTTGTGATGAATTGGAAGCTGGCATTGACTATAGTTTGGACGTTATATTCTTTGCGTACCTGTTCGGCGACTTCACGCACCTGCTCCAGGCTGACGCGATTAAATCATGGCAGCCAGCTGGGAACTGTCGGCAGCTCCCGCATAAGTAACATCTAGAGACAATCAGAGGTTTACACTCAAACAAACAGGTACAAAAACAAACAACACAGCACAAACAGAACCACACACCGCAGCCGAACGGTCAGCATTAGTAATCAATGCTCTTCGTCATTAGCTCATCACCTGCGCTTGCTTGGGGTTCCAAGGTTGGCAGCCAAGTACCTAGTTAGCTGTATCCGGCCCCACTCGCTAACTGCAGGGGTTAGCGTGGGCCACATCCCGATGGATCCCTTGTCAATTCATGTGCATCCACATGACGATCACGGTGATCCAGACTAACAGGAATCACGATGAACTTGAAACAGGAAGATAGCAGTGATATACAACATCTTTATAAAAATCTGGTCAAGTAGAGAGCTACACATAGTATCGAAGACACTATCGCCGGAAAGTCTCTGCCATTCAGTGGGGACGGGATGGCGCAGGGAAAGCTGCGGAACTTGTAAGTAAGCGAAAGCCACGCCCTTCACTTGCAGTGCACTGGTTAAGCAGCAAAAGGGGCAGTACTATATGGGCTTCTGCACTATATAAGAATCGAATACCCCCTGCGTAAGGCAGCGTGGCCCCTCCTGGAAACACTTCGAAGTAAGTAAGTTGGAAAAAAGCGTTCGAGTCAGCATCATCGTGCAACGTAATCGGTCTACGAAATTGATACTATAAGTGTAATGATTAGCTAGTAGACTACCTTTGCCATAATGGTCGGAAATGCACCTGATCCGTACTAAATCCCTTCCTTACTAGAGATCCTGACCACGACCTGAGCCATATTCATAGCCGAACTAAATGTTTTAAATTCGTCATGTGGGTGATGACGACTCGAAGGCTGTTCATCAAGGTGGAGAGACAAAATGGTGCCGTGCCCTAGAGGTGCCTGGGGAAGACTGTTATAAAGACTCGCAAAGGGGTACTTGCAGGCCACATAAGCCCGAGCCGAGATGCTGCTTAATTTTACGAAAAGCCTGGGTCTGGCGTATGAGAATGACCTATCGCGGACTTCCTTAAATAAAGATGTCGCATCGTCTTATGATCATAGTTTCCTGCTATCAATTGTCCATCTTTCTATGTAAAGGATAGAAGGAAAAGATATCAAGTGCCATAGAGTCTACCCTTATATGGAATCTAAAACAATTCATCGCCCGCCCCAAAATGTGTATTTGATACAGCCTACCTGACATGAGCCGCCGACACCGCCATTATTAGTACCTAGCAGGGTGAGATACAATGTATTAGCTATCCAAGACACTTCTTCAGTGTAGTTCATAGATCTTGCCAGGAGTAATTGGACAAGATTTTCATGGGCGAAAGCAGAGTATTTGAGAGAAAAAGCTGCAACAAGTAAAGAGGCAAAATAAAGGATTGGACGGTAGGGTCATTAACTTACACTTAGTATAGTCCTCGCGCATCATAAGATACGGCGTAATCAAGGAGCCTCCTCCTACCGGCCACTGGAACGATTGAGAATTCACGCTGGCTCTGCATCCTTCGACCCACACAGCCTCGAATTCGTAATTGATATTATATCTTCCCTGATACTTAGCATAGATAGGTGGCGTGCCTGGCGCGAGCTCATCACCGGAGCTTCCAGAAAAGTCTCTCGAGAATTCATTTTGTTCATCACCATTGATATCGGCATGGCCGGGGAAGTCGGCTTCGTTATGACAGATGATGGGCCCTCGCCCTAATGGTGTCTCAGGGACAATGGGGGATGAAGAAGGCACAGGCTCGTGGGTTGGTGACGGTGGTGGAATTGGCTCGTTTCTCGTTATAGACGATGTTACGAGTGTAACAGGTGGCAACTTTGTGATCTCAGTGGTCTCTGATGGTAATGAGATGCCTTCACTTGATGTCATCATTGACAGTTCGGATGGTGAAGTGGAAGTTGTAGGTAACGAAGTCAGTTGCGATAGCGTCGTGGAACTTGTCTCTAGAGTCGTGGAGCTGGTCTCTAGAGTCGTGGAGCTGGTCTCTTTAGACGTCGTGGAGCTGGTCTCTTTAGACGTCGTGGGAGTGCTTTGAGATGCCGTTGGGCTTGGAATTTCTTGTTTAGGTGTTTGCGGACTAATGACGGAAAGCGTACCTGACGAAACAGCTGACAGGATCGAAGTGATGGGTTCAAGTTCATCTATCTCGATGATGTCTATCGTCCTCGTACGTACCAGACCACAGGCTGAAAATGTCGTGCTTGCTGATGCAGTTGCACTGCAGCTGGCCACAACAGCCGAGCTTATGGTTGTGCAAGACGAGCTTTGAGATGCAGTAAAACATGAAATGAACTAGTATTGCACAGTTTAGCGCTGAGTACTCATAATTTGCGGTAAGGTGGCTCACAAGGTTGGTGACCGTGCTTGGTGTGCAACTGTCAGTTTGAGTTGAACGGCTATCTTCGATATTGCAGCCCAGAATGGGCTCGCAGATTGAAGAAGTCAATGTTTCGGACGGCCCGACAGACTCCACAGTTCGACATGCTAAAGCAGTCCTTGTTTCACACTGGGTCGGCTCCGCAGAGAAGGTCGGCAAGTTGTTCGATCCAACCCTGTGTGGTAATGTCAGTTACTGTGAAGCAGACGGCGGCGGCGAGGATTGCGCAGCCTTTGGGGGAATGTGCAGGGGAGAATGAGCTTACGTGATAGCTGGCCATGGAGGTAGTGGCCCCTTTATGGTCAGTGGGAATGGAAAATGTATAAGTGGTGGACCCCTGTGTGAGTTTGAGATCAGTGATTGGTGCAAGATCCCATTTGCAAAGTTGTCGACTTACTCGGGAAAGATGCCTTGCGGAAGATTCCAAAACCAGCCTCCGATGGCACCACCATCATCCTCAGGACAGAGCTAGAATGTGAGGGGCCAGAGTGTTGGTAATGCAGATATATAGCCCAGGGAAGCGCTGTACTTACGGAGAAAAACCAGAGATTGCAGGGGACGATGAAGCCACCATCAGTCTGTTGCGGTTGGGCCACAGAGGTTCTAACTGGAACTATGCTGAAGGTCGGAGGCCAGCTTGTAATAATCTCTCCAGTGGTGAATGAAGTAGTTGCCAGAGGAGTGGAAGGTACCGGTGGTGGGGGCCAAGTGACAGAGGGGCCAGCTGAAGCCGAGCTGGTTGTTTGACCAGGGAATTCGGAAGAGGATGAGGAAGCAAAAGAAGAATAGGCGGACGGAGAGGAGAGGAAATACTTGACAACGTGACGGGCACTGGACTCTGCCTTGTAGTCGACGAGGCAACCCAGCTGGAAATGCTGCTGTTCGTCCAGAGTTGGCTGGACAAGAGGCTTCCTGTAGAGCTGGAGGTGTTCAAAGTCCCTATCCATCGCATGGGAAATGACGAAACCTGTACTGAGCTAGACGAGCTGGCTGCATTGCATGTTATCGATAGATATAGGAGCAGATACTGATACATAAACAGCTTCATTATGAGGGTATTCCCGAGAGATAAGCAGCATTGGATAAGAAGTGAGACTCTAATATACGGCAAAATATGTCGGAAATCATCACCACCGCGTATTGAGAGACTCCAGCTATATACAAGCTCAAGACCCACGCCCATACCTCGCTCAGTCCGTATATGAGGTTGTAAACAAGCAAAACCTGCCCCGAATTGAAGATTAGTAATATATTCCTTGGGGCCCTCGGCCATTCGCGCATACAGCTTGATTGTAATCCGGTCGAATCTAGGGTGTCAGCACCATGAGTCCCTCCCAGGATGGCCAGCCCAGGGCCAACAAGGCGTTGTATCGAGCCTGTCAGTAGATCCACTACTGTACAGGGCGGCTTTCCACCGTAACCTATGTTGGTTGGCTAATTCTGTTCATTGGTTGACTGCAGATGCGTACAGTACGCTTAGAAGGCTGACGATGATTACAGCTCTTTATGTCCAAACTTTTATGAGTCCGAGATCTGCAGCCATGTTTACCACAATCGACATACCGGCCTCAACTCGATAGCACAGTCCAACATATAGGGCATTGTTAGCTAGCATCCGATGCTGGTTCTGTACAGTATGCAAGGCAGTTTTTGAGAACACCGCCTTTGAATTGGTACTTACATATAGCTTTGCCATTCAGCCAGCGAGCGTATGCACCTTTAAGAACAGAAGCCTATTGGAGCAGTTCGTGTTTCGTTGCCACCTCCATGTCACCCTCAACTTTCAGAGACACATCTGCAACATCTGCCATCCCCTCCTTCCTCCATCACAATGTTGATCTCAAGCTTTAGCTGGCTAGCTGCTCTGATAACAGCGGCAGTATTCACTCGCCGTACAGCTGCATCGCCTGCATTTGTTCTAACCGTCGCCTTGTTCCCTGATCATCCTGCCGTCCAGCTCAATGACGGACGTATCCTGTTCAATGCGACGGGTCAGAATGCAATCTTCAATGTCGATCGTCGGTTTGGAATCACCAATTCTGCTAGCGCGCCCTGTCGCGCCTTGCGTGCGTCCAAAATCAGACAAGAATTCATTCTGCACAGTGCAGATGCTAACAGGTTCTTGTCGCAGATGACTACGGAATGTTCCGCTGTCAACCGCTCGCATCAATGGACGGGTTTGACAAGTTCACAGTGGATTCCTCGAATACCTTAGTCCCCCCACATTCATCAAAGATTCACCTTTGCCAACTACAGAATTACACCGGATGGGGGATATATCTTCACCCAGGAGAGCCCTTTGACACCTGTGTGGAAACGCAGATCATAGCTAGCAGCGTTGAAGGCTCTCAAAACGTGAGAGGCTCCGCAAAGCGCCAAGGCCTACAAGATGAAGAACTCCGGTCCGCAATTCAAACATACACTTTGACAAAGAATGTCACGCAGATAGTGCATGTTGCCGAGAAAGGCAGAGGAGAATCTCTTTCTCACAACCCCTCTACCCCTCTTCATGCACCACAGCTGTTGTCTCGTCAGGTTATGAACGAGATAAGTCCCAGGGGCATGGTAGAGGAGTGGAAGGCTGTCGAGACTGCCAGAACAAACTGGGTGAAGCAAGACGAAGTGAAGAGGTTCGTCCTCGAACATGGCCAGGATCAAACCTTTGCAACATCCGAGTATTTCGGCTGCAGCGTCTTTGTCCTAGTGACGAGCAAGTCCATTGTCGTCGGTCATCTTTCGGAATGCAAGGGAGCCACCGGGCCTGCACTAGAGGACCCCTTCTTGACTGAGCAGGATGTCATCCAAACGATCGAGGACAGGATGTCTACCGCAGTTTATGAGGATATAGAGAACGATCCGTGCAAACAAGTCTATCTTGTTATCACGGGGCACGCGGCGAACCAATTCGGCACAGGCGTGAAAACTTTGACAGACTGGTTCATCGATTTCCTAGAAGTACCCAAAGAAAATATTCGCTACATCGGATATGGGCATGACTATCCGTTATTCCTTGGCAACCCGGATGTGGACGACGACCGCGTGGTACGTGGATTATCATTATTCCACTGGCAGAGCCTCGGTAGGGATGTTGGAAGCAGCTGGACCATCTATCTTGGAAACGTGCGGCCACGTTTGCAGTTGTGGTTTGATCGAGATGGCAGGTTGGACACAAGCCAAGATGTAGTTTGGGGCATGTCTAAAAGCGGCATGAGTGAGCCCATCAGGCCATAAATTACTACTTCAACTCTCAATTGCACCCAACACTCTCAAATTGGTTGACTCCATTGACACATCTGTCATGATATTCACCAGCACTTTTCCCTTGGCAGCCTTTGCCAGTATAGAATGTGCAAGCAAAATCAGCGGTGGAGTCCTTTTCGAGCCAGGTGACTACTACATAGTGAAGTCGACATCGTAATTGGTGCAGCCGTAGTCGGGATTATATTGAATGTCGATTAGCATGTAATTTTTCAGTGAACTTGACACCGTGCGCCGTAATGATTGACAACGCCGGTATTGGAATAGAAGTAGGAGCGAGAGGGTCCGGAACAGACTCAGGGTCTGGATAGAGTAAGTAAGCAGTATCTTGGCATCCTCAAGTACACCACGACATTGCCGATCATGCCGATTTAAAATCCTCGATCCTCTTTGTTCTTCGTCTGGTACGTTAGTGGCGCTCAAGCCAGACTGTGGATGCCGTACGAGGAGGGGGGCGACACCCATCTGGGGTGCACTGACCGATCAGTCTCTGGGACTGGTAGTCAATCAGGAGCCAAGTCACCGCGAGAGACCTCTATGAATTGTGATTATGGAGGGAAGGGGTGTTCAGTCATAAGGCCCTCATCATCCAACAAGAGTTAATGTCGGATTTTCGCCGTTCTGCCATATAGCGGAATCGAGCTTCTCGTACGCGCGGAATGACACGGCGAGGCTGGACTTCTTATTGGGGTAGCTTGCAACAGGTTGGAAATAGAATGCAGCGATGGGAAGGGGATTAGAAACAGAAAAGAATGCAATGAGCATGAAGTACTGCACAGCTAGGGGGGCAACCTTATCCGCCTTGGCCGCCGTTCCATTCTTTTCGCGGGCGCACAGTAGAAACCCGCACCAGAGACGTGGGTTGGGTTTCCAATGTGTCGAATACTGTTGCTTATGTAACCACCGATGATGGCCAAGTACAAGGATGATAAGTACTTAAGTGTGTCTAGTACGGTTTGGCACTACTTCTCCTGTATATAACGGTACACTAGTAACGGAGTGCTTCGACCAACGTAACCGACCATCCATAACTCACCCAAATTTAACAGATAACGTAATCCACAAGCAAGCGGGCCACACAAGCAAGCGGGCCACCCTCCAGGTACTCGTACGATAATGTATAAGACAATTCAACCACAACGCCTTAAATCAATTGAAACTATTCAGAATCCTCTTCTTCAGAGGCAGATACAACTTTCTGACACGTACGAGCATTATGGCCAGGCTCGCCGCAGACGCCACATCGTCGCGCGCGCGTTTCGGGCCTCCTCGTACGACCACTATTCTGACTCGTTTCCGCCATTAACTGCTGCGTCGCATCGATTTGAGCCTTCAAATCCTTTGCCTGATCAATCGTGAGGGACCCTCCTTTCTGTAGCTGCTTTCTTTTCGTACGACGACGGCGGCTGAGGCGGTCGTTTGCATCTCGAAGTTCGGCGAGGTCTTGGCGCATAAGGGTCTGCTCGTGCACCATCATTGTAACTCCTTTTCTCAGCTGCCGTAGGCTCTCAATAATGGACGACGGAGAGCTATTCTGGTGTCGTACGATGCGATTTTCAATATACTTCGTCTGCGATTCGGTCTCAATTGGGTTGTTCGGCGTCTTTGAAACCCATGGGGGTGGTAGTCCAGTAGAGGAACCTGGCGGTGTCGGCGTATGAAACTTCACATCTAGCTGCGAAATCACATAATTCTCGTCGTACGGTACTAGGCCTGTCGCTCTAAAGCCTGCCTGGATGTTTGATTTTGTCATTGCAGCGTCGTACGCCTTATAAAAGGCTGGGAGGAAGTCCTCCTTTGAAACGTGGGTTACGTGCGCCCGTATAAGACCCTCGATTTCTTTACCGTACGCCCGTTTTAGAGGTCCAAAGCACCCAACGTCAAGAGGCTGGAGCTTATGCGACGAATGAGCAGGCATACAGAGGGTAACAATGTTCTGTTCCTTGCAGTAGAGCTCGAAATCGACGGAATGGTGGCTCTCATGGCCGTCGAGGATAAGGAGGCGGTGGGTGCCCTTCGTACGACTCTTTGTATGGAAATCGAAGTGTTTTACCCATTCTAGGCCTCTCTCGTTCGTCGTCCAACCATTATCTGAAAGCGCGATTACCCAGTCGGGCGGTAGGGGGCTATTCGCGGTCCAGGAGTCGAGGTGGACCTTCCCGGCGAAGATGATATATGGCGGGATTGAATAGCCGTACGACGCGATGCCCTGGATTACTGTAACCCATTCCTGATTGCCTTGTTGTACGGCTCTTGGCCTCCCGCGTCGATCGGAGGTCGTAACGACAGTTTCGGCGGAGATTTTGCCCATCGCGAAGCCCGTTTCGTCGAAGTTATAGATATCGTCATCGTGGATCCCGTATTTCGCGATTATGTTTCGTACGAGCGTAAACCACGCGCGATACGCGTCCGGATCTTCGCAAAGGACCCTCTGGTAATCGATTCTTCGATTAAAACGCGTACGGAGCTCTGGTCGTCGTCGTACGAAGTTTGAGGCCCAGTTCGTTCCGACGCGTGGCACGTCACGTACGCGGAGGAGTCGATCCGCCATTTCTCGAACACCACCTAACCGCGGTGGAAACGATCGCGAATCTAGGTCGATTATATATCGTACGACGCTGTCATCTTCGTACGAGGTCAATTTCTGGTTATGTGGTCGGAGATCGCGTTTCGCAGGTCGGCCGGCTCGTCTTCGTTGGAGGGTCGTACGAGGTACATTATATAGCTGTGCAGCCTTTCGTACGGTTAATTCTGGGTCAGACTGGAGCGCCTGAAGCGCTAGAATCAAATCGCCTTCAATTGATGGTCGTACCATAATTATTGGTGGAGAAAAAGGGGAAAGAAGATGGCCTGCACGAATATGGTAGGAAAGTGGCCCGCTTGCTTGTGTGGCCCGCTTGCTTGTGGATTACGTTACCGAATGTTTTATCGGAAGTAGTCGGGACCAACAAGCAAGGACAAGTCCATCAAGTATGGCGAATGATCATCAAGCAACCCGGAGCTGCAAGCTACAGTATTGTAATGTACAACACTATAGTAGTGCATTCTATGTAATGGTCAACCTGGTTATTTGCCTCCACCATGAGGTGCGGCAAACAGGATTGTCCTGGGCCATAAATGTGAATGCCTTCTTCACTTCTGGCCAGCACTCCGGTGGTTTTATTTAGCATAGGTCAACGGAAGCTATAGTACCTCACGAACTGGAAAGCAAGTAGTAAAGCTTCAAGTACGTTTAGTCCAAAAGGCCGCTCGTGGAGTTACTTTGTCCCAGCCTGCACCGGCAACCAGATGGCGGGGTGGTCTGTTGCGATGATACATAACACTCGAATAGCTGACGCACTTCACTATGGCCTTTTCTTTCTGACGCAGATCCCGCCTCGAGGATCAGGCAATTACCGACTCTAATGAGCTTCCCATCGGTCGTCAGCTACCTCTCTGCAAACTTGACCCCGACTGCGTCCGCCGCGGGGAGGATCAGCAGTGACCCTAACCCTAAACCTAAAGATTTCAATACTGGAACGCGCCAAGTCCCAGTTTGGCTCGCATATTGCGCTGCCTGGACCTGCCGGCATGGGGAAGTCGTAACTTGCTATTGCGTACTGTTCTCAAGCGGATGAAGTATGCAGACTGCCGTAGGTGTTCCGGATAGGCGAGGAGACGAGTGAGGGTTTACTGGGTGACCTCAAGGCTATCGTCGATCTGCTTGACATAGGAGATTTACTGGACAACTGAGCTGGAAGCTACCCAGCGCATTACACAATGGCTCCTCGGCCCGTCGACAGTTGCCGGTTACTGGTTCTAGATTGTGTGACCAAACTTGGCGTTCTCAGTCGTGACGAGGCCGATTCCACCACACCAGGGATTGGCAGCGGCGTCCAGCAGAGAAGCCTTCTGGGCCTCCTCTCAAACGTCTCCCACGGTTCCATCTTGGTCACCATAGGGGACAAGGACACTGCACTGGCTCTTGGCATCAAATGCAGCGACACTCTGTCCCTGAGTGCAATGCACGGGACGCAGGCTGTGAACCTGCTTCAGAAGAAACTCGGCAAAATACTGGAGCACAATTCACTCAAAATCGTGTGGGCGGCAGCGTACATACCGCGACACATCCCACAGGAACGCCTACTACAAGAAGTGAAACAGAATAAGAGGTCTATGCAGCTCTTTTCAAGACGGAAGCTATCAATTCCGACGAGACTGCAGTGCCTCAGACTTAATGAAAGCCTGCTGGAGGCCCGTCATCGGGTTCCTCGAACCCAGCTGCAAAGTGTTCACGCCAGCAACTGCTCTGCCCTCTTTCATGGCGTTCTCCGACCGCGAGAACATTCCGAAATCGATTACTGAGTTCCCGACATGCGACGCAGACGCGAGCGCAGTTAGCGGGGCTGACTAAGGCAACGAGAGCGACCTCCAATCGGACGAGCCACCACAACTTGGAGACAGAGGCGGTAACCGCTCAACCGATGCCTCTGAGAGGGACGTACAGGATCTGCTTGACGCGGGCCGTATAGCTGCGGGAGACTCGGGGGTTTTCTCAATGCGCCAAGCCGTGCAACTGGCAATGAGACACTGGCTGAAGAACAATGGACAGTTTGGATACTCCAACCACAGTTCATCTGCTGGATGGGTCAAAACTTTCCAACCGGGCGCTATGAGCTGGTTGTAATTATTCGCTCAGGCGAAACGAACGGATACCAAGTGGTTAGGGATTAGATTATCGGCGAAGGTCGAGGATATAGTAGAGGATGATGACACGGAGGTGAATCAAGCTCTGCTCGTTTGCCTAGGGCTCGAGGAGGGCGCCGCTAAAGGAAATGGGGCTGGAACTAAGTTATCTTCCTATCGAAGGACCCTGTAGTCCAGTAGTGAACCCTTTAGGAAGTTTACGTCTAACGTACATTATCAGTGAGTGGCCCATATCAGCGAGTGGCCCACTTTCTACGCGACGCGACACCTTCGCTCTCAACACCTAATTTTCTCAGTCACCCAATATGCCATCTACTTCAAAGGAAGCCCAGATAATCTTGGCCCTCGGGGCTCTTCAAAACGACAAAAATCTAAGCGTGCGAGCCGCTGCTGAGATTTACGGGGTCGCCCGTAAGACTCTAGGGCGCCGACGCGACGGCAAGCCTGCATGATGCGACAGTATGCCCAAGTCGAAGAAGCTTACTCAGTCAGAAGAAGAAGCTATTGTTCAATATATTGTTGAGCTATCTACGCGAGCTTTTCCACCTAGATTGTGTGGTGTGGAAGATATGGCCAACCAACTGCTACGCGTACGCGACGCGCCTCCTGTCGGTCAACTCTGGGCCCATCGATTTGTCAAACGCCAGCCAGAGCTCCGTACGCGTTATACGCGTAGATACGACTACCAGAGGGCCAAGTGTGAGGATCCAAAGGTCATTGGCGAGTGGTTTGCCCTTGTTCGGAACGTCAAGGCCAAGTACGGTATTGTGGATGACGATATCTACAACTTCGACGAGACTGGGTTCATGATGGGCATCATCTTCGCGGGTATGGTAGTTACGACCTCGGATGGCCGTAGCAAGGCAAAGCTGGCCCAGCCTGGCAACCGCGAATGGGCAACGGTGATCCAGGGAGTCAATGCCCTCGGCTGGGCCATCCCCCCCTTCATCATCTTGGCCGCACAGTACCACCTCGCCAACTGGTATACCGAGTGCAACCTCCCGGCCGACTGGCGCATCGCAACCACCGATAATGGTTGGACTACCAATGCGGTAGGCCTAGATTGGATCAAGCACTTCGACTTCCATACAGCACCTCGTACGAAAGGCAAATACCGGTTATTGATCCTCGACGGCCACGAGAGCCACCACTCGACCGAATTCGAGCTCCATTGCCAGCAGAACAATATCATCACGCTCTGCATGCCTCCACATTCATCCCACCTCCTCCAGCCACTCGATATTGGCTGCTTTGGGCCACTGAAGCGGGCGTACGGTCGCCAAGTCGAGGACTTAATGCGCATGCACATCAACCATATGAGCAAGCTCGAGTTCCTCTGTTCCTTTCGCGAGGCCTTCTTTGCCTCTATAACAGAGAAGAATATACAGGGTGGCTTTGCAGGTGCTGGCCTTGTACCGTACGACCCAGACAGGGTGCTCTCTAAGCTAGATGTTAAGCTTCGTACACCGACACCCCCGACCTCACGGCCTAGCACTATACAACCTTGGGTCTTCCAGACACCCCATAACCCCCGAGAAGCCAACTCGCAGTCAACGCTCATCAAGACTCGTATTACCAGCCATCAAAACAGCTCCCCGACTTCGATGTTAGCTGCTGTTGACCAGCTTACCAAGGGTACAATGGCTGTGATGCACCGGGTGGCCATCCTCGAGTCAGAGAACGCTTCACTCCGCAAGGCCAACGAGGCACTAAGCAAGCGCCGGAGAGCCAAAAGAACACGTGTGCAGCTTAGAGGATCACTTACTATACAGGGTGCACAGGAGGCACTAGGCCAGGGGGGCCGTGGGTGGGGAGGGAGTACAAGAAACGCAGCTGGATGGTAGTGGTACAAGGGGGGGCCCTTCGAGGGTTCGCTGCTGTGGTGTGTGCGGCAAGCCTGGCCATAATGTACGCACTTGCCAGGAGCCTGTAGAAGCATCAGATTCAGCTGCTTCCGATGTAATAATAGTTGGTTGTTAGTGTTGATGTGTTGCAATTGAGGCGGGTTGTTCTTGGGTAGTATGAGGGTGGGCCACTCGCTGATATGGGCCACTCACTGATAACGTACGTTATGTATTCTTGTTGACAACGACAGGCATACCCTGGGCGTAGAAAAAGACCCCGGGGATCTTGCAATTGGAATTGTCGCCTTGTTCGATGGTCTGGGCCACCTCCTGCTGTGATAAGGCTCGACTGCGCCAGGTGTGGGTCGAGACGAAGACCGAGATGTGTCTCCGGTGAAAGCGGCCCCAGTCTACGACGGCTTCCATGTTGAGGCTCCACCGGTTGCGATTGAGCGGTGTTATGGCGCGCAAACCACCTTTGAAGGTGATCTGGGAACGGACCATGAGCTTGGTGTTGAGCAGGCCAAGGTCCTCTGTGGTCTGAGTTCCGGCGCGTACTCTGTCCAAAAGTGCACCTAGCTGAGGATCGCCTCGCGCGCGGACTTGTTCCTCGAGAAGAATGACGGTCTTGAACATCAGCCATAGATTGTGGCCACGGTGGTGAGCAATGGCCGCCTGTCCCAGGGAGGCCATGTAAGCCAAATCTACCATCCGGTCGACCAGGAGACTTGTCTCAAGCACGGGGGCAAATTGATAGAAGTCCCCCATTAAGAGAACAACCGGAATACCTCCAAATGGCTTATCAGGACAGTCGCGGAGGGTCTGGAGGCGGCAGTTGGCATTGAATAGAGTGGCTCCCCCGAGCATGCTCACTTCGTCGATCACGAGACGCAGAGGAGGACGCGATGCTCCTGGCTACTGGCGTCAGCCGCAGGCCAGCTCAGCAGACCGACCTGGCCCCCTGTGCGACCATCGTCAGCCTCGTAGTGTATCGCCATCGCTAGATGGTCCTTTAATCACAGCTGGGCTGTCAGATCGAAGAGAGTTAGATAGTGTATAAATGAGGTGTATTTTCTGTTCTACGTGTAATAACTAGCAACTACGAAGGCTTTTCGCCGTACAGGTTGCGAGCCCGTCCCGGCCGCGGCATGCATCATGGGTTATTTAATGAGAGGGGAGGAGACACGGCACAGGGTAGGGTTAGCTGGGGGTTAAGGTTAGGTTCAAACACGATTAGGGGTCCAGCCGCACCCCAGACCCCTGTGGTAATGGGCGTCATGGTAATGACCGTCACTCGACCCGACAGGGGTTTACCCAACCCACCCTTGACTATGGCGCTACCCCAACTTGCCCCTGGTATTGACCGTCACTACCGCCCGGAATGATGGGCAGGTGTTGCCACAGCATTGTAATCGCCGCTATTGAAGTAGTCAGCCATTCTGCTGACGGCGAACAGAGAGTCGTCGCTCATCTCGTAAATGCCCGATGTGGCTTCCTACACGACGTTAGCCACTGGAAACTGTGAGTTACACGCTATTCCTTTACCACAAATGGGCCGGCGCAGGCTGCACGGAAAACCTTGGACTGTGCGCAAATGTTTGTTTTTTTGAATGTTGATTCTCTTGCCCTCACAAACCAAAATAAGGAAGTCGCCATCCTTGTCCTTCCTGTAATAATTCAGCAAGGCTCTAGGGTAATTTGGCTAGACATACCTTAGTTTCTCTCGCGAAACAGTTGCGGACACCATCGTTCAATCCAAGCATTATGCTCTAGGAGTAGCTGAAAGACATTCCGCGTGGGAAGAAGTGTCGGGAACATAATTTTATCATGATTGCGCCAGCGAGATGCGGCAGACCAATCACCGCGCCCGTATCCGTCCATCACCCCTCGCTGGAAGCGGGAACTGAAAGTGAAGTAAGCCGAGTCCCGTGATCGCGTCATCAAGCGGCACGAGAAACAAATTGCGTAGGTGATGGAGAAAAGTCTACTTCAAGCCCCGCATGTCACTAGCCGCTCAAGTTACGCTAATGTCCATCCAATCAGGCTTCGTCCTAGTCATTCCCACCTGACTTAAGGATGGGAGCATTCATCTAGCACGCTACGAAGTCCCCGCCAAGGACGGACAGGCAATATTTTATTGGCTGATAGGAGGTAAAGGTGTTACAGCAGAGCGACTTCCCCTCATCCTTGGGGCATAAGTACAAGAACTCCAGATCGAGAGATTGCATTGAAGTTTTAAGAATAGTACCTTATTCCCTGATCATCTCCCCAGAAAGACCTCATTCGCGTCCGCACCCTGATTGCCTTGTCAACTCTCAATTATGGCATCCGGCGAGTCGAATGTTCAACGTCCTTGGTTTGAGGCGTATCCGCCACCGAAGACTTCAAAGCCCAAGACCGTGACAAAAGAGGAACTCCGCCACTGGTTCCTTGCAGGGCAGAAACCGGGCAAAGACTTCATCCTTGTCGATGTCCGTCGCGACGATCATGAGGTACTTGACTGGTCGTTCGTGCTTGTACCTTATTCTAACGGTTTCTAGGGCGGAACGATCAGAGGCGCAATCAATCTCCCAGCACAGAGCGTATACGCATCCATCCCCACCTTGTACGCACTGTTTGAAGCAGCGGGGGTTAAAAAGACAATATGGACATGCAGTTCGTCATATTCCGCTACGCATTCGATATATCTGAAAAAGCTGACTGTCCACAGCAACTTCTCGCAAGCGAGGCAACCTGGTGGCCGGGTGGTTTGCGGACTTCATTAACGAGAAGGGTGATTCGGACATGCAGAGCTATGCGCTTTTTGAGGGAGTTCTGGGCTGGGCTACCGCTGGCGAGGAGTTTACTGACTTGATGGAGGAATACGACGAGCATGTGTGGCAGAGAGACCACTCCAGCCACTGACATGTTGCTATTATATGCAGAGTGGCTAGGATGAAGCGCATTCCGCCGTCATGGCATTCGCAGGCGCCCTGGGGTGACGAACACGAGGTGCTTGTGCAGATGGATGATGCAATAGATGCAATCATTGAGGGCTATATTGGCTTACGTTAGATATGTAGACCTAATGCGCACTCTTTTCGTCATCTTGCTTCAACATAATCCCCCAGTGGTGTGACACGGCTTGTTCGCTTCGGCCTAGCCTTTTGGCAATCCAGGACCATTCTTTTTTTTCCATTACCCAGGCGCGGAGTCGAACTTCTTCGAGAGATGTCCACCGTCGTCGTTTGAGTATTTTGCCATTCTTGCCGGACTGTCCACCCATCCAAGAAATAGGATTAGTGTCATCTGTCTGGCTTGCATCGTCGCTGTCAGACCCATCGTCAGAAGAACCATCAGTACTATCGTCAGTGCACTTCTTCCTCGACCTTGATAGACGTCTTTGTGTTCAGCTCTATAAGGAGGGTGTTCAGTCGCTTCAACTCTGTTAACATGGAGCCCAGAGCCGCATCCACCGCTGTAGGTACTTGATTTTGATTTTGGGATGACATGTCTACGGAGTGGCGTCGTTCAAAAGCATGCGGCGTCGCACTTGCCTGAGGCAAAGGCGAATGTCTGGAAATACGGATTTTACGACGCTGTCATCTGCGAGGAGGAGCCCAGGGACTTAATATACTTAATGTGAGGCCGCTGCAGAGTTCGGTCGCAAGCCCTGTAGATTGATTGGCTCTCAGCCTCTATGTGACTGGGGACGAACAAAGAGCCCGGTGGCCGTGGGCGATGGCATCTGGAGGTCTAGCCGTAAGCGGTTGACAGCTAGCTCGCAAACTTATTTCTCAGCTGCGCGAACCACTACGAACCCTCTCCATGAACTGCTCGTCGTAAAGAGCCCCACAATTTGTCATCTGTGCTTCCATTTCGAGTCTCTGACAGACCATCAGGATATTAAGATGAATGAAGTTTCGAACTTAACTTGCCATAATTTTCACAGTGCCTACCAGCTTCTGTCCAAATCGACGGAGCTCCTGAGGGACGCCAGCGTAGTTGTACACCTGCTTTGATTCTTGCTTTCTTTTCACTCAAGATGACATCTCTGGATAGCTACATTTTGCTAGGTGCAGTCACTTATACGCCAGTAAGGGTGCGGATACCGCGGACAGCTACACCATTGCCACTGGCCCGGCCGGTGGGCTACCAACGAGTAGCCTCAGAGTTGTAACATCTGCTCGAGCAGCTCCGCAGCGTTGCCTTCCGGGGTAACCAAGCCTCCGTAGCAAGACACTGCGCGTCTGAAGAGTGCGGACAGCACCCCAGCTCTATGAGTGGCGACTGTAGAGCTTGGAAAGTACGCGTGACGGTGACCCTTGACGCCAGTATATGGCTGGGTATTTGTCTTGATGGTTGCGTTACAAGGTGAGGACGGCATTGGCGATCCACTTCGTCGCCATTAAGAACCGGGAGACCCTGGATAATGCCGTGACGGGCCAACATGCCACCATTGACCGAGAACGCGCGACAGACCATGTAAGCGTTCATGGCAGCATTTTCTTGAGCTAGAATGGTGGACTCATACGGGATAGCTGTATCCACCGCTGGCCGAAGTTTAGTCGTTAGAGTACAGGGGTGTGAGTTGTGATAAGACGCGAACGGAGAACACGATCGCCATTGCAGATTTCGAAACCCAGGGATCTTGGTTTTTAGTGTGAGTACATTGTGGGGACAAGGTCGAGCATTGAGCCCCTGGTCCCTCATCTCTTTCAATAGAGATCCCAGAAGGATAGATGAACATTCGTAGCTACATCCTTGGGCACCTGTGTGAAGACCTTCGCGTAGTTTATCCAGTGCTTTAAATCCCCAAGGATCCATTCATTATCAATTCAACCCGGACTGCGAGGAAGCCATATTTGTGGCCGGCTTCAACCACGAAGATCCGGGGACGTCGCAGATGGTCCAGAATATATTTGCCCTGAATCCCGATATTCTTAATGCTACTCTAGGATTCCCCTCTAGCACTGATGGTAAAGATAGAGAAGTTTAAGGCGCTGATTCCCAAGAGCGTGGCACTTGGGGTCGACGAATGCTTGAAGAAATGTAACCTGACAGCAGCGACTACTTGAGAATGGGCAGGATTCTTATAGCCTCGGCTGGTTCGGCAAAGTGGTGATAGAGAGTGTGTCGGTTGCAGTTGCGGCGCTAAGAGATTCCCTGAGATGATATAGATATTGGTGTTCAATAGCAAACGAAGCGTGGATTTTGATTATTCACCGAAAATTGAATGTTCCCTAAGTACACCACCAACAAAACCATTCTCTCAGCTTCATGCCATGAATTTCAAACACCGGTGTGCCTTCAGCAGCCAAACAATCAACAATGTGAAGATCGTTCCTTCCCATGAATGCCATTTCTCCATGAGTTGTCCCGGTGAAGGGCTCCTATGACACAGATCTCATGCACTTGCCTTCGTGCAATTAGTCTGGTCAAGGGCATCTCGCAGCACACGTCCCAGCTTCGCCGAGTTATCAACCGCCCAGAAGTGAACGTAAAATAGACCAAGGGAATCAATCAGCATATGGTTGTGCAGAGCATTGACCTGGATGCCGTTCTCGCCCAAAATGCGGAGGACCGGCGGGACTTCACCCGCAAGCAAGGCAAAGTCACCGGCAATAGCGGCATTGTTGTCCCCCGTCGGCTAGAAGTTAATACGGTAGCGACGCCTATCGACGTCGAGAGCACCATATCTCCATCCATAATGATCCCTGCACGGGGGATACTGTACCGGTATCCCCGTTGTTGGCCTTCCCGGAATAGCCTATGGCGGAGTCGATCTCTGAGGTGTTGAAAGGAAGCGAACTGGAGAACTTTGATATTATGTGCACATTCTGGGGTAGGCGCCGGTTCTGGTTAATAGTAGGCAGGTGGCGGGCTGTTTTCAGCGAATCCTCCACTGACACCCAAATGTCTCAAGCAGCCTGGTCTGACAGGAATCAGATCTAGAGCGCCTTCTTCGCATTCCCCGCGAGGGCCCGGCAGTACTCGGTCCAGATCTCGCTCGACACCAGAATGTATCTCGACGTTAATGACGAGTTTGACCAACTAGAAACCAGAAACAACAATCAGCACCGAAATTTCTGTCCTCAGAAGGAGGTATGGAGCGTACGCTTGATTTGGCATGAGTCTCAAGTGAGAATCCGCCAGTGACCTCAAGCGAGTGTTCGTGCCGGACCGTGCAGGTGGTGAAGCTCGGCGTGATTTTCGGAATGGTTACGTTGTGCAGCATACTGCTGTTAAGCTCCGACAACACGTCCTTTTCCTGAGAGTTGGCCACAGCTCTTCTCAGGTCCGTGAGCTGCAACAGGTTTCGGGATGATGTCCATGAAGTGTGATTAATGCCGACAGTGACTGTTGTCGTGCTCTGGAGGCTGATTGCCACGCTTCGCAGCTGGATGGGAAAGGTGTTATCCGGCTTGGCGGGGAACTTGTGGAGTAAGAGACTTATGGGGATCTTGTCACCCGCGTATAGGACTGCGGGTGAAGGGAGCCTTGCCTCGAGCAGCAGGATGGGATCTTGGCAAGCCGAATGCTGTGCACATGCCGTCAGTTGCCGAGTGGGAACAATGTCATGAAGATAAAGTTCTCTCGACGTCGTCGTGCCGTGCCCTAGACCAGAAGGTATTGAAGACAACGGTGGATCTAAGGGGATAAACAAGAGCTCCTGTTGCGTCGAAATGTCCCAGTGAAATATGCCCGGTCTCTTGACCTTGGCTTTCAAGACGTAATCTATCTTGACTGAACCACGGTGGCCAGGAGCGTGACTATCGAAGGATGGAGGAAGGGCTGTCTCGAGATGTCTCACGAGGGACTGGGATCGGTCGCAGGCAGAGAGCAGAGGAAAGCTGATGGCGAACGGGAATGAATGAGATCCTTTGGGCAATGTGTACCCTCCAGGGGTGATGGGGATGTCGGATGATGGAAACAAGACTTTGGATTGCTCGAAGATCTACAGGTTAGATGCCATTAGCAAGCGGATTAACGTGAGGTATCAGACCTCGGCAGGATTAGGCATATCGCTCAGACCTTATGGTAGTCGTGAGCCCAGTCATTTATATCTTCTCCTAGAGTAAAGGCGGTGACAGTCCCGGGTAGAGACGTGCTGAGCCTGCCTGACAACACAGCGTCAGTACAGTTGCGCAGCAGGCAAAGGTCAATTCATCAGGGCCGCGACAGAACCAGACCTTTGAGAGAGAGAACGAGGCTTGATATGGCTGTGGAGTGGTCTAACTCCAAGCTCACTGAGCCTCGCACAGTGTCTAGGGAGGTAAATACCTTCCCAACATCTAGCCGCTGGATATTCAGATGGATTCCCATTGCGGTTGAGCCAGAATCTTGGGACATCGGCCTTTTGGAGATTTGGAACATTTCATATTCTACCTTTGGCAATTTATACGTTCATTCACAGAGAAAATGTGATTCATATCTTCTGCATGTAACCGGCCAACCTTTGGTCTTGCCATTGGGGGCATGGAGCCGTCCAGTGTTTCTTGGCCATGTGACAGCAAATCCAACGCCTGACGTTGTCGTTTGTCGCCATAGCCAATCATCGAGCCGGTGTCCGTCCATCGTCTCTGTAACGCTGGGCACCCGATGTGGTCAACAGCCCTAACCAATAAGCATCCACGGGTCCGTCTCTCCTGGCGGCGAATTGCGGTCCAGGCGGGGATGACAATCTCGTCGTTATCGGCGTCGGCAGTCCTTCAGAACCCCTCCTCGCCATCTCGGTGTGCAGCGCTGTCAACATGCTAAAATATGGCTAATAAACCTATCTTGGCATCTCCTCGGCGTATTCAATTTGGCACTTTGTAATTAATTCCAGTAACATTTTCATCTGTGACAACACCGCCGCTCTTACCCAAGCCAGTTAGCCCCTTCATGGTGTGTCGGAGCGAATTGTCTTGCAATTGTTGTTATCACCTTAGCCAATCACCGTGCGACGGTCCGTCTCTTTGGTCTTGCTAGCTGCAGCACACCCAGGCCCAAACTTTTACGCCATGGGCCTCCGTCACGACGATGACCGTTGAGGCTGGCTGTTCGCGCCCCGCAATTTCTGAGCCAGTGCACCCTGCAAACCAATCATCCGGCCGGTGTCTGTCCATTGCCCTGCCAGCAGCGATTGGTTGACTAGTTGGACTTCATGCCACCTCCCGGGTGGTAGCCCCCTGGTCCTGAGCGCTGTCCATGTACACGACTGCCACGACCAGGGACGGGAAAGCGGCGGGGGTGTCATCTGTTTCTTTCCATTCTTCGTTTTTTCTCAGCTTTCAGGAAGCAAAAAATCGATTCCTTCTGGAGGAGCGGTTTGAGCTACAAACAAATATCGCCATGTGTGAGAATTTATTCCTCAAGCTTACGGAGCAGACTCCGAGCCGCAGTGATGTATCGGTTTGAGCGGGGCTTTGGCGCAGGCATATTCTTTGATGTTGCACACTACTGGACAATGGTTCTCCCAGACACATCCTCCACCACACAAGCCAAGTACTCATGCTGCCGCCGTAGCCTCGTCTTCTGGACCCTCAGCCGGAAGCTCCAGCTCATCATTATCCGAAGACGTCCAAAGGGCCAGATTGTCACGAAGGAGTTGCATGACTAGTGTGCTGCCAGGATACGACTCCTCGGTCAAGGAGTCGAGCTCGTCAATGGCATCATCAAACGCCTGCTTGGCCAGATCGCAAGCAAGATCTGGCGAGTTCAGGATATCGTAGTAGAAGACGGAGAAATTGAGAGCCAAGCCCAGGCGCAAAGGATGAGTGGGAGTGAGCTCGGTGCGAGCAACATCGACGGCAGTCTAAAGTAGCAATTTAAGCTGATTGGCGTCTGACTCAACGAATCTCGAGCTCACCTTGTAGGCCATGTGGGCAGACGTGACGGCCACGTTGTGCTTCTCGCCCGACGCGAACTCGGCCAGATAACGACAGTAGTCACCCTTCCTAAACACGAGAAGTCAGTCCACGGACCATTAAGACTGGCGGTGAGAAGGTAGGTAAGATAGGCATGCATCTTGTGATAGAAAACCTTGGAGCCTCCTGTCGACGCGCTTGGAATCAGTCTCTCATCTAGCTCCTCTACCACATCCCGGCAGACCTTCTCCAGCTCGTCCTCAATCCTGTGGCGGTATTCGCGGATGGTAGAAATGTGCTTCCGGCTGCCCCTGGACTCCTTCTTTTGCTCGATCGCGGAGATGTTGCGCCAGCTGACACGGCGCGCGCCGATCACGTTCTTATAAGCAACACTCAAAAGATTCCGCTCATCGACGCTGAGCTCACCGCCCATCTTGACGATTTCCTTCAGATGGGTAACCATATCGTCGTAACGCTCAGCCTGCTCGCAGAGACGGGCGACGAAAGTCTGGCTGTGGCCGTGAAGTCAGCACCGAGGTTCTGGAGGAGCAGCCGGACATAACCAGACACATTCAACGCGAGGGTGGGCGGGTACAAACTTCGCACGCTGCTTGTTGGAGTTAGCGACGCTACTGGATCAAAAGACTTGACGAAGAGCGAGCCGATAGGGAGATCGCGTGCAATATTCGGTGGTGGGGTGCCACAGCGGCTAAGTAGGGGAAACTTGCTTCGGACGTCATTCTAACTTCGTGTCACCCGCGTAGCTGGAGAGAGTGCAGATTGGATCCGCGAGGATCAACGACAAAATAGTACTAGATTAGGGGGAAACGACGCAGCGATAAGGTTGACAAGAGAAGAGTGGCGAATCAAGATGGCTGGTCACGTCAAAGTAGTTCGCACGACGATAAGACGGAGGTTATTTTGGAGCACCCCTAGGGGAGCAGTGCCCTTTTCATTACGGGAGCAGTACACCCCCTGGTTTTAACACTAAGCAGCATCAGTGTCTAGGTCTGGGAAAGTTGCAACGGGATCTGACTCGCCGGCCCAAAGGGTCGTTGATGCTGAGGAAAATGCGTCCTCAACTGGTGGGACGTGTACGGGCTTACATATCGATGGGCGTGAGGATGGCATGGGTGAACGAGCAACAAACGGCACCGGCCAAAGCGTATCTTGAATATGGCGCAACATCGTCGAGTTTGGTCAATGATTTGATTATCGACGGCTTGGGTGTATGCTTGGGTATTTGTGCCACAGCAACAAGAGACGAAGACGACGGAGGCGAAACTGGTGAGCGTTCCATGGTGCTGTAGATGGCATCAGTGCCAAGAGACGGTTGCTGGCAGGTGCAAAAGGTGGGTTACTGCCCGGATAGGAGAGCTCTTTTGAATGTGGCATGATCAAATCCTTGGCGCTACATACCACAGTACCCTTGCAACCAACATACGTAGTATGTACGACCCCACAAGCTCCCCACTAACTTTAAGTTTTGTATGCAGAATTCGATGGTGCACTCGCCCGTGTGGTGCCCTCGCCCGTGAAATACGTTACCTAGTCCGGTTAATCAGTCCGGTTGAAATAACCTCTCCCCAACGCTGCTCCGCATCCCGTCTTCAATGCAAGTATCGTTCGATGTGCCCTAGGCCAGCCTGAGGCCACTTCCCCGTTGGCGAACACTGACACATTTTGCTTGGCACACACCCCACGAAATGAAACACGGGGATGAATCTTAATTGGGCGGAGTTGGAACAGATAAGAATCAAATCAAGACGATCCCACCCAGGGAAAGGTGAATACCTGTTCGCACTGTGGCGGGAGACTTCCAAATTGTCCTGAAAGCTCCGACGGGACCCACTGTCACTGTCGTTGGCATTCAAGCGCCACATCATATGATTCCCCATAACTCCATAGAACGCCTTCTGTTGACGGCTCTGGCGTTAAGGCATGACTGAGTCAACACGTTTTGGCAATGGCCAGGTTCCCTGGCCTGAAAGCGACTGCATCTCGATTGCTGCATGTCGTAAGCTGCTGTCCTATGATTGCGACAGGGGTCTGTCTGCAACCCCCACTCACCCGGAGGATGTCGACGGCAGACTGAACCATACTCAGGCATGTGAGGCCGTCGTCAAGGAACATGTTGCCGATGTTTCTGAGCACGGCAGTCTCGTCTGGCAGAAGATCTAAAGTCGTGATCTCCTCAAAGCCGCTGTCCGAGCAGCCGATCCATAGGACCTGTTGCTTCGATTCGCCGAGGCTCGGGATGAAGTCCCGGCGGAGGCACGGCCTTGTACCGTGGGGCGGAAATGATGTAGGGCAGAGTGGGGTTGAGAAAGAGTGGGCTGAAGGAAGGTTTGTGGAAGTGGATGCCGGCGAGTGTTCATCCAGGAAAATATTTTCAGCCGAAGAATGCCATGGCTGTGTGAAAGAAAGGGATCCAGGCACGCGTCGCCCTCAGGCGTTGGTCGATTTTGTGGGGGCATCCATGCACCTCCCTTATCTCCATGCGGGCCACGGACCATGTCTCTACCGACCCGCGCCGAACACCGGAAGACACAAATGCGCACTTTTCCCAATTCCTGTCCGTGAAAACATGTAAGCGGGCAACCGTACTGTATCGATTCTTGACTCCCCAACAACACTCCTCGTTTGTCCATATCTTTAGTCCTCCCTTCGTCGTGGCTCAGAAGGTGGAGCTTTCTGCGTTCCACCCTCTTCCCTGCCTGGCCTTTCACTCCCGACTAACTGGCCATTGGCGCAGCAGATCAACATTATCCACCCGACAAAATGTTCATCACCCGTGCGATTTCCCTCACGAACTTCGTTGTTGCCACGTCGGCATTGGGCTTTCAGGTGTGCGTACTGTACCCATGGCACAAACAACTCGACGATGATTTTGAGGCATTAAAAAAGGAACATCTGCGGGTTCTCGATAAAGTCAAAGGCACCGCTGAGAACGCCAGCGCTGAAAAACGCCAGGGAATCCGAGAGATGCTCGGCAGTCTTAGTAGATGGAGGTTGTGACGGCCCTGACGGCCCGTGATAGCATTATTTCATGGCCATGGTTTCTCGACGGCAATCGACGTATCTCGAGAAACGCGTTCAATTGCAGTGCGACGCGTTTTGAGCACCCATGGCGGCCGACTATCACCAACTGCAACATGTCGCTGCCAAACCCACCCCAGGGCGGCCCTGGAGGAGGTCCTCCAGCTTCGTCATGTGACGAGATTATGCAGTCGCTTCGTCAATTTGCGAAGGAGCATGGGCACCAATGATGCTTAACGCCACGCTTGGCAATCCGGCGGCATTTCCGTCACCCCTCCACTCCTCCGTACAAACGCGCGCCACCGTTTTGAGTTGATTCGACTGGCGGTGTGTTACGCAGCAATTGCCCAAACCTTGCGAGTGTGCTGTTCCCTTCGAGAGCCCCGAATTCGTCTTACAAATAAGATAGGGATGACCTTCTTTCTGTCTTCTTAGTTCTCATTCACTGCATCCATCACCATGTCGCCCTCTGCCGATTCCGGAGGCGTCCGTGCTCAGCCCCTAGGACGATAAGGCGGGAAACTTCTTCTTCGCCTGCACGTTTGCCGCCTGTCCATCATTCAGCCCGGTAGTGACCGTCACTACCAGGGGCAAGTTGGGGTAAGCCCATAGTCAAGGCTGAGTCAGCGGGCTGAGGGTTAGCTCGAGTGACGACCACTACCATGACAGTCATTACCAGGGGAAACAGGGGGTGCGCGCCCCCTGCCTCAAACCCCGGGACCTGGGGTAAGGACTAGGGGTTAAAGGGGGCTGCGCGAGAGGGAGTAATTGAGGGGAGAGAGTGAGAGAGGGAAGTAGGCGATACGTATTTCCTGGTTTGCAAAATACGCTAAACTGGTTGAGCTACAATACATTCGGCCGTGGCAATGACGACTATAAGCACCAGCTTATCGGCTATGGCAGTGCGCTACGAGTCTGACGGCGGCGTTACTGGGGGCCAGGTCGGTCTGCTAAGCTGGTCTGCGAGCACCGGCGGCGGCGGCGGGAGTAGCGGTGGTCCGGAGCACCGGGTCCTGATCTGCATGTCGTGTAGGGTCGGGATTCGGCCAGGCGACGGCGTACAGCTGCACTTCTGGCGGATCCACCGCCTAAAGGGCGAGGTGATGCGACAGATCCTCGATTACAGCTACACGGCCGAGCCGATCGCCAACCCACAGGCCGTCCCGGTACCCACCGACGGTTCGCCTTACGTGGAGCAGCTACCAATCATCGACGGCCTCAGCTGCTCGGACTGCCGCTTCCTTACGACGAGCCGGAAGCTGATCAGGGTCCACCGCTCGCAGTCAGGACACGACAGTACCTGGAAGGAGGTACGACTTCAGATCTTATCGCGAGGAAGCCGCGCTCGGTACTGGGTAGTCGAGCAAGTACAGGGTAGCATAGGACCTGACGGGACGACTAGCCTTAGGTCCACCGCCTCCGGCTCCCCTCAACGTCTGCTAGCAGACCGTCTTACGAGATACGAAGAAAGCCTGGCGGCCGAGCTAGAGGAGACGCGGCGGATAGTTGACAGCCGGCAAGGGCCTGACTTCGAGTCGACCTGGGTTCGCGAGATGGGCTGGGCGAGACACCTCGCCGGGAGCGACATGGGCGTGCACTTCCGGACGAGCTTGAGCGCCCTATCTGCTGCAGCGCGCGCCAAACTCCGGGGCGATGCAGAAATTATTGAACAGGACCGCCTCCTCCGGCTCGGGGCGAGCTTCGAACGGCTTATCGCGAAGGCTCTCGAGCGGACAGCGCAAGTGCCGAACGAGGTGCTCCGCTACCTAGCCAACTATCCGCTCGATAATAGGTGCGAAACGATCCCTGAAATGGCTGAAAAGGACGCTGCGCCAAGGCAGATTGGGGGCATGCCTGTTGGCAGATCCGGCTTTGCCCCTGCTCTTGCATGAGCTGAATGAGTGCTCCCAACCCTACTTCCTCGAGAGCCTGATGCTCATCTCTTTTCTTTGCACAAGGCTTCCTGCCTTTCATTCATCAGTCGATTTTGTATTTGGTGAACTTGGGTCAGAATAGATCAAGCAAGTCGTATCTGGCGGCGCTAAACGATTGGTTGCAAGCTGTCGCGTCTGGTGATGACCGAGGCCGACCTGGCCGCAGTTCGGCGCCTGGATGAGCTTGGTGGAAAGGGTGGTCACCAGTGTGCGCCACAATGGCAAGAAGAAACTCAGCTGAAAACCAGGGATGCATAGATTTATCTGGGTGCCATCGCTGCAGGGGGTCCAGGAACGGCGATGATCGGCGGGGTTCAATGCAACTGGTTCTGTGTGGTCCCTTGCATGAAGTTTACGCACGCGGGTCAATACCGCCTCGAATCTGCCAGCGCATTCATCCCCAGTCATCGCCTAAGATCGGGCAAAGGGCCGAAGCCACACGGCGCCGGCGGCTAATCTCTCGTTCCAGTCCCGCTGATAACACAGTAGCCTGCTTGCCCGTCCTGCACCTGCCATCTCAAGTCGTCGAGGGACCCTTGGCAATGCGGGAGGGAACGGCTGAGAAAGATGTCAAGATTTCTTGTGCCCATGAATCTTGAACGGACAATCCAAAGTGCATGACATCCGCCAGCTCTCAATTTCCAACCCACTTCATGCGATTTCCACACTCGCACCGAAGCTCAGAAGACGCGGGCTACGATGGCAGAGCGCTTCTAACCGGCGGATATCGCGGCAACTACAGCAATCCTTCAGTTCGAAGCTTGTCGAGCGACCGAAGACTCCATCGGCGCTAGAGCCACCCCTCCAGTTTGTCTCAGTTCATCACAAAGCTTGGGCGAATCTCCGCTAAACGCCGCTCGCGATGTCAACATCATCCGAAGAGCTTACCCCTTACCTAGGGCAAGTCGTCCCCTTCTCAGTAAATGCTGGCCTTCTCGCGCTCAGCTATATCGTCAGTCTCATCGGAGCCGGATCAACACTTGAGTTGATCAACCGGCGGACGTCTCGAAGAGGGCTTTACAACCAGTCAGTCTCTCCGTGCGCAAAGCTGCTATGGGATACTTCCGCTAATCCCAGGCCAGCATGCTTCTATGTGGCGCAGCCATCTCGATGGGAGGCATTGCGATCTGGTCCATGGTGCGCTGGGCTGTCTTCCGTCCTGAAGCTCGTTCATAAGTACTGACGTGTCCTCAGCATTTCGTAGGTAACAGAGCAGTCACTCTCCTCAATGGAGAGCCAGAGCTGCAAATAGCCTACTCGGTCCCTATCACGGCCCTCTCCTTCTTCGTGCCCATTGTCGTCCTCCTCGTCGCATTCCTCGCCGTGTCGACGACGAACAAGGTATACTGGTGGCGCATCGCCTTGTCGGGATGCCTATCCGGGTGCGCCATCTGCGGGATGCACTACCTCGGCAATGCATCCATCAACAACTACCGATGCATTTACGCCGTCGCCAACGTCGTGGGCGCCGCCGTGATCGCCGCCGCTGCGAGTACTGTCGCCCTAGCGCTATTCTTTGTGTTCAGAGTGGCATGGACGAACTCGCTGTGGAGGAGAGTGGGATGTGCAATCGTACTGGCTGGTGCAGTGTCGGGCATGCATTGGTGTGCCGCGATGGGCACGAGCTACGAGTTGCTGCGCTTAAACTTGAAGGAGAGTGGCTCTTCTCGGGATACAACCGTCATCCCGGTTATATGTCTCGTGAGTCTCAGCCCATTCCGCCAACTTGAAAGTGCTAACAGTCTTCCTCTGCAGTCAATTGGCGCCTGCTTCATCATGGCAGGCATAGCGATTTACTCGGCACGGATACGCAAGGGCTATGCAAGTAAGGCCCAGCGAATAGTTCTCGCTTCTGCAGTGTTCGACAAACGGGGGAGGATTCTAGTCACGCCCGATGGCGTGCTCCCCAGTGAAGAGATCACAGACTCTTTTCTCCAGAAGGTGGTGGAGTTGCCTTACTACCAATATAGTTGCAGATCGACTAACAGTGGCTTAGTCTCATGATGCTGTCTTCAGCACGGCACATCCGCTCTTTCACTGGATGTTCCGGGCATCTCGAGAGTGGTCAAGTCTCTTGCCCCTAATTGGGCGTATGAACAGTCATTTGGCCGGCCTTCCGCACAAACCAGGCAATAACAGAAGTGGGATAAAGTTGATTCATGAGGATGGCAAACTAGCAGACAACTACGATATTATATTCCGCGAGCTATTCTGCCTGGCTGCTGCTACACTGGCTGAGAAGATGCGAGAGAGTCTGACGGATGTGGGCATATTGTGGGATGAAATCTTCGCCACAGGTACGGCGTGCTGAAGTGTCCTGTTCATGGACAAGAATCGCTGATACTATATAGGAACACCCTGTCCCGCTTCCCGGGACGGCGACGATTTGGCTCAGAAGCGACAGGGTCCTCGCTCCCGGGAGTATGCTCCGGGATCCCTAATGATTCTGGTACGCCGGGTGGAAAGCCAGCGTCTTGTTGATAAGCTGGGAGCAATGGGATACCTCTTTGCAGAGGTGCGTCAGGTGTCGCACATTATCGGCACCCGGATGCAGATCAAGACTGCTAATCTCGAAGATAACCTACGGGTAATGTCCAACAGTTTACAGGACACGATGCTGGACCCTGGAATTCACCTCGGTCTCTTTGCTGTCCGAGCCCGACTAGACAACCGCGGATTCGACGTTCTAGTCAGAAAGGAGGCGCGCAACCTCCTCCCGACCACGAAGCTATCCTTGGAGCGGCTCGAGGAGTGGCAGGTGGTTTTCCTGCGCCGCCTGGAGGGTCTGAACTTTGCTGCTGCTGTGGAGAAACTAGACCGAATGAAAGGGGACTGTTCGCCACAGGAGGCACAGCTAGTACGCATCCTCCTGAACGCCATGAAAGTGTTCCGAAGCTCAATCAGCGATCCGGTTTTCGACACGGCAACTCTGTCGTCGACAATCGTTCGCGTACCCTGTCGTCCAGCCACTGATGTCGCTCGGCCGATGAACTGCTCCCTCCTCACATTCAGCATGGTGCTGCCAATCCACGCCGGACCCACTGTGCACAAGTTCAAGTTCATCCCCCTCCAGTTTTTCAAGACGCACCAGCTCGTATACAAGAACTCGCCGTGCCACGCTGCTTTCGCGCGGGACGTGCACCGCGAGATGTCATCTGTGCTGAACTCAGTGTCAGTCGGCCCTCCGCCACTCGTTCGCTCGGGGACGTCACCCCCCGCGCGCCGAATGATGTCGCCTTTCTCCAGACTCAGACGTCAACAAGGGAAGTACCGCTTCGGCGCCGTCGATGCGGCGGGCAACATCATCTCGACCAGTCAAGAGCGCCTTTCGACGACGATCTTCGACAAACTGAGCATCAAGAGCAGCCAGGAGCACGACCCAATGTCGCCAATGCTGCTGGGCGGAGAGAAACTGTCAGATGATGGGCAAGCGCTTCCGATGGGGTATCCTCAGCACCACCAGCAACTACGGCTCGGTGGGATCATGGTCTCGCAGGAGATTACTGTTGACGTTCAGGAAGTCAGCAGAGTTGAGCCGAGGAGTCTTCCGGCGGCATATACGCCCAGCGATCACCGACGGATTCCAACGGTGTTGGTACGGTGGAAGGGTAACCAGGGGGTGGCGGGTAAAGGCGACAGGACGAATCGTGAAAGTCTCGGGAGTGGTGGGGGACCCGGTGAGCAGGAGTCTGCTATCGAGATGAATGACGTGACTGGTGTTCTTCGTTTCGGGTCGTCGAATGTCGAAGTCAAGAAGGAGGATGAAGAGGTCACTTTCGTAGAGGAACTGTTTGCAGCCTGCATGGGTGAGATAGTGAAATAATGCCTAATACAGAAGCAACTAAAAATATCCGGACATCAGCTCGGCCTCTGAGTTGTACCGAATGACTCAGGCTCTGAGGAGGAGGGGGCGTCGTCGGTGGAGGCGTCTGTTAGGCTACGGTAAAGAACCTTGAGTGGTTGTCGGCCACGGCGTTCCTGTGTCTATGTTAATACGTTTCTGGGTTCGTTGATTCGAGGCTCCGCGATTGTCGGGTCTGTCGGCTGCTGCACCCATCACCGCTCTCGCGATTTGTTTTGCTTTTTTCTGCTGCAGGAGGTCTAGAATGTCGTTTCTGGCCCCGGTAGACGCCACTGGTCTACGGCTGAACTGGCGGGCGCGCAATATTGTCCGATCCTGTGCGTTAGCTTTATGTGTAGCTGCATGAGGCAATCCGAATTGGGCATTCAGCCCTTTTTGGCTCAAGCTCAACTTTTGTCGCCGGTGAGGTCGCTGACAGACTTCTTTGCCGGGTCGGATACCACTGGAGCTGGTGTGTCGCCCGCAACAGCAATGTACGTTGCCGGTCACCACCTCAGAGTTCCGGCGATCCTTTGCTCGACCCCGATGATGTTCACGACCCGGGCCATGACTGCCTTGATGGGCATGTAGCTGACGCCGTCTGGGACGAGAGTCAGCTCCGAGTGGTTGGAGGTCGTTGATTCTGGCGCATTACCCCAGTCATTAGTGGTGGCTTATGCTCCGTACGCTTAGTTTAAAATAATCGAGCTTGATGGCATCTGTGTCTCGGCATCACCTGAGAGTAGGGATTTTCTCCTTTGCAATATGGCCTTATTCATTGTGCAGTACTACATAGCTTGGCTTTCATGTGCTCTGAAGAAGACGAAATGTGTCTAGTCCAGTGGTACTTCTATCACCTGGATTATGGCGTCGTACCGATTCTTGCGGTTTGCTTATAGCCGAAAACCTCAGCCATTCTGCAGGAGATCTACAGGAGGAACCTCTTAGGAAGCCAGTTTGAGACGAGACAGTGGCAACAATCATTTGAGCGTCAACTTGCGGCCCAGATGATGCGAACTCCGCAGCGACAAGCGGCGAGTTCGTGTTCTAGAGTAACCATATAGACACTAGATTCTAGAAGATTCAACCTGCTGTCATCAATTTCCTTGTCAGCGCATGGCGCTCATTGATCGCTTGCAGTATGCAGCTGCGCCGAGATGCGGGCTTCAGGGCTTGGCGAGTTGTCATCAATTAATTAGCTACAGGCAAGTTCACCAGAAGCCGCATCCTGTCGTTTCAATCACGACCAGGCGATGCGCCAAGAAATTAAGACTTGTAATGCCGTGTCGTTATACCTACCTACCTGTAGGTACTTATGTAATCACTTGACCATGTTTGTACGGTTGCTGATCGTGCTGGGCGTGTCCCAGTCCCCGATATGCTATTTTTGGACGCCCTTTCAGTCCCGTTCTAGAAGGTGGTGGGCCCGCTGTTTCATGGGACGGGCTCTGGTTTACAGGCAACTCAAAGCCATAATTCAGAGACGGTTTAGGGTTTCCAGCATTCGGATTACCAATAGCGATTATTTAAGCAGAGCGCTACAGCCTTTTTAAAGTGTTAAGCTGTGCTTCCACACGCATGCATCAACGTCAATCCTTCGAGATCACACCAAGCTCTGTCCTTATCAACACATCTGATTCGCTAATGACAATGCCGGAGCGTCAGTATTCTCCAAACGAGGAGACCACCACCCGTAAATGGTTTGAGTCAGGTCAGAGCTTATTTGACAGGGTGAGCTTGCATGGAGTCTTACTTAAGTTCACGTTAGACTGACCTCCGGAATGGGCATAGTGGCTACTATCGCGTCAGAGAGCAGAGCCCGTACCTGGTGCGGTTGATGTCTGTGAAGCCTGCGGCGACAGTATCAACGCCCCAGAACAAGGACGCATTATTCTCGCTTGCAAGTGCTCATACCACCAGGATTGTTTTGAAGGCCTTAACGGAAATCCCCCCGGGGCAGGCTACAACTGTGAGGAACCCAGATTCTCAACATACGGTTATATATACTGGGACAAAGATCATCCTGAGATCTTTATTGATTTGGGGATCGATGAGTCCCTCCGGTGGGATCAACAGATAGAAGCAGATCCGCTTTGCCATTTACTCAAAGACGAAGAAGAGGCCTGTGCCATATGTAGGGATACTCTAGTCCCGAGAGAAGTCAATCTCCATACTACAGTTACCTCTTGCAAGCATTACTATCATGCTCGATGCTTGGAGGACTGGGCCCGAGTCTGCGAAAAGAATGAGAGCGACTTCTATTGCCCCCTATGTTACGCAGAAATTCGAGAATTGTGGTTGTTAGGGCGATGGGTCTCAAGGGATAATTGGGTGGACCATCTGGGCGCATTCGAAGGCTATTTCGCTCCAAAGGCTTTTATGTCCGGCCGACTCTACGGTACAGTCAGTCCAAACATATGTACCAGCCGATGCCACTAGCCACAGGTAGGCTTGAAAGCCGACGGGCCACAGCCACGGCAGCTCACTACATACACAGCCACGTCTTGACGTGTCACGAGGCGGTAGGAAGCAATGAGATAACGTGTTCAGAGATGCCGCCATGGAGATATCGCAGATGCCGCGAGAGCTGGCAAACTACGCGCACCAAGTGCTGCAGGTATGGCAGGCGGAGCAGTTGATCATAACCATGGCTTTTCAGCCCAGCACTGGGCGATCAGCATACCGAGGGGCGGGGTCTGTAACGGGATGAAACCTTCGCGTCTCTCCATACGGTGTGGACGATGGGTGACAGACACTCGCTCGTGGCGTGCTGCTGTGACGCTGCCTTAGAGGCCAGATTACGGAAAGACGAGGGCATAGCCATTTTCTGCTACCTCATCTATGAGTACAAGGTCAATCACCTACCTTCTTTTGATAAAAGGGGGGATGGACTCAGCAGGAGTGAGAAGATGTCAGCAGGGAGGTCAAGGCTGACTTAGAGAACGTCGCCACGAGCGCACGGCTATCATGAGGGATAAGCCAGACCGGCAGTTATCTTGCGGACCTGTTCCGCCCGGAGAGGACACTCTAGGCCTGCCTGTGTACATGACTACACTCGTTTGCCAAAAGTGTGCGACATCGTCTCATGTCAGGTCATTACTCATCGGATTATTCCCAACGCCACTTTGGCCGAGCTACGCCGCTAAGTGGGGCCTCCCAGTCTTGACCTCCACCGCCGCCGTCCGCCCCGGCTCCGCCCTTGCATGCGTGGTAACTTGCCCCGCCGCCGGCGATTCCACGACCCAGTACCGCGTGCGGTGCCTTGCCGACACTGCAGCCGCACCTGTTTCCAGTACGCGTGGCCTATGCCTGCCGAACACTCGCTGTGGCTGGGATCACGGCTGGCCGCCTCTCTAGCCCGGTACTTCTGAATCTCGTCCCGGCTTCTCGCGGAGCTGCGTGATAGCTGGACTGCCGTCCGCCGGGAGCTCTGCCTCGTATGGGTCCACGAGCCCTCCGAAGCCTTCTACTGCTGCTGCTGCCGCCGCCGCTGCTGCCGCCGCTGCTGGTTTGACCGCCCGTAGCTGGCCGCCCTTGAGCCAGTGCCTCTGTCGGTAGTTGGTAACCAGACCGCCTACGGCCGCTGGGATGCCCGCCTCACATAGCGTGCAGATCAGTACGCGGCTCGCCTTGTGGAGATATAGATCTGGCGTCGCTGTGGGCTCTGGCTCTGTCGTTGTCGTGGCTTTCGCGTCCTGCTCCTTCTGCGCGACGCTGCTTATGATCGCTGTCGTGATCGCCTCCCTGGCTGCTGCGGTCCATTGTGTTTATTGCCTGAACCTGCGATTCTCGGGGCTGCTTCTAAACTTCGACTCTTGCGTATATCTTGGTTAGAGACTATGAGCTGGTATCATAGTTCGCGCCCGCGCGCGTCCGTTTCATCCTCCTCCTCCCTTACACTCCCTCCCTTCACCCCCGGGCTAGTCCCATTACGCGTACGCGCTCATCTTGTTATTACCCGTCACTCGCTTTCCTTTTTGCTCCACCTGGACGCACGGGCTGGGCTGGGGGTTAAGGTTAGACCCCTGCTTGGGGTCGTGGGCGTCGTTCTGACAAGCTTGCCGCGCAGCCTGCTAAGGCTAATCAGATCAACTACCCCTGGCTCTTGATGATCTGCATTCTCTTCCGCTCGTAGCGTCTCGTAGCGACCCAGTTATCGACGAACATAGAGAAGAATACAACCAAGATGACGCCTGCGGCGACGAGAGGCCCCAGGATGGAGAAGACTGTGAAGCCGTACGGGACAGACTGGAAGGCGTCGCTGTTCTGGAGTTCCGTCGCAAGGCCGACTTGCATGGCCGTCAGGACAATGGCGATGTAGACGGTCGAGCTGGCCAGCCAGGCAAAGCTGTCGCCAAAGAAGGAGCCGTACCGGGTCCAGCGAGACATGTAGCGGCGAAGCGGGGTCTTCCAGAGGAAGTATATTTTGTTGAGCCGACTGAGGCGGAGCTCTCCGTAGTGGAAACGCGGATCGATCGAGGAATAGATGTGCTTCGTTCCCAGCACTTCCTTGACGACCGTCCTCCACGACTGCCACTGCACCTCTTGGGGCAGGAGGCACTTCTCCTTGGCGATGTGGAAGTCGCTCTCGTGGACATCGGCAAGTCGCCGCAGATCGAGCTCCGCGTCGACGCAGGTAACCATGGGGGAATGGGCAGGGGTCGTCAGGTCGTCCGCCGGGGTCCGGCTCAAAGCGGGCAGCAGGTCTACGAGACTGGTCTCGACGCGCCCCGCCGCGACCTTCCCCGCCGCAGTGTCGTGCTCTAAGGCTCGGTGGGTGAAGGGGGCCAACTGTTAGAGGCTGGTCAGCAACCGCGGGTCTCTGGACGGAAGCGAAAAGGTGGCCCACTTGGCTTGTTTGTACTGCCATCGTTGACGGAGACGTTTGATAATCGTGTTGCTCGATGGCAGGTCGGAGGCACGACTGCGAGTGAGAATCATCGCATGTGCATCTTCAGGCCAGCCATCGGGGACGGGCGGCTGACTTCTGATGTACTGGGCGTACACGTGCTCTTTTTGGACCCTGCAGGCCAGGTGCCAGGAACCAATCACCACGGCGTTGCTCCTCGTGTCGCCAACTGCGGCCCAAACAATACGATGACTGGGCACGAAGGAGCGCTATGTGGGACTGGCAGCCTGCTTGGTATTGAAGGTTCGCACCAGGGAACTCACGTTGAGACGCCCTCCTCTTTGTCCAACCGCATCGCAGCCTGCCCGCCACTATAGCACGCTCTTGGGCACTGCCATGCAACCAAGACGCAGTCTTCAGGCGCTGGTGGTGTTCAGAAGACTAGAAAAACTCGTCCCACCAGATCTCCGCCACGACTGTTCTGTAGCTATAGCAAGGTCATGTAGTGGTAAAGGGAACTTGGCGAGCGTGGTGCATTAAATGTTCGGATGGTTCCACACTCGGCCGACGTGAGAGCCAACTACCTGTCTGTTTTACTGTGAAAATCGTGCCTAGAACATTGAGCGCAATTGAGATGGAGTTGGGTCACCATAGCAACCTTATTCGTCCCTCGAAGCATCGCCTCCCGATTCCGCTTTGCGGATACCCTGCAGCGTGGAGAAAGTAATGTCCCGACGTTACCACAACCCAGGATCGTGCTTCCGGCCATCCGCGGAGGTCCCCCCTCGAGGATGTTCAGCCCAAAAAAAAAATTGAGACATGTAAAATTTCTCGTACTCGGTGATCTGCAAAGTTTCGGGGCTTCCGTGATCTGCAAAGTTCCGGGTAGCTCCCGCCTTGAAAGCTGCTACAGGCTCTACAATGTTGGGAAAGAGCCGTAAATGCTTGAGATGACTGAGTTCGTATGTGGCTGACTGCACTCCTTTCCAAGAAACCATTAACTCTCCGATACCCCTCATTTGTTGTTATCGTGACGGTCTCATTTAGCAGCAGCTGATGGATTAGATGGCACAGATCACGAAAATGAGAAGCAGGTGGTAGGCTTATGTCAGGCATTTAATATGAGTTTCCCCGCTTCCCCACCAATCTGCAATAACTTTATCTCAACGTCCCTCCGACGAAAAGGTGGCCAGTGACGAGTGCACAGCTGCCCATGGGGAAACCGACAACCAACTCTATCTTGCCCAACCTCCAAGCCCTACAGGCAATTAGATCAGCCTGGCGTTGCCGGAACCGCCGGCAAGTCCTTGGTTGTAACCCGCCGCCTCTCTTCCGCGACCTAAGAGCCTCTCTTTTCCACTGTCAAGCCCCGCCATCGGCCTGGCATTCCAGATGGCCTGGGTGTCCAAGGTGCACTTGGCCAGCTTGGCTGTGGTGCTGGCCTCCGTCATGCTGTCTCCCGTCGTTTTCGTTTTAAGGCTCTTTCGTCGTAATAGAGAGAGCCGTCCCGACGGACTCCAGGTCGTCTCTGACCCCAAGGATGCCAAATTCGAGTAAGACACGCTCCCGTCTTATCATCTAACGTCCCGCTAAGGTTGCCAGAATCGTCGCAGTCCACGGCCTCGGCGCTCACCCAGAGTACACATGGAGGTGCCAAGCTCCAGCCAATTCGACAGACGCAGCCAGCGTACAGCGCGTTCACCTGCTCAAAGACCTTCTGCTGCCCGACTTCCCGGCTGCCAGAATCCTAAGCTTTGCCCACAACTCAGACTGGCTCATTAATGCCCCCGTTAAAACGGCCCAGGAGATCGGCTACATGCTCCTGCAGCAGTTAAAATGCCACCGATCAAGGCATCCGGTACGATTTCGCGAATGCCTCTACATAGCATTGCTGACGCCTGTGCCAGCGCATTCCGATCATCTTCATCGGTCATAGCTTCGGTGGTATCATCATAAAAGAGGTATGCTAGCTCCCACTTAGCCTATTGCGCGCCTAGCTCTAATGATCTTTCTCAAGGCTTTGTGTCAGCCCGGCGACGACTCACAGGATATCGCTGACGATACATGTGGCATCGTTTTCCTCGGAACTCCTCATCAGGGCTCGCCAGTGTCTGTTTTCGGTGCTGCTGCGGCCTTCCTGACCGGCTTCCTAGGGTCTAAGAATACCCTTCTCCTTTCTCTGAGGAATCATCGTCTACAGCTCGCTGACCTAGAAATCCGCTTCCGACGCCGTATGAATCTTACAGAAAGCAGACGACAAAAAACCGAGATAGTCTCCTTCTGTGAGAGCATGGATACCTACTTGCTCGGATGGCTCTGGATTGGTCCAGTAAGTGCGGGTACAACGCATATCCGACGCTAGCTAACCTTGCTCGAGATTGTTACCCCCGATTCAGCACAAGGCTACGCGGCTCAGATCATTTCGATCGACACCGATCATTCTGGCCTCAACAAATGTAGCCGACGAGAAGATCAGCTGTACACTGAACTCAAGAAAGTGCTAGACAGACTTAAACCGTACGTAATTCCAGCTAATTTCTCTTGCAATTCCAGTTAACATTGCAGAAGCACTAGCGAGCCAACCTTGAACGCCAACCAGCGGTATGTTGTGGCGAATCTGAAGGTTGCAGAGGGCGCCACATTCGACTCGAAGACCGAGGAGCACGAGGCGAGATGCCTTGACGGCACCCGTACCGGAGTCCTCCAACAGATTTACAAATGGGCGAACGACAGGGAAGGAAAATGCATATACTGGCTGCAGGGCCAGGCTGGCACCGGCAAGTCCACGATTTCTCGCACGGTAGCGCACGAATTCGCCGCTCGCGAACGTCTTGGCGCCAGCTTCTTCTTCAAGAGAGGCGAAGGCGACCGCGGTGGAGCTTCCCGCTTCTTCACCACGGTCGCTGCGCAGCTCGCTTGTCGCATTCCTTCCATGGCGGAGCACATGCGAAACGCAATCGAGGCCGATCCCAGCATCAACGAAAAGTCGATAAGAGACCAGTTCAAGAAGCTCCTTCTGGAACCCTTGAGGGGGGCTCTAGATTCGCAGACTCCTTTGAGGACAATGGTCGTCTTGATAGACGCACTTGACGAGTGCGACCAAGAGAGACAGGGGAGAGATGTTACAAATATCATTGGCCTCTTGCCAGAAGCAAAGCTGCTCTCCGTCCGCCTGAGATTCTTCGTCACAAGCAGGCCTGAGCTGCCTATTCGGCTCGGATTTAAGGACATCAGTGGCAGTTACGAGGATCTGATTCTCCACCAGATCCCCCAGCCCGATATCGAGCACGACATCACCGCATTCCTGGAGCACGAATTCACCGAGATCCGGAAGTGTTATAATAAATCTGTCACGCCAAACCGGCAGCTACCTCCCAATTGGCCTGGCGCAGCAACCGTTCAGAAGTTGGTTGATATGGCTATCCCCTTATTCATCGTCGCCGCGACCGTTTGCCGCTTCATCCAAAATCGAAACATTGGTGGCCCGAAGGAACAGCTGGCAAAAATCCTGGAGTACCAGGCAAGCCGGAAATCTAATTTGGACGCAATCTATCTCCCTGTACTGGAACAGTTGCTGGTGGGGCTCCCCGAATCGGAGAAGTGCCAAGTGACAGAAAGATTCAAACAGTTCATCGGCTCCATCGTCCTCCTGGCCCACCCTCTTTCGACATCTTCTCTCGCACGCCTTCTAGCGGTTCCTCTTGACGCCATCGAATATCAACTAGACCTACTCCACTCCGTTCTGAGCATCCCATCAGACTCGGGGATGCCGGTACGGCTACTCCACCTATCCTTCCGCGACTTCCTCGTTGATCCTGAGAAGGGTAAAGAACAAGACAAATACCCCTTCTGGGTCGACGGACGGCAAGCCCATGAGCGGCTGGCGACCCAGTGCCTACAGCTGCTATCGACAGGCGATACCCTCAAGAGAGACATCTGCGGTCTGCGCCTGGCAGGAACGCGCCGGTCTGAAGTCAAGCAGCGGATTATCGACGACGGCCTGCCGCCTGAGGTCCAGTACGCCTGTCGGTATTGGACCTACCACTGGAAGGAGAGCAAGTGTAGGATTCGGGACGGCGACCTCGCCGACCGTTTTCTGACCGACCACCTCCTTCACTGGCTCGAAGCGTTAGGCCTTTTGGGGCGGGTCTCGGAGAGTATCGGTATGGTGGATGATTTGCTAGGTTTACTCGATGTGCGTTCTCCTACTACCTTTCCGGTTTAGTTGCGTAACGTCCTGACTTTTATATAGCGGGAAAAGAGCAGCAACATCTTCGCGTTTCTGATTGATACGCGGCGGGTAATTCTGAATCATTGCTCTGTTATCGATGCATCGCCTCTTCAAGTCTACTCTTCGGCTATCGTGTTCGCACCACAGCAAAGCGTCGTCCGGAAGAGGTTCCGAAACCAATTTCCGGCTTGGCTTTCTCTGCCGCCGCAAGTAGATTCGGATTGGGGCGCCTGCACGGCAACGCTCGAGGGCCATAGCGACTCGGTCTCGTCGGTCGTATTCTCGCACGACGCAACGAAGCTGGCATCAGCATCTGACGACAAGACCATCAAGCTCTGGGATGTGGCAACGGGCGCCTGCAAGGCGACAGCGACACTCGATGTCAGCACATATATTACTCACCTTGCCTTTGGCGCAACTGGCTCCTCCCTCTCCACAAGCATCGGCACTTTTACTTTAAGCAGTGCATCCCCGTTAGCGTCATCGCCTTCGCCGTTGTTGATTTCGGCGACGCCGACGACAGTACCATCGGTATCAACTCCTCTCCCACAATTTGTCGATCGCCGGGGCGTCGGGCTCAGCAAGGACCGCACGTGGGTCACTTGGAACTCGCACCAGGTCCTATGGCTACCCCAAGCGTACCGACCGGGAAGTTCTTCTGTAGTAGAATCGACGCTGGCCATAGGATGTCCGTCAGGACGAGTAATCTTCGTAGCGATCTCACCTGGCCAAGATCATTGTATATAGCACTTTCCCTGCAGCCATTTCGAACAATACAAAGCAGTGAAGTCATAAGTGGCGGCTAGCCTATCGTTCGATTAAGTATCTCTCTTTCTCGTCGACCAGTGGTACATAAATATACGCTATTTGCTCTCACTGGCGTCAGCAGTCACGTCAGAACCTGCTCAAATGGATCTAAGTATCGCCCAGGGTCATGATCAAGATCGTATTCGAAGTCGCCACCGGCCAGCGGAGCCCAGATGGTACACACCTCCGACCGGACGGTCAGTGGATCTCTCGACGAAGAGGATGTGGGGCCATCGTTGGGCTGGTAGCCTCTCTGCTCAGCCTTTATCGGACTGGATATGCCAGCCAGCGAATCAGGTTGCGTGCTAATCATCTTGGATGAGGACTCTAGCTTCTTGAGGCCCTTAGCCTGATCGGTTGGTTAAACTGCTGTCTTCTCTATCTCTTATCTCTTACTTCTTTTCATAGCGTGCCACCAGAAGGGTGCGGGAGGCCACGCAATCTTATACTCGGTTTAACTGTTCCAGCGCCTTCCATTGTCTCTCGCCACCGACAGACCTACATAAACCGGTGTGCCACTTAGGTAAGCCATGCTGACAAAAGGTAGAGTACTGTACAGTACTTTAGGCCGTGGGAACAGCACGGTGTAAGCGCCAAGGGGCCCTAAAGCGCGACCCCTGATATTAAAACATTGATGCAAAAGCGGAAGCCGATTTCGCTAGTGACTGTAACAAATTAAGCAAACGCGCTGTAGAAACAGTCCTTCTGAAGCTGCATCGTCCCTACGGCCGGTTAAGGGTAGTGCTCAGCATGTACATAGGAAATAAGCGTATTCCTTTAGGTCTTAAAACCCCGTGTGTAGGTACTTTCTATTGGGGCTAGGTGTGACGACCAGCCAACAGGGGACGGTTGTTTGTCCTTAGCACAAACAATGCGGTCGTAGGTTCAGGTCGTGGACAAAGGCGGGACCAGCGGAGGCCTAGTTGTGACTGCCGCACCAACAGGGGACGATTGTTTGGGCAGAACAAGGAACCAGGCCGCAGGGTCAGGCCGCGGACAAGGGCGGACGGCAGTCACATGTTTCTTACGTAATCACGATAAGGATACCACCGGTCGTGCATGAAATGCATGACCGTCGGGGCCGCCAAGACTGAAGGTCACCAACCAACAGGAATGACCATCGCCAGCAGTCAGGCATGACCATGCACGACCATCCCGAGAGGCATTGATGAAGGACAAATACATAGAATAAGGATCTCCTAGAACAGACTGTCACTGCCTTTGTACTTCAGCAATCAATCTAAGTATCATTCTAACCCTACACTTGACCTAGTCACTCAATTGTTCGAGAGTGAAATCTCTTCCAAGAGACACGACAAACCCCAAGAGAAACGACAGCAGGAGTTAGTAACATTGCAAAGGCTTACCAATCTTTCAGAACAGCAACACCAGCGCCCTGCCAGACGGCTGACCCCGGAGGCAGGATCGTGACACGCCTTTCCAAGGTGTAGGAGTCTAGTAGGCGGGTTCGAAGGGATATCTATAAGGGCTACTAGTACCGCATAGTTGGTATCCTCGAAGACCTGCGGCCATCCCGTCTGGTCAAGCCATGGCTTGCTCTGAGAGATAGCAGTCCGTCTATTATTTGGGTCTTTCCTTGCCGTGTCAAAGTCCGAGACAATAGGCTTTCTAGGCGTCTGGAGAGAATGCCGTTTAGCTACACGGCCGGGCACTGACCGGACTGTACTCCCATCTGCACCAGTAACGGTCCAATATCGTCGATCAGGCCCGCCCGCCCAAGACTGTAGGTAGACGTCGTCGTAGAGAAGGCTAATTCGCGGCCGGGTCGCGGTTTCCCCGTGAAGGTTGTTATGAGAGAGGTGCCTTGTAAGCTCGTGGAAGCTAGTCGTAAAGAAGACGCACTTGCGGTAGCTGAAGCTATTATAGGTCTGGAGATCCGGATGGGGTTTGGAAGCACAAGGCGGCAGAGCTGCATCTGTAGGTTTGCGAAAGCCTTGAGAGTAGTTATCGCGTATATGCTCCGTAAGGCCTAACCGGTCGGCTAGCGGAACGCTATGCTTATTCTAGAGGTGTGCAGTCACTTGGGCTCCATCTGGTGAGATAGCGTGTCGGCACTCGATTCGACGGCAGATGAGAACGTGGTATTCTAGATCGGCGGAGAGTTGTAGGTACGTGAATACCTGGTCGGGACTACTATCGTCCTCCGCCCTCGTGGCTGGTCTGATTAGCGATCGGTTCCGCATCGTCGTACTATAGGTCGTCTTCGTAGTACCGGCATTCTGGACTATCGGTGGGTCGTATCTAGTGAAGAATCGGGGTAAATTTGGGGTTAAGAAGTGGACTCAAATCTACTGAGAAAAGGGGCTGGAATGAGACGGATCTACTACGTGCACAGGCCTATCGTAGGATATGACATGTCTAACATGAGAATGAGAGAGACGTCGAGGTGTGCACGGTTGTTACTGCATATGTGGGTATGTGGACCCCTCGAAGTTGACTCAATTAGGGGTGGAATAAGACAGTAGGATGCCTCCGCGCACGGGGTGGGTAAATCCTTACTTCGAAGACCTGATTCACTAACCGCGCTTGCTAACGACAGCTCGCGTAGTCCAATATAATATTCTTAAGTGTGATAGACTGACGGGTCTACTACGGCCAGGACACCAGTAGGAAAGAAGGCTTCTCTAGGCGGCTTTATACTATATATCAAGGAGTGCTTGATGCCTCGCTGGAAGTATCTTCACCAAAACGTGACTTGAGTCCGAGCCTGTCCTACATGACAGGTTGGTTGTGCTATTCGAAGCTCATCGCGATCTCATGCTTGATAGCTTGCTTCCACTCTGGTGGGTACTGCTTAGGCCCTAGCGTGTTACGACACCCTGGGCCCTGCCGTCGACGATATAGGTAGTGGAAGGGGCCCATCGTCTCCTCTGCCCAGTACTGATAAGTCCTGTAACCCTGGCGTAGCTGGTAGTTGGGGTACGGCGCGTGGACGAGCACCCACTCAAGTTGTGGCAGCTTAGCCTCGGCACTGGCGAGCAATGAACCTAGGTCGTGGCTCAGATCATGTTGAGGTACTGGGTTATAGAAGCGAGGGTTAGGGATACTCGTCCAAAAGTATCGCAGGCTGGGGGCTAGGTAGTCCCCTAGATCCGCGAAGTCTGGTGGGATGTATGCTTTGTCGTGATCTCCGGGGTAAGCCCCGACGCCGTCCTTAGGGCGCTCAAAGTATGTCAGCCTCGACATGGGTGCACTGAGCCACTCGAGTTTGATGTTTGCCGCCCGTAGGTTACCTAGCACCCCGCTGTCTCGTTCCTCAAACTGGCCGGCCGCTGTCTTGTATAGCTGGAGCTCGAAGCGGCGTAGTCCGGTCCCGTATGTCCTGATCGCCTCGCCGAGTGGACCGAAGTCCATCCTAGCGCGGGGATACTCGTCGTACGCATCCGCATCCTTAGGATCCACGTCTACGACAAGGCTCCTCAGGTCAGAGCCGAGTTCCCTCAGGACGAGATCGCGGATCACTAGACTACTGCTCTTAGGGTTTCGCGGCGTGCCCGGGAAAGCAGCGGATCTGAGCTCGAGGTGCTGGATATGAGGCGCAATCGGCCAGGGTCGGGATGGTGCCCCTGGGTTAGATGGTGCCGAGCTTCCTCTGCCCCAGCTGAGATACGACGTGTAGCAGCTCACGAGGCCTTGGAACGAAAGAAATGCCGAGACTGCAGCATTGCTCACGGTCCCAATATCGTTCTCCATAGGAGTAAGCTCAAGCGTATGGAGACGCGAGAGGGGAGAAGGTAGTCGTGCCTGCAGGCCTCGATCGGCCGTGCCGAGAGCACGTCCACAGAAGGAGAAGAATCGTGCAAGGAGTGAACCGTGGCTATCTGCAACGACGCGCAACGATGCAAACTCGACCTGGTCTGCTAGGGTGAGTAACCAGATGGCGAGGAGGTCATAGGAGAGTACATAGTGCCCTCGATATCTGGAAACATCGACACTATGGGGCCAGGTTGTTGTGACTTCTCTCGCTTCGACGATCAGGCTGTCGAGAAAGGTACAGAAGCTGGTCGAGTAGGTCTGCTGAATCTGTGACTGGATCGCCGGGTCCTCGAAGGCTTCGAGGAGGCGCGCTACAGGTAAGGGTGTTCCCTTCAGCACCAAGTGACGGACAATCTGGATTTCATCCGGGCGGCGGCGCAGGTAGGTAAATTCCTGGCTAGAGCTGAACTGGTATCCATCGCAGAGAGGATCAGTCTGCGTGAACTGGAGTGTTTGATAGATGAGTGGCTGAGCGACAGTTCGAAAATGAGACGAAACTAAGCAAAGCCGGCTTATCTGTCGCAAGTCCGCACCGCGATCAGCGTTGACCATGCACAGCTGCTCGATAGTGAGCAGAGTGTGAGCGAAGATCCGAAGTAAGAGTTCATCGGGTAATCGTTCGATATGTGCGGATGACTCCGTAGCCACTGAACCATCGGCCTCCATGACAAGAGTTGTTACTTGGGACGAGAGTAAATAAGGTGGAGAAGCGGCGGCATGCTGGATTGCTCCTAGGTTGTGAGAGGGCTGAGATATAGCCGTTTGGACCAGGACCCTCTCTCTGCAGCCAACGAAGCTTTACTGTATCCCCCTCCTTGCCCCCCTGTCCACCCCGCAACCACGCAATCTATAAGCAAGTAAGACATACAAGCAAGTAAGCCACACAAGCAGTTAAGCTGCACAACCAAGTAAGCCACACACCAAGTAGATTGAGTATCTCCTGCTCTATAATAGTGTTACAGGCGACCTCTTTCTACCGTTGCGCCTACCAGGCGAATATAAGCCTTCCCAAGCTATTTATGGCTTAGCCGCTGCTTGGCCAGCCCTGTCATCTGAGTACAGTTCTACTGCCTCTGCCGTCTCTGCTGTCTCTGCCGAACCCTACGAAGCACTTGTTTTTAGGTTATAATCCTGCAACTGATTAAATTACTATTTAAATTCAGCTCGCTCATATTATCCCTCCTACCTCCATACATACTATAACCTCTGCCTCCTGTGTTAGCTACTCTGGACAGCTTATCTTAAGTAAGTATTACACGACTCGGGCAATTACCCCTCGTTTCCAGGCCGCCTCCGTGGCGTCGGGTCAAATCTGCTTTTCCTACTTCATATCCCTGCCCATGCCTGTCTCGGTTATCGTCTGCTAGTGCTCTCGGCCCCTCCTGTCTTCTGTAACTTACCCGGCCCGCTTACATTCTACTGGCTGACTGTAGGTATATAACCCTGCCTATGCACCTCGTACAGCTTATACCATGTCCGCTAAGTTGCATATGGCTTCGCCGCAGCCTTGATAGTCCTGTCTCGAAGCCTCTTACTTCTTCCTATATATTCCCTCAATTCTGGCATTAATTCCACGGCTAGTACAATCATCCTTCGATTTCTGCCCACTCCGCCAGTCGGCCACTCTGCTATACACGCACCCTAGAGCAGCAATGAAGCGGCGCGCCAACCTTCGCCTGTGATTCTGGCATACACCTACCACTCTGCCGTATACCTGCCACTCTGCCAGTCTGCCATTTCTGCCATGGGCGTACCCCAGATCAGCAGTGAAGCGCTGTGGCAACCTTCACCTGTGATTCTACCGTACACCTGCCACTCTGCCACTCTACTACTCTGCCACTCCGCCAGCCCGCCACTTCGTGACCCTATATGTCCAAATAAGCAGCCAGTCTCCCAGAACAAAAAGACCCGGTGGTCAAGCGGTACGACGCTGCTGGCAATTGCCTGGCAGAATCCCCGGTTCAACTCCGGGCCGGGTCACTTGCATGCTTTCAGTTTCATTCTGCTGCCGCCGCGTGAAGCTCGGGGCTTGCTCTCTCTCTTTTGCCTCCTTATACGCCGTCTCCTTATAAGCGGAGTCCTCGGTTCGACTCCGGGTTGTAGCGACGACCGTGCTTTACTCTCTGCTTTATATAACGTGAACTTAAGTTATACAAATAGCGTAATGAAACTTTGATTCTACTATCTCTACTATCCTTCTAAACTACTCTTACTCTATAGTATCTTCTCCCTCAATATCGCTCTTAACTATCCAGTACTGAGCACGCGAGTGTACCCCGAAGCTCTGTAACTGTACAGTGCTATATATATCGTCGGGTACCATGTCAAACTGTATCCCCTTCCAATGCGTCGCTCTCCAGTGCTTACGTATGTTCTTATTGGAGATTGTTAGGAAGCGGCAACCTGTACAGCTAAACCCTCTCAAGATCGGTAAATAGTCCAATGGTAAAGTATTGTCGTCCGGGACCGGAATGCTAAACGGATCGACAAGCGTAGGTTGGAAACAAATTCTGCGAATGTCCTGTAGCTCATCTCCCTTCATACTGTGTCTGCCCCGGAAATGTACAACAGTACCGTTACCTGGTTTAATTCCCAGCCGGCAGAGGAGACAGATAGTAACGTTGCGGGTCGTGTCGATATAAACCAGTTTATCAACCGGTTGAATTGGTGGACGGGTTGGTGGACGGATCATCGCTCGTACTGTCGCTTCAGTCTCAATATTGTCTTCGTTTGTTCCTAGGTCTTGGTCTTGCAAACCCTCCAGCTGAGGGCAGTCCTGCTGCTTACTAACAAGCGGTCGTAGCTCGTCGTACGACGAGCGGGTGTTTGGAGGCATTCGTCGACTCGGTTGATGTAAGAACTCGTGCCAGCGAAAGGACGCCCACTCATAGATGCGGATAAGGGCTGGCTGAAGTTGCGAAGGGAAAGCTCCGTCGAGTCCATATGTAGTTGCGCGCTGAATAGGGCGATGGCTGCTCTGCCAGGCAAAGACGGCATTGATGCTCGCATTCGGGCCAAGGTCGTCATACCGGTTGAATGGCGTAGCAATCTCGATGACGTGCTTCTCGGTAATACCAATAGCGATTTGTCGGTATATCTGAGGATTAACACAGGTATCCCAGCAGACGGATGTCGCCTTCTTAAAGATAGCCGCGAGCTTTGACGCGTCCCAAGGCTTTGATCTGTCTACTCCCGAGCTGAAGAGTAGGGGCGGCGAGACAATATGCCCTGATAACGATCTCTGGCTGGAGACCGGCTCTTTACCAAGCGTTGTAAGGAAAGGACGGATGTAGACAAGGTATCGAAATATAACCCGGCCGACTCGGAGAGGAAGGAAGCGTACAACGTTGAATTCTCGATTGGTTGAACGCTTTGCTTTGTGATGCCGTGTGAGCGTCATGACTGAGCCATTGTGGATGTATAGTCCGCGTTCGCCGAAAGCGCTGTTCTGGTATGTAAGGCTGAAGAGCTCCGATGACCGACCAGTCTGGCCGCTTGTCGTATGGAAACAACCTGCAAGGAACTCGAGCAGCCTCTCTGCTGTCTTCTGGTAGCGGGCGACTGCGGTAGCTTTCCATGTCCCGTGGCTCTCGTCGAACAGTCCGGAATACGGAGTGCAGGCCTGTTTAAGTAGCTGGGCATAGGCGTGGGACAGTTTGTTATGCGGGTGGCTGATGAAACTGAACCCATCTTTCGCATTAACGAGGTCGTCTTTGACTCTCTCAAGATGAACGTCCACCTGGAGACCAAGCATGAGCTGCTCGCAGAGCTCCTCTGCGTGCCCGATGAAGTGCTCTGATAACTGTCGGAAGGTGTCTATAGTGATGGTAAATGAGTCCCCGTATGATACCGTTTGGAGATCGTCGCTCTAGTGGAGAAAGAATGACGGGGTGTCTGTCCTAGCGATCACTCTTCCGTAGTCACGAAGGCTTAGCATCTCGGTCAGGGGCGTTATCGACTTAGTAAGCATATACCTATGCCGTACTGTATCGAGCCGCTCGAATTGCCGATGTCGCGGTCGCCGGGGAATCCCGATATGCTCATATGCTCGAAGAGGTAGGGCATATTCTAGGAAGAGAAGTCGCTGGTTGTAGATCAAGGCTGAAACGAATGGTGTATAAAGCTTTGCTGTGCGAAAGCCTCTGCCGTCTGGGTTGATGCTAAGAATACCACTGAAGTACACGAGATGGGTTGAGCTGGGATAGCCGTCGGCGAAGTCTTCGGTACAGAATGTAATACACAGCTTGAATAGCAATTCGAGAAGCTGGCTCAGTGCTGGGCTGAGGACGATCACTTGATTCTGCAGTGTACTTGCGTCTTGGACCTTGTCTGTTGTCTCGCTTTGTCCGTCGCTGAGCTCCGAGTCGCTGACATCTTCGTCGGAGTGGCCGCTCTTATTATCGTCCTCGTCGTCCTCGTCGTTCTCGCCGTCTTCGTCGTTCTAGTCGTCTTCGTCGTCCCGACGTATCTTAGTGGTATCTCGTTGGGAGTCCGACTTGGTGTCTTGCCGATAGGAGGTAAACGAGCGTTTTCTCGACAGACGTTTGGCTAAGGGTTTTGAGACGGACTGTTTCCGTTCCCTATTACTCGGTGTTGGAGTAGGCCGTTCTTCCTTAGCTGTCGGCCGCAGCTGACGAGCGGGCTTTCCAGCTAGGATCCACCGAAGGAGCTGTTCCTCGTTCCAAGCTTCGTGGGACCAGATAGTACCAAGTAGCTGCTGCTGCTCCGAATTAAATCGGACGGGGAGAAGGTCTTGTCGTTGGAAGCTTGGTAGGCGGTAGGTACGGAAGATGAAGGCGATGAAACGCTGGAAGGTCTTGAGATACTTCCGTCGGCTCGATCTTGCCGATACTAGTGTAAATGGCTTGGGATAGATCTTGTCTGGGTGGAGGCTTCGGAACCAGCAGAGGACTGCACGAGAAGTTTCGTGGGCTGTCTGCTCACAGCGAAAAGTACCCAGTCGACCATAGTAACGAGCCCGGATGTCTTTATCTCGTCTGCTCGAATACTAATGTAGGGAGTGGTTGTAGGATATAGTCCTCTTCCAAGGTGAAGGAGTCTTGTGGGTGGATTGCAGGGTATAGCTGTGAGGGCCTTCAGCACTGCACAGTTGGCGCCCTCGAAGATCTGCTGCCACCATGGCTTGCTCTGAGAGATAGCACTCCGTCTATCGTTTGGGTCTTTCCTTGTCGAATCGTACCCCGAGAAAACAGGTCGTTCGGGCGTCTCGGGGGGGGGGGTTTGTTTTGCTACGCGGCCAGGGACTAGACGACCTGTTTTCCCATCTGCATCGGTTACAGTCCAATATCGTCGATTCGGGCCGCCTCCCCAAGACTGTAGGTAGACATCGTCGTAGAGTAGGCCAATCCGCGGTCGGGTCGCGGTTTGCCCGTCGAGGTGGCTCTGCGAGATATGCCTCGTAAGCTCATGGAAGCTTATTGTCAAGAAGACGCATTTGCGGCAGCTGAAGCCATCGTAGGTCAGGAGATGCGGATGGGGCCTGGATCTAGACGGCGGCAGAGCTGCCTCTGTAGGATTGCGGAAGCCTGAAGAGTAGTGATCGCGTATATGCTCTGGAAGTCCTAAGCGCTCGGCTAGAGGGATACTGTGCTTATTCCACAAGTGTGCAGTAACCTAAGCTCCATGTAGAGAAATCGCGTGTCGACAATCGGGTCTGCGGCAGATCAGGACATTGTATGTTGGATCGGCGTAAAGCTGAAGGTATGTGAAAACGGGGTCGGGATCCTTGTGGCCTTCCGGCGTCGTTGGTGAGTTGGTCGGTACGTGGTTCCGCATCGCATCGTATTACTGCAGGCTGTTCTGCTGCTGTTGGTATTGTGGATTGTCGGTGGATCGTGGGTTACTGGGAAAAGAAGGGAAATCTGGGGTAACGAACTAAGACTAAATCCGCGGAAAAAGGGGTTGGAATGACGCGTACCTCTAATGCGCACAGACGTTTCGTAGGACATGACATGTCTATGAAGAGAATGAGAGAGACTTCACGATATGCAGGGATGCTGTCGGACATGTGGGGCGTGTGGAACCCGGGGATTTAGACTAAATCCCCCGTGGAATAATACAGTAGGCGGGCTTCCCGGCCGGGAATGATGGTCAGGTTTGCAGGAGGATCGCAAGCAAAACACCGAGCGCTCGTCGAGGAAAGACCTGGCGGCTTGGACCGGGAAGAACTCTGCGCCTTATCTTTACAAGGAGGAATGGCTGAAGCTCGAAAAAGAGACGTCGGAACAACTAACCTGCGACGAAGCTACGAATATTCGAACCGCTGTAACACTTACGCCAGAGAGGGCCGATTACCGAGACCGATGGTATTTCAAGGATGCCACACCACCCATGCGTATCGCGAAGCAATGATTCCGCGAGGGTGGCCTGCTCTTGCTCTTTGGGCACCCACGTATTGGCTTTGACACTCCCAACCCGTAAGTCCCGTTTTGATTGTTAAATAGATAGAGGTTATTAACACAAGGTGATCCTCTGTATGGATGGCCCATGTGGAAAATACGCCACAGGCCGTCTCCCGCCAAGGAGGACTGTTATGGGAAGCTGTTTGCTCATCTCCGGAAAACGTTGAAGTCATTCCTGGAGCGCCCGGAAGACTGGCTCGGAAGACGTGGGATGCCGCGGGTCGCGTCAGTGTCAGCGGGGATCGCAGCAGTCATTCCATTGGCTGAAGCACAGCCGAGTCGAGGAGAGTAGCAGGCCGAGGGCGTGGTTCGAAGTCATTGTGAGGAACTGTCGGGGCCGGTGGTCGAGAAGTACGTGAGGGTTTCGATCGAAGAACCAGGTCAGGTCGTCGGCGTTTCGATTGGGCTGCACGAGTGGGCCGCGCAGGACCAAAAGACCAATTAGAAGGCGGAAGTCGTGGCGGCGACACGCTCCCCGCGTCGGCTTTTCCAACCCACCTCCACTCCACTCCTCTCTATTCCCTCGCGCGTCGTTGATATCTCTTCTCGCGTAACTCTTCGCACGACTTCCTCTTTGCGGCGGCCTCGTCGAGCGGGCTCCTTCCGTGCGTTCTGCAAACAGAGTGCCCACCCCACCCTCACGAGCCTTGAATCTTCGCTCGGGCGACGTCACATCTTTCGTCACCTTCTTCACGTCGCCTCCCCCGCCTACCTGCGGACAATGGAAGCTTCCGCAATGCCCTCCACAAGCGCTGGCTTCAAGTTTCTGGCCTTGCCTCTCGAGATTCGCCAGCAGATTTACAGGCTCTGCGTGCCTCAGAATCTCCTGATTGGGAGTGAGTCGGTCGAACGAGAGTTCGCTCGCTTCGAGAACTTTGTGCACTACGACGATAGCAACAAAGAAGTCGTACACGGCCTTGACAACTGCTGCCGGGCTTCCGACGCCGCATGCCCTCCAAGATTCACCAATCCTCGTCGGCGCGCCATTCCTGGCCTTCTTCTCGTCTCCCGCCAGGTCTCTGCAGAGGCGCAGATTGCTATGTACGCCGGAAACACCTTCCAGTTCTTCTTGAATGGCGCTATGGCGGCCCATTCCGGGGACGGCATCGCCAAGTTCTATCCGGAGACGAGAGCCAAAATGCGGAAGCTCATACTCTTCACTGGCGCTCCATTTTGCTACCTCAACTTTCCGAATATTTCGCCACGGTACGACATATGGGATGACGCCTTGAAAAACATTTCGGTCCTCGGCGTCGTCGCCCTGCCGCCACACTATAGCAGAGGCAGGTTTTGGGCGGCCGAGGAGACGAAGCACGTCGAGATGAAAGATATCGTCCACTACCTCTCTGGCGTACTCCCAAGGACCGCCCGGATTGTCGTCGACGCGGACCGGTATGGCGACACGGTGCAGATCTGGGAGGAGGGTCTCCCCGGCCGCTGTCACTTTCAGCGGCTGCGCGCGGGGGACATGGGCTTCGGGAGGGGCTTTTACCCAACGGCCGACTCTGACTCTGACTCGGAGTAACGGCGATGATCTCAACCACTCCGAGGCCCAGAACAGATAACTCTAGACGACGAGGACAGATGGAGGAAAGGGGAACCACCCCTAAGTCGCGTATGGGCTGTGCGATCATGTTGGAGGACTCGGTGGAGAGCTGTCCGTCCTTTGCCGCGACGTACACATGCTCGTCGCCCATCTGGGATGCCACGTCCTCAGTGGCGAAGGTTAGATCGATTGTAGATTCTCCGTCTTTCTATGCTATGAGTCTGAGGAGCAAGCATCCGGTTCGATGTGTCTTGTCCACCGCTTCCAGCTCTAGTGTGGCATAGGACCCCGATAAGCTCGGCCCCACGCCTTGGACGCCCGAGGATTCCGATCACCCGTCAGACAAGACGGTCGACCCAGCGAGCCAGGAGATCGAGTTGACAACCCAGGGTGAGGAGGTTGAATCGGCCAGCTGAAGGACGATCGACCAGGAAACCCTCGGGAGGACCCGGAATTCGACCAAGGGTTCGACGGCAGCAGCCCAGGAACCCGGGCCGAGGGCCTCGGCTTGTTGGGGTTGTACTGTGCGGGTATCTCCAGTATTGAGTTTTGTGAAGAGGAGGATGGCAGTCGTTGTAAGGGAGGAGGCGGTCGTGGGCGGGATCGAAGCAGCGCCCATGCGCATTCTCCCCCAGATTTCGGGCCTGTGGTCGAAACGGGGCCGGCAGTACGCAAAAATGGGGCCCGCTAGCAAGATGCCGGAAGATGACTACCTAAGTTCTAGAAATACTGTACAGTACAGTACAGTACCTGGCTAGTCTTATCTAGGAAAGAAGATACCGGGGCCTAAAAACAGCGTGTCGGCGGCCATTGGCGTCGAACCATGCCTCGATCGCAGCCTGCGAGTCATCCGCCTCCACCTGACCTCTCCCAAAAGGCCGCTCGAACCACTCGGGCCAGAAGCCGCCAAACTCCCAGTCGATGATGGCCCTGGGGTAAGATGCGGGAGAAAGGGATCCGGAGGCCGAGGTCCAAAGCTTTTCTCTAATCCGCGAGGCCGTCTCCCGCCAACACTTTGGGGTCCTTCTGGGCTTCTCCAAGGATCTCCTTCATCCTCACATACAATCCTATGTCCTCTCTTTCCCACCTCCCACCACTCGGGAATACCACTTTCCGCAACTTGTTGACCCAAGGTATCAACGGTTGGTAGTATGGAGTGAAGTTCTCTTCTGCGGATCTGATGAAGTCCCCTTCATGAGATACTTGTCCCTTCTTCTCCTTCGCCAACAATTCCATGCTGATGTAATTCCACTGGTCAAACTCAGGAACAACCCTGCTACGCGGAGACGAAACGGGGTTCTCGTCGGGGTCGGCCGCCAAATCCTTGCTTCTGCTCCGGGAAATGTTCGCATCTGGCACGTTGTAGTGGATGCATATCCAAAAGAGGACCCAAAAGAATGACTCGAGATCGTGCATGAAGGAATGTTGCTCGCCTAGAAGGGCTCCGATTGCCATGAATGCTCTCGTGCCGGTCTTGCCCTTCGCTCCGGATGCGCCTTGACGTTGTTCTCTGACGGCGAGGTCCAGGTCGATCAAGAACGAAGGCCATGAGATGTTGTCGTCGTCCTCGTTGATCATGAGATTGTTGATGGAGATGTCTCTGTGAAGGAAGCCGGCCTTGCGCAAGGATTCGTGTCCTTCAATGCAGCCCTCCAGTGCGGCAAGGAGAGCCGATCGGGAGCTCGCCTTGTAGATGGGTTCTCCGTAGTCCCGAAGAATGACACGCCGATGCACCCGGTTTGGCATTGCGTTGCTGCTAGCCTTCGTTGGAGATGCCGAACAGGATCGCTTGCTGGGGGGCAGCGCGGCGCCAGTTTGACTCGAAGACCGCTTCTTGCCAGCGATGCTGTTGCTGCGGCCCTTCCGCGAAGCGCCAGACATGGTGGTACTCGGTGGAGGCATCGAGCGTTCCGACCGGTAGTTCGTAGCTCTGGTAACATCTAACCCTCCCCGCACGTTGCTTCGAATGTCGTCATCCTTACCGTGAACCCGAACAGTCTCGTGGTGATAGTATCGGGCCATGTTGACGACGCCTTTGCCAGTCGCCTCGCGTAACAGTTCGCCTTCCTCATCGCGTTCCGTATATTGCCACGAATCCTTGATAACAAGTAGTGACTGGGGTTGTCCTTCGCGGTGGGCTTTCCAGCAAGTCGTGGCCCGGCCAGCTATGCAAGGTGCGCGTTTCATCACCCGATCAATGATGAGGCGTTCTGTTGAGCCGTCCCGCTCGATCTCGATAAATCGTTCGTTGTTTGCCGTCATGATTGTCGGATCGAACCCAAGCTCCTCCTCGTTCATCCAGAGAAAGCCGAGGACCGTGGACACAAACTGCAGTCCATCTTTGTTGATGTCGAACTGTTCGGATGCGACCCCCCCAGCCGGTCAAACTCCCATATCCTCATGAGAGATCCGCAAATAGTGAAGCCTAAAACGAACCGACGGGTGTCTTGAGCAGCGAGAACCTCTCTCGCGTACCTCCCAAGATCAAGCCATGCCTTGGACGCTGTGTCGGCCAATGGATTGCTTTTCAGCTCGCCGGGGACGAGGACCCGCGACCAGTGGCATTGAGAATCCTTGTCGGCCTTGGTGTCGTTCACGAAGCCGACGTCCAATTTGCGTTCCCCTGTGGAACCGCGGATTGGCTTGTTGGGTTGTGCCAATGGTCT